GCAAGCCATAAATTAAGGAATCGCTGCCGCCTCTCTGTCCTACATTCGTTCTATGTTGCAACACACTCCAAATTCACACTCACTCCTTCCACTGCGGACCTGCACTCGAGCCTCCTTCAGAGAGAGAGAAAGAGAGCTTTTGGGGAACTCGCCGAGGTCACAGAAGCTCAAGGAATTGCGTTTCGCTAATGGGTTGCTTCTGCCGCGAGATAAGCTCTGGAATTCAGCTAAGCTTATCCACTGCTTACGCATAAATTAGACTTATCGCCTGAATCGGAGCAAGGATATTTTATAAGATAGCAATCAGCACAAATGTTACTACATGACAACCGCCTTGCTTGATCATTCATGGCTTTCAAGGATAACTTATTACCCATATTACAGTCTCCATTATTATGCAGGGTTAGTCGGACAAATCTTGATATCAATTGCCAATTTGTATAGTACTAAAATCAAACTAGACATCATATTCGTGACGCGCTTGATTTTTCTGATCGGTTTTAGAACTCATCGGCTCTGTGAAATCCCAGCTTCCAAGACTGCATGAATGAAAGAGGCATGAGAAGGCCACCTCTGTCGTATATCATCAAATTTGTTTGTAGATCTCCAGCTAGGCGCAATTTAGGAATCAATACGCGAGGCACGGCAGGACGCACGATCGGTGATCGATACGGTGAGTTTCTCTCCCAGAGCCATCAATGGCCGCGTCTTTCACCGGCATTCGCGCGATGCTCAAAATGTGTATTTGTGAATATTAATCGTGGCCAGAATGAGATTCACATGGGACAGAAGATGAATTAGAATGAGAATGAGCCGAGGAAATTACAAACTGTGAGAAGTCTGGCCCGGGATGATGAACAGCGTGTCCATTTTGTGTCAATGTCGGCGCGCGATGGAAGGCTATATTCTTTTCCTCATCATCGCATCAATATCATCATTTATCGGCACATTTTGGTGGGAAGAAAAAAGCCTCTCCGGCAGACGAATGGTGTGATCGCGGCCGGCAAAAGATGGCAAGAACAGCAGCCACTCATGGGGAATTTATAACTTTCAAGAAGTGATTGTTGAACCCATTCTTGTAAAATGGCATTTTTTCCTCTCATGAGCGACTAGAGACAACCAATGGCCAAGAATGATCACACACTGAGCGATCTTGTTCGCGTTGTTCATCCAGCATTCGTGTCATTAATTATTTTTGGACTTGTCGTGCTTTTTTCCTCCATCTCCGCACAATCTTCTGTGTGAGGCCAACGTAGAAAAGGGCGACTTCAATGAGCCATATTTCGTGATGTTTGATCCGCACTCGGTGAATCGATCAACCCCAATTTCTCGATCGCCAATCATGCAATTTTCGCGCGCGCGCGACAAAAAAGCTCCCTGATGGTGAGATATACGGCATGTTAGACAAATATTCCGTCATTATGGTCTTCATCATCAAATGTGATCATGACTACCAGAGAGCATGGCTTGGAAAGGCCTCAAATTTTCGACTCGCCGCTGAAAAAAATGGAAAGTGGAACGGTTTCGGCAGCAAAAGTCACACAATCATACTTTCGTGATCGACCAGGAGGATTTGGAATGCCGTGCCATCATTCAAGAAGTTCTCATTCAGCCTGGCAGACAAATCGATTGATTAATTTGCAGACTTTTTGCTACCAAGTGCGTTTCATCTATTGTCACGAGACATCCGAGAAGAACGTGCATTATTCATTCAAATTACAAACACGAACCCTTCTGGGTAAAAATGGCTTTCATTCAGGAGGTTTTTTTCTGGGGTGAAACAGATGGTGATCAAGAAGGAGTTCAGCAAGAGACGAATAGTGCACACCATAAATTCACGCCACTTTGGATGCCTCCAATCTCCTTCGACACTTTGATTTCCCAGGTAAAATCACTCGGCGCGGGAAAAGCCCCAGAACAGCAAATCTGCAGAATCACCATCCTTTTTGCCGGCCCATCTTATCTTCAACCTCTTAATTCAATTTTCTTTCTCACGCAAAAGAACTTTCCTCTCCCATTGATACCGAACTTTGTATTTTATACATTGCCGAAGCTCAATTGTTGCCAGGAGAATCGACAAAATTGAAATTTATGGCGTGAATTTTCCGGACATTGACAAGGGAAATGGAAAAATGGAGGTGTGCTGGAAAGAAGATGGATGCAATAAATCACCATTGGGGACTTGAAGAAAATTTCAATTCGTCAATTTGTAAGTTTCCTCATTTCCACTGGGCTCCTCTTTTCTTCTCCTCCTCCGCCTCTTCATCCGCGGCCAAACTTGGCCCGCACCAGACAAGAAGTTGACGTGCGAAACCGCAAGATGGTAAAATTGCATAAAGTGAAAAGGAGAGGAACAGAATGAGATGGAGAAATAATAGGAGAGGAGAAAAAAGAAGAGAGACATAAATATTTCAATGTCATAGTTATGAGGTGCACATAGTCATTAAATGTGTATTAAAAAGTGGCGGTGGGAACGACGAAATCACGTAATCAGTTAAACGGAAAGGCGGAGTCGCCATTTATATCAAACGTACAAATTTTTCTATATATTGTCTGTCTGTGCATTTTGCCAGACTGCAATCGCTCGTGGACGTCTCATCATCATCTCAGGAGATCTCTTCTTCTCTCCACCCAAACCACTTTATTCCCTGCCATTGTTCACTCTTATCTCGCGCCAAATGGACAATTTCGGCCGATTCTTCGCCGGCGTCTTTTTTATTTCGCCCCAATTCGCATTCACAGCCCCATTTCAATAGGCAAGTTCACAATTTTGCGTTACTTTCTAAATGCAAGACTTACCAGAAACAACTGACGCCAAAAAGAAAGATCTTAGATGATTATAAAATTAACCCTATTCAGTACCTTCATTCAAAACCGTCACGAACCATTTCGCATCATATTTTTGCGTTGTCTTTATTGCTTTTTTAAGCTCCCTCTATCACCTTGCTTTCCTGAACATTTTATAGCTCGTATCATTAAATTCGCCAAACACGGAAATGCATATGGAAAATCATGCTTGAATAAGGCTCGGAATACAGAGCAGAATTGCGGTGGCTTTTTCCTTGAGGCCGACGAGGGTTAAAGCACTTCAGCAACCTTTAAGGAGAATTGTAAAGAGCCAAAGACTTGTCTTCCCGGAGATGAGAATCACCGTCATTATATTCTTGTGTGATTCTTTCAGTCACCCCGGCTCGAATGTGCCAAATAATCGAATTCTCTGTCAATCGTCAATCAGATATCGCGCAAGTGGGGATAATGAAAGGCCGCGACCGATGATGAACAACTGAGAATGTGGAAGATGAAAATGATTTTTTCCATCTCATCCCAATAATAGCATCTTTTGGGTAATTCCTAATTTACATTGTACGCTTTACCATGCATACATACACACAAGTGACAATCACCAGTTAGATTTGAACAAAAGATATTATTGAATATGAATCTCTTTAATACACTTTTTTGTCCTCATCCAGCGCTCGTTGCCAAATGAAAATTGCCCCACGCGAGGGGCGGCGAGGCGGCGCGGGGGAAGAAATTGTGTTGTGATTGAGATGGAATAAGACGAAGATGGAGATTTTTGTCAATTCATCATGCACAGACGACAAGTCAATCTCTGTCTCTCGCACTTGGTGGACTTTTGTCCGCATCAATCGGAGCCGCGCGCACATTTCATATTGCTATGAGCGTCTTGCCCTTTCAATCTCTGTCTTCCAGCACAACACAACATACCTAATGAACTTTAGTGTATTGTACTCAAGGTCACGCCGCGACTCCGCTAAGTGTGTATCACTGGATTCTGCATGCAAAGCAGCCAGAAACATCGTCATATCGCTGTCCCAATGGAAGTTCAGCCAAACGAAACCTCAGCGCGCATTTCCAGGTTCTCAAGACCACCGATTCGCTGCAGAGCCAGAGCTTCGACCCGGGCAAGTAAGCCCCACTGAAATCCCCCATCGTGACAGGCTCAATACAGCACGAGGAGCTACTTGGGGAATTGTACAATTTTCAATGTTATGCATTATTGTTATGTGTATTCAACACAGTGAGCAAAATTGATGGTGATTCGCCTTCATTGTGTGTCACAACAGAGTCGCGCGAGATCTTTCCCGGCAAAGCGACAAATAATTTTGATTAATTATCATTTGGCCGGCGCATTATGTGGCTTTTCATCTTCAACACATTAATAATCGTAATGTTACACGCATATGAATGTCCTACCGCAAATAAACCTCGCGCACACACTCTCATCCCGATCCCCGGCGCAACAATGGGTCCCACATCGCAGACAAGGGCCAGAGAGAAACGGATTATAGGCCATCGGCTGCTTGTTGGCTGCCGTTTCTTGCATCTTCCGCCCATTATTGCCCATCTTCACTCTTTTTCACTTGCGCTTTTGTCATTTTTCCCTCAAAACACTCGCTCTCAGTGCCCGAATGGCCAAGAAGATTTATTAAAATGTGTACGCTTCAACACTATGGCCACAGAGACCCGCCACGAAGTTCTAAGCTTGGGAACATTTTCCATAAAGACCCCGCGAAGATACGCTTTCAATTTCTACCTTTCCCCCTTTTTCAGAACGGAAAATTATTTGCAGCTTGATTTGTAGTGTTTTGATTGGCATTATTGTCATTCAGAGCGAGTCAAACTTTTAACCTTCAGTGCTTTTTATATCAAAATTGTGCTATTCTTTCACATTCATCTGAGCCCTTTAAATAAATCGTTGACATTTAAAGGCTTTCAAATGTCAGAACTTCCTCTATTCATCGCATGTCGCGCTGCGAGTCATTTACCCGACAGACTGTGCCCATTCTTGAAAGCAATTCTGTGCTGATATTATGCCTATTATGCAAATAAACAGCGAGTAGTAGATTTAGGGGAAGAACATTTTCACTCCTCTAACAGTAAGGAAAATCCGGTTAGTAACCTATTTGTATAAATTTTCTCACCCCTGTTTGCACCCGAGAAATTCTGTGCTTACGCATAAGCAGTAGAGTAGTGAAAGCGCGCATGCAACCGGGACGGTTGCTCTTGACAGCTGATGGGGAAAAACAACTGAAAATCCTCGTGAAAACCGCTCTTCCTGTGAAAACCATTCACTTCAAGGATGGAGGACGAGCAAGTGCACACTGAACTCGTGGACACGATAGTGCGCGAGGTGAAATCGCAGGGACTCTTTGATCAGTTCCGCAAGGAGTGTCAAGCTGATGTGGACACCAAGCCAGCGTACCAGAACCTCCGACAGCGCGTGGACACGTCGGTCACGACGTTCCTGGAGCAGCAGGAGTGGCGCCCAGACGCCAATCGCATTCAGCTACGAGAGAAGCTGCGGAAGAACATCATCGGGTGAGTATCTTTGCGTGCGCGGTTGTGAAATTCACGTGACCTTCAAACTCTTCGTTTTCAAGGTTGAGCTTCCTGGAGACCGGCGTGGACAGGATCGTGGACCAGGTGGTTAACCCGAAGATATCCACAGTCTTCCTGCCGCAGATTGAGGACGTGGTGTACAAGTACTTGGGCATAGAGAAGCCGCAGCCGAAGCCGAACAACATGGAGAACGGAGAGCTGAAGGTTGACTTGATGCCCACGGATTTGCTGGAGGCAGTAAGTCCGGACTCCAGCAAGTCTGACAAGTCCAGCCTGTTGGCCGCTGATGACGTGAAGGAGGAGATAACTGAGGAAGAAATCGTGCCGGAATTGAATGAATCCAATGACAGAATTGACGATGAAGAGTCGCCGCCTTTCGAGCCTCTGGAAGGACACCCGTCGAGTCCGCTCAAGAAGGAGGAGAAAGAGGATAGTCAGGACACGAATGTGTCAGGAATCAGTGGCTTAACATCCCAGGATTCAGTCGATTCAGAGGCGATGGAAGTAGACGAAGTGAAGACAGAAGCCGAGGAACCCGAGGAAGTTATGCAGCCTCCGCGCATTGATCAGATGGTGGAGAAATCAGAAGTACCTGAACGAACAGTCTCAGAGGTCGTGGAGGCCATGGATGTGGGTAATCAGGATTCGCAGCTTTCTCAAGTGTCCAGCAACAGTCGCCTGTCCATTGTCACGAATGAGAGCGACTCCAAGGACGGCAGCCTGAAGATTGACCTTTCTGAGGAAGCGCAAATGCCTGAATTCAGTGAGAATCATGATAATTCTCAGTCTCCTGTTGAGAAACTGACGACATTTGACATCAAGAAGGATGAAATAAAATTCCAGCAAGCCAGGATTTTCGTCCAACCGCCAGAGCCTGAAGATCCACCACCATTGCCTCCTTCGCCGCCTCCGGAAGTTAAGCCCCAACTCCCGGCGCCCCCGGAAAGCAGGCCCGAGAAGAAGATAGATGCCGAAGTGTCTTCCTCTCAGGAGGCCAAGGAAAAGCACCACAGTTCGGAGAAGAAGAAGCCCAAGAAGAGCTCAAGATCATCGCAACACAAGGACAAGGCTCGAGAGAAGAGTCGCTCTTCATCTTCTCGGGAGAAAAACGCGAAGCCCCAGGAAGACGATTCCTCAACGGCTCTGGACAGTGATGCCAGTCCTGTTCTTCAAATCGTCGAGACGGACACGATGGATAATGCAGATTTGACAGTGACAAAGACAACATCCGACAAGCAATCGTCACACAAGAGTTCCTCGAGTTCTTCTCATCGCGATGACAGGAAGAAGAGTCACTCTTCCCACTCCAAAGACAGTCACCGTCGGGATCACCGGCGACATCACGACAAGCACAGGTCGTCGAGCCAGAAGAAGAAGCCCAAAGAGGAGAGTTCGTCGAAGAAGAAGGATGACCACTCGAGTCAGAGGGAGAAGCAATCAGAGAAGCGCCGATCGACGGACAGGGATTCCAATGATGGCAACAGTGGACCAAAACCATCGAGCGCATCAAGTCAGCCCGCTTCAGGAACTGGAGGAGAGTCGACAAACTCATCAGTCTCCAACTCGCCGCAGAACTCCGATACGCAGACAAAGCAAGAAGCCGCCGCTCCGCCGAGTGACCAGCTGGCCAGCTCGGGGGACTCAGGCGAGAAAGTCGTGATGCAGACCAAACCTATAATCGTGGACCAAATCCTCACGGCCAATAGTGAGATCAATCTCCAGATGATTGTCAATCGGGCGTCGAACGATCCCACGCTGGCGAAGATTGAGGAGCTGGCGAAGAAGTCTCTGGCCAAGAAGAAGCCCAAGATCGCGTCGAACTTCAAGGAGGCAAAGCGACTGATGAAGATGCGCAAGAAGATTGATCTGGAGAGCAAGAAGAACATGGAGAAAGCCATGGTCTTGGCTAAGAACTACATCAACTCTCAAGCTGAGAACGATCCAACAGTGACTGATCTGTCACAAGGCATTGAACTGGAGTTTGTGTGCATGAAGTCCATTGCCGGACCGATAATCTCCAGTCCAATCAAAGTGGAAGCACCGAAATTGCCTACAGTGAAAGCGGAAGAGGTGACATCTAACATTGACGATGGGATTGGCGACAGCGAACCAGAGGAGGAGCTTCTCTACTTCCCGGATCCGCTGTCCAAGCATCTGCAGAGTGTCTGTGAGAAGTGGTGGTGGGAGAAAGGAGGAAAGATGCTTGATGATAAGAAGCCCAAAACTGAGCCGAAGATGAAAAAGTCTCCCAAGAACGGAATCATTTCTCCACCAAAGAGACCAGCTGATCTGAACGACATCAAGAGTGATCTTCCCGAGGATAAGCGACTCAGATTGACTCCGAATAAGTTTGGTGAGTTTCTATCTTGCTTTTCTTCCTGTAAGTTCGGCATAATTTTGAGATCCGTTAATTTGTGGAAATTTTCTTCTCTGCAGGCGATCTTAATGGGAATGAGGACGTGCTTGAGGACAAGAAGAGCCCCAAAGTGAAGACGACGATCACTCAGCAGCAACGCTACTCGAGTGACGATCTGTACAAGCCGCGGCCCTTGATCCACGGCCAGAGGACGCGCAGACGAGGATTGGATGCCGTCGATGGCGTCTAGCTTTGCTTTCCACTTATTTTGTATGACGATCGCCAAATAAAGCGCGCGTCATTTTATTTGTACACACATTGAAGTCCACGAGTGCGCTTCATTCACAAAATTGCCGTGCGAAAAGAATGGTAATTTGCTGGCTAAGCTTGTGTGCGTGCGAGTCGGTGAAAGAAGAAAGTGGTTTTTCCGTCTCGTCTGATTCAGTCTCAATTGCGGATTTCGCGTGTGCAGGTCTAAGTCATTGACTGCGAGGTTCTCTAGCAAAAAGTGCGTGCGGAGGATTTGTGTAATATCGCCACAGGAGAATCTCAGAGTGAGTCTTCAGCATCCAGGAAGGTTGATTTTGCAAAAAGTGCGAATATGAAAGTGGATCGTTGTGTGACACTTTGGCGGATACTCTTCTTGCTGACCTGGATTTGTGCGGCCAATGGGATTTACCTGCAGAATTCCACCAAGCGTCCTGATCGTCGCCACGACTCCGTGACATCCTGGACAGACGCTGTGGACGAACAGGATGGCCTGTGGTCAACTCTTCTCACCGACTGGACGGTGAGCGACGATCAAGAGGATTCTCACAGAATTGGAAAAGTCCTCCAAGTGACCAGAAGGTACATCCCAGCGTCGGGATTCTTCGTAACCCGTCGCACTGGAGAGGATATCGAACTGGAGCCGCACAGACGCCATCCAGGGAAAATCCTGGACTTCAATGCGCCTGTGAAGGAGGGAACAGCTCAGCGGGAAGTGTCCGAGACGGATCTCTATCTCCTGGGAGCCATTGAGAAGCTGGTCTATCGAGTGGATTACATGGAGAAACGCCTGAGGAGAACCGAGCAGCTCCTCTATTACATGATGCAGGGCAACAATCAGAGAGAAGGTCAGACAATTAGGAGATTTTCCTTCCTGCAGTATTAATCCCCTTTCTTTCTCACAGCAGATCCTTGTCCTGAAAACTTCACGAGGGCCGGAGGGAATTGCTATCACTTCGGAATCAACAGGGAGATCAACTGGAAAGCCGCCAGCAGCTTCTGCAAATCCATGGGCGCTCATTTGGCGGAGTTTGAAACGGTCGGAGAGTATAAAGACGTTGCTCAGTTCCTCCTGAACCATCAAACGTTCAAAGAGAAGAACTTCTGGGTCGGAGGACTCAACCCGGGTCTTCTGTGGATCTGGTCTCACTCGGCAAAACCCATAAATCCGGACACAAATCTCGCGGACGTGGTCAACAGCACTTCCAGTGTGCAGAGCATCAAGAAGGGCCCCAAACCAGCGCAAAAACCCGCTCCTACAGCATCACAGGAGAAGTTGCTGAACATCAAGGGATCCGGGAGATGTCTGAGTCTCACATTCGCTCCCAATTCGCACAATTACACGTACTTCGGCCAGGATTGCTCCTCTCGCCAGAATTACCTCTGCGAGCACATCGACCGGAGTCTGGAAAATGAAATATCGCGGATCTCCCGACAAATCTTTCTCAATTAAGCATTTATTCAGTTTCTACAAACAGACAATTACATAATTTATTTATTTAAGGCTTGTGTAGAATTTCACTTGCAATCCCAGACCCAACATGGCGAGTCCTACGGTCAGCCCAAAGAGGATGCGATCGCGCAGGCCAGCTTTCAGGAACACCGGCAAGCCGTCGTTCTTCTGGAATTTCTTCTGCTTCTCCTTGAACTTCCTGAAGGCCTCCTTCATTTCGTAATTCTGTCGATCTGGTCCTTTCGGAGGATTTGGCATTGGAGCGTGCACGGCCATATCTACCACGGATTCAGTGATCTTCTCCATGGCCGCTGATTTCAAGTCTTCAGGGGCGTCAAGCTTCCTTCCTGCCATATCAATCCAACTCCTTGAGGTACTTCCGATTTTCCTGACGGATGATGAACGCAAAAGACCCAGCATTTTCCACGCGTTGAAAATTTTCAAACAAAATCTCAAATATGCGCCATCTGTGATTTGAGGGGTGAATGAAAAAATAGTGCGAAGATGGTTTGAATGAGGATTCATCCGTAGAATTCCGATGATTCGTCTTCTGCAATTAGCTGAGCTATATATTTTTATGATTCTCTTGAGTTCTTTTTTCTACAAGACAATATTCATCAATTGTAATCAATGCGAATGAGAGATATGCATGATAATTGTTTAGTTTGCGAATGGATTGTCGTCTGCAGAATTGTCCTCCGCCAATCCATTGGAATCCCAGAAGAGATGCGCAATTGGTGCTCACGTGGTCTCTTTGTTTACAATTTCAACATTTTCATGGAGGCTGTGTAGTTGAGTTTGAGGGGCTGAAACGTTACTTTCCCCTCAGTTTTAGAGCTCATAATCTCTGTCACTGTGTGCCTTGTGATATTCAGCGTGAGAAGACGATTAGTGTTCGTCGTGCTGAGTGTTAAATCCTGCCAGAATCTTGTAGTAAAGTTGGGGTGTTTATTCAATGGATTCAGAGTGATTTCTTTGTTTGCTTCTGGCAAAATATCTGCCTTATCTCGCCACTGAAAATTGATAAGCCAGACATTCAGGGTCTGCGGAGAACACCGAATTTTCAGTCCGCTTCAAAAGCAACTCGGCAATGTCGTGGTGAGGAGTCAATTTTCCGAAGCATTCGCTGACAGTGCATTTCTCCAGCATTACTCACCAAAAGTGCCTCGAGTGACCATGGATGTCGTGGTTGTGAAGCCTACCAATATCGCCATGAGCCAGGATCACACGAAGATCCTGGCCATGTTCGTCCTGGGCGCGGGCAGCTTCTTCATCGGCATGGTACCTGCTTGGCTGTCGCGTCGCCAGCAACGAAATTATCCCCTGCTCATCTCTGTGCTGCTCTGCTTCGGCGCCGGCATCCTCCTGGCCACATCCCTGGTGCACATGCTACCAGAAGTGCGCGAGAAGTTGCCACAGTACGCAGAGATCATCCTCTGCGCCGGATTCTTCATAGTCTACGTTGTGGATGAGCTCGTGCACTTCTTCTGCGGCGAAGCGATTCAGCACACGCACCATCCAGTCGACGTGGAGAGCAGCGGTTCCCAGAGAAGCTCCGTTCCTAACTACCAGGCCACGGCGCCTGTGGAGTCGTCCGCTTTCGGCGCAGCTCCCTCCACGTCATCCGAGACGCAGAGCCTCCTGCACAGGCCCTCGACGTCGACCGGGCACGATTCCGGGGGCGCGCGCGAGTGCGCGCATCGAGACGAAGTGGCCAACTCGAGGATCTGCCACGTGAGTCACGCGGAGCCATGCGAGGAGACGCTCACGGGACACTTGGGGCTCCTCTGCGCTCTCACGCTACACTCGCTCCTCGAGGGACTCGCCATTGGGATCCAGGACTCAGCTTCAAAGGTGAGTGATTCCACTGAGAAATGTAAAGACTCCGGGGTTGAGCAGCTGCATGTTCTTCCCCATTTCACCCATATTCTCAGTTAAAAAGCCCCGCAATTCGATGATCTTTCAATCACTCAAGCCTGTGTTTTGGGAAAGAGTTCTCATTCCATCGTCATTTCTGTGATACGCTTATTTGTTTGCCTTCCCAGCGTATTTCTCAATGTAGTACGAATTAGATAAGACGATGCTATTGACTCAGAGATTCATCTGAGAGCCGCCTCTACAGTCTCTCCCCATTCAATCTTGCAGGTGATCCTGCTGGTCGGCGCTGTGGCCGCGCACAAGTACGTCGTGGGCTTCTGCCTGGGCGTCGAGCTGAACGCCAACCTCCGATCGACCGTGCGCTCGCACTTCTTCGCCATCCTCATCTTCGCCTTCGGGTCCGTGGCGGGCATCGGGATCGGAATGGGCCTGGTGGACCTGCAGTCGTCCTGGACAGTGACGAGCGTGCCGATTCTGCAGGGTCTGGCCGCCGGAACGCTGCTGTACGTGACTGTGTGCGAAGTGCTGCCCAGAGAGAAGGCGCGCTGGCACCAGAGACGCAGGGCTGCAGGCCTGGCGCAGTTCCTAGCCGTGCTCGTCGGCTTCGTGATCTTAACAGCCATGAACATGTTCATAAGTGAGTTGGAACCGCTGAAAATCTCCGACTACAGTTAAGAATCTCAATGCTATTTTATTTTAAAACACATATTTTCCTCTTTTCATCCATTGCAGCTGAATGAGGAGCTTTTTGTCACTGTTATGTGTTTTTTTTGTGTGTTTTATGACATGGCCAAAGGAAAAAAGCATGATCTGTTTTTAAAGCGCAAATAAATTCACTATGAGATATCATAAATTTCAGTAGACACTGTGATTTTATTTGCACTCTATTGAGAATTTTTTCACTCATCATCGCAATGGAAAATTGTGTAGGGAAAAGAGGAAATTCCAGTGGAAATGGGAGGAAGAAGAGACAAGTAAAGTTCTGTGCATCGCTGACGCGCTATCAGGCGGTGATTCGGGTGGCGAAGGATATGGGATTCCGCCTGGTGGACACTGACCAGGCGTGGAACATTCTGTGGGCGGATGGACCTCTGTCGCCGGATCTCGTGCGGCAAATTAAGCCTTCTCAGAGTGTCAATCACTTCCCGGGCATGCAAGAGCTCTCGATGAAGCGCTGTTTGGCCAGGAATCTCAACAGAATGGCCAGATTCTTCCCCGATGACTACGACATCTTCCCTCGCACTTGGTGTCTTCCGCTGCAGCTTAACGACGCTCAGGAGTACAGCCGCAGTCGCCCGTCGACGGTGTTCATCCTGAAGCCGGATCACGGGTCGCAAGGAAGAGGAATCCGCCTCTGTCGGAACCTGAGAGCCACTTCCATGACGCAGGAGAAAGTTATCTGTCAGGAGTACGTGAAGAATCCTCTCCTGATCGACGGTTACAAGTTCGACATGAGAGTTTATGTGCTGATTATCAGTATGGATCCGCTGAAGGTCTTCGTCTACAACGAAGGATTGGCCAGATTTGCCACGAACAAGTATCATCAGCCCTCGATCAGCAACAGAGGAGACATCTTCATGCATCTGACCAACTATTCGCTGAACAAGAACAGCCAGAACTTCTGTTCGGACAAGGAAAGTGGAAGTAAAAGAAATTTCACTGTACTTAACAAGTAAGTGTGAAATGTATGTGGTGTTTTTCCTTCCTCGGAAAAATGATCTTTCCTTGCAGAATTCTTCAGACCAGCGACATTAATGTGCAGGAGTTGTGGAACAAAATTGACGACGTCATCCTCAAGACGATTTTGAGTGCTTACACGACTTTGAAGCACATTTATCGTGCTACATTTCACCAGCATCGCTCTGGATGCTTTGAAGTTCTGGGCTTTGATATTCTCATCGACAAGAAGTTGCGGCCATTGATTTTGGAAGTCAATCAGAGTCCCAGTTTTCATACAAATGAAGAAGTTGATCAGGAAGTGAAAGAATCTCTGATAAGGGATACTTTTCGCCTTGTCCTGTCGGCGAAGAGGAAGTGTGGTAATTTTCGGGTATTGTGGCCAAATACTGAGAAGGAATCCTACACTAAGTACTTAGATCATCCCTCAACCTTGTTCGCCGCGACTAAAAATGCCCAGATTCGTCAGGAGATTAACGAAAACGCCCTGAATAGTGTTCAGAAAACTCCTGAGACGAAGATTGTGGTGAAGATGCCGGATTGCAGGCTCTATAATGATTGGCAGCCGATGCAATTGGATGATATTCGCTCTAAAGATCACAATAGAGTCTATTCTCTGGCCCAGAGAGAGACTCTGGTGAAGCTCAGCGGGATTCAGAGCATCGTTGTGTGGAACTTCTTCGAGAAGAATCTCCTCACATGGAATGATCGCATCAAATTTCAGCCTCTGATTGAGAAATTCGAGTCCAGCGATGAGGCAATTGATCTCCACTTTTTGGACATCAGTTCCGCTCAGTTGGTCAAGATGCCACAACTGCCGGGCGTCCGGAAGAATCGCACGACGATGCTGAGACAGATTTCACACACAATCGAAGCAAATTGAGAAGAGCGATGAAAATAAAATATTAATAAAATTACACAACAGGTTTATTTATTATTAAATCTATTTCTTGCATATTCACACGCTCACGATCTCGCTCAAAAACATCTTTGTTGATCTTTTGTATAATTTTGCAGAGGTATTTTTTCTCGTTTGATGAATTGAGGGGTTGAAAAATAAATCGGGAAAGCCGCGTTGGGGATTTTCTTCAGTGATGCATTAAAAAAATTTGTCTTTTCGTCCCTTTCCCTCGCAAGGGTTATTTACAATTTGTGTCTCCTTTTTCTTGTGTTAAAAGAAAGATGGTCAGATTTCACACAAAAGATCTGTTTTTTTCTGGGGCTTTCGTCACTGATCAAATGATTTTTTCTCTCTCTTTCTCTCGCTCTAATCGAATTCTTAAACAATGAAAAGAATGAAGTGATCATGCTTACGATGCTTTCTTCACTGGCAATTGAGTCTTGATCACTCCGATAAAGAATTTATCAAATGACTATTTTAAGTGTGATATTTTCATGTGATAGAGTTCCTTGCTCAACGGCTATTTACAGTGTCAAAAGTCCTTTTCACGCACGCAATCTCGCTCTCAATTTATCCTATCAGCAAATATATTCCTTTCACACTCAGAATTACAATCTTTTTGCTATGTTTTTTTGTGTTAGTACGTTTTTTTACACTCTCATCGCACATTTATTATTTATATCTCAAATATTAATTACTTTAGTTGTTTTTTTTCATCTCCTTTTTATCCTTCACTCTATAGTTAATTATTTTCATTATAACAGATATATTGCTCGAATTATAGTATTTTCTCTCTTTTCTTCTGTCGTTGAAAAATAAAAACATAAAGGATTCGGGAAATAAAACTCTGAAGGGATTTTTTTTTGTATTGTAGGAAAGAAGAAAAAATTGCTCTCAAGATTCTCTGTTCAGTTCCTTTCACACACTTAAGTACAAATCTGCAAGTAATTTAGATGAAAAGGAAACAATTTATCGATTTTCGCTCATCAAATATTTAAATCCATTCACTTTCCTAGGAGAAGAGTCAAATGATAAAAAAACATGCACAGAACTAGTGACTTATTGTTCTTCTGCATTCTACAAATTAGAGCCAGTCTTAATCTATGTTGGGGAGGCAAAATTAAGAAGAAAAAAAAATCAGGGAAAACTAAAGAATTACAATAATAGTAAAATCTTTTGACATTCCATTTCTTGCTCCTCCTCTTCTCGACACATTTCGATAAAATTGATTTAGACTGTAAAACAGTCCGTAAAGATATTTTTAAAAATGGATAAAACTATAAATAATTAGCAATATAGATAATTTTTTTCTTGATTTTTTCTCACTTTTTTCTGTTAAATATTTAATATTCGTTTACATTGTAACAAGGCAAATGTTTTTCTCTTCTCTATATATCCTCTTAATATTCTCGCGCGCGCTTTCTCTCTCTCTCTCTCTCTTTTTCTCTTTCTCAAACACACTCTCTTCACATCTCTTTGTCATCTTTGTCAAAATTAAAAATCCCGAAACATGCTGACACAACACTTGTGTTGAGAATTTTCCTACTTGCATTACATTTTGAAAAACTCCATTTAGAATTTCACCTTTTGCTCTCATCTTTGTCCTACCGAAAAAAAACTACTCCTTCACCACTCGTGCCAACACTCATGAAACACACACAAGCCTGACATCATTTGTGTCCTAGTGTCCTTTCGCGCCTCCCTCGAGACACACTCTTTTCCGCTCTTCACATGATCGATCAGTCGCCGCATGAACACAGATTGATCTTCTTGCTGATCCTTGCATTTTTCTCTATACCCTAAAATTTATCGCTCACAAGTAATCTCGTCGTGTTAGTACTGAAATGTTTTCTCTCTATCTCTTCCCATTGCCGATGATCATCTCTTTTATGGTTTGAACTTCACGAGGGGAATATTCTTGGAAGACAGACACTTGTCACAACTCCACTCCGCGTACACTTCCGCATGGATGAACTGAAATGCCGCTTCCGTCAGACCACTGCATGTCCTGCAAACAGAAAGCACAGCGTCAGTAAAGCACACGATGACGCACTTAATCAATTGCCTCTGCTTCCCAGAATTTCGTTATCTGCCCAAAAGAGAGATTGCAAATTGCCACCTCTTTGACACAATACGATATCCAATTAGTCATACTTTAACCCTTCGCCAATCTTCAGCTAAAACCACTCTTCAAGCTTTTCTTTCATTTCTTTATCTATTCCAGACGCGAACCATAATCAAGATTTCAAGACGAAAAAATGAACAATTTTCTTACAAACATCGATCGGTAAACTCAAGACAAACTTCATTCCATGCCTGAACATTAGAAAGACACGAATATATTTGAGCCCAATTGCATTGTAGATTAGAATGAAGTTCATTCATCCATTTTCGGAGAGTCAAACTCCCCCTAGAAATAATATTCTTCCGTCAATCCCAACTTTCGCGAGCTCTCCCATTAATTATGCTATAGAAATCACAACATTATGAGCAAGTTCTCACCTGTGAAACCAGAAATTGCACCCGGACTCGCACAAGATCGCCTGGTCGTTGTCGTGAACCTCCTTATGGCAAACCCCACAGGGGTAAATAGGCGGCGCGTTGGGGTTCTGCGGATTGAACACCATGGGCTGGTCGGGCGGATAAACCTTGCCCGCGCTCACGGGCATCGGCTTGGGTGTCATGTCTGGCGGGCCAACGCCGCCCGGCGGCCCTGGCGGCCCAGCGAACATTCCACCTGGCGGCGGCATGGGTCCGGGGGCGTTCTGCATGTGCGGCGGATGCGTCGAGTGGGGCGGATGATTGGGATGCGGCGGCCTGCCCATGTGGCCGCCATGCAGATGCCCGCCCGCCGCTATGATGCCGTGATTCGCCATGGCGGACATCGCGCTGAGCGCCCCCGTGGCACCGCCGCCGTGGGGCGCCTGCATCTGATGGGGCGGCGCCTGCATCTGGTGCGGCGGTGGCATCTGATGAGGCGAAACCTGCGGCGGATGGGGCGTCATTTGCTGGTGATGTGGAACCATCTGAGGCGGTCCTCCGCCTCCTCCGGGCCCTCCGCCGGGACCCTGACTCGTCTGCGGCTGCGGCGGCTGCTGCGGATGGCCCATGGGGCCCATCTGATGCTGCCCCATCTGTGGTTGCTGGGGCGGAGGCATCTGCTGCTGCGGGGGCTGTTGTGGCGGAGGCATTTGCTGATTGGGAACCGTTTGCGGCGGTCCCGCGGGGCCTCCAGGGTGTCCCATCGCCTGCGGATGCATGTGGTGGCCGTGCACGCCTTGCGGCGGCGGACCCGCCTGTCCCTGCTGCTGGTGCATCTGCTGCGGTGATTGCTGGGGCGATTGCTGCGGCCCAGGCGCCACATGCGGATGCGTATGAGGATGATGGTGCTGGTGCATCGCCATGGGGTTCATGCCACCCGGCCCGGGGCCACTGTTGGGATGATTTCGGTGATTCATGTGATTATGCTGGGGCCCGTGGTGCCCCGCCGGCGGCTGGCACATGTTGCCCTGGTGATTCACCATCACAGGCCCGGACATTTGTCCGCTCTGGCCGGTCATTGGCTGCGCCGCCATTGCCGTGAGTTGCTGCATTGGCTGCTGAGGATGGGGCGGCATGGGGCCTCCGGTGGACGTCATGGCCCCGTTGGGCACATTCATGGGCCTCTGCGGTCCACCGGCGCCCGGCATGTGGCCCATTGTGGGTCCGTTGCCCAGAGGACTGTGCATTGGCGGGCCCATTTGTCCGTTGTTCATGTGTCCGCCTCCGGCACCCATCGGGCTGCCAATGGGGCCGCCCGCGCCGCCCATTGGACTGCCCATCGATCTCTGGCTGTTGGGCGACTGCATCTGCATGGGCGACATGCCGCCCATCGAGCCCATCGGCGACATACTGCTCGCCATCGGCGACATTCCACTCGGCTGCGCCATCGCCTGACCCATCGGCGACATCCCGCCCGGCATCCGCTGTACGGGGCCCATGTGCGGCGGCATGGGGCCCCCCATGCCGGGTCCCATCGGCCCGGGACCCATGCCCGGGCCCATCGGTCCCATTCCGCGCAGCGACGGCATCCCCATGTGCGGATGGTGCATGTGAGGATGGTGGTTCATAGGCCCGTGCATGCCCATGTGGTGCCCCATCGGCGGCGGATGGCTCGTGGGCGGCGGCGTGTCGTCAAACGGATTTGACGCCACGATCGTGTCCCCGTAGCCCGTGAGCGGCGGGGGGAGCAGGTTCTCCGGCGTGGGCGGTGGGGCCGAATTCATCTGATTGTTGGCCGCATTCGAGGTTTTCCGGCGCTTCTTGGGATTGCTGGGCGCCGACACCGGCAGCTGCGGCGACTCGGAGGGCGACTTGAAGTCCGCCGGACACATACCGGGGCCCGGCATCCTGTACGGCGCCATACCCAGATTGTGGGTCATTGTCGAGCGTGTGATTCTCTCTCTCTTCTACGCTTTCCGGAAAGGGTTTTTTCTAGCTCAGCAACGGCGACGATGAAGCATTCTTTGGCGCTTCACTCTGGCTGATCCTGAAATGAGACAAAATCATCAGCCACCACATCACTGGCAGCCCCCACAGCGGCATATCACGCTCCAAAGCCACCTCTCCGGGTTGCCCTGCCGAAGAGGCCCACATTTTGACACTTCCTCCTCCGAATGCAAATGTCACCGCGATTCGCATATTCCGCCCTTTTTACCCCAATTTTCCCCACCGCCCACCCTCAGACCTGCCCCAATCGCCTCCCACCGCCCGTCCGCATCCTCACCTAGTCATTATTGCCGCGGAAATGCTGGAAAATCCGTGGATTCGGCCAAATTCCCTGCGGTACGAATGGCACTCGCGAAGTTGTCAAAGTTCCCAGGGCAGGAGAAAAAGGACTTTGCCACTCACATAGCCGCGCACGCACACAGCACAGTCACACTGGACAACACCATTCACGCTAGCACTGCAGTTCACGCGGGGATCACGCACAAATCGGCTCTTTTTGCCCGAAAATTGCTTGAGGAACTCCGATCACAAACACGCTTCACTTGTAGTACCCTCGGATTGCCGCTAGGGGTGCTACGCGACCGAGATGGCGTATCCGTGCGGGGAAATTTTTCTCCCACGCAGCTTCCGAATTGCGCCGCTGGCGCTGGCGCGACTAGAGAGAAGTGCCGCGCGTGAAAGAGCGCCAAAGGTTTTTAAATAATAGTAGAAAGAATGATAAACGCTGAAAATTTCCTTTGGCGATAATATATTTTAATATTCATTTAGCTACAGTAATATTTCAGTCGCATAAAATGTTCTCATCTCCACTATCACTCCTAATAAAGAGATAAAATCTTGCCAAATACAATTATTTCTCCAAAATATTTTCTCTCTTCTCTCAATTCCACAATTTTCCCGGGTTTTCCTCAATTTTATACGCTTACTTTTTTGATAACTTTTTTCATATATATATTTCCTACAACTACCTACACTTTTCCACTTTATTATCTTCTCCTTTACTCTCGGTTAAACAAATTCTCAGATATACAATAAAATATACAAGAAAAATTTAACAACTCTACATGCACTATTTTATATTTTTATCTCTTTGCAGAAAGGTACAGAATTTCATGTCTAGAAAACTAGTGAATAATAAAAATACATGCTTAAAAATACGTAGAGAGAGGATTGAAGAGATTTAACAATTTTCTGATGTGAAACTAAATGCACTGCTCGTCACTAAACACCATTTTACCTTCTTCTCTACTGTTAAAACTTCCATTTATGCCATTTGTTAATACTTTCTGTTGCTTTTCTTCCGCCTGTGTGCTTTCTGTGTGTGTGTGTCAAAATGTGGCTAAAAAGTAACAATAATAATGCGGCTCGACTCGACTTAAACATTCACATTTTACGAAATGGACATTTTTCTCTTCTTTCTCAATTCCTTTTCGAAGGGGACAATTTTTCACAAATATTTCGATAAATTTTGCCATATTTTTCATCCTAATCACGTTAATCAATGTCACGAGGACGGTGAATTTTTCTCATTTTATAAATTTTGACGATCGCCTAGAAAACACGAATACACAACGTTACAATAAATTCTCGTGTGAATAGTCAAGATAAGGTATAATTTCTTAAATTCGTGTGCACTATAAAATGTTTGGGTTGATGCGAAAAGTTACACTTGTAATTGCTCATTTAGGGTTTTCATCAACAAATTCTCCTCTTCGACAATAAGTTAACATTTTCGTGAATGCAGGACATACAAAGGATCCGAAGGACAGTTTTCCACGACGAAAAAGAGGGGAAATGGAAGGGAATTGTTTTACAAAAAGTGTCTCAAAAAGATGGAATACAATTGGATTAAAGTTGTGCTCAATGTGTCGAAAAACTGAGCGATTTTCCACTGATTTCTCATCATCTTTTTTTTCTTGTTTTTTACTTCATAACATTAATTGAATCACATGCAATAAATACTTGTTTTAACAGTTAATAATATCATATAAGTATAGTTGAATATGTTGTATATATTGTATATTTGATAATTGAATTATTCGTCCTTAAAATGTATCTCAAATTTTTCTCAACACTTCCATTTCATTTTATTAAATCCTCTGTCTTTCAGCTTATTTTTTTTTCTTCTTTTGCCCTTCTTAAGTCACAGGATCAGCTTTCAGTACTTTGTTTTTAGTGCCTCTCCGAGAGTTTTACTCGGTGAAAAAAAAACGACATCTTCTCAAGGAATGCTTCTAGGCAACTTTCTGTTCCATTTTACAAAAATACTTCCTCCCCTTGTTTTTCTTTAACTCTGCTCTAAAATAGACACTGAATTGTTTCACTTTTAACACACATTGAACATTGCGACCGGATTTTACACCCATTGACTACGTTTGAAGGACAGCGAAAGTGTTAAAAGGATCTGCACCACAGTTGACAAAGGGAATTATTACAATTTTCTTAGGGTGATTCTCTTGTGAAGATATGGATGAAATATTAATTTTGGCACACAATGACTGACAGAGAATTGAAATATCATAGACCGTCCGGTGTCATGGGGTGTTCCCGCACATATTCTTTGGGGAAGAAGCCAACCTGCAACGGGAAAGACGTTAAAAAGTGCCCTAGAGATTTCTAGAATCAGTTGGAAACGCAAACAGAACTACAGTGATTAAATTAAATCCTTCTTACCCTCTCATTGGTCTTCCCGCGCCACCATCCCTTGCTGTCGCCCTCCTTTCCGATCACAATCACCTGGCATCCCTTCCGCAATGGCAACTGGTTCTGTTCGTCCGGCACAAACTCGTACAATGCCGTCGCGATCACTTCACGGAAAGGCCACTGAAGCGACTGATTCAGCCTGCAAAACAGATCATTGCAATCAATTCCGCAACATCACAGCTCTGTACTTAATCACACTCACCCAGCGAAATTCTCCCCTAAATCATTTCGTTCATAGAACGAGACTAGCTCAATGATAGTCTTAAAGTACCTCCTGGTCGATAGATAATATGACACTGAATCTCTCTCTGAATCACGCTTCTGATAGATCTTCATGTGCTTTATCACATGCTTATCAGTTCTGCAAGAGATGCGGAGGGAAAATGTAATGAAATTGCCTCACGAGAGGTGCGCCATACTCACTTCAGACTGAGAGCGTACATCGTCTCATTGGGATTGGACGCTCCTTGCGGCCTCACGCGCAGCAAGTAGGTGCCGATGCGCCTGTTCTCGAGGCTGCTCGTGGCCGTGTCGCGATCCATCGTGCCCACAAACCAGTAGAACTCAGACAGCTGCCGATCGCACACGGGCGGCGGGAGACTCACGGGGCCCTGGCGACAGCGACCCGTGGACGAGATGCAGCCCTTGTGCACGGAAATCTCGCACGTCTTGCACCTGTATCCCTGATGGATGCGTCCCTTGAGGAACTTGGAGCAGTGCCGGCAGATCGCCGGCTCGTCGAACGTCGTGATGACGAACTTGTGATCAGTATTGCGACATCCTGGCGGATCCAGATTGTCCATGGCGTCCTGCAGAGCCTTGCTCCACTTGTTCCTCTCAGCCTCCGTCTTCATGTACAGCGTAAAGGCCGTGGATTGTGTCTTCCGCACCAGCAGCAGCTGGAATCTCAGCCTCGCGTCGCGCGTCAGCGTCCGCCTGGAGTGGCACAGCTCCACGCGGTACTCCTGCAGATTGTGCGCCTCCCTAAACGAATACTGCCCGTCGCCGATGCGTGTGCTGGACGTCTTCACCAGGATCATGACCTTCTCGAAGATGAAGGCGTATCTGTGCTTCGTCTTCTGATCCTCATGCGCTTTGATATTCAAATCTCCGTCCAGCAGCAGCCTTCCGTACTGCTGCAAGTCATTGCCATAGGGCAAATCCAGGTCCATGATGCTCTCGCGTACCTTCTGAATCACCACCAGATGTTCAGAGTCCCTCTTCACCTCATTTATGTACTGCGCCACGTCGTCCATCGCCTCTTTGGCACGCTCCAAGCCTCGAAAGTCTTCGTGTGTCTACAAAACCGCCGCACAAGGCATGGAAAACAGAGTGTAAACAAAGCCACGAAAATAGACACAAGCACACTCACCGGAGATGTCTCATCCACCAGCTTCTTTAGCAGCAAATGATACTTGAGAATCCGCTGCATCGGCACCGACAGGATGTCGCGCAGCTGGACGCGCCCTTCGCTGTGCTCCTTCTGGCATTGATTCACAAGCTGCCGCATGCTCTCGCTCTTCGCCGTCTGATCCCTCAGCGCATCCGTGGCGTTGGTCATATTCGAGCAATACTCGCCATAAATGAGAAACGGCTCGCGAAAGTCAAAGAACACCTGACTCAGCTTCAGCTTGGCTCCCGGCTGAACAGCCTCGCGCAGCTTCTCCAGGAATTTCGTGTGAATGTCCGCCAATTCCTGCAACAGACCAACAATGGGTGTCGTTACTCTCCGCATTTAATTATTCACTGGCCTACATAGTCAACGAATTGACGCGAGAGGCGGAGAATTTAATTATGAATTTTTCGCTTAATGACCAACAGAGCTTCCGTAAATACATGAATTTTAATAATTTCCTAATCAACAGCTAATTCTATTCATGAATGCAAATTTGGCAGGAAAACAGAAATACGGAGAATTTTGACACTATTTTTTCCAAGAAGTAATACAAAGTGATGAACGTGAAAACTTATGAAAAATGCGTAATAATCGCACTAGAGAACAGTAAATTTATTAAATTTGCATTCAATAGCTAGACTAAAAAAACGCCCTCTTAATTAGCCCTTCCTTACCCTATCAAACTTGCATCTGCAGAGACGACTAATGAGTCTCTTCCAATACGATTCATAGAAATCATTCACAATTGACACTATTTAATAATCACCGAGAAACAATTTAATTGACCTTTCATTTCACAGTTCAAATGAAACGGAAACAGATTCTTCGGGCTCAAAGTCTGCTATTAAATCAATTTCCCTGAATTACTTATCAGTGTTCCCAAAGAAAATTTTACAGAAATGCTCTAAATTTCCCATGAATTTTATTAAAGAACCATTTTTTGACGCGCAGAACACAATTCAATCGATATGAAGTCATGAAAAATAGATTAAACTCACCCTGACTTTTGGGAAAATCAATTTGATGTCCTCTTTGGATAGCAACTTCTCCATCGGCTGCATGAATTTGTACCTCAAGGCATTCAACACGTCCAAATAGTTGCTCTCCGTGTCGACGAGTTCTCTGATAACGAAGTCCCTCTGCTCGAAGCTGGTTGAAGATGAAACCTGAGAGAAGAGCAAAATTATCAACCCAGATAAAAAAAAAACTTTTCTAGAGACTCTTTAGCAATTAAACATCACAAATTGCACATTGATAGGAAGAAAATGGGTAAAAACTGTGCTTGAAAGTAAAAACAATGAAGAAAAATACCTGATTGCGACTTCTTCGCTGAATTGAACACAGATCTTGGTAAACTTCCTCCTCTTTCATGTCATGCTCATCGTGATTTCCATTCACCACGGCGTTGTCCGTTGTTCTGAACACATGTTTTTTGCCAACAATCAAAATCACGATGAAATGAAAATAAACAAACGAAAAAATGAACAGCCAATGGAAAAATCATTTACATTCTTTCAATATTCATGCCACTAAGGAAAGAATAGTAACGTTATCAGTATCAATCCAAGTGATGTCTCTCCGCTCCACGTCTTCCGGCTTGCGTCCTTGTTCAAAGATGAAAAGCAAGGAACTTTCTGTGCTGTCAGCAAAACAAGGATAACAATAAAACAGAGGAGATGCAAAAGAAATGCCAAAAACGCTCTAACAGCGCAAAAACATCTACGGAAAAGAGCGAAAAACCACGTGAAAAGTCTGGAATATGAACCTCAGGGAAGCTCTCGGAAGAGAAGGTCACATAGCAGAGATCCTCGTAGATTTTCTCCTCATTGCGCGACGTCCCGACGAGTTGCTCCGCGGCAATTGACGTGAACCAATTGTGGGAGTTCAACAGGACACCACACAATTCCTGCACATTGTTCTCCTGGTCTTCCTCTTCCTCCTTGGGTGCCGACAGGACATTGTCCACCTCACTCTCAGCGCTCTCACCGCCCTCGTCGAGAGCGCCCGGACTCTCGTCCACCGTGTCGGTGCTCTTCTCCTCAATCGAGTCCTGTTTCTCCCCATTCGCCACCACAGAATCCGCGTGATTGGCGTGATTGTTATTACTACAATGCAGGGACAAGGTTACCGTCACCCGAGCAGGGCACAGACAAGAAAGGTGGATCAGGGACTGAGATAGGAGGACACCTTCCGGAAGCCACTTACGTTGAATGCAAATCCTTGTAGATGTCCTCTTCCGAGTGGCTCCTCTCGCTCGGCGACAACTGTGCGTTGAAGCCCCTGCAAGAGTTGCAAACGCAGCATTAGAAGAAAGTCCTCAAAACCCCTAGAAGCGCCCCAAACTCACAGAATATTCGGATGAAGTTGCTGCACTTTGCGACACTGCGACAACTTGGACAACGTGATGAGCACCCGATGGAAGTTGGTGAGGTCGTAAAGCATTGTCGGCTCAAACAGGTCCGAGTCCCGGAGGGCGAAGTGGTTCTTGCACGTCTCCAGGAAGAGCTTGATGTTCTGGCAGCAGAGGAACTGCAGAGGAAACGACAGTGAAAATCGATACGCCTCCAAGGGCACCCCCGTGCGCGCATACTTGTGCCATCTGGGGCTTTCGGTGAAAGTCCTTCATATCGAGCGCATTTGGGTCGAGAAAATTAATGAGATTACATAAAATAACACCATCGCGGAGGGTCAATGCCAGCACTTTTATCTCCGAATCTGGCCAAGCTGCCTTGTGATCTGACGGAATAACGCGGCACTGGATCAGCCACGAGAGGCATGATTTCCACAGATCATCGGCCATAGCCATCTTTTCCGGACGACGGACACGCAATAAATCACTAAAATAGCACAAATACGGGGAAAATTAGGTGGAAAACAGTTTTTGGGAAAAACTTGGGGCGGCCATATTTTTATCACTGCCTGTCAAGACACTTGCAGATTTACTCCACAGCGCTGCAATCGACTTCACCCACTAAGTGCCACTATCGGCCACAGCGATCGCCGCGTTCTACGTGAAGACAATTCCCGCCAAAAATTCTCTGAAGTCGACTGAGTCGAGTACAAAAGCCGTGAATAAATTCTTGGCACACGGAAGATTTGGGGAGTAAATAGAAAGACAAAAGCTTAATTCATCGAAGTTATTTTATGACAGTGAAATATTCCATAGTATAATCAACCAGTTAATGCTACAGAATCTTACTTTAACAAATATTAAATAGCAAATATTTCGTTTTACAACATATCTTCTTATTTCTTGCTTCTTAGCTCTTTTTCACTTTAAATATACTTTCCTTTTTCAAAATATGCAAAAAGGTATTTTTCTTCAAAAAGTGAGATCAATGAAAATATTTTCATAGACTTAAACATATTGTGAGATAAGTTGGGTGTGCTTCTGATTGCAAAGAGCTTTTCGCAATGTTCATACGAGACATGAATAAATCATACAAACGTGCAGTTACATTGTATGTTATGGCAAAACATAAGAAAAATTATAAATTTGGTATACAAGAGATGCAAAAATTAATTTCTTCACTCAATAAGTTCAAGATATTTTTCTTCATTCAAAAAATTGGGATTTAACAGTAAAATATATTCCTCTATAAAATATATTAAGATATCAAGTATTTCAATTATAAATAAAGTGTTGAGAATGGTTTCTTGTGGGGAATTTCTGTGTGTGTTTGTGTGAAACTATTATACGCGGGGAGAGATTTAAAGATATTTCCTTATCCGATTTCCTTGACAAAGTTTCTCTATCCCTAATTTGGGAGAGTTGCAGTGAATTTTCCCATCTCATCATCTTTTCCAAAGCAACACACGACAAACGATTTGTTAGGAGAAATATTCGCGCTGAGGTGGAGACAGGAAGAAGCTCATCGTGAGGTCCGCCGCACTGTCTTGCGTCTCCTCCGGCGCCTTTTTCTACTTTGAGAGGAGAAACATAATGAGGCGGAAGTTGATGGCCTTCGAGGCTAGCAATCTGTTGCACTCCGAGCTGTCCGGGAGCGGTAAAAGGTTGTACTCGCTCATATTCTCCTGCAAACACAGATCATCAATTAGCAAAGCGTCTCAATAAGCGAACCAGAAACACTCACGGTGTCTGTGAAGTCATGCTTGTAGATCTTCGTGGTGAGCTTCATGTCGGAAAACGGCCCCTTGAGTGCGAAGTAGTGAATGTTCAGCGGGCACGACGTCTTCGTCTTCAGAATCAACTGGTACGTAATCTCGCGCTCGCAGGACTGATGCGGATCCCTCTGGCTGTTATTGATGCGCGCCTTTACCACCCATTGATGGTTGAAGGCCGTGAATCTGGCTGTCTCGTAGAATAGCTTCTGCACGTATTCATCCGTGCGATATGGCTTCATCTGCAGATCATTGAAGATGATCTTCTCGTAGCTCAACAGATCAATCAGCGTGGCATAGAACTTCTTCTCCTCCTCGAAGTCAACATCGCGCGCCTGCAGAGCCGTCATCACCTCAGCTCCGGACTTTTTGGGATGAGCGCACACCTCCTCGTGCTCGTGAGCTGAAAGAACACATAGGATCAGTGGACATATACAGACATTAGGATCTGCAGCACTCACCCTCGTGAATAGGTCCTTTCCACTGGCAACCGATGCGGATGTACTTGCAATTGGCCGGCCTCTCTTCGCACTCCACCTGTTCATGGCGCTCCAGGGACTTGCAGGGGAATTCCTTTCCGCAGTACTGCAAGGAATCACGTGGGAAATTTAGTCATACTCACTTCCGATTGAAGACTTTTGATCACTCCTGACGGGGAACTGCGACTTCTCTCACCTGACAGTCGCTGGGCAGTTCGGAGACAGCCTTCTCCACAGCAAGATTCCTGCTCGCTGTGCTCTTGGAGATTTCCACTCGACAGTTGGGACACGTTGCTGCCTGATCGCGCAATCTAGAACGAAACGGACGCATTTAGCAAAAGTCACTCGGGTGCTCTAAGAGACAAGACTTCTCACCTTCCGTCGGCCAGAAGATGAGTGAAACACGCTGCACACATCAAATGACCCATTTGACACTGTGAGAAAAAATCATTAGTACGCCTCCCTTATGTCATTTCAAGGGAAAAGAAAATGATCATTGCTGTAGGGGTCAAAGAACATTTAGGACAACGATAAGCAATGTAAACAGTCAATAAATATTCAATAGATATGAAATAATATCGCAGATTGATGATGCCTTGCGCGCTTTTTACTTACCACCTGAAAAAATAAATTTAAATACATTAATCATTCTCTCTCTAGTGGTTAGAAAAGAAACAAACAACAAAATAAGAATGCCAAAACAAAGTGTGATGAATTTCTACATATTGTAATATTCATTTCTTTAATATTCGTTCGTTCTGTGGAAAAGAAGAAAATGTCGATTATGATTATTGTTGGTCTCCAATTGGGCATCAACTGAAGATAGGTTGAAACAATTGAAAAACATCGATTTGCACTACTTTGAGAAAAATTTATTTGCTCTCAATTCAAATGCAGACGTAAAATTATGTTTTTTTTTCTTTCTCTCTTATCACTAAGTTATAATTGCTAGATGTTATGTTTTCTCACTTCTTCACATTTCTCAATTTCTTTTTTCTGTTTGTTTTTTTTTGTATTACACATCTCTTCTTTTTTGCAATGTCTCTACATTCATATCAAATTGCAATGACTTCTCTAATTCGTGTACATTTATTTTTCTCCACTCTGTTTTTTTTCCTCTTCTTCTCTCATCTACTTTCTCTATGTGCACACTTGTGTGTACCATCTCCTCCTCTTTATGTTTATTCTCTCAATTTGTTCTCCTTTCCTCATGTGGTCAAATTAAAATTCCTAAGTGATGTCTATGTAGCAAAAAATCAACTTCAACAATTACATTTCATTCTTGCTTCTGGCCAATAAAACAGAGTACAGATTAATGTGCTTCTCTCTGCCTTTTTCTGCATCAATCAAACATATCTTCTCTTACTCTCTGTGTTATAACATTCTCCTCTCTCTCTCCTCGACTAACATTGAAAGTTTAACATTCACATTGTTGTTATTGAGGAAAGAAGAAAAAATCTTTGTTCTCCTTCGGCCTAGGAACTCCACACACTCAAATACAAATGCCTCTAGGCCGAAAAACCCTTTAAATGCTGCGCAAATGGCAAGAAATTTTCTTTGTTTGGAAATCTATTGAAAACATAACAAATGCTATAGCTACCCATCCCGCTCACACTCATGCGCTCTCCCACTATCACACCGTCTCACTCAGCTCAGCTGAGAGTTTGTTTTGTGTTTATCACGCAAAACAGCTGGCCATTCGTCCAATTATTGCTCACTCGCTCTCTCTCCCGCTTCTGCCCTTCTCTCTCTCTCCTTCTCGCTCTCACTCTCTCGCTGTGACTGAGTGTGGAAAAGCGCTCTCTGCTGGCTTCCGAAGGGTGATGTTATCGGAAATGGTTGGCGTTGAACCTTGGAATGTGTCTTTTTTCCTCTCTATCGCTCTCGCACGAATGTCAACACTCCCAAAGAATAAACAATCTGGAAATTCGCTCCTTGTCACTCTCTCTCTCCCTCACTCACTCTCCCATGTGTCAAATGAGATTGTGTAAAATTCCTCTCGAAGGGCTCTCTTGGCTATTTTTTCTCTCTCTCAAACAAAAAAAAATAGCTGACGTCGCAACTGCGCGATTCAAATGTTATTTTCATTCCTTCTCCCTCGCACACACGCTGACTCGTCACACTCTCGCTCTCTCTCGTCTCTGGCTGAGGAAATGAAGGTGCAGCTCTTCTCAAAACATTCCACTCTCATCTCTCGCTCGCCCCGCTCTCCTCCCTTCCCTTATCTATCCTCATCTCTCACACTCTCCCAATCAAGCCATCCTATATTGACTCCATGATTTAGCATAGATGTGGCAAAAGAGCGAAAGCTGATAAAAACACAATCTTGCCTGACTTTCTTGGACACACTCTATCAGGGTCATCGTGATGCTCAATTGAGAACAATTGAGAAGCAATTTGATATTGTTTTTCCTCTCTCTCGCTCTCACTCGAAACTTTTCTAATAAGGTCACTTTGTTGATTTTACAGCTACCTAGAGTTGCTTTTTTTCCTCCTCTTCTCTCTCCAACTCGTCCTACGGGCACACGCTGCTCCATCTCTCTCTCTCTCTCCCACCCATCCTGCGTCCCACTTCCTCACACAGGCATCACACAGAAAAACATACGACGCAATAGTCAAAATTTTCTCGCAATTGCACAACTTGACGAAAAAAATAACGTCTTCACATTTTCTTCTCTCTCTCTCTCTCTCTCTCTGACCTACTTCACTCTGGCACTTCTGCCCTCGAGGGCGCGCGCCTCCAAGGCAGAGTTTCAGGGCTTTCCTGGTTGGGGGACAAAGAAAATTCCAGGGACGTGGGAGAAAAATTGGCAAGGGTCTCGAGAAAATGGCTGTCAGAGGAAATAATAAAAGAGAGGCTCTGAGGACTGTGATAAAGGTGTTGCTTGAATTACCTGATATACAGCGATTTTTGGCAAATCCAGACATACCGCACAGCACAAAATGCCCCCCAGGCGCTGCTCCAATTTCTCATTGATTTGCGAATTCGCCTCGAATTTGCGCCTCTTCGTCACGGGCTCCAGACCGAGCGGGTCCACCACGACATTGGATGTGGATTGGGGCGACACGGCGGCGTCTGACTGCGAGGGCGCGCCCGGGGACTCGATGGCCTGGATGTCGGCGAGCGAGGGGAGCAGGGGATTTATGGGGGTGCCAGACGGGGACGGTCCTGGAGCATTTGTTTCAATTCTCGCGTCCGCCATTGTGTCTTGTGTCACTTCCGAGTTCCTCGAATCCGCCCTTTGCGACCAAGACCGCGAGAATTCTAACCACAGGTCAAAAATGGCCCGACCGTTGCACGACGCGGGGCCCCAAAGCGACGAGAGCGCCCCAGCACGGGTGAAAGACGTGACAAAATCGCTGAGAATCTCAATGGCCTCCCTTCTTTCAGCAAGACAAAGGAATGTGTCGTCACTGCTCGCTTCTCTCGCGCCCCACGGGATATTCAGAGCTCAGTTTCGCCCACTGCGCGACCAGGCGGCCCAGAGAGAGCGCCCCACAACGACCCACAATCCGTCTAGATCACTCTGCCCGCACGTGCGGTCCACCCACGGAAAAATTGGCCAGCGCGAAGGAACGGAGCAAAAAAGTTGCAGAGCACTCTGAGCTCCCCCTTTGAGAATAGTTGAGAAAACACACACTTTCCGCAGAATGCCTCGGATGTCAAATCACGTCCAAAACGCAACACCGTTTAATGTTTTTGTTATATAATGCCTCGACTATTTATAGTTCATCCCCACCACCGCCCCAGATGGCGAGGGAGAGAGATAAATGACACCTCATCAGGCGCTCAGCTGTTCGACTCCCCACCCGAGCGCCATTCATCAGAGCGAGACGACTACACTGCACTCCGTACGTCTCACGAATAGTACGGAAAATGCATAGGAAACGAAGGAGACGTCGTCTCGGTGCTCACCAAGGAAATGTCCCTCTATTCCCCCCAATTTTATGCTCTTCCGCCACATTGGGTCTCTATCGAGTGGAAGGATGAAGTGTAATTGCAATTTCGGGGAAAGGCACGTACCAAAATATTAGGAAAATGAAGAAAATCACGCATTTGCAGGGTGTTTTGATTGAGTCGAATCAAAACATTCACAGCGCATGGGCGTACAGAAAATTGCAGGGAATTTTTGAAACATTTTTTTTATATCAAACCACCCAAACCACCGATTGTATGTTGCAGTAAAACCATCTTCAATTTTACTTCGGTGCAGAAATTTGCTCGCAAAAAAGTCAATTTTATTTCATTGCCGGTTTATTTTCTGTGCATCTACAGGAAAATCTGAAAAACCGCCCTACGGCGAAATGTCCATGTTGTCCGACTTCTCGGGCGATGGCGTGCGCGGCGGCGCCGGCTGTTTGGGCTCCGGCGGTGGCGGAGGCGCCTCGTCGGCCGGTTGGCCTATCTTCTCCTCATCGTCATAATCCCGCTGTATCTTCTCATCCTTGGACCGCTTCGAGGAATCCGGCGTGTGATGACGTCTCGACGAGCGGCTGGATTCTTTTCTCTTGGATCGCGATCGGGAGCGACTGCGCCTCCGCTCTTCTCGCCTGTGAGATCTCGAAGAGGTCTTCCTCTCCCGCGACGAGCGGCGATGTGACCTCGAACTACTGCGGCTACGATGGCGTGACCGAGACTTGCGACGTCGCTCACGCGAGCGAGAGCGCCTGGAGGACTCACGCTTCCGCGAGCGTGAAGATGAGCTCTTCGATTTGCTCCTGGAACGGCGTCTAGAGCGCTTGGAGCGTGATCGGGAGCGCGAGCGACTTCGCCGGGAGTGAGAACGGCTGCGACGACGTGATTTCGAGCGCTTTCTGGAGGACGAGCGCTTCCTGGAGCGACTCCTGGAGTGTCGGCGTTCATGCGATCGCGATCTCGAGCGCCGAGATCGACTGGGGACGCTCTTGTCTTTAGACAACATCCCAATGACCGGATCAATCGCGGCTGAGATCATATTCTGCGCCTCCTTCACGATACACATCGCCTCCTCGATCTCCTTCTGAGCCGCTTCATTGCTCTTTGTCTCGGGCTTCGTGATGGGCTGTGTGGAGTGATAAACACTCACCGGAGAGCCCTTGAAGTCCACTCCGTGAAGCTTCAGCGCCTCAATTATGGACTTTTGCTCCGTAAACTCGATCATGGCGTGTCGGGTGTACTCCACCTCGGCGATTCGGCCGTACTTCACTTCCCCAGCGCGGCTGAAGAACTCCATAAGATCCTCAATTGTCCAGTCGGAGCACACATCAATAACCATAATGGTCCTTCGAGTTTCCTCGATCTTCCTCGCATCGAAATTCACCGGCAACGGCGGATAGGGCGGCAGTTTGTGGAGGTCCAGCTTGGGATCAGATGTCATGATGACCTGCAATGCCGGAAGGGTGAGTTTTCCAAACGTTTTCAATGTTTTTTCGCCACTTACTTGACTCGGCGGTACGCCGTCGATGCGATTAACCAGCTCCGGAGGTAGTTTGGATCCAGCAGACTGCAGTCCAGGCACAAGGGTTCCACTGGTGGACATCTCCAGCGCCTTGTACTCATCCGGAATCAAGCCTGAGTACACGGGAATGACAATCAAAGCCCGGTCAATGAAGACGGTATTCGTCATGTGCTGCGCCACGGCCACACTGCTGCTCTCCTGGTACTTCACGTAACAGATTCTCGACACCACAGGACACGAGACATCTCTAATCGTAGGATAGAGGCGCAAATCATCAATTTTCCCGATGCTCCCAAACAGATTTTGCATCTGATCTTTGGTCGCTTGTGGGGCGATATTGGTGATTTGCACCACTTTCGTCGTTGTTCCGCCACCAGCCATGATAGCTGCACCACTGCCCGACAGTGTACCCCACGGGAAGAAGCCCTTATTCCACGGATAAATCTCAGAGAAACGTTTTCACGCCACTACGATGGTGGAAAATGGCGATTTTGTGGGGTTATGCGACTGAGACGCCCAGCCGCTGCGCCACCTCGCGGAAAAGGGAGGTGCGATGTTTGCGTGTGTGAGTGCGACAGCTCAAGAAAATCTCCCGGAGAAAAATTGCAGTATTATCGGATTGTGTGAGGCTGTGTTCACAATTTGTGTATAAATCATCTGGAGACGCGATAAGATTGCTCTGTGATCGCTGTAACTTATCTGGCGAGTGGATTTTGTCGCTTTTAGATAAGATTACGCCTCAGCGCGGTGTGCACATAGTGTCGTCTCGCTCCCACCAATGCTTTTCCCGCCTCACAGTGACTGCCCGAGGGCGCTGGTGTAGTGGTGGCCCAAGAAGATCTCCAATATTTTTTCAGGCAGCAAGAAAAAATTCAATATTTATCGTCACTCTTTATCCATCATTTAGCACTAAGTGCGGAATTGACGAGTGTGTGGGTGGCAACACGGTAAGTGAGTGAAAATTGCCTCATGCACTCTTGTTATTTAACTTTTTCTTACCTTGTTTAGCACCTGACGCAGGACTCCCGGAACGATTGGGCGACATTGGCGTGCACCTGAGTCTGTTTGAGGTCTGACCAGACGTTGAGATCAATGATAGACAACTAACAGAGTCAACTGCGCAATGGGACTTACACTGTCTGAGCCTGTGACGAACAAGGAGTCGGCCTACTGTCAGAATGAGCAGTTCAGGGTGAGTCTGAAGTACGGGAAAGACTCTCAGTCATGGAATTAACTGACAATTTTATCGCAGGTGGGTTCGAGTTGTATGCAGGGATGGCGAGTGCATATGGAGGACTCTCACACGCACATCCTGTCGCTGCCAGACGATCCGGAAGCGGCCTTCTTCGCCGTGTACGATGGACATGGGGGCGCGAATGTGGCGCAGTATGCTGGCAAGCACCTCCACAAGTTCATTGTCAAGCGGCCAGAGTATGAGGAAAACCCCGGAGAGGCCATGAAGCAAGTGAGTGTGTGTGAGAATGAGATCGTGGGAAAATCCCACACTCTCTGCCCCACTTGTCCCCCTCTGGACGTACTCGCGTCTCTGTCCTTTTATCTCTTGTGTCTACGAGGTAATTGTTGTGCAATTTACCGCCTTTCGGGGTCAAAATCTTGAGGCTCCCACTGCTAATGCATCTCAGCAAAGGTCGCGCTAAAGTCGCTTATCTCTCTGTCTCTGTCTCATGAAAATCCCATAGTCATTGTCTCAGCAATTTTCCCCGTCACTCGGATTAATTGGGGTTTTTTCTCCCTCGTGACAGGCATTCCTGGACATTGACGATGCGATGCTGAAGGATGAGAAGCTGAGAGAACAGATGGCGGGTTCCACGGCTGTGGCGATTCTCGTGAAGAATGACTCGCTGTTCTGTGCAAACGCCGGGGATTCGCGGGCTGTGGCGTGCATTAATGGCAAAGTGGAGGTGCTATCGATCGATCACAAGCCCAACAATGAGCGTGAGATGAAACGCATCTTCGAGGGAGGCGGCTTCGTTGAGTACAATCGCGTCAACGGTAATCTGGCTTTGTCACGTGCACTCGGAGACTTTGTGTTCAAGAAGAACACCCACTTGAGCCCGGAGGATCAAATCGTCACGGCCTATCCGGACGTGGAGGTGCGGAAAGTCTCACCCGACTGGGAGTTTGCAGTGCTGGCGTGCGATGGCATCTGGGACGTGCTGAGCAACGAGGACGTGGTGGACTTCTGTCGTCAGCGAATAGCCTTGGGTCTCTATCCTGAGGAGATCTGCGAACAGCTGATGACGCGCTGCCTCGCTCCGGACTTCCAGATGGGTGGCCTTGGCGGGGACAACATGACTGCGGTGCTGGTGTGCTTCCTGCACGGGAAGACGTACGAGGATCTGCAGGCGCGCTGCTCCTCGTCTCTCAGCAAAGACTCACCGACGCAGGAGAGCGAAGAGACGACTCCGGACCTCAAGTGAATTCCCTTCAAACTTCCAGAATTTGTTGATTCAACGAACTTTGACCCTTCAGTTCTGTATCTTCTTCCACATCTTTTCCTCTATGTTCTTAGGTGATATTCATTATTGTAATTTACGTTGAATGTGTGTAGAAGAGTCTATGCGGCTTCCTAGAGAGTTTTTCACCCACACGCAAAGTATAAATTTAGGTTTATCAATTCCCTTTCATGTGGAATCGTTGGTGAGAAACACAAAGTAAAATCCAAAGCATTGTAACATAGAGTAGTGAGTAAGGACATTTTTAAGTTAAAGAGGATGGCAAATGATAATAACAATGAATAAGGAGTTTTGCAATAAATTTTGAAGTAGAATTTCTATTCGCGTTTCAACTTGCAGAGGAATGTTACTCATAAAAGTACCACGAAATATAGTTGAACTCCTTGTAGGCTGAAAAGGATTCTGTAAAGTTTGAAATTCAACGGCTTCGGATTAAGTGGGGGTGGTTTGGTTGAGCTTTTCGGTGCAAATCCGCCAGAGGAAGACATAGCAGCACTTTCTGCCCATTCGTGCGGCTCTGCACCGCTTATGCCCGTTACAGACTTCATCCCTAAGTAGACTCAACTCATGGAAGCCTGTAAAACTTGTCCTGAATACAAACTCACGAGATCGAAAGTATATCTAGCAATTAAAGCTCATCTGTTCCCATTTTAATTCTTTAAACTCAAAATATTCATCCAAATTCCTTGATTTGCCACACTTCTCGGCTTTAGGATGAGCCCCAAGTCTGCGTTGTGCTTCGTATGGTGGCGCCTGCGCTTAAGGAGGGCTCGTGTTTCTGGGTCGTCCATGGGGTGGCAATTACCCTTTTCTCGTGTCGCACAGTTGGAGTTCCTTTGACTTTTTGCCGTGTTTTCGCACACATCTAAGGTGTAAAATCGCGAAAAGCGAGACGTCTTCTCGCCCCCCGTGCGCCGGCGGTGAGGATGCATTGAGCAGTTTTCCGCCCCATCGCTCATCGCCAATTTCCTTCCGGACCCACTGTGTGAAAATTGTCAAGTCCGGAAGTGCTACAGACGCAAACTGCAATCTCTTCACTTCGGGATAGTGTGCTCGTGCTTGGGGCCATGTTGTAGGGCTGGTTTTTCGCTCATCCTCGACGTTTTCGTGTCTCCGGAGGCGCGCAGACGGGCAGAAATGCTGTGACGAAATTGCTGGAGGGTTGGAAGAAGTGTGTGCGATAAAAGGGGGCTCGAAAGACGTTGTGAAAAAGTGAGGGTGGATTTGAAAGGAGGAGGAGTGGCGTCTCGTGTTTGCGGTGCTTGATTTCCTCACCAGGAGTGGCTGAGGACCCCGTGTGTGTGTGACGCACCCTCGAGCGGAAGTGAATCATGACTTTTTTGTGTGCTTTTGTGGCCCTCCTGAGCCTCGCGGGCGTCACGAGTGGCCAACTGGCGTGGTCCCCCATTATGGTGGAGTCGGACAACCAAGTTGACCTGTTCACACGACAGGCCTCCGGCTGTCCGTGCCTCTGGCGCTCACAGCCAGATTCCGCCGACACGGGATGCGCCTGCTGCGTCCGCGGCGGATGCCAGTGCGGAGAAATCTCCACCGGAAGGTGTGTCCAATGTGGCCTAGAGACCAACTGTCTCAACAGTGAGTATTCCCCTCCCCCAAGTCTCAGTCGTCCCGCAAGCTGACCCACCTTTTCCAGTGTGCAACATCACCCTCGACTCACGGGCGCTGCAGAACAGCAGCGGCCTCAGCTTCGGGCAGATCAAGTCGCCCATTCTCCAAGGCCCCGTCACCTGCAAGTACTATCTGCGCCCCGTGGCGGGGCAGCGGGTGGAGCTGCAGGTGTACCGACTCGTGTCCGTGGGGCGCTTCACGGGGAGCCGCTGCGAGGGTGGATCCCTGCACTTCGGGGAGTCCATAGGCGGCACGGAGACCAGCCGGAGTGCTGAACTCTGTGGCGCCAACGAGCGGTATTCGCCACCGGCCGTTCTCTTCTCCGATGACGGAGCCACGACGCTCATATTCGAGTGAGTTGAAGATACGTAGAGATGAACATTTGGAAAAATTCTAGATAAACTCAAAATTATGGCCCCTCTTTCGATTCATTGAAATTGTGTTTGTTTATAATCCCAGCACATTCGCAGGAGCTCCATAATTTCGCCCACTTTCCGCGATTATTCAGCTTCTTTACCATCAATAGCATGAATATAAATAATTTTATAATTGATTTTCTCATAAATATCATCAAATTTGTCAAAACTAATAACAACATTTAAAACTCAACACCAAATTGACGCCTAATAAATTAAATTGCAAGTAGTTTACTCACGCTTTTCTCCTTTTCTTCAATGATTTTCTATGAGGCAAAGAATGTTAAATTGGGAAAATTGAGTTTAAGATAGAGTTACAAATTGAATATTTCAACTGCAGCACATTTTAGGAATCTAAATGCAAATTTCATGTTTGTATTGCACATGTTTCCCACATTTTTCATAAACATTTAATTGAAAATGAACCACGTGAGAATCTGGTTTATCCATAATCCTTAAGTCTCAAGTATGTTTACAGCTCTTTTCCGCTTAGTCACAATATATCGACTGAAAGTTTTTAATTGACCTGCTCGGTTTTGTTTTTCTAGCTTCACAAAATAGTGATTTTCATGCCTTTTTATGAGATTGAATTGAAAATCAATTTCAATATGAGCGTGACTTCAATGTGAAAAGTTTCTGTAAGCAAATTATATTTTTATATTCTTCCTTTGATTCTGAAGAGCTGCTTTAGTCTTATCATCTCTCGAGAATAAGTATTAAGAGTCGAACTTGTTTTGAGAAACGGATTTGCGCAGAGAAGTTCTGAAAGCTTTTGTGTGGATAATTTATTAAGGCAGAAAACCATGGAGAAATTGAGGAAGGATTTCAATTAAATTTGAAAGTGTTGGAACTCAAAATCTCGGGAATATTTTCTCGAAAATCCAAAGTTTAACTCATACATTTTGGGGCGCGAAGGGAGACATCAAAGAAGAGAGCAATTATAAATTTAAATTGCAGTGTCACGATCACATTCACGAGACACTATTTTGTCCCCCGTGATATTAATTAAAAGGCAGCGAAGGAGAGTTGAAACTTTAAATAACACTCGGCGGAAATTGAGGTGCCGAGCGAGAGGACTCTTCGTGAATCGACACGAGCGACCTGGTATTTTTCTTCAATTAGAAGGATTACGTGAAATTTGCCGGCAAACCCAGGAAACTTTTCATTTAAGGGGATTTTTCACGCTGCGATAAGAATCCCATTTGGCATTCACAGTTCCGTCGTGCATGTGAGAGAGGCGAACGAATGGGGAAAAAAAGCTGGCAGAAAGGAAAGTTCTTGGGGAATTGTTAATTGGGCAAATATTTCACTTTCATTTCCGCACAATGGTAAGATAAAAGTCATCTCATTGATTATTTATTATTATATTCATGCTATGGTGTATTTATTTCGAGCTGGAAGCATTTTTCGTCCTTGTTTTAATTTTTAAATTTTCATTTATTGCGTTACGCCGTAGATTCGTGGGCTCTGCAAAGTCACCCCAATGGAAAAGGGAGTTCCATGGCCTTAATTGTTTCCCGGGCGCTCGAACATTTCCGCCAACCGGCCGGCAATTGCTGCAGATGAATGATTTCCGCACAACAATTTGTTCAAAATTGTCTGTTGAAATTTATCCTCTCTCAGAGGAATTTTTAATTGCAATTTGTGCACGTTGGGAAAAGTGATATGGAAAACAGATTTCACTGGTGGAAAGCATGAGTTTGCTTTCTGACCGTGTTTTCCTGCGCGCTCAATTCTGTCCCAAATAGTTGAGGTGGAAGTAATTGGGAGAAAATGAAAAGTTAATTATCAACTTAGTTTAATAGCGTATTTGTTGCAGTTTAGAGTTAGTATCTGGGATGTGTAAAATCCGTAAATCCTTAATCGCTCCCCTGACGATGAGGTCCGCTGTTTTTCATTGAAAATGGACTTTATATTCTTGGCAATAATATTTTATGGGCCAATAAATTTGCGATTTATGTCGTCATTTTTGAGAAATAGCAGTCCATTGTAAATTGAGAGCATGACGGAAAATATGCTTCCCCTCGGCAGGATCACCGAGAAGACGGTGAGGTCCCAGTTCCTGGCATTCTTCAGCTTTACGTCCCTCAGCAATCCTGTTGTGGGATTCCATCCGCGCGGCGGCACGAGAGTCACCTCGTCGGAATGCGACTGGTCGTATCACGATGTCGCCTGCCTGACGCCGAGCTCGTGTGCCATCGCCAGTCCAGGATTCCCGGGAATTTATCCACCAGACATGCTCTGTCGCTACCATATTGTCTCATCCTCAGTGCACACAAAGGTCAAAATCACCTTCACGTCGCTTCTGCTGCCCGAGAAGTAAGTTTCCCCACTCAATTCACGCCCCAAGTTGTGTCCTATCCGCTCTTCTCTCGTCTCAGCTCTTGCGAAACACACCACTTGGCTCTCTATCTGGGCAGCGTGGCTGAGGAGAATCGCCTGGCGAAAATCTGTGGCTCTGAGAAGAGAGATCTGATGTTCACCGGGCCAACACTCATTCTGGTCTTCAGTGCTGGCAATCAGATTCCACCCTTTGACTACAACGGATTCGCTGCATCTCTGGAATTCATTGCTGCTCCTCAGACCACCACGACTCCCATGCCACCGCCTGTGGTGCATCCGCCTGTGTGGAATCCGGCAAGTGGCCAGGAACCGCCAGGAGGTATGTCGTGGTCTGGATCGACGCCCAAGTTCACGCCCTGCGACAAAGTCATCACAGAATCGAATGGGCGGTCAGGACACTTTGACACCAGAGGAAGACCTTTCGCGAACAACTGCAGGCTGATCTTCAAGGGACGCTCCACGGATATTGTTCACATTTCCCTATTCAACTACCGGCTAAAGTGAGTACAATTTGTATAAATTTAAACAGATTTCTCAGTTTGCAGCAATTAACAAACACTTAATGATGATTTCAGGGCTCCGTCTTGTCGATCTGTGATCGAGATCATGGACGGATCTTACGATAGTCACAGGCGATCCCTGCACAAAACCTGCTCGCCGTCAGTGAGACACGCTCGAGACTCAAATGGCATATTCGTTCCGCCGCAAACCTTCATCTCGTCTGGACCGCAGATCATCATTGCGCTGAGAAGATCCGCAGCGGCTGCAGATCCCAACGATGTGGAGTTCATTGACGGCGCTTACATGTTCCACGACGGTGAGTGTCTTTTCCGCGAAACATATTTAATTCATAATTCATTGGTTGATGGAGGTGAAAATGCCCTATCGATTCGTCTGCAACTTCCACTGTTCCACATTCTATTTATAAAGTCTCCCGCATCTCAAAATGCCAACTTTGCCACTTCTCCTCAGAATTTTTTACGCTCAGTCTTTTTTTGGGGGGGCGCTGATTTCGCGATACAGTTTTATGAAGATTGCAGGAGATTAGCAGAAAGTGGGCAAAGCGGATTTCATCTAATTACTCGCCTATCTGTCGCGTGAGTTGCATGGCACACTGTCGAATGCGGGGCGACTCTTTATGAGGTCCTGTCAATAAAACATCCCCCCGGGGCGAGAGAAAATTAATTAATTTTTCCTCCACACGCTCCAGCCTCAACATTATGGCTGTATTTGACCTACAGCACTGTGATTTTTCTCCAATTCGACATTTTTCTTCACCCCTTTTGCCCTAATTGTTAGTCTTGCATTTGCCTCGCTCTGCCATCTCGTCTCTCAGCTCTTGCGAGAGACTTCTTGGCTTGTAATTGTTGTAATTAGACAAATAAACAAACTCACCCTTCCGCAGAGGAGCAAAGTGGGACTCTCCAGCCTGCCTCCCTGTGCGATTCACATCACTACGGCATGAGCAGTCCGGAATCTGGGACGGTGAGTGGACTGGGAAATGAGCATCTGTACTGGAATGTGGAGGGATCTCTCTCGTGTGCGCATCACTTCATCCCAGGAGCTAATCAGAGTGTTACAGTGACGGTGAGTTGGCTATGATGCAGCATTTTCGGCAATGCTTGCACTGCTTCATGTGGGATTTCTATTCGTAGATTGAGAGCCTTGAGAGGATGAGTCTGAAGCCGCCTTGTGAGACTCTCTGCGGCGACAGTGGGTGTCACTGTATCACGAGTGTGGCTCCTCTTGAAGAGATTGACCATCTCAAGCTTGTGGGTGAGGACGACCAGACGCTGAGTTGTCTCTGTGGCTCCTTTCGCTCAGAATGGTTTCCCATCTCACTTCGCACGTGGTCGCCGGTAAAGCTGGTGTACTCCGTCGCCCAGTACTCGTGGAACACCAAAGGGTTCCCCTTCAGGGCGACCTACACGTTCAACAATGACGCCATGTGTGGCCAGCGCACCTTCACCACCCACTCTGGCGAGCTCCACTCCCGCAATTTTGCCGGGGTACCCTTTTCGCTCAATTCCTTCTACCATCAGCAGTGTACCTGGATTCTGGACTCCAACGTGGAGCGACAGCTCTTCGTAGAGATCACATCAGAGCAGAGTCGCCCGTGCGGGGCGTGGAATATCAGTTTGCATGAGTTTTCGCCCGCCGAAGAGGAGAACAATCACGCCGGAGCGCTTCTCGAGCAATTCTGCCCACGAGACAAGCACAAAGTCTTCACAATGCCCTGGAAATCCAGCACGGTGGTGGTCGTGAGGTGAGTCGCTAAGCTCCTTCTTCCGTATTACTTAATGAATTTTCCACAGAGCTTCCATGAGAGTAGATGAGAGATGAATTCGCCCTTTTTCCCTCAATCTTGCTTCGATTTACTCAAGCTTGGGCTTTAATAATGGGTAGTGTAAAGTCCGTCAACTTGAGGATCGTACATATATGATTCAGTATTGCATGATGTCCACAAAGAGATTCCTCTCATCTCTCATCTATGTCTGTGCTCAACTCTGATGCTGATGGGGATTTCCTCCCTGCAGGGTTCAAGCAATGACACGAACGCCGCCAGTGTACGTGGTGCGATGGCGATCTCAGGTGGTTCGCAATACGAGACTCGGCCCTCCAACTGCGGCGCCCAATAAGACTTCGAAAGCTCAGCGGATAGGCGGCAAAATCATCGAGATTGCTGCTTGTGTCTTTGTCCACGTACTTCTCAAGCGCCAATTAATTTTTTAAGGACACCATCATCACCCTTTTTGCGTTTTGTCACACACCTTGGACAGGTTCAAGTCTAGTGAAATTTACAAAGACCCCTTTCACGAGAGAACTTCACACACTTTAGGACTATAAGATGCAGAACCTCATTGAATAACACTTTACGAGAGAAGGAGCAACAATAGGGAGAACTGTAGTCTATTTTGTAGTGGTGAATGGTGAGAGGCAAGCACACCGGCAAGGAGGTAATTTAGCATTAATCAGGGGATGATGGGACGGAGCCAGATAATGTCTTGCGTTTTAAAGTGTAGGAAAGTGACATAAAAAGCCATAGTGTTGTGTGAGAATTTCCCTGCTGCTAGTTGGTGGTTTTTCCTCTGTGTCTCTCCCAAAAAGAGAGATTGGAAAATTAGCGTGTCCCTCCGACAAGGAAAGAGAACAATATTTTGTGTAAATTCCTTCCTCGGAAGAGAAGTAAAAGCAAGAAAAAATCGTGAAAACCACCTTCATATCTCAACGTCCAGACTGCAAGTAATTTGCAAGAAAAAAAAGAATAACTTAAAGGGAGTAATAAACTAAATAGATTAGATGAGCAAAAAGTAACTTTAAAGAAAGGTAAGAAGAGAAAACAATGTAACAATTAGAGAAGCACTCGATGTTTTAAGAGACACGCAAAGCGACAAAGAGAATCCTTGTGACAAGATGTTTAACAGAGTTAATGAATTTACTAATGGAGAATATTTGAATGGAGAATTGCAAACTTTTTTCACCAGTTTTTGTAAATAATTTCTAAGAGAGGAATTGGTCAAATTATTAAGAGTGTCATAAGTTTATTGAACACTGTTTATTGTTTCTTTTACAATTTCATAGGATGATATATTATAATAGGGTAAATAGTATTTATCTCTAAATGTTACTTCATTTTTTTCCTTTTTAGAAGTGCAACGAAAATCACACACTTTGTGTCTCACATTCACATTCCTCATCACCTAAAAAAAAGAAGTAAGAAGAAGAAGAGTAAGAAAACTAGCTGAAAATTCATGGGAAAATTCATTACTGGAGATTTTTTTAAAAAACAAAATAGAGAATATGGATATTGAGTAGTGAGAATCGTGAAGAATCCTTTATATAACAAGAAAAGATAAATCCTGTTAAAACTTAGGAAAGTACTGACTTGAAGTAACTCAAATAATTGGGATGAAAGCACAGAAATAAAAAGATATTAGATTAGAAATTGAATTCTAAATTGCTCCTGCCTGCGTTCTGAGCCATTAGTGACAAGATACATGGCGAAATGATGTGAGGAGGAAAAACAGGACGAGGGCATGATTTATTAGTGAAGCAATTGTGATGGCAAAAAGAAGTGGATCAAGAGGAAGTTTTTAGCCATGGCTTTAATTTGATTATTGAACTATGGGAAAGTTTATCCATTAAGGACACATCGTCGTGACGGAATGCCGAGGAGTTTGTCTGTCGGTGAGGCAAAAAAGGAGGAGCGAAAGTGAGGAAGCTGTAAGGAAAGTTTACTTCCATCGAGTGGCGAGGAATTGAGCCCAAAACTTTATCGCATGGAGAGTTTCTCAGAGGTGGAAGTTGATACCCAAGAAAGTCCTCACCATGTGACAGAAGCTTTTTAATCCTGTGCCAGAAAAATATCCGATGTGCAATCACCGCCAGGATATCGCATTTCATGTGGAAGCGTCGGTCCATTGGGTTCCTTGCCAAAGTCTACGAGGAAGTTCGGGTTCACCGTCATTCCGCCATTCACTGTGTCCACATCCAATTGCACTATTGTTCCGCCCGCCTTCACCATCTTCGGGTAGAACTGCAATGAAAGACACTCTGTTCAGCATGTGTGTTTGTCATCTGAACTTCCACGGCATGTGGAGCTCACGCGAAGGAGGAGGGTGAGTGACAGCGGAGATGAACAAAAGAAAAACTCCCCCGAAAAATTCAATATTCATGTGAGGCACTTTCCAAACTCGCTGGCAATTTTGCCCGCACACATCGAGGATTTATGAGCCATTGAGAGAGTTTCCCAAATTACCGACTGAAAATGCCTTTTCCCACCGAAATGTTCATTATGTGCGCATTTTTTCCCGCCCTCAACTTATTTACTCTCGGTAAACTCTTCCCTTTCTCGCTCTCTTCCCGAAAGCAGTGAATTTGCATAAGCGAATTTTCCCCACGTAGGCACTTTTTTCCTCTGCCAGCCCGAAAATGCAGACGGGGAGGAAGTTCCGGTTGATGGAAATGCAGCAGATGATAAAAGTCTCGATACCTCCCATGCGACATTCTGCATTGCATTTTTTCCACTCCGATTCCCTTCATACATTTAATTGCTCAGGAGTTATCATGAGATGTGACTCAGGGATTTTTTATCGCGACTCTCACACGACAAAATGTGCACATCGCAGATTACGCTTATTATGTGAAATCCTCACCATATCTCGCAGCCTCAAAACGTATGCGCAATGATTCGGCAATTAATACAATCGACGAGATAATGCCCCGCAAAATAGAGCGGTCAGGAAATCAATTGGCGCTGTGCATAATAAAATAATTCATTAGCACACGAGGGACTCGTTTGCCATCAATATTTGCACAGCACATCGCCGGCAGACAAAGGAAAGTGCCCCCACTTGGCATGCGAAGCTTCAGCAAATTGAAGCAATGAAGGAATTTAAATAGACTTTAATATGCAGATAAGCTCGCGCTCTGTTCGGCTCATGTAAAGCTGGGATTTCTGGCAGAAAAACCAGGATTACGACTGATTTACTTTGAGGCTGAACTCTTAACTGCAAGACTTATTCTAGACTCTAGCGCTTTAAAAGGGTGGTTTGATAGACTTCCAATGTTCACCATAGTTACTGAGTCTTGAACATTATCGCAATCTGGATCATAAATACTTCCAATGTTCAATAGCATGGAAGTATGCATGATTTGTACTTTCCTCACGCCATTTGCTCACATGATATTGATATTTTTGGCTGCGTTACAATAAGAAGGAAAGTTGTGATAAAGTCTCATCTTCTCAACATTATCTCGCAGCGAGAATATCAACTCATAGAGCAAATATTTGGACGCGGACTAAATGAATAAACAAACGCATTTCGCGTTCTGAATATCCCACAGGACTCACTTGCTTGTCCCACGGCGAGTAGAGACTGGTGGAGACATAGAGTCTCTTCCCATCGAGTGACAGCTGGAGCATCTGCGGTCCTCCCTCGAGTCGCCTGCCTTTGATGATCACCGGATCGGGCTGCTTGTCCAGCTCCTCATCCTTCGTCACCACCACTCCAGAGTCCGACACAATGGCTCCGTTGAGGAAGACCTGAGCCGTGAGCTTGGGCTTTGTTGGATCGCTGATGTCGTACTGGCGCACATCTCCGTGCATCCAGTTGCTGAAGTAGAGGAATCTGTCGTCCATCGAGATGAGGATGTCAGTCATCAGGCCCTGTATTTTCTGTCCGTTGCTCAATGTCTTGGCCGGCACATCAATTACCTTCTCCACGATGAACTTCTCCCCGTTGTCGGGCTTGTGGAAGCGGAAGACCTTAGCGAACACAGCACAGCCCACAAAGCCCTGAGCCTGCTTCGGGTTGTGCAGGAAGCGAATCTCCAGCGGAGCGGCGGCCTCTTCGCCCAAGTCGGTTGAGTACAGGAGCTCGTGAGTGCTCCAGCGGTAGAAGTTGAGGCACGTGCCGTAGTCTTTGAGATGCATATCGTGAAATCCGTGGCGGAATAGCTTCGGGGCGCCCCATTCGGAGGACACCATCACGTCGAAGTAGGGCTGATACCAGAAATCATAGCCGGCGGCCGCCTTCTTCTCGCCACGCGTCCACGTGCCGGTGAGATTGAAATTGGAGTCAAGGGTGACAAAGTCCCCCTTGGCATTGCCGGCAGCGTCTCCGAGCGTCGAAATCATGATGCTCCCATCCGCCAGACAGTGGGACGTGTGCGGAGCGCAGCAATCGAGTTTGCGCATCTCCTCGCCATCGATGACCTTCACCAGTTCAGGCGCTCGTGGCTTCTCCGTGCTCATCACGTAAATGCTGTCACCGGTGAGGCAGGGCAAGATGAGCTTGTCCCTCTTCGGCAGACACTTCATATCTGCGCCCTTCTTGCAGCAGCTGGAGCACGTATTCCAGCCGAAATGGTGCAGCTCATCTCCCGGGCGGTTGGTGAATGTGCGATGGATGACTTGACAGAAGGTGGGGCTCTCCGGATCGACGTCCACTGTGGAGAGATAGTCTCCCTGCGGGTCTTCCGGGTTCGGCTGCACGGTTACCACGTAGAGAAGCTTCTCGCGCGGACCCTCCTTGATGGCATCCTGGGGAGTGACGTATCCTGGGCCGCAAGATGACATTTTTCACAAAGAAAGAGCAGAACTGCAGAGAACAACAACTGTCTGTTGTGGCTACTGAACAACGACTGAGCCGATAATGCACTCGCTCCGAGATCGCCACTCGAGCGATAGCCAGTTGCGGAGGGAGATACGCGCCATAACAACAACAACAGATCGGGAAGGCCTTGAACTTGACTCGCTTCTTGGACCAAAGATTCAGCTACAGCAACTCATCAAATTCTAGATCCTCCGGGAAGTAGTGAGGTGAGTGCTATTTTGACTTGTATTCTGTGACCCTATCAAAGGTCAGTGAGACACTTGAACTCCTTAAATTAATAAGCTCATAAATAAACACACGAAGCTTAGCGTTTCCTACTTATATAACAACTTAAGGGTGATCACAAAACATTGCTTCGCCAATCGCCTTCTCCTTTAGGTAGTCTCTCAAGACTCTGTTAGTACATGAGATGTTTTTTCTTATCTCTTTTCTTACCTTTTTCCACATCCAAAAGCTCAAGTGTGAGCCCAAGTGTTATAATTTAAGCCCCTGAATGCCTGCAAATTTGTTTGAGATGTTTAGGCGCGAAAAGCCCTGTTATACGTGAGAGCTTTCGAATTAGTCAGTCCGCGTGGCTCACGTCACTAACGTACAAGCTTGAGATTCATCCCGAGCACACAAAAAATTCACAACAATAAAAGTGAAGGTGAACCAGGTGTTTAGGCTGACATAATCCACATAGAGAGAACAATCACGTCACTCTTGGCACGGCCATCATCGATATTCTTGGGCCTGAGTCTGCCCAGCGCAGTTCTTCGTCATCTTTTTCCATAATCAATTTGCATGTTGGAGATCCGACATGATGATTTATTTGCGGTTTTGCTGTTTTCTGAGCATCCATCACACCCCAAAATCACTCATCAGGTGTTTTTCTATGGGTCGCAGAAGTGGAAAAGCGATGTTTTGGAATTCTCTTTGCGGGGCGTGATTCATTCTGGGCGAAGTGAAAGAGTCCAACATTCTTGACTTGATGATTATTGCGCGTTGATTTCATATGCAAGAGGATGGACTTTAATGAAATTTTCTTGCATGACACACTTTCGCGCGTAATGTCGCCAAAGTGGCTGCGCGGGGAGATGAAAGGCAGAAGGAGTGGGAGGGCGAAACCACAAAATTGCCAGCGGATTCGTCACACGACCATCAGAAAAGCACGACACAACACTTCACGTATTTCTTAGCTTTTATTGAGAATTTTTCTTCGATTCATTGATGTATTTTCCATTTTTCTCTCTCTCACACACAAATTCGTGTCCAATTTGACATAAAGGCATAAAAAGAATAGAAAGGTTAATTGTACATAATATAAAGCAAAAAGAAGACATGACAAATATTTTTAAATATTCATTATGCAAATTAACATTTTTGCCTTAACATTTCTATACCTTCAAAGTTTTTTTTTCTTGTTTTTCCCCTCATTTTCTTCGATCTTGACAATAATTCATCTATTTCTGCCTCATCTCTGTGTTTGCTGATCATTTAAAAGCTCCTCATTGCTCAACTCTTTCTTTATCACCTCTTCGTCCACGTGAAAAAATACAAAAAAGTTTTTCATTTGCTGAAACATTCCACATTTCGTGGTGCTTTTCACAATGTGCGTCCATACATCGCGGTTTTTCTCTCTCGTCGGAAGAAATTTGTAACAATAATTTTCTTTCTTCTCACCAGGTACAATAGTAAAGTGACAAAAACTAAAACAGCAATTTAATTGCAGGCTTTGTAGTATTTTTTCGGCGCTCCTGTTTTTCTCCTCTGTCTTCCTCCATAGTAAAAAAAAACCCGCCTCTTCATAGATTCACGATAATAAAAAGAATGTTAGTGATAAGCAGAATTACTTTGAAACACACACAGTTTTGTCTCTGATGCAAAACTTTGCAAAATAATCTGCTTCTGTGGCACTTGTCTCGTTTTCTGGCACGTGAAATATTGTGCATATTCTTCACCTTGATATTTAATGCAATTTTGCATGGAAATTTGAAAGGTGTCTATCAAAAAAATCAGGCGACGAGTGATGATTTCACGTCTTGACTTTTGCAGCATTTTTCCAATCTCTGCATTCTAATGCAAAAGGCGGCTTTTGTCTCTCTAATCGCGCTTAACACTTCATAAATAAATGGGTGACTAATGTGGCAGGCCAAGGAGGATTTAATCATTCGGACTTTCTAAAATGACTAAATATTTATGGGCCGAGCAATTTACTAACAATATCAGATGTCTCCAGAAGACACAGCCAGTTGGTAAACAATCGATAAATTTGACAAAAAGAGAATTCAACAGTGCATAAATTTAAGCGCTGCTTTTGCGTCTCTAACAATCCCGGAATTAAACCATCGAAGTTCTTGAATTGTAATAAGCTGTAATTGACTTTTCAAACACCCCAGATTTCTCAGAATTTCTTCTTCGCTGGAATACCGAAGCCACAAAGATCAATTATAGCGAATTCGTGAATTGTTTGAATATTGCCATCTTCTGGAAAATCTCTGCTAATGAAATTCTTCCCACTTGTTTCTACTTTGCATTTTTTCCTCTTTCAATAACAACCAAGATAAACACGTGAATTTTACCCAGAGGGCTGAGTCTTGAAATTCGTCAAAATCAGAATCAGTGGAAATTGACTGATTTTGAGAAATTTGCGAGTCTTGAGTAAAAATCAGTCAGAAACCGAGTCAAAATTGGCTCAAAATCAATCAACTCGTGTTGACATGAGAACATCGAGTCAACACGATTGCTCAATGTCTCAATTTTAAGATTTTACTTCAATTAGAGTATCAAATGGCCATCGATGGCATCGGAAATGGATAATAGAATAATTATTTTAATTGTTTTTAATTTTATATTGATAATTTTCCTTATTACAGCCGAGATATAAGCATCTCTTTTCTTGCGCTCGCGTAAGAGGCTCAGAGACGGAAAATAATTTCTTTCCATGCGCGCTACCTAGTCCCTGAGAGTCCCTCTTTGCAGTGTCGAGGCAACGATAATCCAAATTTTATTATGTCATGCATAATCCTTGCCATAAACATTTTCAGTTTTGAAGGTATCTTTAATTGAATGGAATTCCCAAATTCTTCGCCCTTTGCTTAGTGCTTAAGTCTCATGAATTATGATCAATGAACTGAACATGTGGACAGATAGTACAAATCCAAGTGTAATCAGAAGATGAACAATTGGTTGGACAAAAAAATGGATGGAGAAATTTTTGCAAAGGGGAGGAAGTCGATCCCCATCTCGTGGGGCACCTCAAGATCACTCGCAGAAGTCTCATTCTGCTCCTGGGACTTCTCGTATAAGCGCAGGAGAACATCTGTACGTTAATAATGCACATTATTCACATATTTGGCGTGGGCAGACACCCCAGGATAATTCCTTGGGGTAAAAGTTAAGTTTGAGGAGCATTTTTATCATTTTCTGCCTCAAACACCTCAACTTGGCTCAAATCGAAACAACAAAATGACGTTTCTGCCTGCGTTCCGAAAGCATTTCCCCTCCCGAAAAATTCCGAAGGCTGATTTTGACTCAAGACTCACGAAACTTTCAAAATTGTGATCATGTCAACAAGTTAAAAATCGATGATGTTCTGTTGATTCTGATTTTGACCATTTTCAAGACTCAGCCCTCAGGTTGCGTGATTTGATTTGTTTTCATTCAATTTTAAAATCTAATTTCATCCAACAATCGCCCCAAAAGTGCTGCAAAAGTTACGTAAAATGCATCCTAATTTATGAATATTGTAGCGTCATTTTTGCTCTTTTGTGTCTCACAATCATCCAAAAGAATATCGCGAAACACTCATTTTTCATTCAAAATGCGAAGTTAAATTGTAATCAACCCAGTGATTAATGAATAATTACCATGTTTTTATCCGTATTGATTGTTTTTCTTATTGGCTTTCAAGATCACTTTCTGCAGTCTATCGGGATGAACTTCAAAAGAAGTCCTCAATTCTCCTGTTGTGATGTCATGAATATTGAGAGTGTCTGACTCAATAAAGCAACGCATTTGGAATTGAATGAGTGTACACGCGATGTAATACTAGACTTTTTTTAAGCAACTCTCTTCCAGATGAAAACTCTACCCGTAACTGCATGATAACCTATTTATCAGAAATAGGAATGCATTAATCATTTGCCCCCTTTTGTTATGAAATCGTCATGATGTCTTTTCACTCTTCTGACTTTGCAAAAAATATACTTTGAACTCATGTTATACATAATCAGTAACGCAAGACAAGAAGACGTTAGTGGCTTTTTTTATATTTGGACGTTAAAAAAAGAGAGAAATAAGTGTTCTTGAACATTCTTCCACTGATAACAGCTTTGATTAATGTGTCCAAATGATTTTTTCCCCATCAAATTGCACGTCAATGAAGTCATGAACTCTTTGAGAAGTCTCCCGCGTTTTGCACGCTCCCGACAAGGGTGGAGTGAAGAAAATACCTGTCCAATTGTTATTGAAGTAAAAATTAGAGGTCACAGAGAAGCGCGCGCTAAGAAGCTTTGAAAATTTACATAATAGACTCAAAAAATTCAAATGTTCGCTGACCCTTTAGTCTAAAATGTCAAGATTCGATGCGTTCCCCATTAAAATCACATGTGTGCGGAGCTTAATTGTGAATATCTCAGCACTTTTTTCGCGCTTTTTCTCAATTCAAATCCAATCCGGAGACATTTCAAGGTTCTCGCCATAGAGCAAAATAATTCACAGGCTAAGCAATTTGTCAAGTATTTCATTATAAAGTAATTTTCTGCCCTCCCTCACAAGAAATCTTTTCATTTCTCTCCAATACGCAGAGCTCAAGAGCAAAAAATCATTATAATTGAATTAAATTGTGATGGAAAAAACTCTAGAGATATTTAGCGTGTGTCCCATTGTTTTGTACTCCGGAAAATCTCATTAATACAGCACATCTGCCGGGTAAATTAATATTTTCTGACACTCTAGCACAACTATGGCGGTGGAAAGTTGTTACGCTGATAAAGAGTGCGGCAGATAAGATGACATAAAAGGTGTTATTTTTATTGCAAGAAAACTCATCATAAATGTTATAGTAAATTCGCGATAAGAACATTATTCACTGAGAGTGTCTCATCGGCGGCAAAGTGGGCCAGAGAAGACAGGACTTACTCTCGGCACGCGACCTTAGAATGTAATTGTCTCGGGCTACTTTAGATGATTGATAAGTAATCACTGGACTTCGCCTTGAATTGTGATCCCAGTGCGGAAAAATAGGAACAGAAAATAACATTCCCGAAAGAGCACACGGGATTGTCTTACAAAATTCTATCAGATTGTCGCTTGACATTCCGATGGCATTGTGACTTCTCGACTCCCCTTCCCTTCCGGCAGCGTGCAACTTATTTTCTCATCAATTGAAAAGAATATTTAAGAGGAATGTTAAAGAAATAAGACATTCTTAGTATACGAAACTTGAGAAATACATATGGCTGCAAGAATATGGTTAGGTCTGCATTTAGCAGCTTCCGCCGGAATTGGGCGGTAGTGACGTGTACGTGGTGATGCCACTGTCGAGATCGGTGAATTGGGTCTCCGTGCCGTCGGCCAGATTGATAAATTCGGACGTGGCGCTGAGGAAGTCCGCCTTGAGGAGCGTGTTCTCCACGAAGGTACCACAACTTCCCGTGTAGTCATTGTTGTTGTCCCGAATGATGTCTGGCACGCGATCGGCGTCGAAATTGTCCGTGTTCTCGAACAAGAAGCGATCGGCGCTCTGGACTGACGTGTACGGACTGGAGTCTGTGAGTTCTGTCTTGAGCATGAATTGCGAGCAGCCCAGGACGCCCGCGTCCTCGCCGTCGCAGTTGGGAATGTACTCGTTCTTCATGCCCGGCGAGTGGTACGCCGCGAGATCCATCTCCACTGGGGACTTGAGGGCGTTGCACCCACTCTCTGGGCTGCCATACGTGGAATCACTGGTGACGGACTTACAGTAGGAGCTGGTGTCGATCTCCAATCCCTGCGTGGCGTCGCCCTTCATTAGCCGACAGTTGGCTCCGTACTTGCACTGGCTCTGGTAGCACGTGGTTGGCGGCGAGTAGCCACCCGGACGGATACACTGGGAGCTGTGCGACTGCAGGGCCTCGAGAAGCTTCCGTTTCTGCGTCTCCAGCGCCCGTTCCTGCGTCTTCAGCTCGATGTTCTGCTGCTCTAGCGCCTCAGACTCCGATACGAGATTCAGTGTCCTCTCGCGCTTCTTCATGCGACACTTGGTGGCGGCAATCTTGTTCCTCTCCCTTCGCCGCCGACGGCGATCCTCATCCTCTGGCGTCAACTGCTTTTGGGGAGACTGAATTTTACGATATTGACTGCAAATCCCATTCAATCTGGTCACTCACCCCGCTCTTTGCCAGAGACTTCTCCTCGCCGTCCTCATCGCTGGTGTTCTCCTCCTTCTTCGCCAGCTTTCCGCTGGGCTCCCCGCCACTGGAGTCTCCGCCACTGCCGCCACTCATCTTCCTCTTGCTCTGGATCGACAACTTGAGACCGGCCTTTATGAGAAGTGAGCACGTCTGTCGAGTTAAAATAATTATCAATTTCTCCGGCACCTCAACTTTACAACATTTCGCAATTCTGCCCAGAGCGTGGCACAGCTTTCAGGCCAATCTTCCAGCTCTGCCACCCACTCTCACCCATTCGCGGCTGCCATATACAATTTAAATTCATTATCACTCCTCCACTTTTCAATATCTCATCTCGGCCTCTCTCGCCAAGAATCTTTTTTCTCCGCTACTCATTCGCGGAATATCTTTGCAAATCATCTATACTGTGTCTTTTACTACGTGTATTAAACGGTATATGCCCGACTTAATTTATTTTAACGAGATTTTAACTAAGGAAACCTATAAAGTCTGTGCGAAATTAAATTCAATTGAGAATGCAAAGTATTATCAAATTTTTTAAAATTCTTTCTACATGAAGGAAAATCGAGCTAAACCAGCATTTGACATTAGAATTCTTGGGAAAATTTATCACTACAAGATATCAAAGAAATGTCTGCGGAGTTCTGTAGACGTCCTTAAATGCCGATGCCATTTTTAACGGGTTTATAAAAATGTTTCCTAATTATTTCTGCACTTGACCAATTACAACTCGGGGATTCCCCGACTCGATCGCTGCAAATTTCCGAATATTCCTTATCATATTGACTACAAATAAGAGAGTATAAGTGGAATCTGTTATTTAGACCAGACAATCGCTAATAATAGACCCAAAATACTTAAAATCTTAATTACTTGAAATCCATTTAAGTGTTCTCAAAAAATCAATCCTCCGAGCTAACAAATTCAGACAGTAAAATTAAGCCTTTCCACATTAATCAATTTATAGCTACTGGGTGATAATATCTCCGCAGCCTTGGAGTAAAAAGTCCACTTAATCCCGTCATATATCAACGTAATAAAACACAGATCGGAATCACCTTAAATTTAATTTTATGTCTGTTTTCCTAATCCATCATGTTATTTGCGAAGAGTGAGTGTCACAGGGCAAAAAGCAGTGTTTGGTCACGCTTTTCTGTGAAAGCGATGTGTCACGTTATCATATGGAGTTGATTTTGGAAAATTATTATCATTTGGCGCATTGCCTGAGTTTGGAATTTGTACAGATCATTAATTTTAGACGGGAATAGTTCAGTGACAATTAAATGGAATTTCAGTTTATTCACCCGGTCGAGAAGTGGAGAAAATTGGTGGAGTGATAAATTGATAAAAGCTCTTGTCAGTTGCATGCAGAATCAATTACTCTTGTGCGACATTTTACTACGGGTGAGACTTTAAATGACACGCAACGTTCGATACGCGTAATCTTTCGAGTGTGTACTTCTTGGATCTCTCAATGAATCGCTCAATCGCACAAAAGCACACAATGAAAATCCTCGACATTTTTACCTTTTGTACACTCGGAGGCGTTGTTTGTCCGGCCGGAGAGTCAAGTGTTGAGTCCGAGCAGCAACTATCAACATTCGACACCTGAAACAGAACGCACGGAAGGTATAGAGAATGACAGAGAATATTTTGGGCGCTGGATCTCTCGACATCGAATTTCAATTCATGCTTCTTAAGTGCAAATTTGTGCTTAGACGAGCGTCAAATTAATTTCAATGAATTTTCGTACAGAATTAATTTGACTACATTAGCATGGGAGAGAAAAGCGTGAGAGGATATGAGTGGAAAAAAATCGATAACAATAGCAATTTCGGGACGAGAGGAAGCTCACATGGGCCAAAGAGTCGCGGAGGGACGGACAAATTTATGATTATTGCGTGTCTTCCGGTAGCTTCAAGGACCAACTATTTAGGTGTGCATAGTGCGCGCAAAATGTGGGCTCAGAAAGAGAGCTCAAATTGCCAAAAATTACCCAGGAAGGTCTCCCAAAAAGTACGAATGCGCGTCAAGAAGTCAAATATATGTTTTTTTCCTCCAAATGTGACGAGAAAAATTCCCTCGCGCGCGCCTGTGTGTTTGAATGCATTAAACCATGAAACACTTTACAATATTTTGCCATTGATTATGCAGAATAAACACTGTCGGAGCGGCAAAGAACAAAAAAGTCCCCTCATTGATGCGGATTTGATGTGAAAGACTGAGATAGATGGATTGTTGTAAGCTGAGCTCAGGAAGGTCACATGAGAGATCTTATTTGTTCAACACTGAACATTACACGATAATTCATCATAAGATCAATTAATGGGAAAATGCTGTCTTTTGTACAGTGGCCAAAAATCCACTTTACAACTTCTGTGCGTTTGTGGAAAATTTCTCAACTGACTTTCGTGAAATAAAAAAACTTGCCACGAAAGCATCTCTTGCCATCTCAAGTGCATTTTCGCGGTGAATTTATCTTCATCGATAAAGTGGCTGTTTTATTAAAATTCTAAGCGCACCAGGAGAGTGTTGAAACCTCAATTTATTACGTAATACCATCTGTATATATGTACGCGAATTCTCTACAGTGGCGTAGTGAAAAAATTTGAATTATTCCTGGCTTTGTCTTTGTTTTTTTTATTTTGTGATAACATAAAAGTATCTCAAGAGATTGCAAAGAACACACACAATACATTCGTTATATTGGTTCTGATATAATAAATATTGCATCCAAATAACTTTTTCGCATATTTTCCAGTCTACATAAAAGAGATTATCATGAAAAAGACGTTACTGGCAGTGTTAAAGGATTACAAAAGCTTGAAAAGCAGGGAAAATCGGAAAATCCCCATAAAATTGGCGTTTATATAAAACAAATTCAGCTTTGAGCAAGAACACTTTTGTGGGATTTTTCTTATCTCTTATGCAAATTGCAGTGTGTCTCAGTTACAACGCAATATTTCACTTCTTTGCTACTAATTATTTCTGGTAATGAGTGCTTTTTGTGAGGTTTGAGGACTATTTTAGATTGACTGGCATTTTTCCAACATTTTTTTTCATCTTCATCCGTTTTGCAGTGTAAAGTGAAACGCAGTGTTATTGTGAATAGAATCAATTCATAAGCTATATAATTGGGCTAATCAAAGCCATTCCTCGTGACCACAGTAAATCCTTTTAAAGATTTATAATTCGATGATTTATTCACAATTAATCCATTGACTCTGATGTGGAAAATTATATTGAAGATCTCTTTAGACAGAGCATTGCAATTTCCTGAAGCCGTCGCAACTGATCGCCTGATGAATATTTAATGATAATGAGAAACCAGCAATTAATGCAAGCGTGATTAATCGAATATATCTTCACTGTTCACCATTTATGGAAGATTCTTCTAAATACTTGCGGCTATTTGTCCTTTCTCACGAGTCATCAAGAAAGAGCACAACTTTGTCGTTTGAATCGTTTGAATATAGCATGAAAAATTACCAATGAATGGAAGTTAGCGATTAAAGTGTTTAATCACTAAACACACAAAGTCTTTGGCGACAAATCAAATGGCAAAAACAATTATTTAGTCATTAGGGTGAAAAGTTTGGGCAGCAAAGAAAAAATCAGCATGGCGAATTTGCATTCAATTGGACAATTGAGTGTGAAATTGATGGTGGAAATTGATTAACCAACCTGCGATGGACGTGCCGAAGAATATGAATACTCGAGAGGGTTCGTGATGTCAATGAGTGAGTTGAGAATCTCTGGCGTTCTCGGCGTTGTGCACACGCCACTCCCGTCGACTCCAAGGAGTGGAGCTCCTGCCAATCCCACATTCAGGTCGAACATGTTGATCTTCTCCAGGGCACGCACAAGTGATAATTTCTCAAGCAGAATGCTTCTTGTTTGCACAAATCAGGCTGAATGTCTTTTAAAATCACAGTTCTTGGTTCCAAACTTTTTCACTTCACAGAAACATTTAAGATAGAATTGGAAGTAGTAAAATACTTTCAAATGATATCACGATATATTGTTGATGCAAAAAGTGGTAAAAAACAACGTTCTGGGTAGAGTTTCTCTCTCTCTCTTGATTGAATTAATATTTCACTGTCACTAGCTTTTTGTATGTTTTTTTGGCGCTCCAAAAAAGCTGTTCTCATTCACAGAAAATAAAATATTAAAGCAGACACATTAAATTGATAATATCATGGAAGAGGTGTAAAAAATAGACACGAACAATATATAAACTTCTCTTCTACATAAACACAATAATTCTCCTCAAATCTCTCGATAAGGCAACACTGGTTGCGAGTTCAATTGCTCTCTATCTCGCAAATATTTTCCACTTTTCGCTCATTTCACGGGAAAACTTCAATCGCTGTGACTCATTTGAGTCAAAATGTCCAAGTCCGGCTGACAAATTGTCGATTATTTGCTCTTCTCGACAATCCAATTTAGCGGCGAAGCCTGCAAGAGGAGAAAGAGGAAACACTGATAAGGAAAACCTCTCTAATTAGTGTGATTAAATTGAAAATTAATCCCAATTCGATAGCGACTTTAAAGCATACGCAAAGTGATACTCATTTTCCCGTCCCAACAAACTTGCTCAATACACTCAATCAGAAACCTTCTCGCACTAAAAAAAAATCAATTTAAATCGAGCTGAAAAAAGTGTTTAAATATTCATCGTTCTCTCTCCTTCACCCCAGTCGAACCAAAACATTTTATTGTGTCAATTTTATTTATTGTTGGGAGAAGAGGCAGGAAAGAAGCGAGAGAGCGAGAAGCCAAAAATGCTAAAGAGCCACTCAAAAAGACACCAATTTTCGAAAAGTGGAGAAGTGGAAAAAGTGTGGTATAAAAAATGTATAAAATTCAATGCCAAATATTATTATAGCGTGTAAATTTATTTTATATTAAATTATCGTCAATTTGTCCATATTATGAGGTGAAGAGGCATAAATTTTGGCCTCTTCCTCGCGCACAGCATCACTCGAGTTTGGAAAATGTGCTAATACGAGCAGGTATTTCGCAAAAACACCTAAATTAAATAATATCTCAGGAGCACCCTCGAGTGAAAATGACCTATGACAGTTGGAACGACAGCAACGCATGGGCGTAGCCGTAATTTAATCTGCATTAGAATACAACTAGCAAAAAGCGCTTAAATTCGACACTCTTGCCTAAACCATCTGGAAATGGCTGTTGAAAAGAGAACTTTTGGTAAAAAAGAATGTGTTAAATCCTATTGCTGTTGTCTAAATGCGATTTTCATAGGCTTTTTTTCGTTTGAAAAATTCACTAAAACAAGAAGAAATCTGCCATTTAAATCACACACGAGTCTCTCAATTATTCAAATTAAAGTCAAATGGACGAAATTTCAACCTGCGCCCATGGTTGAAGTTGAGAGGATTTCTTGGCCGAAGTTTCATTTTCACACTTTGCGGGGTGAACATTAACATGACGCTTTCTCAACAGCAGTCGAGGTTGGAAAGGCGAGGCGCGATGTGACGAGGAAAACTTGGAAAATCTACAATAGAAATTTTGGCACAAAATCACACAAAATATACACACTCACGATCAACAGAGCAGAAATGTTTATAGTTTTCATGCGAGGCAAAACGCCCAACAACAGCCGAGAAAGAGTGAGTAAACGTGTGGCTGAAAGTTGTACGGAGAGAGGACGAGAGTTTATTAGAAAAAGAACATAATGTAGAATTATTACACATATTTCAAACAGATGTTGCAATAATTTTTTCCCACTCTCTCTCTCACTCTCTCGGTCGCTTTTCTCGGGGGGACTTTTAGGCATTTGCTCCATTTTATTTATTTATTTATTCAATGGCACAAACATCCATTCACAAAGTGTTACTTGAGACACTATTTTACACACCAATTTCATATGCAAACGATCTCGAGGGGGCAATTTTATTCATTGGAAAAGTCTTTCGCTTCAGCATGAAAAATTCATTCTCCGCAATCCGTTACTTTTGAGGGGGAAAAACGAGTGAATTGCAATTAAAAGTGACCGAAAAGAGACAAATTTGGCACTCACGGATTTGTGTGGGGAGCAGATCTCAACTTAGTTGGAGACTCTTTGCACTCACACACACGCCAAATCACCCACAAATTGCTCAATAACATTTTACGAGTGTGCGAATGAAGATTATATCCCATTGGAATAAAAATTTTATTGCATTCTCCAGTCTATTGACGAAGCTCTCCGATGATATTTTGCATTTTTTCCGCAAAAAACATCCGGAAAATCTTCATATGGCGACAAGAATTGAGGCGCAAAAATTATATTATACGATCATATTTTTTGGGCTTTCTCTTATTGAGGCCCTCGCCATTGAGAGTGCGTTACCAATATTCCAACGTCCAACATCACAATTGTGGAGCTAAATCAGTATCCCGTAAAAGGAAGTGCTTGCACAAGATTCATGGGTCTTTGGGTTGTCTGAAAAATTAATTGAATAATTCAAATTCACTTCTGGCGCATTTCCAATTTTTGCTCTTGCAGATAGATTTCGTGGAAGAGCGCTTTGTACCACTTTTAAGTCACATAGAAACACTGGAAGCCTCTCGACTAAAAAGTCAATGAGAAAACAATGAATTCCACAGCAAAAACTGTAATTTAGTCATTAGGAAAGTGCTAATATGCCATGCAAACAAACACTGACGATACTTTTCTGCACTTGCGAAAGATTCGTGAAATTTTGACAGCTTTTGGAGCGAAAACCACACAAGTTTCGAGTGCTAAAAAGACTGTTCAGAATAAATTGTGCAATGCACCCAGAAATTCATATTTGGCATTCAAATTGGGGACTTTGAGTGGTTTTCGTGGATTCTTTTGCCATCTTTTTCCTCCATTGGTCGGCAAATGCGCGTATGGGCGAGTGAAAAAAAAACGAAGATGGAACCGAAAAAAATCAACAAAAACACATAAATTAATGGTGAAGCTTTATGTTTGCACATTTTTTGGATATGCCTCTCCTCTCTCAGCTTTTTTCAGGCTTCTCCTTTAATCCGCACACAAGGCAAGAAAAAACAGCGCGTTTTTCTTGCGCTCCGTTGAAATCGTGGAGTGAAAAAACTTTATTATTTATTTCCTCCTCCTCTAACTTAACCCATTAGCGAGCGCGATTGGTTCTTGGTTGATTTGTTCTTCGCGAATGTCGACTAAATGAATGCAATTTGATCTTTATTAATTGAATAATTGTGAATCAAACTTGTTTTTTTGCGTGCTAATTTGCCAAAAATCAGCCTGTTCTATTAGATTTCTAAACATTTCACACAATATTATCTCGATTTCCACCAATTTTATTCACAAGATCTTTGGAAACAGATCTAAGACCTCTGCGAATTAAGAAAAAAAGGATTCCTTAAAATTATGAGCCACATTTTCTTTGCATTGCCAAATGCTTATAAAAGTGAAACTCTGCAATAATGGGTTAATCTTCTTCCCCAGCGCCGTGAGAATGATGTTGATGGCCGGAGTGTGGCATAGGAAGATTTCCTCGGCTTTTTTCCCTAAGACGCACGCACACACGCAAGCATGTGGTGGGATTTATTTGGAAAAACTAAACGCTGTGGTGTGAATTATTATTTAAGAGCGACCTTGATGATATTAATGGAATGCGCGTCTCTGCGTCTCGATGGCTTCTGGGCGGCATTTTTTGGGTCAGTTTTCCTCGCGAAAAAAACAGCCGCTTGGCAATTCTATATAAGTTTTCCCGGCGAATTCCGCGCTCTCTTTTGAGATCTTCACTCTGCATTCGAAAGATTCACAATCCATAGAGTCGAGGAGAGTTGGAATAGAGGTGGTGTGGATGAAACTGGTTGAAAATGGCAGGAATATTTAATTTAGAATTTCAATATTGATTATATAACACTTGAAGCGACGGTTGTCGTCGCTACTTCATTCTATTTGTGCAGATTTTCTTTTTTTTCATCACACATTTTCTGCTGTTTATAATGGACATCCGTTTCTCATTTTTATTTTTCTCTTCACATTTGTATTTTTCATCAGTTTCCTTCGCCACCCAATTGGGATGGGATACAACATAGTGTTGCGAAAAAAGTGTGTATGTGTTCAGGAGGAGGGGGAGAAAATAAATAAGGCATAAAAATAACTCAACAAGTTCCTCATCTAATCCTCATCATGTGCCATCATCTCTGGGCCGAAGATTGCAAAACAACTCTCCACGGAGTATTTTTCTATGCCATGCCTCGCACTCCTGCCATTGGGAGTGACACCTGTTGGTCCTCATTGACCCACAACGCGGGCGTTCGCCAGTGGGGTCGCACCGTATTAATCAGTGTCATATTTCTCCCCGCACTTTAAAGTCACCCTCGAATTAATTGATAAAATCTACGTGTCGCCCGGGGGAGGATGTGCTCCGGCGAGGCGCTTCCCGAAAGGCAGCAGCTGGCCACATGTTACGTGAGGGCAGATTTAACCGCCCGTGGAAAACGTGCCGCAAAAAATATGGGCACACACAACAAAGGCACAGAGAATAAAAAGAATCAACTTATAAATCACAAGTCACACCTTTTTTCGCGAGTGTCACAGGAATGAAATGAAATGAGAGAGGAAAAAAAAAGCACGAGAATCAATTTAAATGTGTGCTAAAAGAAAGAGTAGCGGGCGTTAAATTCCAGTATCGAACTCCCATGGCAAAAGAAGCTATTAAATGGGTGGGAAAGCGGAGTTGCCTGTGGCTCGTGGACGGCATGTGATTTGAGATTACAGGAAAAATTTCCACCTCAGCTCTGCAACCCTTTTTCCACCCAGTCGCACAGTGTTTCACCGAGAGCCCACCTTATCAAGCAAACACAACCACGCACACCTGTAAACCGTTCAATTTTTCGCACCTTGTGTAAATTTCGGCTGTTTGCTCAAACTTGGCGGTGTCCTTGTGACGATTGGCGCGCGATATAAAACAAAATTCTTCATAATACACAAATTTTCACTGTCCGGCCACCTCACTGTTCTTTTGCACTGGTGATAATCCTGTGTGATCAGATGATAAACTCTGTGCGGATGATCTCGGGGTGTCCGTACCACTCAGTGTGCGCCAATATACTGAGCGGCGAGTGTCGAATGTGAAAAGTTTGAGCGGCGATATTTGCCGTGTTGTTTCTTCTTCTGCCTCAGCCCCACACCATGCGAGCGTTCGCGAATGTTGGTGCCCCATGTGGCTAAAAATAGAAATGTGCTCATGCCACGGACCGCAATTATTGGCCCAATGTGACGCCATTCGCCCCGCGCGGAGTCGCGATTGGGCGCGGTGGCATTTAGTGTGTCCCGCTCGCACTCACACATGACTCTCCGCCTAATGGGCCCAGTGTCGTGACTTCTAAACTCCTCAATATTTTAATACTCACAAATTCCACACAGAATCATTTAATTCAATATGGCTTCGACGCCACTGAGTGTCCGTGTCCAGCGCATCTCTCTCTCGCCCCCGCCGCTGGAGAGTCTTCAGCGGATCTGCCTTTCGATCTCACGCCGATATGGCTCGCGAATTAGCATTAAATGCCCGGCACTTTAAATTCAAACGAGAAGTGGGAGTGGAGTATGAGGTTCCATCTGGTAGGAAACTTTCTCACTAGCCCCCTATCGCCCTCACACTCTATCGCCTGCCCACCTCGCGCTCTCCCGCCACTTGATTAGATTGTCTTGTCAGGTGATAGCGAAAGTTAAACTCCTTGTCTCAGACCATCTCCATCTCCACTGGAATTCCACAGCTCTTATTGCCACCACTCAGGCAAGCAATCAATTATCTAAACTTCCTCTGCAACGTCGCGGCGATCCTTCGTCTTTTTCTCGTTGAAAGCTTGGCTGATTAAGAGCTTACTCTTCATTAAAAGCTCGCGCTCCACCTCTTCGTCGTGTGCGTGAATTTGTTGTCAGAATACCAGCACTCTACTTATCATTTACGAGAGAGACGAGCCAATTGAGAATAATTATCCTAATTTTCTTTTTTTTAAGAATTAAGCATTGGTTAAGAATTAACTAACAACTTTAATCAAAGTACATTTTTTTTCTTTCTGGAATCGGTTCATTCACAGATCACTGTAAACTTAAACTTATCATTATCCTCCAACGACCGCTCATAGCAAGTCGGCTCTCCCCTATACGTCGTATTTTCGTTGTATCATTCTCGTGTTGCCATTGCCAATTGCTCGTGGTGCTTCGATTGCTCTGCCGACAAATTTTCGAGTTCAGTGAAAAGTGAAAATGTTCCAACGATGCGTGCCAAACACAGCAAGGATATTCCTGCGATCGAGGATTCTTCATCAGGCGGCTAAGCAACAGGTTGGACGTGGCCGAAGGGTCATCTCATTGACGTTGTCTTACATAATCCTCTGATTTGCAGAGAAGTCTCACGACGCAACTCGATAAGAGTGATGTCAAAGGTGCTGACGCGAGGAGTCCCAGATTCCCAGGAGCCGCTGCTCCATTCACGTCCAATCCGCAGATCAGCCATGCGGAGAATGTGGCGCCGATTCCCATCTATCGCGTTATGGATCGAGAGGGCGCGATTGAGGACACTAGCCAGGATCCAAATCTCTGTCAGGCGACCATCCAGAAGATGTTCCGTGATATGGTGCTGCTCAACACAATGGACAAGATTCTCTACGAATCTCAGCGACAGGGCAGAATTTCCTTCTACATGACCAACTTTGGCGAGGAGGCTTCTCACATTGGCAGTGCAGCCGCTCTGACGCCCGATGACTTGGTCTATGGGCAGTACCGCGAAGCCGGAGTGCTCGTGTGGCGCGGCTTCACCATCTCTGAGTTTGTGGATCAGTGCTACGGGAATGTGGATGATGAGGGCAAGGGCAGGCAGATGCCAGTGCACTACGGATCGAAGAAGCTCAACTTTGTCACCATCTCCAGTCCTCTGGGTAGGTTTCGACGCTTCCGGAGATTCCTTTGAATTAACATGTGCGCTGTTTCAGCCACCCAGATTCCGCAGGCGGCGGGTGCAGCTTACGCCCTGAAGCTTAAAGAAGGCAACGATCGCTGCGTGATTGTCTACTTTGGCGAGGGAGCGGCTTCCGAGGGTGATTGCCATGCTGCCCTCAACTTTGCAGCCACTCTGGACGCTCCGGTGATTTTCTTCTGTCGCAACAACGGCTTCGCCATCAGCACGCCCTCTTCGGAGCAGTATCGTGGTGACGGAATTGCAGGAAGAGCGGCCGGCTATGGAATGGCAGCTATTCGGGTGGATGGAACAGATGTCCTGGCAGTGTACAATGCCACAAAGGTGGCCCGAGAGTACGTGATGCGCACTAATAAGCCCGTCATTCTGGAAGCTATGAGCTACAGAATTGGACACCACTCGACCTCAGACGATAGCAGTGCTTATCGAGCGCCGGAAGAGCTCGAAGTGTGGAACACAGTTGAGCATCCCATCAACAAGTTGAAGAACTTCATGCGCTCCAAAGGCTGGTGGAATGAGGAAGATGAGAATGCCTTTGTGAAGTCAATCAGGAAGCAGGTGTTATCGCAGATCTCTTTGTCAGAGAAGAAGCCGAAGCCAGACTGGCGCGAAATGTTCCACGATGTCTATTATGACCTTCCAACGCATCTCCAGTGAGTAAAGATTTATAACGACGTGGGAAAGATATATTTTTTCGACTCTTTGACTATAAATTTGTGTCTCTTCCAGGGAACAACTGAAGCAGATGGAAGAGCACGTGGAAAAGTACAAGGATCACTATCCTCTCAAAGATTACAAGCAGTGATCTGAGAAGCAGGTCGTGTTCCCGATTTGATACCAAGAGAAAAGTGCATTTACTAGATTTTACGGAGAGAATGCGATAATACAATACATTTTTGCAATGCGCGCCACTAGTTTAAAGGGTTATTTTTAAAGGGTTTCATTTAAAGGGACGATTTCATTAAAAATTTCATTCGTTTCGTTTCATTTCGCTCCTTTCGATAATCGTTGCAGTAAATTTCCGCCAGAGTGTGTTGACAGCAGTTGTTGCGAAATTGTCGCGGTGTTTACGCTTTTCTCTGCAACGTCCTCGCAATTTCTCAATTTTCAGGATGTCCAAGCTGGAAATGCCACACGTGGACAAGGAGCTGGATCTTTCAAATGCTGGTCGAGGTGTTTGGCTGGTGAAAGTGCCAAAGTACATCGCGAACAAGTGGGAAAAGGCTCCGGGGAACATTGAAGTGGGCAAACTGAAGATCTCCAAGATTCCTGGCCAGAAGGCTCAGGTTTCTCTGGCACTGTCAGAAGCTGTGATCAATCTAGACCCCGCTGAGAAGATTCCCAAAGATCACAGACTCGATGTCTCAGTGGTGACGAAGCAAACACTCGGAGTTTTCTCACACGTCGTCCGTGAGTGGAATATTTTGATGCTACTCTTGAATTTCTTCACATTCTTCTTTCACTTCCAGCTTCAAAGACAGACGAGGTTGTCCCAGAGTCGGAGAAGCTCTTCATGGAGGGCAGGATAGTGCAGAAGCTGGAGTGTCGTCCGTACGCAGACAATTGCTACATGAAGCTCAAGCTGGAGTCCATAAAGAAGGCTTCTCAGCCTATCCGGAAAGTGAAGTCACTGGAGAAGATTGTCCACAATTTCAAACCAGTGTCAGATCACAAGCACAACGTAAGTTCCAGATTAAGTGCCATACATTTTGGGATTACTTTTGACATCTCCCGCATTGCAGATTGAGTACAAGGAGAGAAAGAAGACAGAAGGCAAGAAAGCCCGTGACGACAAGAATGCCGTTCAAGATATGCTCTTCAATGCCTTCGAAAAGCATCAATATTACAATATCAAGGACCTCGTGAAGATCACAAAGCAGCCGATCGGATACCTGAAGGAGATCCTCAAGGAGGTGTGTGACTACAATATGAAAAATCCGCACAAGAACATGTGGGAGCTCAAGAAGGAATATCGCCACTACAAGACGGAAGAGAAGAAGGACGAAGTCGCGCTGTCGGATTCAGACAGTAACTAGTTGAATTATCAAGTGTATATTTTCTATGTACCATAAAAGGATCAACTGTGCCTCATTGCGTCCATAATGACTACCACATTGCCCTCTGGACGCCCGAGAGTTTGTTGTAATCCGCCTGCAATCGCCACATGATTCGACTCATCCGCCATCGATAAACAGTTCCTCTGGGACGCGATGTTATGCAGCAGCGCTCCTTCACGCGCACCAAACAAGAGTCCACGGGAAAGGCATTGATCTCCTTGTCCGCAATTTCACGCAATTCAATGGGCAGGATGTCGTTCTTCCGCAGAGAATTCACTCTCAGTCTGTCCACTGCGTACTGGGCCACAATTTGTCGCCGCTTCACATCCTTTCGCATGCGATTATCCGTGTATTTCGTCCTCACTGAGAAAACCTACAAATACAATAGATTGCAAGCATTCTCGAGATTCAGTGGAGAATGAGAAACTCACCCTGGGTAAGATATTACTCGCACGAAGAGCGGAAAACTGAGTGGAAATGAAGGAAAGGGCCATTTTCCAAGATGTGAGGTTATGGCGAACTGTTGGATAAGAACAAGGGGTTTCACATTTGGAATTGAAAAGCTCATTTTCAGGCAAAATATTAGTAGTTCTATTTTTCACTGAAGATTGAGTTATGGAGGTTTGAGTTTGGAATGAGAACAAAATCATAGTATTTGGAACATGCCTCGGATTTTAATACTGGAAAAGTGGTCACCGCAATTTAAATATGTGCACCCCTTCAAGTGTTTGGATAAAATATATTTCCGCCAGAGGGCGATCGCATCGGTATTGATGTGGAAAAATGGCACCGGCACGACAGAGAATTCTTGCCCGCAATCACAGTGAAAATACTCAGGGAAAAAAGCCACCGGGAAGAGCGAAAGGCGGCGGGAAAAGTGGCAAAGAGGACAAAGGAAAATTCAATCTGAAATCTTTTTGGAACTCCGCGAGAAAAAAGTGAGTACGAAGCGTTGGAAGTGTAAGAGTCCACGTCAGTTGATTGTTTTGATTGATTACATCTTCCAGAGATGCTCCTCCCGTGGCCTCGACCAAGTTCTTGATATTCGGTCACGATTCCGCCATCAAGCTCTTCTTCACCACTCGCTTGTTCGCCGCAATTTGGTCTCACATCAGCGACTGCGACGAGACGTTCAACTACTGGGATCCACTGCACTTCATGATCTACGGAAAGGGTCTCCAGACGTGGGAATACAGCCCAGAATTCGCTCTGCGCTCTTACACATATCTCATGGCGTGCGGCCTGCCGGCCTGGTTCTACAACAGCATCTACATTCCCAATCCCATCCTCATGTTCTACTTCGTGCGATGCATCCTCGGAATTGCGTGTGCAATTGTGGAGTTTCACTTCTACAAGGCCGTGTGTCGGGAGTTCGGGATTCACGTCGGGCACGTGTGGCTCATCTTCCAGTTCTTCAGTGCGGGCATGTTCATCTCGTCCACGGCTTTCCTGCCGAGCTCGTTCTCCATGTACTTGGGCAGCGCTGCCTTGGCGGAGTGGTGGTTCCAGCGCTACAACTCCGCTGTCTTCCTCACAGCGATCTCGGCACTCCTGGGATGGCCATTCGCCGGCGCAGTGGGTCTTCCAATCGCCCTCGACATGATCTTCCGGCAGAAGATGATCAAGAACTTCCTCCTGTGGACGCTCATCTCGGCCGCGACGATCCTCATCCCCATGACGCTCATAGATTCCTCGTACTTTGGCCGAATCGTCGTGGCGCCCATCAATCTTGTCATCTACAACGTCTTCTCGTCCCACGGGCCAACTCTCTACGGAGTGGAATCCTTCAAGTACTACCTTATTAATGGATTCCTCAACTTCAACATCGTGTGGCTTCTGGCTCTGGCCACGCCAATTCTCCTGATCATTTGCCACTTCTTCGTGCCGGCAAAGTCAAAAAGCACTCTGATTTTGCCTCACTGGCTCAGCTTGGCACCTTTCTATCTCTGGCTACTGATCTTCTGGCCACAGCCGCACAAGGAAGAGAGATTCCTCTTCCCGATCTACTTGCTAATCAATCTCTGTGGAGCAATTTCGCTGGATGTGATTCAGAAAGTGTACTTCCGCATCAAAGGACTGCTCAAGGGCTTCAAGCCGGGCACTCACTACTGGGATGAATCCACTCTCATTGCCGGCATCTTCATAGCCATTGCTACGCTCCTGGGAGTCTCTAGGATATTCGCTCTCTATCGGAACTATCACGCTCCGATTAATCTCATGATAGAGTTCAACAATCTGGCCAAAGACAAAACCCTGCACATCGAAGGTCCCGCCAACGTGTGCTTCGGCAAGGATTGGTACCGCTTCCCCAGCAGCTTCTTCCTGCCCTCGGCCAACTACCGCGTCCGCTTCATCGAGTCCGAGTTTAAAGGCATGCTGCCGGCCTACTACGATGAGTCCGGCAACGGCACGCAAACCATCCATCCGTACTTCAACGATCGCAACGAAGGACACGAATTCATGCTCTTCGACTACGCCAAGTGCCACTTCCTCATCGATCTCGACGTGGGCAGGTACACAAGTCTCGAGCCGAATTATCTGGAGAGGGACAAGGAGTGGAGCATCCTCACACAGCTGCCCTTCGTCAATGCCGAGAAGTCGCACAGCGTCTTCAGGGCCTTCTACATTCCCTACTTTAGCGATAAATACGTGGAATTTGGCTCGCTGAACCTCCTCAAGAGGCGGAAGCTGAAATTCGAGTGAGCTTATAAGCAATCTCTGCCCATCTAGTCAGGATCTTCAGTGTCGTGTGCAAACTTTTATATCGTGAGTAGCAAATATATTATTAAATCAATCATGTGTGGCAGTCAATGCGATTACGCTGAAGCGAACTTCTTCAGGATCGCGCTGCATGAAGACTTTGCACACTTTGACTGCGTCCTGGAGAAAAGCGGTGTCCGAAGTAGCGCCGTGCTTCACCGGAAAGTCCTTGCACCCATCTAATTCGTACAATTGGCCGTCCTTGTTGACCAACGCCACGAAGTGGTGATCGACCTTATCATGCGGATCTGGCGCTTCGGTTTGATCCTTCTGAGCGACTTCCTTGTGAATTTTGATGAACTCCTCGTCTTCTTCGAGAATTTTACCGCGCTCCTCTCGGGACAATCCTCGGGTTTTATTGAGATACTTGGTAATTGTTCCATCATCTTCCAGCTCCACATCACAATTGGCGATGCTGTGGACGAGAGCAATCGTTCCGCAAGCATTTCTGATCGTCTGCTGCATGAAGAACAAGTCCGGAGGATGAGTTTGCGGACTTTCTTTCAATTCGGCGCTCTCCTTGTCTCGATGAGCATGATACTACAACAAGATATCTTTATAACTTTGCAGACGGAAGGCCAGGATTCTATCTTACCGCATCTGAGCAGGGAAAGAGAATGATCACAGCCTTTACTGGTTGAGGGACCCATTCAAGCATTTCTGGTTCTAGACTTAAGATATCGACAATATTCCATTTCTTCGATACTCCCAACTTGTAAATATACTTGTTGAGCACCTAAAATCACAAGAATCCCATCCAGAGACTTTCTTTCTTGAATTCTACCTTGGAGTGATCTTAGCGCATATTACCTCGGGGTTTCCTTCTAGAGGGACAAGCCAAATAGTCATTTCGATGATATATTTCTGCTATTGGAAAGCACAGAATTCAATTTCAGGACGATAAATGCGGTGTACAAAAAGATGATTGTCCAAAATGACTGGGATAATTGTAGATAACTCGGATAACTACTCGCGCGAAATTTTCCCCGAAAAAATAAAATTCATCTAAAATACTTTTGAGAATCCCTGGAATGCCTGGAACAGTGAAATCTTCAGTGGGATAAACTCAGATTTGAATAGCAAATATATATTAGACAAAGATTTCAGCACTGGCTTACAAATTTACGCGGAAATGTTAGACTTCATTGAATGCATTTCCTCAAATTCATCATCAAAAATTCAAAGTTTAGCAAAGGATAAATGCGAACTTGTCGCTGAGAAATCAGTTTTGTGTGGCAGTCAAGGCAATCACGTTAAAGCGAACTTCCTCGGGATCGCGCTGCATGAAGACTTTGCAGACTTTCGCGGCATCCTGAAGGAGTGTGGCGTCCGAAGTGGCGCCATGCTTCACCGGAAACTCCTTGCGTCCATCGAGTTCGTACAATTCACCGTCCTTGTTGACGAATGCCACAAAGTGGTGGATGATCTTCTCGTCCGGATTCGGAGCCTCCGTTTGGCCTTCTTGAGCTACATCCTGATGAGTGCCAATAAACTCCTTGTCCTCCTCAAGAATTCGACCGCGTTCCTCAGGAGTCAATCCTCGAGTCTCCTTCAGATACTTCGTGAGCGTTCCGCCGTCTTCCAGCTCCACATCAGGATTGTTGGCGATGCTGTGGACGAGAGCAATCGTCCCGCAAGCATTCGGGATTGTCTGGCGCATGTAGAACAAGTCGCTGGGATGCTGCTGTGGACTGGCCTTCAATTCGGTGTTCTCCTTAGCACGGTGAGCTTCATACTGGAAGCAAAGGTTTCATGAGTATCCAGTAACAAGCTCAGACCACAATCTCACCGCATCTGAACAGGGAAAGAGCAGAATCACAGCCTTGACCGGTTGCGGAACCCATTCAAGCATTTCAGGCTCCAGCCCGAAGATATCAACAATGTTCCATTTGTTTGACACTCCCAGAGTGTAGATGTACTTGTTGAGAACCTATAAATAGACCAAGACAGAGCATTATTCTCATTATGGGGCTTCTTATCCGGACACTGCTGCGTCACCCGGCTTAACCTCACTTTGTAATTAAAAATCAATATCCAGTGAAATACACTGAATTATTAATTGAAAACGCCTTTAAATTATTTATTAGCTGTGAATCTATAAGATTCTACTGAAATACCATCGAATAATCTGCAAAAGGCAGCAATTTTTGCGAAACATACGCAAAGGAAGCGCCCATATAGACTTTTGCTGTTTCCCAAGTAAAAAATCTTACCTCAGGGTTCGATTCCAATGGTACAAGCCAGGGAGTCATATCGACAGCAGTTTTCGCTCGCGAAATTGGAAAAGAAATATTTTTTGAGCGTGAAATGCAAATTATTCACTGTAGAAACAAATGCAAACTCCTCTTCTGGGCTTCTTCGTTGTATTTTGCTCTCTCTCTCTATTTTTCCGCGAGGTGGCTGCACTGACGCGGCGGCCATTTCTTTTGGATAATTTCCCCAGAATGACGAGTGTTACAGCCAAGGTAAATTTTCACTTTTTCGCTAAACTAAACCATTTTCTTGCGTGAAAATTGGGTAGAAATGTTCCTGAAGCTTCCTGGGAGGAGATCGATGTGGAGGTGTAATGAGAAAATGTGATGGATGTGTTCTGCAGAGTGTTTTCTTGTGGCGGCAGTACACGTGTGACCTATCACAGTTATCTCTCAAATTCCCTGAAATTAGCTTATATTTCACTGATGTGCGTGATGAGATTCTTGAGGAATCTGGTCAGGAGTGGGCAGGGTCAGTGAATGATTGTGGGGATCAGAGAGTGGATGTTGTGGCGTGCAACAGTGGTTCTAACCTCAATTTGTGTTGTCTTTCAGCCCGCTGCGGCCCCTGCGGGCGACAAGGCCGGGAAGAAGATCAAGAGGGACAAGGCGAAGAACCCCATGCGAGAGCTGCACATCAGGAAGCTCTGCCTCAACATCTGCGTGGGAGAATCCGGTGACAGGCTCACGCGAGCCGCCAAGGTGAGTTGCATTGTGTTGCGAAATCCCAGAGATGCACTTTTTAGAGCGGAAATGAAGAGCCTTCTTATGGTCATTTCCGTTGTACACAAGTGCCAGAGCAATATCCTCCCATTTGCAACAGTTGCCTACTAATAAACTGCCAAACTAGGTGACTTACTTCGGGTTGAGACACGATTTATCCCGGGAAAACTAGTGTGATTTCTGAAATGGTGTGATTTTTTCTGTTTCCAGGTGTTGGAGCAGCTGACTGGCCAACAGCCCGTCTTCTCAAAGGCCCGCTACACCGTGAGGAGCTTCGGTATCCGAAGGAACGAAAAGATTGCCGTGCACTGCACAGTGCGAGGCGCTAAGGCTGAGGAGATCCTGGAGCGTGGCCTGAAGGTGCGCGAGTACGAGCTGAGACGCGACAACTTCTCCTCCACCGGCAACTTCGGCTTCGGCATCCAGGAGCACATCGACTTGGGCATCAAGTACGATCCCTCCATCGGAATCTACGGTCTCGACTTCTACGTCGTGCTTGGACGACCTGGTGAGTTAGCCTTGTTTTCACTGGAATGTCCAATGGTTTCTCGCGCAAAATTAGGTGCTAATGATAGAAATATTCCGTGTCATTGGCATTCAGTCAATGTGCGAAGATCAAACCCAGAATTCTCGAGTCAACAGTGAAATCTCATGTACAGAAGATTTACATGACTGAGAGATTATATTTGTCTTTCAAATTCATGCCCCGAATCGACTCATGCGATAGAATGAAGCACTGAATGCCTTCTTTTTCACCCCTTTTGCAGGATTCAACGTCGCCCACAAACGGCGCAAGATGGGAAAGATCGGCTTCCAGCACCGCCTCACGAAGGAGGACGCGATGAAGTGGTTCCAGCAGAAGTACGATGGAATCATCCTGAACAGCAAGAAGTGAAAAGTGTCCGTGGGCATTTTTAAATAAAATCAACCACACTCCGGAAGTATATTCTCAAATCTCTTTTATTAGTACAAAAAATAATGCGAGACATCGAGTTGAAAAATGCATGAGAATGAGTGAGACATTTTCCACATAAAAATAATGATGAACAAAAATTGCTTTGGCACTACAAAGATGCGCGCGAGAACATTAGGGGAATTTTTGTGTTAAGTTGTTCAAGATTGCATGGCGCGAGATTCACAAAGGAGAGAGCTCTCGAGGGGCTGCTTAGAATTCATCGTGGCGTGTGAGAGCCTCGCCAAAGTCCGTTGCCTGTGAGCCGACGAAGAGGTCGTACTTGTCCAGGATCTCGTCTTTGGTCAGCTTCTCGTCGGCGTCCGTGTCGGCCTCGTAGATTAAGTGGCGCGCCTCAGCCTCGGCGTGGTCAAAGTCCGCGGGAATGATCCAGTCGCGCACTTCCTCGCTGTTGAGGAAGCCGTCGCCGTCCTTGTCGCGGTACTTGGCGAACGTGTCGCGCTCGTTCTTCACCCACTCGGGCTCCTCCTCGCCGTCCTCACTGGCCCTGTACATGTCGCCGATGTACTCGTCCACGGAGACCTTGCCATCGGCGTTCTTGTCGATGTCCTCGATCGTCTCCGTGATGACCACGTCGCGCATCCGCGAGCTGTCCTCGGGGTGGAGGAAGTCGGTGAACTCCTTCCGCGACAGATGGTCATCTCCGTCCTTGTCTGCGAAGCTCCACCGCCGGCGGTCGCGCGTCAGCATGGCTTTGTAAGAGAATCCCTCATCCTCCCGATCCAGATCCCGCGGATCCATGTCGTCCATGAAGCCATACACGGCCTTCCGGTACGCCTCCCACGGGATGGTCTCATTGCCCGATGGATTGTGCTGCTTCCACTGGCGCTCCACGTCGTCCTCAATGTAGCGCCTCTGCGTGAATTGAATCCAATTCTTCAGCTCACCCAAATCCACCAGCTTATCGCCGTCGGAATCAATTTTCTCGACAATTACCCTAAATGAGGCGGGAAGAGAATGCATTAGAAGTGCACTCATTGCCACCCACGCGCGGTGACATCACTGGAAGCCACGCAATTCTCACCCCAGGCGTCGCCTGCTCTCCTCCGGCGGCAGCTGGTCGAACGTTTTGGCCTCTTCCTTTCCCAGGAACGCCTCGTGATCGTACTGTGTGTTGTGCTGCTCATTCTGGAAGTGCTGGGCATCCGACAGATCATAGTCCACAACTCGCTTCTCCTCCGGTTTTGGGATTGCCGACGCCGCGAGGATCGTCACCATGAAGAACGTGGCGCAGAATTGTAGAATCATGTCTTATTTCTCTCTGGCTTTCTCTGTGGAGGTCAAAAAGTCCACCCTAAAAAGAGACGACAAAAAATTATCAGCACAGATTTCCGGACTCGCGTCTTCAACGGCTGCAGCGAAACTGTGCTAATTTCTAAGTCTCATCACTGGCTTTGGCGTCGTGGGAGGGAATGTGAATCTCTCAATGAGAGTGACACACATTCTGGGAAGGAATTTGAATTTATTTGCAATAAGGAAATGAAGCGCAAACCGGCGAATGCATGAATTTCAGGGCCAAAAAGCCACTCTCGGAAGAGGGAAGTTTCCCCTGATTTAGGGTAAAATGAAATTTCTCGATTTCCACACGATACTTCAGTGTTTTCTACTCACCAAGTCGATTAAATACTCGAGAAGGACAGCGTGAAAGGGACTTGTGCACTCTGTATCACAATTTAGGGCCAGAACTGCGAATATTCTGGAAGCTTTGGGAGAAAATCCCGATTTTTGAGCTCCAACAACTCGTCGAATGAGTTGGAACCGCGAACGAGAGCGCCTCTCTTGGATTTATCGCGAAACCTTTCTTTTCGTTTGACGTTTTCAGTGAAAACCACGAAGGTACGGAATTGTGCTAATTTTCCCATTTTCACTCATTTCTCTGCGATTTTCCGCCAAAAATTTGCCGTGCAATGCAATTAGAATGTCTACAGAGTGATTTGGTGTTGTTAAATCACGCCTGAATGCGTTGAAAGTCGCAGAAAAAGAGTGAAAAATTGAAGGCTTCCGCACGTGGCACATAACCTCAAAACGGATTGTTTTCTGTTTATCCGGCTGCAGGTCTCAAGATGACAAACTCAAAAGGATACCGCCGCGGCACCAGGGACATGTTCTCCCGCCCCTTCCGGAAGCGCGGAGTCATCCCTCTGTCCACCTACCTGAAAGTCTACAAGATCGGCGACATTGTTGACATCAAGGGCAACGGCGCCGTGCAGAAGGGCATGCCATACAAGGCGTACCACGGCAAGACCGGCCGAGTGTTCAACGTGACGGAGCACGCTCTGGGCGTCATCGTGAACAAGCGCGTGCGACACCGCATCATCCCCAAGAGGATCAACGTGAGGATTGAGCACGTGAGCCACAGCAAGTGCCGCGAGGACTTCCTGAAGCGCGTCAAGGAGAATGAGAAGAAGCTGAAGGAGGCGAAAGCAAAGGGAGAGTTCGTGAATCTGAGGCGCATCCCAGCTCAGCCTCGTCCCGCCACCATCGTCAAGGACGCCCCAGAGCCAATCGTCCTGGCGCCCATCCCGTACGAGTTCATCGCCTAAGGAGGGTCTGAATAAAAGGCACTGACACGGTATGCTAAGTGGTTTCATTGCTGCATTATTCTCCAACGTAATTTTACAAACATGTCTAGTAACAGCTTACTCTACAAATGCTCTCGTAACAGAAAAGAATCACCATCTAAACGCGTGAGAGGACAATAAAATAAATTAGGATGTTCTTGCAATAAATATTAGAGATAGAAGGGAGAATTCTGTGGCTCAGAGGCAATCGCGCGACTGATAGAAGAGAATGTAGCCGGTTTCTGAGGATTTCTGAATGTCAGACGTGGGCAGTCCGTAGAAGTCCTCAATGGTGCACGCCTCGATTTTCTAGGGGAAAAGAGAAGAGAGTTGTTAGATTGATACATTCCGAGTTATCCATTATATTCTGCTCACATCAACCATGTCGTCATCAAAAAGGAGCCAAAACCCGTGGCTCTTGACGATGGAAATGTAGTGGCCGCGATTTGGTCCGGATCCACAGTGAATTACGACCGCCATTAAGTCGTATAGTCGGTCAGGATTCAGCGCGTCGTCGGACTGGAAGCAAAAGGGACAATCAAGTATTTGGCGGAGACGCGAAAAGGAATCACTCACCGTATTGAAGAGTCTGAGCTCGAGAGGGAAAACCACCCTGTGGGACACTTTGATGTGCCTGTTGTATTGCTCCATGTACTTGAACCGCTTGAGGTGCAGAGCCAGGATCATCGGTAGCTTCTTCACTCGCATCCGCTTCTGCGCCTCCTGGTAGCTGCAGCAGTTGTCACACTTGAACTTGTTATCGCTGCACAGCGTCTCGGTGTTGCTAAAGCACTTGAGGCAGTGCGTGATGCTGGTGTTCTGGTCCACGTCCACTTGCAGATCGAAGAAGTTCTCGTCCTTGCTGCTCACGGTCTCGCAGTTGAGGCACCGCGTCTCACTGGTGAGGATTCCCTGGAATATCTCGTGGACCCACGTCGGCTCAGGCGGAGACTCGCTGTTGCTCACAGGCTTGCCCTTGTGTTGATTCCGCTCCGCCAGGATGATTTCATTGATGTGGTTGATGAGGAAGTTGAGGAACTCATGCGCGTCCTGCTGCATGTAGTTGTCAAACTCCTCCTTCTCCTTTCGCAGACGCGCGATGAACTTCTTGGGTGCGATGCTGCCGACCTTCTTCTTCTGCGTGGCGATGCTGTAGAACAGGTCCGCCAGGCAGGAGAGGAGCGTCTCCTTCGTGCGTTTGTTCTTCGCCTTGTACTCCAGCACCTTCTCGCGGAACGGACGGCAAAAGTAGAGCGCCTGCAGCACAGAGTTGCTGTAGCATGTGTTGCCGAACTGTCCGGAAAAATGGTTGTAATTAGTTTCCGGCTGTTTGAATGAGTGACCTTCACGGCCACTTCCGCCCCCTGAACTCACGTTAACTAGTCCAAAGTAGTGTTCATTTGGTGGAAATTGATCAGATCCAATATCACGCTCAAGCTGGGAGATATTTGCACCCTGAAACACCGCAGAGAACCATGAAAATTGGAAAAACAGGGAAATTCGAGGGGACTTTTACCATTTTGTCTCCCTTGTACAATGTCAACAATCAACAAAACATTCTTCTTCCTCTATTTGTTCACTAATTGACTACTGAATTTGATCATGCAAGGCTTCACTGGAATCTCCTGTGATATCTTCACGTTTTTTTGCACTCTAAACACCAGAATATTGTGAATTATAGGGAAAATAACAAGGGAAAACAATTTTTTACGTCCTGAGATGTCAAAATCGATGAAATCAACTGTCGCTCGATTCATCGATTCGCCGGATTGCCAGATGAGTGTTGTGGTTTTTCAATCTCTTATTTAGGGGAGAAATAAGAAAATTTCCTGAGCGGTTCATGAAGTGTAGAGTAGAAAATGTATTTAGAATGATATATTCAACCGTTCTATTGCATGACAATATGAGAAAATTACGCTTTTCATATTTTGATAAGGAAACAAAACAATCCGCAGCGACACCTACGAGAGGACTCTTGAAATATATTTACGATTCTATTTCAGGTTACAAGGATCACAGATATTGTATGCATTCAATAATTATGTCACTGGATACATTAAGTACATCTTCGTGCATATATTTATAAATTCATTTCACATACTGTAGTTCTTGCATGCCTCGTTTTGGAAATTTCATATAAGATTCTAGGTATGTTAGTAAATTTGCTTATGAGTGTGTCTTTTGAAATGCTACACAGAATCCCATTTTACCAGAAGCTATTTGGGTTTTATTTCGAGATTCTGTCATCAAATTGATCCACCCATTATTTTTAGTAGAAAACGAATTGATTTTCCCCGCAGTGAAAAGTCCTGAATGAGCATTTACACCGTGATAAAGGCAGTGAAGATGCTTTATCAATTGGCGTGGTATATTTTCTCGTTTATCTGTCATCTGTGCAACATCCTGTGGATTCTCTACAATGTGACACTGGCTGGGATTCCTTGGCTGACATTCGTCATCCTCTGCCTCTGCGTGGCTTCCTTCTTCGCCCGGCTGCCCAGTCCCAGTGCCAAGGTGTTGGCCGCAATCCTGGGCGAGAAGCCAGGGCAGCTGCACTTCCCGGTTGTACATCGCGGAGGGGCTTTTGATACGCCGGAAAACTCCTTGGCGGCGCTTAAGAAGGTGAGACAACGCTTTCGACGTCTTGAGAATGTGGAAATGATATTGTTCTTTCCAGTGCGCCACTCTCAATAGTCCACAAGTACTGCTGAACCTGGACATGACTGCCTGCGGAGAGTTGGTGATTCTGCACAAATCCACTCTGCAGAAAGCTGGCCACTTTGCCCAGATTGACAAGATAAAATTCGAGTCGCTGCAGAACTTTAACATCTCCGAACATCATCCGCTAGCCAGCCAATTCCCACCAGAACGCATCCTCACCCTGGCGAATCTCATTCCACAGGTGGAGAGACTCAACTTGACGGTTTATCTGCTCCTCGCGGAAAATTCCAGGATCGTTCCTGCTCTCAAGCAAACTATCGCGAAGAATGAGAACTTCCCGCGCCATCGCATAATCTTCTGCAGCAAATCCCCTCTGGATATCTACCAGGTAAGCTTCTGAAATATCTTTGTTTCTGGGAAAAGCGATTAACTTGGCATCACTTTTAGTTGAGGAAGCAATTTTCCGACTTGATTTGCGGCTTGTGGCTTGTGAGAATCGAACCGCCAAAGTTCGTTCCGGGATTCTTTTCATCCCTCTTCACGTCGCTTTTTGGTGCTATTATTCGCAATGTGATCGTGCCGATGATTGGAATCAGCGTGGCGTTTGTCGACAAGAACGAGTTCAATCAGTGAGTGAGACATTCCCATTCCACTTCCCAGAAAACTGACATTCTTCTCCCTTTTCAGGCAAATGCTGGACTTGTGGCGAAATGTGGCTGTGCAGCCGATTGTGTACACAGTCAACTCGCCAAACGAGAAGCGATACTTTCAGCGAGCCATGAAAGTGCAATATCTCACCGATTCCCTTCGATCCGAGCCTGATCTGCTCATCAGGCAGGAAGTCTCTTAAATGTCTGTTTGCAGCTTTTCCGCGATCTCTTCTCTCCTCTTCTACAGCAGGACGACTTAGCAATAAAGGCCAGTAATAACATTTTCTACAATTAGGGCTTCGTAGAGTAGTTTAAGGCAGTGTTTCAAACACCAAAGATTTCGAACCATTTCGAAGAGAGATTTTTTTTATTTATTTTCACGCAAAGTATTACATGTTGTCTCAAGAAACAAGGCATTTCTCACCGAACAATGTAGAGATTTAAGTTTAGCGTGTAAGAAGTGAAATATACAACACTTAATTCAATGAAAATTGGACAATTTTGTGCAAATTCCATGCTTTCTTGCATTTCTCACAACGTGATTCTACAAAGCAGTTCTCGGAATCGTGATTGCAAACACGACACTTGGCGTAAAAGTTTGAAGTCTTGCATTTAATTTATGATTTTGCGAGACAACGATTTTGCACCAATACCAGAATCAATGTGAATAGAACCAGAAGAAAGACTCCCAGTAAAATGTTGGTAATTGAGAAAATTCCGCGCAATTCTCTGCCAATTGAAATTGCGGAATTGCGACAAAACTCCTCCAAATCGAGACTATTTTCACAGAAGGTGTATTTATAATCATCATCAGCTACTTCGTAATTAGACGAATTCACTAAAATGAAGGGAAGTTTGTCTGCTAATCTGCCCAGGAAATTTCCTTTTGTATAATTAGTGACGGAATCCGAAGTTACAGCAATGATTATTCCTTCTTCATGACGATCTTCGGAAAGTTGAGCGCATTCCCAGTACACAAATATCTCCTCGTCGATGTAGAGAGCACGTTTATCGCCAGAAATTCCCCAATGAGGACAAACTTGTATAACTTCTGGGAAATGATTCAATGAAAGGAAGGAGATTTTGTGGATGGTGTAGAAATCACGGGTGTGAAGAAGTCTGAGGAATGTTTTGCGACCGAAATTCAACATTGAACGAAGCGCACAATCCAAGCAACTCTTCTGAATTCTACCCAACACAAGATCCTCGGATGCTTCCTCAACGCTAAAGTCCCAGCAATTGATGAACTGGCCCAGGAAGTTGCGAAAGTACGGAATATTGCCTGATTCGTCGTGCATGAGATAAACTGGACGGTATAAATGTGCGTTAGATATGGAAATAGTTTGAAAAGTGCCAAAATTCGGACAGGGACCAGGAAAGGTATTCCCAGAGATAAGTTGTGGGAGGAGCAGGAAAAGACCAGTGATCAATCTCATGGTTCAAGGTGGACTGAAAGCGGGCAGGAAGATAAGCGAAAATCAATGTTAATTCTCTCCCTGATGATATGTGTTGCAAGATTTCAGTGGAAAACGACGGGTCATAAAGAAGAATTATTCTCTCATTTATCACCTCGGTTCATTGTTGGGTATCAGAAGAAGAGGTTTTCCCCAGTCTATCGTGGCAGTGTGATTGATCGCACTGATACAGAGAAATGCTAGGGATTTTTTTAAGTAGCAAGTTTATTAAACATTCCAGTCAGAGAGAAAAATGCGAAACTATAGTGGTATTTGGGATGCAAAGGCTTAGACTCCGGAAATGTTTCCGATCCAGTTGCGGATCACAGCAACTCCGACGCGGGCATACACTCCAGGGAAGTTGGGGTGAGCGCACTGGTGGCCGAAGGACACAACACCGTGCTGGACATGTCCCATGGTGGTCAGTGGGCCGCCAGAGTCGCCCTGGCAGGCATCACGTCCGGGATGGGCGGCGCACAGCATGCTGGCGGTGATGATGTTTCCGTAGGCAGACTGGCAAGCAGCACGAGAGACAACGCCGACCTCAGCCCACTGTAGGTTGGTGGCCAGGGATCCCTGCCACTGAGTGTGTCCCCAGCCGTTGATGAGAGCGCGGGCTCCAGCAGCCATATCGCCACCGCTTCCAGCAATAGGAACAGAGCGGATGTTGGTTCCAGCCAAGTTGGTGGTCACACGGACGAGACCGACATCGTTGTTCAGCTGGGATGGGCTGTTGTACTGAGGATGGATGTGGATCTGGTCGGCCTGGAAGAGCACACCGCCGGACAGACGGTTGGCGCTGCCTCCGCGGAAGGTGATCTGGTTGGCAGGAGCAGTGGGAACGCAGTGAGCAGCCGTGAGAGCCCAACGGGCGGCGATCACGGAAGCGCCGCAAATGTGGCCACCGTTGCGCCTCAGCGACAGGGAATAGGGGAAGTCAGCGATGTTGGCATTCTGGCCACCAACGATGAATCCGTCGATGTCGCGGTAGTACTTGGGGTAGGCGGCTGTAAAAACCAACACTCAGCACTGTTGCAGTCACGAAACAAGCCCACACTCACCTGCCGAAGCAAAGACCAGGGCCAACAAGATGAACAGCTTCATGATTACTTTGAGCACTCACGAATGTGCCTGGTCAGGGAATTCCGTGGGCTTTTATACCATCGTGCTGCTTGCCGTGGTCAGTGCTAAAGGAGGTTCTTATCAGGAGGAGAACCGATTAATTAGGATTTGAGGTACTACTGATAGGAATTTACAACGGAGGCAAAGCAATAAATTCAGCAATCAGGGCTTGTGATAAGAGGCTCGGTCATAAGTCTCTAAATTGTTTTCTCAATGAATTCTCAGAGGACCGATGTGTGTTGGTTTCGGATGACTTTGAACTGCGCAACAATCTTCCAACTGGGTTTTCCCACGGTCTCGAGAGTTGACGTAGAATTGATATGCCATAAAACATATCAAAGGATCAGGTAATCGAGGTAATCAGATCAGCATAATTTCTGCAGAGCTCGAAGGAACAGTAATAAAAGGAATACAAATCACATGGATTGGTAGTGACAGGGCGCACATAAATCATCATCACGATCAGGAGTTAAAAGATATAACGAAAGTTAACTATAACATTCTTAACTATTTTCATTCTAGGCATTCTAGGTAAGCCATGAAAAAATGGCCGATATGATCAAAACTACGCATAAATATGACCCCTTGTAAGAGCAAAGAAGACTACCAGACTACCACAGTCTCTACATCTTGAACCTCTTGAACGCTATCAAGAGGTAGATGTCGTGAAGCAAATACGCCTGAATGTAGACTGTTTGAAGTTGATCCTTATCTTGCATTATAATTATTGATAATAACGAGCTAATCTATGTATGCCGACATGCAGTCTAGCTAAATCAAGAAAGTCTCGAAGTTGTGGTTAAATTGCAAATTTATTAAACATTTCAGTCAGAGAGAACAATACGAAACTGTAGCATTTTTTGGGTAGATGCAGCAGACACAATTAGATTCCGGAAATAGATCCGATCCAGTTGCGGACAACAGCAACTCCGACGCGGGCATACACTCCAGGGAAATCAGGATGAGCGCACTGGTGGCCGAAGGACACAACACCGTGTTGGACATGTCCCATGTTGGTCAGTGGGCCGCCGGAATCACCCTGGCAGGCGTCACGTCCGGGATGGGAAGCGCAGAGCATGCTGGAAAGGAGCAAGAATGTCAGATAAATTCCAAATATATCTTAGATTATTACCTAGTGGTAATGATGGCTCCATAAGCAGCCTGGCAGGAAGCACGAGACACAATGCCAACATCGGCCCACTGAAGGATGGTGGAGAGAGATCCTTGCCACTGAGTGTGACCCCAGCCGCTGATGAGAGCGCGGGCTCCAGCATCCATATCGCCACCGCTTCCGGCAATTGCGACAGTCGCAATATTGGCTCCCACAAAGTTGGTGGTCACGCGAACAAGAGCAACATCGTTGTTCAGCTGGGATGGGCTGTTGTACTGAGGATGGATGTGGATCTGGTCGGCCTGGAAGATGGTTCCGCCCTCAAAGCGGTTAGCGCTGCCACCACGGAAGGTGATCTCGTTGGCTGGGGCAGTTGGGACGCAGTGAGCAGCCGTGAGAGCCCAGTTTGGACCAATGATTGAAGCTCCGCAAATGTGGTTTCCGTTGCGTCTCAGCGACAAAGAGTAAGGGAAGTCAGCGATGTCGGCATTCTGGCCACCAACGATGAATCCGTCGATGTCGCGGTAGTACTGAGGAAAGGCGGCTGCCGAAGCAAAGACCAGGGCCAAAAGGATGAACAGCTTCATGGTTACTTTGAGCACTCACGAATGTGACTGGTCAGGACAGTGAATGGGCTTTTATACCTCGAGAAGCGATAGATTCGGCGTGGTCATTGCTAACATAATAGGGATTTGAGCTACAGTTGATAAGAACATACAATAAATCCATTCAACAATCTAGAGCGAAGATAAGCGGCTTGGGCTGCTTGGTCAGGAGTTTCTCAATGAAATTTTACGGAAGATCTGATTGATTTCAGTAGACTTTGAAGTGTTTTACAGTCTTCCAATGTGGGTTTTCCCGTTGCCTTATTTTTACGTTTCATGTCTTTCATGTATTGCTAGAGGAAAGTGGAGTAGCAAAAGTCGGAGACATTTTTCCTTCAATCAAGATTGAGATATTGATTTCCTTTCCAGGGGTATTACCTGCATACTTCTCTAATTCGTCTCTCTTTTAAACATATGAAGTTCACCTGACCACCGCTTTTAGCACTAGTATCGAAAATCCTGGTTTTCCTTGATGTTTCAATGTAATCTACTTTCCCCTGACTTGATTTAGGCTTTCATTGGTTGAATCTAAGACCAATTACTGATAAATTTGCCGCAGATTCACGACAATCTTTTGGAAAAAACGCTTTGTGCCTTAATCCATTTAGCACTTAGGGCTATTTTCAGCGAGATCCGATAAGGCGAATTCGACTCTTTTGCCATCAATCATTCCGCTTTGAAAAACCCCCAATTTTGGGATGCTGAAGCGAAACCACCAAAGTTCCTTTGTCACTGTTTATTAGAAAATAGAAGGTGGAGAAACACGAAAGATAAATTGGTGACTTACTAGACAATTTCCCGGGGAAGATCTTCGATAGATTTCCTCAGCGCCTTTCCCTGTTTCTGCCATTTATATTGAAAGAAAAATAAATCTCTTCCACATCTCGATGTGTGTGATCATCTCTAAATAAATCTACCTAGAAAAGTCTTAAACAGAGACTTTGATAAATAAAGAAATCTACACTGTGTATAGAAAATAAAAATAATTCTCACTTAAGCTTCTAATATAGATTTGTGTAAATATATAAAATTTTTGTGTTATCAAGTTGTACAAGAGTCACACTGAAGGAAAAAAGTTGACTTTCAGATATAGAAATGCGTCGAATTAAGTGTGAAAGTTTTACTATTTTAAGTTTTTACTTTGGAGAGATGGGAATCTTGGTCAATCTTATGCTTCTCAATTCCCCACTTTTACAAAAAATCTGCCCCTTTATACAGTAAATTCATTATTGCGCTCCTTTGATACGTTTTCGTTCATCAACTCTCGTTTTCCTTTTTTTTGATTTCCTATCCATTCTCTGTCTCTCTTTGCAAGATTATTCCTTGATTTTATACAATTATTTATCAATTGAGTTTATCTGTAGTTTTTTTTGGGATTATTTGTTATGCATTTTATCCTTGTTACAATTACACTAGATTACTTTAGAAGTTTCCATTTCTCTTAAAATGTCCTCACGTTGTCGGGCAGCAATTCAGGAAATCCGGCAACTACTCTTTTCCTGTGTATTTCCATTGTCCCGGTCAATTTGTTGCAAGAGGGAATGAAAGATGTCGGCCACAGACTGTTGAGAAGAGAGCAGAAAGAGCGATTGATTCACAGGCACGCAATCCATCAATTAGGACCACTTTCGGGTAATCCAAAGGCTCTACTTACCTCATTCTGTTTCGCAGAAGTCTCTAGGAAGTTCGCTTTCCATGCCTCAGCCATCTTCTTGCCCTCTTCCGTGGTAACAGCTCGCTCCTGATGCAAGTCAGTCTTGTTTCCAACAAGAACAACCGGTACGCTAAGGAAGAGAGTGGAGAAGGTGAGTTGTGAGATTTCTGTGAACAACTTGGAATGATGATGAGCTGGATTTCAGTTGGGACTCGAAAAATGTTCTGGATTTTACAAATAAAAAAAAAGAAATACTAAACTGCTCAAACTACATAATAAAGAGCCTTTTTGACTTATACAATCGCAGATATAAATTTGATCACAACATTTAACATAATTTAAGAAAAAAAAAAACAGCTCAACCTCAGTGAATGGAATCGAAACAGGTGAAAACTGCCTTTTTCTGCTTTATCTGACGAGTATAAAAAGAGGCGCATATCAATTTCATGAGCCTATTTGACATAAGTGACTGTGTCCGATGCCTTATTGCTGGTTTTCGCGACAAAAACCATTTCCAATGAGCACAGAAAGGAGTTGCAATGGAAAATTACGGCTCATAAAAGGACGGAAAATTGTTTACTAATGGGTTGAAGACCTTTGGCAATTTGGGTCACATTTCAATAAGTGATTTGCCATGGAAAGTGTGTTTCTTGGACTGAATGTGACCTAAATATTGCGTCCTAAAATAGTCATGTGCCAAGATTGAGGCCGCAAACTTACTGAGAGCTTCCCATGACATCGCTGAGCTTCTCGTAGATGATTTGAATGACTTCGAAGGACTTCCGGCTGGTGATGGAGTACACGAGCACGTAGCCGTGGAAGTCCATGCTGTACTGCGCCGGGAATATGCTGTACTCATCCTGGCCGGCCGTGTCCACCAGCTTCACCTCGTAGTCAGTCGAATTCACTCTGGTGAGCTTTGTGAATGCTGCAAACGAAGACATGCCATCAGCCTTTCATTCATAAGTACGCAAAAAGCCACGCAGAGCGAGGCTTTTGTGTCTCTAATGCGTAGTTTCTCTCTGCCAATTTCCCACTAATTGTGCGACCCGCGCTCAGGGGCGCTGCGGCGCGGGAAGCAGGGCAGAGAGACAGGTCAGATAAGGAAATCTCCACTCACTATTCTCGATTGTGGGATCATAAGAATCGACGAATTGACCTTGCACGAATTGGATGCTGAGCGAGGACTTTCCTGGAAAGACGCAGAGGAAGAGAGAGGCGTGAGGGGGAAATCGCGCGAGGACACACGGGGAAAACCCGTGCCCCAAATTGTGCGACTTTGACAGTCTCACCAACACTTCTGTAGCCCATCATGGCAATATTTCTCTCCTTGGCCGGCATTGTGGCTGCTCAGATGCTCTCGCTAGCGCTACAGTATAAATGGTGCGGTGTAAATTGAACAGAGATTGCTGGTGAAATTCACAGCGACAACACTTGGGCACAATTTCTCAATTTCCTAAGTACTGTATTTTCCAAATACGCCATTTGTTTGGCATTTCTTCGTTCAGTTTTCCCACACGAGGTCGTTCACTTTTTTATACTGTTTGGGACACGTCGAGACTGGGTATTTTTTACGCGTCGCTCAGATGGTGTAAAAATGTGCGCAATTATGGAAAGTGACAGTTGCTATGTCGAAAATTGTTTCTTTACTCAGCTGATCACAATTATCCAATTGATATTTTTGATATCTTACCACGTGATTGTCATCCCCTTCAGTATGCCTGAATATCATCGGCAAGAAATCTAAAATAAAGAAAAATGGCTAGATTTTTTCATAGAGGCTTTATTACATTCAATCTCAATCACTAATATTTATTCCTCGCAAATGAAATCTTTAGAAGATTCGCATGTAATGTACATAAACGAATTATGTATCATGTTAACCACAGAAGCGAACTAGATATTATAAATACAGGGAAAGCACTAGGTTTAGCGCGCCAGCTGGATAATGAGGGCCGCGCACATCTCGAAGAACTCCATCGTGTGATGCCCGGTGCACTGTTGTGGGAAGATCGGGTTGAAGGAGCCGGACAAGTTGGTGGGCGGCGTCATGCTCTCCATGTCCATGATGACGTCGTCGCCCTGCTCCACCTCGTCGCTGGTGAGCGACTTGAAGTCCAGCAGGAAGGACTTGGCGTCCACTTGGTAGAGCTGCAGGGACATCTTTACGTGCTTGCCGCTGGACTTGTTCTGCCTGCGCACGCGCACGTGGTACGGATTGATGACCTTCCACTCGAAGTCGAGGGCCTTCATGGCTCTGTACACTTCCAGCATGATGTCATTGGGCTTGCTTTGCGACCGGATACCGAGGTGCCACTTGGCGCGCTTCACTGGAGTACCGCGCGACTTGTCTGTGCCCTGATACGTCGTCGTGTTGGCCAGGACACGCTCTCGCAGCGGCGCGATCCTCTCTGGATGTGGTCGTCCAGGCACGGGAGTGGAGTGGCTCTCCTGCTTCTCGCTGGGCGTGACACTGACCGGAGGCGGACTGCCCGCCACGTAGAAATCCTTGATTTCCGCCTTTGCAGCCTCGTCGGCGATGCGTTTGTTGTCGATTATCAAGTGATAAGCGATGGCCAGCTGATCGTGAGGATCCCCACTGAGTAGAGCGTTGTGCACTTCGCTCTCCTTCACGCCGAACTTCTCGCAAACCTCACTCACGGCATACGTGTCGATCACATTGCTATCCTGTTCAACGGGCGACGGGAAGAGATAAGATGGCAACTCCTTCTGGAACCAGTCGTGCTTCTTGATCTCTTCAATCGTGGCTCGCCGCAGAGGATCCACCTGTAACATCTGGCACAGGAGGCTCACGACTTGCTTGTTGAGGTACTCAGGAATGGGGAAGATTCCCGACTTAATCTTGCGGAAGAGCGTGGGCACGTGCTCGTCGTCGAAGGGAAGTGTTCCACAGAGAAGAGCATAGAGAATGACTCCGCACGACCAGATGTCCACCTCTGGGCCAGCGTAGAGCTTACCAGAGATTACTTCAGGCGCCGCATAATTGGGCGATCCGCAGGACGTCCTAAGAAACTCTCCATCCAACATCATGTTGGACAGTCCAAAGTCTGCGATCTGGTCAAGACAAGGTCATTTAGGCGTTACTCACAACTACGCTGTGTGGTTTCAATTTACCTTGACGTGCATGTTGTGATCAAGGAGAAGATTTTCCGGTTTCAGATCACGATGCACGATCATGTGACGATGACAGTAATCCACACCGGAAATGATCTGCTGAAAGAATCGTCTGGCTTCGTGCTCCTGCAGCTTCCCATGCTTCACTATGTAGTCAAACAGCTCTCCTCCACTCACGTACTCCTGCAAAGGTGGCAATCATCAGCACACACCCTCGACTGTCCGCGCAATCTCTCTCCTTACCATTATCATGAAGATGTCCGTGGGCGTTGAGATTACTTGATAAAGCTTGATGATGTGCGGATGCCTGAAGAGCTTCAGGTTCTGAATTTCTCGCCTGATCTTCCCCACGACATCCAGACTCTTAATCTTCTGCCTGTTGAGGATCTTCACGGCCACTTTGTGCTTCGTGAGCTGATGCTCGCCAATCTTCACCTTGCCAAACGTTCCAATTCCGAGGGTATTTCCCAGCAAATAGTGGCCTATCTTTACGATTGGCTGTGGCGTGGAATTGTCCGATCGGGAGAAGTTCTTCTCAGACATCTCTGCTAATTCTTACAACTTCTGCAAACAGAAAAAAAACACTGTGTGTATTTTGTGACGCAGAAAAATATCATTGAACGACCCTACATGGGAATCACTTCCTGGGCAACTCACCGTGGCTTTGTTATCACAATAATTGACCAAATTCGCCTGTTTTTCACGTGAAAAACATTTACATCATAAACGGCACTATCTGGAAAGCGAGTGCGCTGGAGAGAAGAGGCAATATTTTCTAATTTTCCAGCAATTGAGTGAGAAGAAAAAACACCATAGAAAAATACGTGGTAGTAGGGGTAGTACTACTCCGGGTTGCCATGTGCGATTCCTTCGTTAAGTGAAAGTATGACATGTCGTTCGGTTGCCTTCGCTTGAGCGCTTCTCTTTTCCGCACGGTTCAGCGCAATTTCACGGTAAATACCGCCAGTTTGTCCTTCTCCGGGATCTCAGCATCGTCAAGAGTGAGATTGTATTCCAAGTTTCGCTATTCGCGCCGTGTTCTCGAGATCATGTCAGAGGAAAAGGGATTGCAGGGCGCTAACCTCAAAATCGGGACTCACGATGGAAAGTTTCACTGCGACGAAGTCCTGGCGTGCTTCATGCTTCGCCAGCTGGACAAGTATAGGAATGCAGAGATCGTCCGGACGCGGAAGGATGAGATCTTGGACCAGTGCGACATTGTGGTGGATGTTGGAGGAGTGTTCAACAAGGAGAAACTCCGATTTGACCATCATCAGAAGTCCTTTGGTGATTCCCTGAGCAGTCTGAAGCCGGAAGTCGGAGACAAATACACTATCAGGTAAATTCCGATTCTCTGTTTATGATTCTCAGGCATAAACACCTTGATTTCTGCCCAGATTGAGCTCCGCTGGATTGATTTACGTTTATTTCGGTGAAGATATCATATCGACGATTCTGTTCAGGGAAGCTGGAATAACGCTGGACAAGAAATCCCTTGCGATGATATATAAGATGGTGTATGAAAAATTCATCCAGGAAATCGATGCCATCGACAACGGAGTTCCTATGTATCCGGGAGAGGAAAGATATTCGATCAACACGAATATCAACTCCAGAATTGGTGACTTAAATGGTCGTTGGATGGCTGTGAAAACGCCCTTCGACACCGAAGCGGCTTTCCGGAAGGCCATGGACGTTGTGGGCAACGAGTTCATCGATAAAATCATCTACTATTCGCAATCTTGGCTACCGGCGAGATCAATTGTGGAAGATGCACTGAAAAATCGCTTTAAAACGCACGAATCTGGTAGTATTTTGATCTTGGAGCAGTTTTGCCCATGGAAAGAACACTTGGCAATTCTGGAGACTGAACAAAAGATCGAAGGAAGCATTAAGTACGTTATCTTCAACGATAAGGAGGCGGATGTTCGGTGCATGGCCGTGCCAATAACGCCAGATAGTGTGATTTGTCGAAAGTTCCTGCACAAGGACTGGAGAGGATTGCGGGGCGATGAACTGGAGAAAATCTCTGGAATCGAAAAGATTAACTTTGTGCACCACAACGGCTTCATTGGCGGTGCTTTTAACAGGGAAGCTGCCCTGAAGATGGCTGAGAAGAGTCTCCTAGGCAATTATACAGATTAGGAAACTATATTTTATTAAATTTCTGATCAAGCAACATCTTGACTCTTCCCAGGTTTGACTGGTTCGTCCTCACACTCTTCATTCTCATTGTCCTCATTTTCTTCTGGGCTTTTGCCTGAAAAATCATGTTCACTGAGATACTCAAGCCATTCGAGGAAAGGTTTTTCCTTGATTTCCGTCTCGGTTATTATCGGATAGACTTCTTCTCGGATGAATTTCTGAATCTCCTCTTCGTACTCATCCCACAGGAGGGGAGAGTGAATCCCATCATTTCCGTATCGTTTGTTGTAGCGATCATAGTGCAGTGTGTCGAGAACTAGACCTAATCCCGGGGCTCTTGGGATGTAGAGGCGAGTATCACTGAAGGCAGTTTCCAGAATCTTCGTCTCCGAGTGGCCACGAAGGATGGACAGCGTAAGGCCAACCATCTTCCTGATCTGGTGCATCATGAAGCTCTGTCCCTTCACTCTAATCACTGTAAATTCTACGCCATCTACCACGAACGGATCGTCGCACGTGAAAGACATGATGTAGCGATTGGCGGAAGGATCGAAGAAACCCTTCTTGATCGTAAAGTTGTAGTAATTCTTCGAGCCCTCGAACATCTTCAGCAGGCAACGCAATCTCTGCAGGACATCCACAGGAACGCGGTAGGTCTCCATCTTTGCCTCAGTGTCTGCGTGATTGCTGAATGCAATTGTGGGCAATGTGTAGGTGTACGTCCTGGCGAAGCAATCATTCTTCGAGTTGAATCCCTGAGTTACTACCTTCACGGCGAACACTCTTATTTCCTTGGGCAAGTCCTCATTCAGCGCTGCCACATTCAACTCCAGTGGAAGCTTCAGGGAAACCAACTGTCTGATCGCAGACACGCCTTTATCCGTCCGGGCTGCTCGCTGGAATGATATTGACTGTGGCATATTGTAGGCCTCATCTGTGATCCATTTGTGCTTTAGCATAGCCGCTAGCAGCTCCTCTTCCACCGTCTTTACGCCCTCATTCCTCTGCATCCCGAAGTAATTCTTTCCGGAGTATCCCAGCATGATCACTGACTTCTTCCTCTTGATCCGCACGAAGTTCTCCGGACAGGCTCTCTTCGCCGCCTCTTCCGTCTGGGGCACGTTGTAGTTCGCCCTTTTCCTGCTCTCATACCGTGGCTTGTAAGAGTTTTTCTGAGCCTTCTTGGCCGGTATCTTCTTGGCCAGCCGGTCTTCAATGGCTTCAGACATTATATTGGCGAAATGTCCAATGAATCTTCTCTCTGCAAAGAAAATAGAATGTAGACATATTCCTGTAGACGTTTACCATGTCTTACCTGTAAAAACTAAGCTACGCTGCAACAGAGGCAATCTAAACATTAAGATTTGTTACGAAAACACGTGCAGAACTTCTTGTTTTCACTACAATCGCGATTTTTACGATTTTCCGAGCTAATCTCGCATGGCAAGACTTCGTCAAGTGAAATATTCCCCATGCAGCGTATGCGCGATTCGATAATCCCAGCAGAGTGATCCATTACCATTATTCACATATATTTGTGTTTTTGCACGATAAATTGACGATAGAAAGAAATGTAACTATAATTCCGGCTCGTGTATAAGAAATAAGATAAGAAATTGAGTGACAATAATTTAGTTCGTAGTCGAAGCATTGCGTTTTTCTTTGGTTTTCGGGTGAATTGGACTCGCCAGTCGGGATGTTCGAAAGTGTCTTATCAGCTGGTGGTAGTGGAAGGGGAAATCGCTTGGAGAAAAAAGTGTTTAAATGTCATAGGAAGGATTTTCCATCACAAATACTGCACATCTCAGCGGAATTTTGACTCTTTTCATCACATTATCGATAATTTTCTGCGTTTATTGCACTGCAGGTGATTTTCTCAAGTTTCGCACTGAGAATTTATGGTAAGAAAATGGCTGTGTCCCGAGCAAAGGCATTTATGGTGACATCACGGTGAGTAAAAGAGCCCACAGACTCTCGACCAATCTTGAAACGCGCTCCTCTTTTAGCGCTCTGTCCACGACGTCTTCCGTATGGCGCGATGGCAGCGAGTCATGGCTCAGCAAGTTACTGGTGAGGAAGATTGAGCCTACGAAGGAGCCTCACAGTCGAATGCTGAGCGACAAGGAGATCATCTATGCGCTGCACACGCACAATGTGCGCCCGGACTCAATAGCCAAGTACCTGGCCAATTACAAGACCACAGTGGAGCTGATAAATGCGAAGAAGGACATCTCTTGTGACCTCATTGCGTCTTGGACAGTGCAAGTGGGCGACATGGATCAGTGTCTGCATCTCTGGCGGTACACGGGAGGATTTGAGGCCATCGATCAGGCAAAGGACAATCTCTGGCACGACCAGGAGTATCTCAGGCTTATGCAGGAGCGCGGGAATTATCTGAGATCCCGGCATTTGCAGTATCTCCTCGCATTCAGCTACTGGCCTCAGATCCAATTGCGCTCTGGCGAGAACCACATCTACGAGATGAGGTCGTATCGCCTGAAACCGGGTACGATGATTGAGTGGGGCAATAATTGGGCGAGAGCCATCAACTACAGGAGGAACAACGATGAGCCCTTCGCTGGATTCTTCTCGCAAATCGGTCGGCTGTATAATGTTCATCATATTTGGTGTAAGTTTGATGGCAAATCTGCCCCAAATGCAGGATGACTATTTGATCCCTCTTCCAGGTTACAAATCACTGCAGGCGCGCAAGGAGACCCGAGAGGCCGCCTGGCGCTCTCCGGGTTGGGATGAATGTGTGGCCTACACTGTGCCCCTCATCCGGGAAATGCACTGCCGCATCCTGGCGCCCACTGAGTTCTCCCCAACAAAGTAATCCCATGGAAGCTCGAGAGTGTTTATATTTTTCTATGAGAGATTTTATACATGTGCTCCCGTTGTCCTGCGAAAAGTGTCTCCACATCATCCGCTATCAGCTCTAATCTCATTGGTACTGTATATATGATTTTCCGGGATTATTTACGCAGAATAAATTGTAAATATATAAAGTGTTTTCGAAATCGGGTTCGCGAAATCCCACGAGAGGGGCACTGGGTCGCGCTACCCCGCGAATCCCCCAGAGGCGCCACGGTCGCCCCTCAGACTCATCGATCTCATCGATGTTTTCACATTCATTCATTCAAAAGTGGAAGGGCCTTGTGTGTGTCAAGATAACAAATAATTGGTAAAAATATCGTGATTACGCCCTTTCAGCGGACACGGGTCGACGTGAAATGTGCCAGAGTGTGTCGTATAATGGCAAGTGCATCAATTTCTGATGCATTCTCCACCGTGGCCGCGGGCACGTTGCCGTTCTCGCTGAAAATCCGTGGCCGTCTGCTTTGAACCTGCCCAAGAGGTGAACGCCATTTTGATTTTGGATGGAAGGTCCGTATTAAATAATTCGCCCATTTTCACGCACTTTCACGCTGCGGACGATTGTGGGGCGTGTGGGGCGCATTTCGGTGGCACCTGTAGTCGCCTTTCCGGGGCCCTGGCGAGACTCTGGGGGCGGTCGATGCGGTGAAAAAAGTGAGAGCGGTGGGTGTGACGCGGATTCTCGCAACTTTTGTCGCAGTGGATGCCAGAATAGTTGTTCACTGGGCAAAATCTCCGCACCACACGGTCAGATAGTGTCTCGCGGCTGGCGGAATGGGGCTCAGGGTGGGCGAGGATGTGTGCCTGAAGGAGTTTTTCGGCGATTCTCCTCCATCTCCAACTCTTTCGCTCATTCTCTTCCTCTCCACCTCTTTCTCGTCTCCTTCTCTTTGGCCACATCGCATGAAAATTCCCTTCAATTGTTTATTTTGTTATTGTGTAGCATGTTTTTTGCACTGCTGTGTGTGAAAATTATGCCAAGAGATATTCCCTCTGTCCATGGGAATATGCGAGACAATTGTTTCCGGACGCTCTAACGCAGCCTCTCTGTGCTTCCCTTGCAGGTGCCTCACTCTCCATCCCCCGGAGGATGCCTTAAGGGAAATCTGTGTCTGGTATCAGTGACGAGAGAAGGGACTCAGTGTCAGTGGCCAGGAGTTGTGTTTTCTTTTTTTTCTATTATACATTGAGTGCAAGAGAAACGCCAAGAGTGACGAAAAAGTTGGAAAAATCAATAAGTTGTCAGAGTGAATTTCGGTGGTAGTGTTGTAATAAGCTGTCGCACGTCAGCAAGATGCCGTCGGCCCGACCTGGCTCGCTGAAGGACCCCGAAATCGCGGATCTCTTCAACAAACACGATCCGGAGAAGATCTTCGAAGACCTCCGCGAAATTGGTCATGGGTCCTTCGGTGCGGTTTACTACGCTCGGTGCAATCTCACACGCGAGATTGTGGCCATCAAGAAGATGTCCTACCTCGGGAAGCAGAGCATGGAGAAGTGGCAGGACATCCTCAAGGAGATTCGGTGAGAAACGATGATTTTGTCATCATACGACGACGAATTCATGGTGCTCTTTGTCAGATTCCTGCGCCAACTCAACCATGCCAACACGATTGAGTACAAGGGCTGCTACCTGAGGGAGAACACGGCCTGGCTGGTGATGGAGTACTGCGTGGGCTCGGCCTCGGACATAATTGAGGTGCACAAGAGGCCGCTGCGCGAGGAGGAGATCTCTGCCATTTGCGAGGGCGTCCTGCGTGGCCTGGCATACCTGCATCACCTCGGAAGAATTCACAGGTAAGACATTTCTGAAGTCTTATCGGTGATAAAGTGTAATCAATGGGAATCGCACATCCCAGTCGACAGTCTTCCAATTGGACATGACGGAAAGTATTTCAGCAAATTGACAAAATTGTCACAAACATTTTGAGGTGTTTTGGAACGACTGAGAATCATCTTTTATCTATTATTAAAACTTCCACTTGAGGCGACGAAGTGATTTATCGGCTAAATTATAATTCAGTGTCCTAATTGAGAAATAAACTGAGGCAAGTCAGATTGGTGCACTGCCGAATGGGATGTGCGTGATGGTGACCGATCAATGGTGAGAAAAATACCACAAAAGGTTGACTTGAGCACGAAATGACTCGAGACTTAGTGTGAATTAATGCATTTGGAGCACCGAAAAGCGATAGGCAAAGTCACATTAGGCATGTTATCATGAATTCCCGGGGAATATCATTGCTGCGATAACTAAACTCTCGCTCTTTCCACATCAAGGGACATCAAGGCTGGGAATATTCTGCTGACGGAACAGGGAGTGGTGAAATTGGCGGACTTCGGGAGTGCGGCAATCAAATGTCCGGCTAATAGTTTCGTGGGCACGCCGTATTGGATGGCGCCGGAGGTGATCCTGGCGATGGACGAGGGGCAGTACGATGGCAAGGTGGATGTGTGGTCGCTGGGGATCACGTGCATTGAGCTGGCAGAGAGGAAGCCGCCGTACTTCAACATGAACGCCATGTCGGCTCTCTATCACATCGCGCAGAACGAGGCGCCAACACTCCAGGCGGAGGATTGGTCAGAGACTTTCCGCAATTTCGTGGAGGTGTGCCTCAGGAAGTCGCCATACGATCGTCCGACGTCCTCCAAGCTGCTCTCGCACGCTCTCGTGACGCGTCAGCGATCGGGAAACGTGCTGATTGAGTTGATTGCGAGGACCAAGGCGGCCGTGCGAGAGTTGGACAATCTGAATTATCGAAAGATGAAGAAAATCTTGATGATTGACTCGTGCGAGACGGAGAGCACGATGGGTGATGCCGAGGACACGCCAGACGAACAGACGGGCGGTGATAGCAGTAAGAGCAACAGCATCACTTCTGAGCACTCCATGCACTCTGTCGGTCCGGCGACGAGTCAGGACTTGCACTTCCACTCGCCATCTGCCAACTCCATTCACGGGATGCACTCCCTTGGCCCCGGTGCCGCTGGTGGATTGGGAATGGGCCAGGGAAGCAGTGGACAGCATGGAATCAACTTGGGTGCGATTACGAGGAATCCATCGAGGAATCGCATGCCGATGATGCACATGAACAACACACCGGGACAGATGAATCACTCCGGAGTGCCCAGTGGACAGATGATGGCGCCCAGCTTGTCCAGGGTCAGTGGGATTCCTCATGAACATCCGGGAGTTCAGCAGCAGGCCATGGTGAATGCAATGCACGAACATGGACCAAATAACTTTGCCACCATTCGCACCACCAGCATTGTGACGAAGCAGCAAAAGGAACATATGCAGGTGAGAAGAATGAGACGCGACAGCAAAGTTTTCAGACTGTGGTTGAAAACTTGCAAATTTTCTCAAGTTTGTGAGCCCCAACAAACAGAAAATCCTTGTCTCTATTTTCATCTCATTTTCCAAAGTGCACGGGAATTGTGTTAAACTCAAAGAGAGATAGAGAGAGAGAAATGTCGAGACATTAATCATTTTGGGGCGGGAGTTGACAATATTTGCGTGTCCTTCGCATGTCTTAATTCATCTTTGAAATTGAATTTATGTCCTTTTAAAGTAGCTCTTCTCTGCCAATCCATCATTTGGAGTGATGTAATCACTCTTTAATTTTGGGTGAGAGCTTTTCTCGCTGGATTCCTCTATTTTGCTCAACTGCGAAGTGACACAGGAAATTCTCTTGCCAGTGATTCATGTTTGTACAATCGAGTGTACACAAATTGGCCTGATTTTCTGTCAGAGTGGCGGAAATTCAGGCAATAATTCTTGATATGAATTGTTTAGTTTGTTTTTCATTTTGTGTTTTTTTTATCTGCGAGAAGAGATGAATCAAGCCGTGTGTGCGTGTGTGTTTTTGCAGGAGGAGATGCACGAGCAGATGTCGGGATACAAGAGGATGCGAAGGGAGCATCAGGCTGCTCTGCTGAAGCTAGAGGAGAAGTGCAAAGTGGAAATGGAGGCTCACAAGGCGGCCCTTGACAAGGAGTACGATGCGCTTCTTCACAATTTCACGCGAGAACTCGAGAGATTGGCGGTGAGTTTAATGAGAAAGCCACTTTAAGAGGGTGTTTAAGTGCTTGTTTCTTCGCCCGTGTTTTCCAGATGAAGCACCAGCAGGAGATTGAGAGGCGAGTGAAGCAGAACAATGTGGCGGAGAAGAAGCTGTACAAGGAGATCTCCTTGAAGCACGAGAGTGATAGGAAGGCGTTTGATTTGCATAGGAAAAAAGAGTACAAGGCGAACAAAGAGAGATGGAAGCGCGAATTGTCGATGGATGAATCAACGCCGAAGCGTTTGCGTGATGCCACACTGCAATCGCAGAAGGAGAACCTGAAGCAGGCGGAGGCGCAAGAGGAGCAACGACTGTTGAGGGTGCAGAAGAACTACATTGAACTGGAGATGAGAAAGTTCCGGAGGAAAAAGACACAGGTTCTTCATGATCTGGAGAACCAACTACTGAGAGATGTAAGTGTATTAAGGCATTGAGCTTGATGATCTTGATGGCAATGCTTTTGTCTCGGTTTCGCAGGAGCTAAGCAAGAAGCAGCAGCAACTGGAACAAGCCCACGGAATGCTACTGAAGCACCATGAAAAGACGCAAGAGTTGGAGTACAGACAGCAGAAGAGTGTTCATAATTTGCGTGAGGAGCAAATAACGAAGCAACACTCGACGGAGTTGCAAAACCAAAAGGATTATATGGACAGGGCGGAGAAGGAGTTGATGAGGAAGCATGCATTGGAATTGAAGCAGCAACCCAAGAGTTTAAAGGTGAGTTATCAAATTGCTCTTATCCATCGAGTATCTTTCTAATGGAAAATGTGTGTCGCTTATTTATTGCCACCTGCGGAACAGCAAAAAGAACTTCAAATACGTAAACAATTTCGTGAGACATGCAAGACACAAACGAGACAATATAAGGCGCTGAAGGCGCAAATATTGCAGACAACACCCAAGGATGAACAAAAAGCTGTGATAAAACAATTGAAAGAGGAGCAACATCGCAAATTAACTCTTCTTGGTGATCAGGTGAGTTGAAGTACATTCAGAAGAGATAATTGATTGGATTTAATGATAGGGGAAGCAGGGGCTATTGTCAGAATTTCTTAAACTGGGTTGAATTTGCCCATAATAGACTGAAATTATAGTGAAATACACGCAGAAAGATTGATTATATTCATAATCTGTAATTAAGAAATTCTCTTTTAACTTTTCTTAAATGCCCCGTCTTTCTGTAATGTTGCTCAGTGTTTTTTTTTGTCACAAGACTTCGGAATGCCATAGCAATGCAATTTGTCTTCATCTCTCATTTGCAGTATGAGCAGAGTATTGCGGATATGCTGCAGAAGCAGAGTTTGCGCCTGGATGAGAGTCAGGAACTTGAGTGTCAGCAGTTGAAGGACAAGTTGATGTACGAGTTGGAGATTCTGATGGCCTACCAGAATAAGAATCGCATGCAGGCTCAGGCACAGCGGGATCGCGAGAGGAAGGAGTTGGAGGATCGCGTGAATGTGAGGCGAGCTCTGTTGGAGAATAAGGTGAGAAAAGAGGAGTGCCTCTGGGTGGATAATGTGCAAATGTGTGCTGATTTTGGTGTTGTCTCTCGTGCAGATGGAGGCGGAATTGCAGCAATTCAGCCAGGAGCGCTCTGAACGCATCCGGGAGTTGCATGAGAAGCACGAGAAGGCCATGGAGAGCTTCAATGAGGAATCCGCAAGAATGGGATTCAGGTGAGTTTGTTTGTCTTTTGACTGCCATTCTGAGATATTCACAAAATGTTTTTCGCTGCAGCGCTCTTGCTCTGGCGGAGGCTTCAAAGGAAACGTATCCTGACGAAGAGGGAAGCTTGTCCGGATCGATGATCAGCCTAGCTCATAGCAATAGTTCAACAAGTTTCCCCGCTGGTTCACTCTAGCAGTGCGACAACAATTCAGATTCATGGAAGAGGCGTTCAATGTAGATACAAATAACTATAATTAACCATTAATCTCCTGATCCGGAAGAAGATCAGGGCGCAAGAGAGTGAAAATTTGAGAAATTTCTTTTGGCCCTTCAGTCATTCATCCCGCGAACATTATGAAAATTTCCAATGGGAAAATATTCTTAGTGTTTTTCCCCACACAAACACATTCAATAATAATCTAAATAGAATTATTACCTTGTAGTGAATATTTAAGAATTTCTCTCGCGAAATTACTTCACAACCACTTTGAGAAGCGAAATACTCAGCAAAAGAAGGAACGAAGGTGAGAAAGAGTTGAGAGAAATTACCATTTAGTCCCAATCCCAATAATGAACTACAATTTTATGCGTAAGATTACTGACGAAGAGAGAGAGAGAGAGAGTGTTGATGAGGTGAGAAGTAGTGTAAACTGAACAAGGAAGATGAGAAAACATACACATAAAATAAGTCCTTCAATATTAATCATAACCAATTAACATGATAATAAAAAGCAAACATATTTTTGTATTCGTAGTGAAGGAATATGAAAGCAAAAGGAAAAAAAAATTGAGTGAACATTTTGGTAAATCCTACTCCTTCAATCCCAAGAAGATACAGCGTAGTTTTGAAGGAGTTGGAAGAGGGAAAAGGAGTAAAAATCTATATCTAAAAAGAAACTTTGCATTCATTAGACGACAGCATAAACTTATAAAGGAAATTAGTGTTGCTTCATGTTTGCGAGAGCGATGAGAAGTTTTTGGCCATCAAGTGAACATATTTGAGAGGAAAACATAAGAATCAGTGACAATTTTTCTTAAAGCTAGTCTTCCTATTTCGTTGTTATTTGCGCTTGTGTTTCAAGAAAAAAAAGATAGAGAGAAGGAGATAGAGTAGATAAAGAATCGCTTCTAATTTAAAAGATAAAAGTATAAAAGCATGAAAAAATATAAAAGTATAGAGCAAAGAATCACCGTTTTTAACCCACACACATATTTGAAGTATGAGAAGAACTAATTGATAAGTTTAAAGTGTATTTAATGAGCTCTCAATGAAGATATTTTGCATATTAAGAGAGGAAAGCAAAGATTAGTGTACAGATTGAAGGGGAATTCTTAGTGCTTGATTATTTAATTGTAGCTAAAGAAAAAAAACAGAGAAGAGAGAGATAAGTTTATGAATGCAAAAGAATCACAGAAGGAAGGAGAGTTGTATAGAAAAATGGAAGGAATGAAAAATCACAAAAAATTAACACACACGAAAAAATATTACCTTATGTTAGAGAAAAACTCCTAAAAAATGTAGGAATATTAAATTAATCTTAACAATTTTAATGATAGAGAGAAAGAGAGACGACGTGAGGATAAAATGATGTTCAAGTAGTTGAAAAGAGGTGAAAAATTTATTGTAGAAATTGAATTTATCACGATTTTGATTTTGTTTACTAGTTTTTTTTGTAATGCAATTGTTACCTTTTATCTTATATTTTAAAAAGTATAATTTTATTGCGTCTGAAGAGGAAGAGAGAAGAAGAAGTGTTAGAGAAAGAAAAGATGAAATGCGCTGTAAAATTTTATTTGTTAATATTTTATTCGTTATGATTTTTATCCTTTCCACCCTTTTCTTCAGTCCTTTTCACTCCATCCCGAGCTTTCTTTCCCGCATTTGATATGGAATTATTTATTGGCGAGAAAGAAGGTGAGAAGAGAATCATGTGAGCGAGTGTCTAAAGAAAGAGAATTTTCTTGAACCTCTATGTGAAGTATAAATAATTTTATTAGGTGTATAGAAAAGAAAGTCCCTGTTTTGAGTCTAAAAGCGAATGGCGGAGAGATGATAATTAATCTGTAATCACTGGATAGGAGGAAAGAAAGAAAGAGAAGGAAATGCGCGAGAGTGTGTGAAATGAGGAAGACATTAGTTATTGCATCTAAATTATTATAGTTATTTTTGTCAATGTGTCAATTTAAATTAAATTGCTGAGGGAAAAGCGTGAGAAAGTGCGCGCAAGTGAGGAAAGAATGTCTACAAGAGAGATCAAAAAGTATTGTTTTCTAAGATAAGAGCATTGCAGAAACTCGGTTATCGGAATTCCTGAAGATTTCCCCAAACTTTCGTACTCTTGATTTCTAACTCACGAACACTGAACTAACAAAAACTCTTCCTTGCTTCCCTCGCGGCGATGATTCTGAGTGTTTTTGGCAGAAAACATCTTGCATCTTTTTATTCTGAAAAAAAATGGAGAATATTGATTTTGGAGCAAAGAAATATTCGTCTAAATAAAAACATATCTTGTTTTATCACACATAAATCGACATGTAAATATGAATCAATAATATTGATTTTTCTAGGTCAGAAATATGGAAGAGAAAATTTATGATAAACTAGAAGCGTTGACTCTCAAAAGAAAGGAAAACTTGACCCAGAATCAAACGTGTGTGTGACACGCACGAAAAAGAAAACGTAATAAAGGAACGCAAATCACTTTTAACTCTAATCAAATAGCAAGAAGAAGAAGAAAGAGAGAATAAGGAGAAAAAACGAAGAGAATAGAGGAAATACTGTAATACACACTCTAATAAACCTCAAAAGCAGTGAGAAATTTTTTTCTGTGGCTGAGAAAATACTACATAAATAGTAATGTAATTTATTTAATATTAATGCAAATTGTTTATGCGTGTTTTTATCTCCAAAAAATACTAGAGACGCGAGAGTGGACGTGGCGTGGAAGAACAAATAGGAAATATTCATTTTGAAACCATATGAAAATGATGAAAAAAATAAACAAAAATTCTATAATGCATTTCTTTCAGTTGTACTCAAGCACTGCAATCGATGTTTTCTCTAGCTCCTTCCCAGAATCCTGAAAAGAAAATTTTTTTTGTCCTCCGACTGTAGGCTATCAGACCTAGGAGGATCGCTGAATCTGGACTAATTGTCCCATTCACAAATACAGGCGTTATAGGGTAATCTTTGCTCATAGCCGAAAAAGGTAAAAAAAGTAACGGTAACGGTTTTCCGATAGGATTGCCCGAGCGCTTGCATGGCAGCCCTTTTGTCACTAGCGCCAGTGGAGTAAAAAAGAATTAACCCGAAATTAACCGAGCCAGAACCGAATTGCCATATCGGCGTCCCTTTCATTTGAATGAGAAGCGTCAAAGGTGGAGGATTGCGTCCTTTTGCTCTGAGGTTTGTTCCGTATTTATGAAGATTAGAACCAACAAATAATAGAGAAAAAACTTCAGACAGTGCAAGAATCAGAACATTGTCGCAATTGTGTAGTATATTCATTAAATTGTGTAATTTGCATCAATTTCTTGGCATACTGACAGATTGAAGTGATACGAAAATGGCTTCCGGAGCGGAAAATTTGTGTGAGAACGTTTGGAAAGTTATTGGCATCGAGAAAGGGTCCTTCTTGTCGGGTTGGAATTACCTTCATCGTATTTGCGGCCAAGACGCTATTGCATCAAGTGTGAAGCTCTGGCTGGCGGCTTCTGGATTTTCCGACATTTATACATTCGGCACAATTAACGCTGATGACATCGAAGTAACGGAAAATCTAGCCAAAACCATGAAGTTCCCGGACTTGATTCCATGCGGAAAGCCTCACTTCTGTGAAGAGAAAGTGAAAATGGCTCTTTATGGCCGGTTCTCCAAGGAACCTCGTAAGTTTTCCATAAAGCCTGTGGAGAAGAAGATGATTTTGGCCGTGGCGTTGATTGCTTTGCAGTTCAAGGATTGCTCTTTTACTGAAATTGAATCCTTTTTTAACATCGTGGCAGAAAGCAAAACCCGCAAAAAGGAAAATGAACATGCTAGACGGGTGAGTGCTTTATTAAATTTTTTTTTATTTATTGAGATTATTTATATGTTTACGTTATTCATATGTCTTTTCAGATTGCCAAGATGATACCATTCAATGAAACAACTGTGGAAAACCTTAAACTCAGTTTGCTTCAGAAGCTTAACGAGTTCGTTCAGAAGACCCTACTTTTGGATAATATCAATTTTGTGGACTGCGTTGTGACAAGAGATGATATTGGTGGTTGTCAAGCCAAAGTTGTGTGTCCCAAGTGTGGAAAATTGATCTCTGTTACATTGCATAAAGAGAAAAACGCTGAAAAAGTGCGTTTTCTGTTCGGTTTCGTGAAACGACACCAACAATATTGTAGAGTGATAACCACCGCGCCTCACAAACGGTCCGCAAATACCAAGAAATCCATCAAGCAACGGAACGAGTTGTCCGCTACGACTACAGCGACAGATACGTTGATTGCAGACACCGCAAAGCCACCAGAAACGATTCCGGTACTCGACAACATGGTAATCGTGGATGATCGGTCTATGTCTTCAGAAGATTTGCACACTGAAGACAGTTCAGACAGTCAGGAAAACGGAGAGACTGATTCTGAGGCAAATTCGGGCGTGATGAGTGAGGAAGGCTGTGAAGTCCAGGAAAACGATTCCGCTGAAGATGTGCCCAATCCAATTATGGCGCCGGAGAATCCCGTGTTGCAGCCTCAGCAGGAATTCCAGCAACAATACCTGAACCTCTTGAAGCAACAGAATGAAGCCATCCAGGCTCTGATTCAGGACAACAAAAGGTATCAAGCATGGCATCAAAGGAATTGTGAGCAGCAGGTGAAAAATCAAGAGAAACTTTTGGAAGCCCTGCAAGAGCTGGCGAAAAAATCGAAGAAATGAACTGAATTGATTGCAATGAATTTTGAGGATAATATGGCTCGGATTTGATTGATTTGATAATTGAGCTCACTTGCTCTTTAAATCTAGAATATATCCTGTTCATGAATTTAAATATTTTTTTGTTTGTTAAACTTTATTATATGAGGAATCAATCCTTATTTTGCACTATGATTTTGAAGCTAAATTATACGATTATATCAAAATTTCTTTCCGTTCTATAAATATTAAATGTATCCGACTGTATTTAAAGTGATTATTTTGAGCATAAAGACAAAGTGCTTTAAAGAACGTCATGTAAAGTCGTGATCTAATAAAATAGTTTGAAGATAAGCATTGATTGGGAAAATTCCTTTGGTTAGTTTGCATCGAGAATTCTAATGAAGTCCAGTGAGTTAATTGGTGTAGCAATTTTCTCCCTTTTTCTGGGAATAAATGGCAATTCTCTGGGTTATCTGGATGAAGACTGTCCCATAATCCTCTCGAGATCTCAATGGAGAGCGCAAAAGGCAAATTTTGTCTACTATCAAACGATTCCCGTTGATAAAATCGTTATCATTGGGCTGGAAGAGACGTGCAGGGCCTCTTTTGAGTGCAGGAGTGTCGTGAAGAGGCTGCAGAAAGATCACATCTCCAAGTTCAGATTACCTGACATCGCCTTCAACTTCCTCATTGACGACAATGGGTTCATTTATGAGGGAACGGGATGGCTCAAGAGTGGCTCTCACACGACTGGACACAATAGAAATTCCCTCGGAATCGCCTTTATTGGAACCACGAATTCTGGTAAGTGGATTTCTTTCACGCTCTCCGGAGATTTCTCACGGGATTCTTCCTCTTCAGACACAGTTCCATCCGAAGAGGCGATGCACGTGTTTCAGGAATTGATCGATTGCGGCATTCGAGGAGGAAAGATTTCGGAAGACTACAAGGTGTTTGCTCACCGACAACTCTGCTATCAGTCCAACAATCCCAGCTATTCCTTCTTTGAGATCATCAAGAAATTGCCTCACTGGTCAAGTGATTAAAATGTATCTTTAATTGACCGCCGTGTCGATGAAGCAGTCCAGAAATGAGTTCTTATTAATCAATTTGGTTGTTGCTATGATGAACTCCACGTTGTTCTCCTCCTGCTGAGCCAGGAATCGGAGCGCGGCGACCTCTGCAAAGGTGCAGCCGCCGAGGAAGAACACCAGGATCGTTCGGGGAATGTCTGACTGGCTGATTTCGCTGGTGAAGGAGCCGCGCCGGCCGCCAAAACCCGTCGGCGAGGACTGGAATTCATCGAAGGACGGCCCGGGCAGAACCGACAGCACATCGTTGAGTCCCTGCCATCCGGTAGGCTTCAGTAGGTGCTCAATGAGGCGCACAGATAGCGGAGCATAGAAGCTGTGGACGTAGCTGATGTCCTTCGGAGCGACTTCCACTGCGTCATCAACAGTGAGATTTAGCATCTTCCTGAGCACTGAGTAACTCCTGCTGCCCGATTGAGGACGCAGGAGACCGGCTTTCTCCAGATTGCTCAGCGTCAGCAGCACCTCAAGTCCGTACACTTGCACGAGTTCCCGCTTGTAGTAATCCAGCACTTTGGGCTTCAGTCCAGATCCTGCCAAACTCTGCATGCAAATGAGGCGCAGGACGTTCCTCAAAGGCGCCTGCTTGGCTATCAAATCCTCAATGAAGGCACTGGGGCGATCCACATCGGCGCACATGAGGAACTCCTGTTCGCACTCCAGTTCGTCCAGGAAGTCCGCAGAGTCCGTGACTTCCTTGATCAACTCGGCGATGGTTGTGTGAGTGGCCAGTGAAGCCTTGTTGGCCAGCATATTGGGCAGTCGCTCCACGAACTTCTTCATGTCGGACACGGACTTGTCCCCGTGGCGCTCCTCTAGAGCTGATGAGATGCTTTTCGCGTGGCGCGAGAGAATTTGTCCCACGGCGTTGAAGTTCTTGTCTCTCAATTCCGCGTAGAGCTCCTCTCCAGAGTTCAGGATGATCTGTTTTGTCTCTGAAGTGGAGAGAGCCGGCAAGGGCTGGTCATCGCTGCGGCCAAAGCGATCGGCCGGCAGATGAAGAGTCGTGTTGCTAATGCCGAAGATTTCATCAATGAGACCTTCGTAGGTCAACTGAGTGGCCAGGACGCTCATGAGGTCCACAGATCTGTCGAGAATGATCATTTGATCGATGCTGCCTTTCTCGCTTGCCTGCAGCATTTGCGTGTCGTCTCTACCCAGGGATTTTGTCAATTCCCACAACTTCTCGGCGTAGATTCCCTTTCCGCAAATTCTGGGAATGCGTCCGTAGAGGCGCTGCAGCGTCATCAGAGCCACAGCGCTCTGGTGCACACATGTGGGATCACCGTCAATGTGGAGCTCCCTGAAAGCATCCTTCAGCTCCATGGATAGCAGATCATTGTCCACAGGGAAGAAATCACATCGGAATTCACCAACATGACTCAGACTCCCATAAACGCCCTTGTTCTTGAGATGTTTCTCACAAAGGAGGGACTTTTTCGGCAAAAAGTACATGTAGAAGTCCTTCTTCATCGTTGCCTTTCGCTTTCTCTCCTCACTGTGGATGTTATCGGCGATAAAATTCATCAACTTCAAATTGGGGCGTGTTATGAAGATGACACTCTTGACATCAATGTCCGGCAGTGGATCTCCGCTCAAGGGAAACATCTTTGTCACATTGTGCTCCCTCAAAAACGTGTACTTGGCAATCAGACCGACAGGGCCAGCCAGACTCTCATCCCAGATGATTGCCTGAAAGAGAAATCGATAAGAAAAACTGCCCTCATGATTAGAGAGAAATTAGTCACCTTTGTTCCCTCGCATTTCTCCAGAATTCCTAGCAATTCCTTAGCACAAGCCTCCTGTAGCTGCCCCACATTCACTCTCCAACCAGACAAGTGTGGAAACATGGTTGGAAAATCACGAAAAACGGAGAAAATGCTCTTATCAGCTGATTTGTTTACCTTTCCAACTGACAATTCAACGAAACCCACCAATTGCAAATTGGCTAATTGCCTTTGAAATGTTTTCCGGCCACACATACACAACACTAATTTTTCCCTCCAACGACCGCCCATGACGTCATTGCATCTTCAGCGCCAGAACAGTGCGAACGCGTGAATTTTGTGCTGCATTTCTACACAGAAAACCACTGAAAAACCTCATAGAATGGCTGATATTGACCTTCCAGACGATCAGAGGGCGATTCTGCACAAGTACATGATTGATTTCGTGATCCAGAAGCTGAATATCCTGGATTGCTACCACCTCGAGACTTGGGTGGTTTTCCGCCGCATTTTCACCATGTTTCCCTTCCCACCGGAGAAATTCCAACTGGAATTCTTCTGCACACTGCTTCCAAATCTTGAGAACTACACCATCCCTGAGTACTACGTGGATTACTTCAACAAGATCCGCTACATGTCGGCGAAGGAAAGAAGGCCGCTTCTCGAGGAAAACACGGACAGCATGGCGTCACTCAAGCATTTCACGCCTCAAGGAAGAGAGATTGACTCTTCTGACTCACCTGTCCAAGGACCATCGGGGATGAATCTTAAGAAGAAAACACTGTTGGACTACGGGAATTCCGTGGAGAGAGCGTCTGACATCAGAAACTACGATGTGGACTTCATGGTAAGTATTCTTTGAATTTCTTCGGGATTTTTTGGACACATTTGAATTTTGGGATTCTTACAGAAAGATGCTAACATTTTCTTCGCCGGGATGCCAGCCTTCATGTCACCTTGCCCGGTGGAGAAGTTGTTTGAGCTCTTCGAGCCTTGTTGGGAGATTAAAACCCTCCTCAAGATGTATCCGCAGCAGTTTGTTTCGAACTTCCTCTGGTGGCGCCAAAGGAAGCGCAATAGGGAGCCGAAGCCCGCGACTCCCAAGCGCAAACTCCCACCCGGAAGCCGCCGGCCTCCAGCCAAGAGACAGAAGTAGATACTCGTTCTCGTCACTTTAATATTCGCTGCTACAGTTATTTTTTAGTTTAGTCTTTGTGATTAATTCCTATATACAATTCTCTGTTCATTTGGACGTTAGGCCTAAAAATGTACTAAACATTGACACCAGCACCGAATAAAACTGAAGTTAGAAATTCTAAAGTGTAACTCAGACCGTGAGGATGGAATGTTTTCTCGCGGACGGCATGCCAGACGCGCCTGAGGCAGAGGAATTGGGCAGCATCACACCCACCACAGCGAGATTTCCGTCTCGCAGCGGCGCCAGAAGGTGACTGTTTCCCGGCACCACGACCAGCGTCTCGATGGGAATGTGCAGAGGAATGTCGAAGATGGGCTTCAGGCCGTTCAACCGACTGATCGTGATATCCCCAGCGTCGTCAGACACCACCAGGAGGTCATTGATTGTAGCGAGGCTCGTCACGCGTCCCGACACGTACTTCGACCCAACATTGATTCCATTGACAGTGAAGGCGTGGACAGAATAGGAGGTGTCGTCCAAGGCGGAGAAGGCCACGTGGCCCTGATAAGAGATGGTGACGAAGGAGATCTCGATGTTCACACCGGTGCAGCCCAGAGGACTCACAGTGCGGATCAGCTGGCCGCTCTCGATGCTGTAGAGATTCACAGTTCCATCCTGGAAGCAAAGCACAATGAGAAATCCTTCTGCTCTTCCCACTTAGTGAAAAAACTTACCAGCGATCCTGAAGCCACCACGTCAAACTCCGTCATTATGGCCACTGCGGAGATCGCGCTCTCGTGCCCATGCAGAGCCTTTAGAGGTAGCGGTGCCAGGAGATTTCCCGCACCGGCTGCTCCTCCAGACGCGGCCACACCCGCCACTGTGGTCAGACTCACCAGTCCAACGGAGCTCTGCGTGAGATTTGTGTTGGAGATGGACCAGAGGACGCAAGTGCAATCCCGCGAGCCCGTCACCAGATGCATTCCACTCGCATCGACGGCCAAACACGTGATCACGTCTGAATGCGCCACGACGGAAGCCACGGCGCGTCCTTTATGCACGCTGAACACCTTGAGACTGCAATCCCAGATTCCGCCCACATACAGAAGTTTTCCCTCGACATTCAGGGCGAAGAGCTTCGCTGAAAGCTTCACAGCTGGATGAAAGGCAGCTGAGAGCGTCTTTCTGGACTTTACGGAGTCCGTGCCGAAGACGAAGCCCTTTTCCTTGTCGTACGATACCCAAGTGTGCGTGGAGAGGACTCCAGAGCGCGTCACTGAGATCAACACATCCGGCCCAATTTGCAGGAAGGATCGCTGAGGCGTTCGCGGCACGCTCAAGTACACCACAGGATCTTTCTCAGTGGACATGTCACAGTACACACTGGACACTCTGTCCAGGTAGTTCATGAAGTCTGGACGCTTCACATCGTGCTTCAGCAATCTCACCAAACACTCTTCAGACGTCAGTCGTCGGGGATGAGGCTCCCTCAGCAACTGAGAAGGAGTCTGGCCGAAGTTATTGATGATCCCCTCAATGGCTTCTCGCTCCTTTGCATCACTAATCTTGTCCAGATCCACGGCGCCTTCGTAAGAGTAGTACTGAAAGACATTCAGCGCCTCAATTGCTCCCTTGCCTTTCTGCTTGCATCCAAATATTAGATCAATCCAGCGATGGAGGTTTGCAGAGACATACTCAGATTCCAGGGCTCTTCGGTGGATGGCAATGAAGCTCTCAGGGCTGTCTGCCCATGGAGGCAGAATGACGTCGCCAACACGCTCCTGCGTCGTTTGCAAAACTCCCAAATCCAGACCATTAATGTTCCTCAGGAAGTCGGGCATGTAGAAGAATTCCGGAATGAGTTCCTTCACGTCGTTCAGACTGTCCATGAGCTGTCGCCACGTCTGGGCGATGGAGTGGAACTGCCGGTCCGCCACATCGAATCTCCCACTCTGCAGTTCCACATGGAGCGTGGTGAAGGGCTCCAGACGAATGAGGTACTGCAGAACTCCTGCGGAGTTGGAGTAATGTGTTCCGTAGTGGAAGTTCGGTGTCACTCCTGAGGGATCAACGAAATTCTCGAATTTGCTCCTCACTCCGGCCTCATTCTTGGGATTCACCACGCCGATAGGCTTCGAGAGATCCCTGAAGGACTTTGGATTGGTCAGGTCGAGAATCTCGCTCGTGTAGTCAGCCAGAATCCATGGGAATATTGGATACTGACTCAGGTCATTGTGAGTCCTTCCGGCAATTGTGTTGAGGTGCATTAAGTAGTCAAAGTTTGTGATCTCTCGATTCACCCACTTTTGTGTCAATCCTGAGGCTTTCAACAGTTCACTAGGCGCCCTTCCTGATCCATACTGAATGTTTGGCGGTTGCAGTCCCAGGATCTTCGAGAACACCTTGTTCCTCGTCTTGGTGGTCAGATTGATGAAGTAACTTCGCTGATCGACGAGGAACATCTCCAGCGCGCTTCTCCTCAGATTGTACTTCCTCAGATGAATCTCTCGCAGCAGCGCCAGTGGGAATTTGAAGTCATGCTTCATGTCTTGCTGCTGCTGGGAAGATTGATCCACAAATGCCACACTTGTGGCACTGAGTTCCAGCTTCCCTTTCACCCTTGACATCAGGGCAATAAGTTCACATTCATAGCTAACGATGATCTTCTCCTTGTCCACCTCTTGTGCTTGAGACTCCTCGGAAATTGACACTTCTTGGGAGAACCTGAAATCCTCCTCCAGCACTACGAATCCCTCCTCATCAGTGATGTCCAAGGGTTTGGCTGAAGGAATAATTGCTGATCCAAAATCCGCCGATAACCGACGATCGTCATCAAGCGTAGTGTTGTCCCTCAAACTCGCCGCCATTGTGTGAGGATTGTGATAAAGATTGGGCTCCAATTTCATTCTCATGCGACTAAAATTCTCTCGATTGAGCAACTTCCAGTGATCCTCTTTGGGCACACTGAAACGAGAAGTAGAAATCAAAGTAAATACTTTATTTCACACTCCATAGTCAGAATGGTCAGAATGCAAAGTCAAGAAAAACAATTCGATTTACTAAAGAAAGTTTTTATTATAAAAAGGCAACAGAAAGAACATAGTTTGGTGTGAAGATGGGTCTTTGTGACATTCTCCAATTTGCAATGTGAAGATTTGCTTAGGCAGTCTGAGGACTCAATTAGGCTACCACTGCTTTGGCCGCTACGATCTTCGCTGGAGCGGCGACAGCTGGTGCCACGACAGTTTTGGCCGCCACGACGGGAGCTGCAGCCACAACTGGAGCCGCTACTGGAACATCGCGCTGCACCACGGCATTGAATCCATTCACAGGATCGGCGTAGTACTTAACAACACGGCGCGCGCCGTCTGGCTCGATCAGGGAATAAGAACCGCGCACGACTTCGCCTTCCCGCGTCTCCTCCTGAGTCTTAGAGTCGCCTGTTAGAGTGTCTTGGACATTGTAGGCATACTGATATTGTGGGAAGGCGTCATCGAATTCCGCGTGGGCGGCAACGACAGGAGCGGCAGCGACTACTGGAGCTGCCCTGGCGGCAACAACAGGAGCCGGAGCGGCCACAACCTTGGCAGCTACTGGAGCAGGAGCTTGTGCCACATAAGCGGCAGGAGCAGGAGCAGCTGCGACATAAGCGGCAGGAGCAGGAGCTGCAGCTACATAGGCAGCTGGAGCCCTGGCAGCCACGAACTGTGGTTGATAAACTGCGCGGGCGACAGGAGCTGCATAAGCCACAGGAGCGGCTGTGTAGGCGAGAGATTGCAGAGGAGCCAAGGCAGGAGCCAACTGAACCACACCAGCACTCACGGTGCTCACGAGAGCCACGACGCCGAGCTAGAAGACCACACAAGAGATCAGTGCATCACATTTTGATAATCCATTGATGCTGGCCAACTTACAATAAGCAAACTCATCGCTGTGCCTGAATTAACTCCTGGAGATTGACACTAGATTATCACACTTCACTGAGAAGATTCGAGACACTGATACCTACGATAATGTCCATCAGGTGCTTTTATACCCGACAATTCACCCCCATTCTGCCTCCGCAATGCCACACAGCGCGATGGAGTCTTGCAAGAGTGGCCAAATATTTCAAAATATCGGGCACTTTGGCACCCAGGGCACGCGCCAGCAATCCAAAAGACATTGAGAGGACGCGTTGGCTGAACAAACAGAGAAAAATGTGGATAAGCACACGCTCTGCTTTGTTTATGAAAAACTGAGATTTCTGGGGTCAAATCAGCATACAGTTTTCTGCAAGATACAGGGCCTAATCAGTTCAACAATAAAGGGTGAGTGTAGATGAGAAACATGGCACGAAAACTGAAATTACCAGCACTAATGCAGAGAAGACAAATAAAGAAAGAAGTGAAATCAACTAAGGAAAAAGAATCGAAAAATTACATCCACGAAAAAAGCGGAACAAATTAAAAAGTGCGAACCAAAATAATTTAAAAAATACATGGAATTGAAAAGAAAATAAAGCAATTCAGAATTCTTTATATTTGATTATTCAATTTCCTCACATGGATATAATTAAGTGATGAGTTGTGATGTTTAAATAAAACGGTTCCTATTCCATATCTTGAGGCAAGTTTTGAGGTCTCACGAATCAAAATATTCATACAAATTTTTACGAACAAGTGCTATTCTTCCTGTATAATTTCCTAATTTCCGTAACAACTTGATCGTTAGAAAAGGTTCACGAATTTTCTGACACAAGTAATCGGAGAGGTCACACTTTCACATGAACCGAACATTAGACAATTAAATCATCGGGAAAAATATAAACAACCACATGAACTAAATACATATGATTAACCATTTAGCAGTGCAAAACACTTATTTTTCAAAAATAAGCACTCGCAACAGTTCGAGGAATCTCCTCGAGAAGCTTGCATAAAATTACGTGGCGAGAAATGCCAAGTTTCTCGCGTTCACCAAATCAATCCACTTCTTGTGCGATGAGAGTCAATGTGACATCGCGAGTGTTGATTGCATTGAGTGATTAGATAATTGATTACGCGGATTTTGAAGAAATTTTCACGGTGATTCAAGTGCAAATCCCCATGAATACTAATTGCACGGGGCGCAATTTATGGGCCGCAAAGAGATCAATAATTCACTATTAATGCGAAGTCACATGAATATAATTTATTCATTCACCCAGGCATTATGCTATCATTAAGCTTTCAATGTGGGACAGATGGAAATGTTACCATAGGAGGGAGTAATTAGAATTACTTTATAATCAATTGTATGGGAATTTACATGCTGAAAACCTGTGCAATGATCCTCGCACATCGCTTTTCAATCACCCTCGCACGTAATTTATCTGCAAGTGTCCGAAAAGTGCAGTAAAGAAATAAATCTCTGTGTTCACCGTGCGAGACTTGAGTAATTGTTCTTGCGTCCATAATAATGGCCAGATGGGAAAAACGGATTTATTCCCATTCTCGCGAGGTGATACAATTTTTCAAAAATTTGTCCACCAACAAGAATTCCTCGCACACCGGTGGATTAATATAGACATCGCGTAGAGCAATTTAATGAGCATTTCAGACCTTTTGCCTGTGAATTGAATTAAAATGATGTAGCGAAAGTAAAACGACCAAGAAAATGCGCGTTGAATTTTAAGTGATCTCTCTCTCTTTCTTGCACTCGCTGGCCTTTTCCACTGATTTTAGTGAATTTTGCGGTAAAAATAGATACACACTTTTATGTAAAACGTTTATATTCAGAGACACACTAACAAAAAGGGAATAACTAAGAAGGGGAGGATAAAAACAGGTGATCATGATTTATCCATGAGCGATTGGGGCTCGCTGGACGACAGCGTTGAAGCCATTGATGGGATCCGCCGTGTAGATCACCGTCCTGATCGTTCCGTCGGCCTCCACAACGGAGTACGATCCCTTCACCACGTCGCCCTCGCGAGTCTCCTGCTGACTCTTCTGGTCGCCCGTGTAGGCATCTTGGATGTTGTAGGCGAAAGTGTACTGCGGATGAGGATCGTGACTCGTGTCGATGGCCAGGGGAGGAGCATCAACTGGAATGATTCGACTCTCGATCGCCACAGCAAGCATCAGCACCATCATCAGCTGCACAATCTGCGAAAGATCAAAGAAATCGCTTGCAAATCCACTCGCATGTGATCAAAAACACATTATGACCCGAGCAACTCACCTGAGACGACTCCATCCTTGGTGTATGACTAGAGATTGACCAGTGAAGATTCGCAAAATGAATTGCCGTGAGCGAAATTTGTGACTTTTTATAAGATACAACTTCCTTCCACTTTTCACTGGTGAAAAGAGGGGAAGTTGTCGCGCACTTCCCACTCAAAATCATCATCATTTCAGCACATAAAAACATAACAAATGGCGATCAATTTGATCATCAGACGTGCGACAAATTGAAAGTGAAATTATATACAAAATCCGTTGTGTGGACACCAAAACATTGTCATGCAAGACAAAGAGGAAGACTTTCCGTTGTTGTACATTTATTAAGTAAATGTGCGCTGTCTTTTCTATTTCACAACACACTCTGGCTTATTAATTGATGCACTTTTGCAGAAAAGTCACTCGAATTCCCTGCGATCGCAAGTCACTATAGATGGAAGTTTCTCTAATTTGTGGTGATTTTTCTAATGGGAGAAAAATTACAAGTTTCCAACCTCTCAGTATCAATTAAGCAATCAAAGAAACTCCACATAAAATTCGCTATTACTCTCGTTTCTGCTCCTCAACTTCTATGCGATTGCAGTTTCTGTATCTCTAGGTCAAAGAAAGTAACAGAGAGGAAGTTGTCAGATGATCTTACGCAGCCACCCAGTAAATTACATGATATTTGCATGTTGAGACTTATTTGAGCAATTACAGATTGTTGACTGGTTGGATTATGATTTATTACTCAGACGTGATGGAAGTTATTCTAAATATTTTCCAATTAATATTCAAGTTGCAAGAAGTCTGGCAAATATTTAACTTCTCCACCAACTGAAATCAACTCATATTACAAATTTCACTCGAATGAAGTCGACAAATTAATTTCCATTTCGCACACGTCGAAAGAATTCGCATTGAGAAGTGTTATGAGCTGTAAAACCATTATAAACCACCATCAGATGCAATATTTACAGTATCGCAGTCAATAAAGTTCCAAATTTATATCAAATTCAATTTTCTATTCATATAATTTGATTATTATTTGCCGTGGCGATTGATTTATTGATGAATATATTAAAATCGTGCATACCATTTATCCAATAAGCATGCCCAGATGTTGAGCTGGGCCCAACCGAAACTCCCATGGCGAATTTGCATATAAGGCACATAAGCCTCTCCTCAGGAGTCAATCACACCACAGAGAAATCTTCAAATATCACACTCAATCATCTATTGAACTAAAAACTTCCTCTCGGCAAAATGCCGTCCAATCCGTGTCACCTTAACAGCACACACAGATTCACCTTGTCTGGCATTTCACTACTTTTTCCCTGTGCATCAATTAACTGCAATAAATAATCGTGATATGGAAGAAAAACTACGGTGCAAAAACTTCCAAAGAACCCGCCTTTATTGCAAAATTCACCGACACTCACACGATTTCTGAGTAAATTGCATTTAATTTTGCATTGGAAAGGAGAGCAACGAAAAAAACTAGCTAAAATTAATTGAATTAAATGCGACCTAACATGCAGGAGAACGAAATTGAATCATTCTAGACATTAGATTGAAGATTGGTTGGCTATAATTGAAAGATTGCTAGAATTCTTTGTCTTTTAGAACGACGCTAAATTATCTTAACATACTCTTTCACATCGTAGCATAAATTGAAAATTTTCCTGCATTTCTAAGCTATAAAGTGAATATTTATTAACCTAAAGTTAACACAAGTTTTCAAAATGATCATATATTGCAAGGAATCTCTTTCAAATTGCGAGAAAGTGGCATTTCTTATGAGTGGTTATTATTTAATTCGGGTAACATTCAAATCAATTCAACACACATCTCGAATCACTGATCTAAGAAATATTTTCGCACATGTCTACTTCAGGTGAATGAGTTGGAGAGTGAGAGACAGTGAGAAAAGCGATGCAAAAATGCAATTGACTCTGGGTCAAGGTATTGTATCGGTGAAATAATGTAATAATATTTAAATAGAGATCGATAGACGCATAATTTTGCTGTAATGCAACCACATATTTCAACTGTGGAGACAATTCACATGCACTCCGCCGATTATTTTCATCATTTTGCTGGCGTTCGTGCATTTGTGGCAGCAGAGAAAAGAGAGTGAAATATGAAAATAGCAAGATTGATTACAACCTAAAGAGAGGTGAATTAATTTGATCACCATTTGCCACAGAGTCGTTACGATATACAATGTAAAGTGCAATTGATATCGCGAGATCTCATGTTGTTTCTTGCTTGGCAGGATGAAAATACCTGGGAAAACATCCATTTTATTGCTGATTGTCTCTGTTTTTTTTGATTGTGACATAACTTGTAGCACTAAACGACGTCTGCAATTCTCCCTTCTATTAATTTTCAAGTTTGATATAAATTTGTCCCGATACAGATCTGTGCACGAGATGCGATCGCACGGATTCATGAAAAACTGATCATTAGAGAGCGAATTAAATGGTAATTTGCCAATATATGCGAAAAATGTGCTCCAAATTCGCTCAAATTGTAAGCATTCGAGGGTGCGTCGAGCATTAATGCATAGAACTGTTGAATAATTCACACGCGTTCCGGCATGTTCCTCTCAAAAAGCCCATTTGCAACCTCGATCAAGTGGTCACCAATCTCATAGATAACTCATCTGACCAGACTCCCTCCCTCTCAATCACAGGAGTCCCGCGCGCAAGCAACTTTTTCGCACGACGCGCCACACAATTTTTGCAATGTTACCCATAATATCAAATATAATGTCGAGCTGTGTGCAAGTCAAAGTACCGGCTGCATAAAATTTATCTCCACACTCTTGTAATATCGATTTAGTATGTTCTTCTTAAGGCTCTACGCGCCGTGTTACTGGTGACACCAATTTGATCCACCTTCTTCTCACTCAACTCTCCACGCCGGAGAGAATACAAAAGTACCACGCCAGGGCGTGGCGCAACAGATCACTCCATTTTCCATTCAGTATCGACGAGAGCGAAAGTGAATTCTAAGACATGAGCACAGTTATTTTGCACCATGATCGCCCCTCACTTGATGATCGGCTAGTGATGCCATCGACGAAATTCTATATGCCTAAATGACCAATTAATACGAAATTCTGCGGCCGATGGACTTCTCTCGCCGCACGTTGGCAATTTAATGGGCAATTAAAGTTGTTCGCCGGATAACGCGAGACGCCTAGAAGTGTGTTGGAAACACTCAATGAAGTCAGACGGTGCAAAAGATCATTTGTTGAATTAACATGCAAAAAGTGGGACGAATTTACTATTACACGAGAATAGTTTTCACACATTCCGTGTAGAAAAAAAGACTAATTGCAACGCCTCTGAAGGATGGTATTTCTTCAGATGATCTCTAATAGCATCTCCAAGCCGACGATCAGGCGCGATATGAAATATTTGCAATTAAGTGGAAAAATGAGGCGATCAACTCTCTGCAGCCGATAAATGTGACAGTAATTGATCCATTGATTAATTAATATCATACTAGGTGAATTTTTCACATTTATCTCCCACAAGATCAGTGATCATTTAGCCGAAGTGTGCACCAAATATATCCACAAAATTATCTCCACTCTCCGGTGCACTGAAAGCCTGAGTTTCGACGAGGAGTGGAGAAAATGAGTGAAAAATCCACATGCATTTTTGCCAATGATTGCCAATGGTGAGGCAAAAAAGAGGGAGATAGATCTTGCCATGAGCAAGAAGTGGAGGACAGAGTCTAGAATTTTGTGTGACTGTAGTGGGAAAATTGTCAGCAAAAGTGAGCGATAGGCACAAAGTGTCTTTTGGATATAAATATGGGGAAAATCACGACGGATCACCCAAAGCATTGAGTGACTTGAAAGTGATCAGACATGGCTTCGAAGGTAAGAATCCCACCGGCTGCTGCTCCACTTGCTGGACACTCAAGCACAGTTCTTCTCCTCGCCAGTTGATTGTCTTTGCTGCCCTCCTGGCAACCGCAGCTGCCGTCGCTGTGGGTCCTCTGGGATATCCTGGTTACCCGGCATACGGTGCCGCTTACGGTCCAGCTGTGGCCAAAGTTGGCATTGCCGCTCCCATTGCCAAAATCGCCGCCCCAGTTGTCGCCAAGGCGGTCGTTGCCGATGACTACGATCCCAATCCTCAGTACAGCTACAGCTACGACATCCAAGATGCCCTCACGGGTGACTCGAAGAATCAACAGGAATCTCGAAGCGGAGACGTCGTTCAGGGTGAGTCCGCAAGCTCTTCTTCCCAACCGATCATTCCAGGTAATTGGCTCCCTTCCTCGCAGGATCCTACTCTCTCGTGGAGCCTGATGGCACTCGCCGTATTGTGGAGTACACAGCAGATCCCGTGAATGGATTCAACGCCGTCGTTCACCGCGAGCCTCTGGCCACCAAAGTCGTCGCCGCTCCAGCTGTTGCCAAGATCGCCGCTCCCGTCGCCTACGCCCATCCGGCTGTCGGTGTCGCCAAGTACGGCGTCGGCTACCCAGGTCTCTACCACTAATCCCACTAAGTCCGGGAATGACTGAGAAAAGACCCCATCAGCGCTCAGTCACACGCTGATGCGATCCTTTCTCCGCGCCACGTTCTTGCCACTCAACCTCCATATCTTGTGTATATATCATTATTCTTATACAATTACGAAGAACCGATTTCACAAACACCATCCAAGTGACAATTAATGAGCGTTTAACAATATTCGAGAACTATTTTGTGAGATACTTTTCTCTCCCATTTACGACTCTCTCTGTCTCTTCATTGAATTCCGTCTTCAATCTATTCATTCCTACTATCTTTTCGCGTTTTTATTTCTTGACAAATCAATTTTTGTAGAAAATATATATTGTCATTCAATTTGTGTTGAACAAGACAAAGAATGCAACAATTTATGAATTTACAATGTTGAAAATAATTAAAATTTATTCATAATTTATTATTATTTAAGACTGCAATGTCCGCAAGAGAATTGTACGAAAAAAGATACATATGGCAAAATAAAATGCAATTGTAACAAAGACACATCCAATGCGTCCGCAATTATTTGCCTCATTCTACAGATTGAAAGACACCCGAGCAGAAAAGAAGCACCACATTATTGGCGCTCAACTGTGAAGAAGCGCGCGCGCACAGTGAAAATGGCCAATTGTGCAAACTCAATCACCTTCCCTTTCTTCTCATGTAATTGCGCGTAAACTAATCGCTAAACTCACCTCTGACTCCACGGACCGCGAGGACCATACAAGCTCCGTCGGAACTCCCTGTACAGTCGATCACACTGGCTCTCTTCGGCCTTTGTGCTTGCCGCCAAGGAGTTCTGCCGATGAATCTCGTCGCTCTGCCTGTGCCGCCATGGCAGAATGATTTTCTCCTGTGTGCGATAAGGAATGCCGATTATTGAAAACTCACCACCGCGCGCGTTTCTGCTAACCCACCTGAAATCTCGTGCGACTTTCCATTTCAATCTCTTTGCATAATTTACCAGTTGTCTTGCAAGATTCATAGCATTCCGCCCAAAAGGTGTTTAATGGTTCACACAGAGTCACTTCAATTTCCTTCTGATACGCATCGTGCAGTGGTTCTATCTGAAATATGCAGAAAAAAGAGATGCCATTTAGCGCGCAGCTCCATTTGTACACATTTTGACACATATTTGCAGCAGAAAATTTATTGAACATGAGAAGAAATAGCCGCGATAGTCATGTAATTGGTTCTCAATTGCGAGATAATTGCATTTGAGAGGCTCGAAGAACAGTCTTGTGGGCCGCCACCACTGACTTCACACTCTCCTTGCGTGCGCACAGCGGAGAAGCAGAAAAAAGCCCAGATAGAATCAACATATGAGACAAGTTTCCAATCAACTCTGTCCTAAATTTTACTCGAGCATTTCATGTGGTGAGACTCGCGTGGCGGGAAAATCCTCAGGGTCTCTTGCGAAAAGTGCCTCAAGCAATTTCTGAAAACTCTTCCAAACATGATACTCAATAAAGAAAATTAAGCAATACAATTGCTCTAAATGAAAATGAAAATGAGTGAATTAATTCAAAATTGTCTTCTGGTTTAAAACAAGAGAAAATGAGAATGCGTTATTAATCGATCTCGAGATGCATTTCACCAAAATACAGCACATTGTACGCGAATAAACGTGTGAAATTCTCATCCTCACGAGTGTCAACATCACCGAGAAATTGCCCACGACATTGGCAGAAGAGATCCAAAGTAGGGAATCCACTTTCCATACCCATCATCATTTGCAGCCTCCGCCAAAGCATGTTTGGCTGGCAAAAAACGCGATGAAACAGACGACAGCGGAGAAGCTCCATTGGATGCATGGGAAGTGCATTGATCTCGACCGTGACTGGCGAGGAATTGTGTCCCTTCGCCAGAGAGACTTTTGCCATTTTTCCATACAAGACCATTAACGACGAAAGTGAAAGAGGCGCTGTGGAGATGAACATCGAAAGTGAATTTTTCAAAGGTAAAACTTAATACGATAGACAATCAGCATGCTGGAAGCTCATGAAATTCCCTCCTCGGCGTCTTTCATGGCTTCTCACCAAATGTGCAGTGAATGAGATGAAGAAAAATTGCAGCCATAGAGCTCATAAATTTCTCTCCATCTCTCTTTCGCTCATTCATTGCGCCGTGCGGATTCCCTCGTGGTCGCGCTCAAGTGCAATGCCAAAGCTCTTATATTGTAGCATGGATTACTATCAGAGCCTCATCGAGTCAATGCCAAGGAGGAAACCCGAAGACAAGTCTTGCTTCTCATCTTTCATGCCCCCACTCGTGGACTCTCTCTCGCTCTTTCACCCGGCGTGCGAGAATTTATTCATATCGGCTCAAGTAGGAAATTGTGGTGGATAAAAATTTTATAAAAGAAGATATCGCTGGAGAAAATACCTCAGTTGCTCAACAAACATACACCTTGAAGCTTCAGTGTCTCTCGGAAGCTCTCTCGCGTAATTCTCAACCACAAATCCGGCCAAGAGTGGATTAATCGGAAAGACTTAATCAACACATGTGGTCAAGTGTTACGCATTTCGCCCAAATAAAGTGTCAATGGCGATCATAAAAGTGGAGTGAATCAGTATTTAAATACAGATCATCGCCAGAATCAGCAACAATGAGTGTGGCATCATTTTCCATCATAATTGCGTCCATGGTAAAAGCCAATTTTCCAATCATCTGTCCCACTTCCTCTTTTCCTCGCCAGCAGACTCATACTCTAGATCTCAATCCGCGTTGTCGTTAAACTGGATTTCCACTTTGAACATTGCGCTCTTCTCTCTCGCAACACCTCTGATAATCACGTTCATTGCAAGACATTCTTCACGGAAGTCAAGAGATTTCAACTGAGAATTTGTGTCTTGCTCTATCGGCCTTCTTTATCAGCGAATAAATCAAAGTTTATTGAACAATAACAGACAAATTTGCGAGGGAAAGGAGTTTCGCTCTCACATCACTGAAATTAACACCGTGTAATTAGCGAAAAAAACAACAAAACGCTACTAAAATATATAGAAAAATTGGAAACGCATGCATCAACGCTTCGCAGGGCATTCTAATAGCATAAAAATGTGGTCAATTAGATTGATAAACAACACTTATTCGTGGCGGAAATTGTTTCCAAGTGATTTCAAATTAATATATAAAAAAGATACATATTAATAGAGCAACGCCTGCTATAATTTCAGTTTCTCACATCTTTTATCATAAAAATTCGTGGTGAATATTAGCGATCGTCACGACATAACATTCCTATTTATTCATTAAAGGAAGTCAAATTGCTAGTTTAGATGATTTTCACTTCTTTCACTGAATGAAAATGAATGTTTACATATAGTCTCTTACAAAATGTAATAATGCGAGGTTGAAAAGGCAAGTGTGGGTTTTTTTTGCTCTGACTTCACGTGGAAATCACCCTTTTTCCATTAATATTGATGAATTTTTTTGAGTGTTTGCATTGAAATCTTCCGTTTTTTACTACAACATGATATCAATCAATGCGGATAAAACGGCATTTCTTTGAGATTTGAGAGAGTCGCTGCATAAATTATCTCAGCCACACTAATGCGTAGTCCCTTGTTTTTCATTGACTGTGTGCACAGACCTTCTTGGCGCTGGCGTCCGATGAAAGCACTCGTCGTGTTTCACCGGGGAAATTGGCAGCGCTTGGTTCCGAATTAAGTGACGCCCCCACTGTGATTTTGACTGATCACGCTCTCTCGAAGAGATCATTAAAACGCCAATCGCATCACATCATCATCGAAAGGCGACCAGTATCCAGAGGACCGCCGAGAAGACGGCGTCGCCCGATTAAAATTATCACCAGCTTTCGCTCGAAGGGGCGCCCAAAACCCCCAAAATCCATCTATGGTCCTCCCAAGTATTCCTACGGGAAACCCGTGGGTTATCTGCTGATGAATCACAATAACGAGATCATCCATCAGAGCAAAGACTTTCCCGAACTCCCAGCGCACTTCTTTGACAGTCACATTCCGCCAAGTTTCATCAACGATGATCCGCCGACACCGTATCAAGAGGAACCCGAGATCATTCCAGCTCCAGTGGCTTATGAATCTCACTCCAGTCACAAAGACTTCCCGCCTCCGCCATCGCTGGCGTCTGAAGAAGTGCACACTTGGACTCAGTACGAAGAGCCCAAGCCTCAAAGAAGACCTCCTCCGCCTCCGCCGCCTGAAGAAGTGTACTCGTGGCCACGATACGAGGAGAAGCCAAAGGTACGACGAAAGAAGCCTTCAACGACACCGCAACCAACTCCACCGACTTCCTACCCGTCATACTCATCCCCACTGAAGCCACAACCGCCGAGCACGAGCTATGGCATCCCTGTTTCTCCCTTCTCGGTGTCCAGCTTTAACCCGTGGCTCAATGGACTGAAGGAATCCGCCTTTCCGGGTCCGCCTCGGCAGAAACCTCCCACTCACCCGAGCTTCCCCAGTAATTTTGAACTGGAACACGACCAGGAGAAGAATGTCTACGATGCCCCAGTGTCGTCTTACGACGTTCCGCTGAATTACGTGAGTTCAGACACAAAGCCAAGCTCGCCAAGCTACGGCAAACATCCTGCTGCTGAGAACTTCGATGTGGGATCCTTTGAAAACAATCCCTCGAGCAGCTACCAAACCTACCTCCCACCTCAACTGCCTGAGAGCTACAACGAGGAAGACTTTCCAGGTGTAACACGCCATAGGCAAAAGCCCCACGCTCCAGTGGAATCAGACTACAGCGGAGAAATCACGCATTCTGAAGACGATTTTGATCAACCATTGACCTTTTCGTACCAGAAACCTTCTCATAACACCCGTAAACCTGTCTTCAGACAAACACCATCTGCCCATGAGGCTTTCGAGAGTTTCGTGCGGGAACTCCGACCCAGTCACACTACAGCATCTCCACCAACTCACACACCGACCATAATTAACCCTCAGCCAACGACGAGGCGCCCCAGACAACCCACAATTTCCCATCGTCCTCGTGTTCGTCCTACCAGCAATCACAACCTGGACACAGACGATCTCCGAGAGGCTTACTTTGAGAGCAGCGCCAGCCTTGAAGACTACAACTTCGATCCTGAGCCTGTAAACTTCGAGTCCATGAGATTCCCACCAGATTCTCGTTCCTCAGGCAGCGACAAGAGGCCACAAAACTACGTTCTCGTCTCTGCTGCCAATCGCGACCGAGATCAATATCGAGAGTCTCACACAACCACCACAGAGAACTATCCAAAACATCATCCCGCCTTCCTGCCCAAGCCATCAAATATTGACATCATTTCCATTCAAAAGTCCAAATCGAAGACTTACTTTGGAGGCACCACAACATCCACAAGACCTCCCAAATCAAATCCTCGAGGCACTCATCGACAGTACACAAAATCCCAGATCTCCCGCCATGACGACATGTCTCTTCTCCAGGGCGAGAACTATCGCCGTCCACCAACAACCTCCCACAAATTCAATCCTTCGCTCCACTTCACGAAAAACTTTTCGTCGAAAATCGCCCAATCCAATCAGGCGAATCAAAAGTACCAGCAAACTTTGTGGAATGGCCAGGAACTGCCCAAGAATCACAAGATAACCAATCGTGATACATCATAGCACAGTGCAATTCGTGTGTGAGAAATTATCCTAATTTTTAGAAATAAAGTTATTTGAAAAACATAATCTTCACTCACCCTTTTCTTTATGAAATTCCTCCACTGCTTGTGACCAGCGAACATCTGGAACTCCTCGAAAAATGCCGGCCCAGAAGTGAGAGAAGGCAAATCTGGTACATTCACTGACAATCCCAACATTGTTTCCGTCTTCTCAAGGAGAGCTTTCATCACAGGAATCAGGAACGAATACTCTTCTGGATTACCGACTGTAAGTGAAAATGTAGATTTAAGTTCTAAGCAGATGCGGAAGATTTCAGCATCTTTACCTTCTATGGCATTCTCCAGTGCTCCGCTGAGTCTGAACACGAGATAGCTCACTTCTTCGAGATCTGTCAGGGTGCGAGATTGCAGGATGTAGTGTAACTTCGCTGTGGCCATGGCCACAATCGCTGGATCTGAACTATGAGAACACTGGATCAACAATCCCAGGCAAACTCTCTTCATCTCCAACCAATCGTCAACAGCAGAGCTTTGAAATACCATTAAAGCGTCCAGCAAAGCAAGAACGCCGTCGAGGAGCTTCGCTGAGCACTTCTTGAGATCGTCTTTGTTCTGATCCAGCACCACCAGATCGTAAACCATGCGCAGAAGCTGTGCACAGTACTGCTGGAGCTCCATATTCTGTGCACTGCCTTCGCCAATCTCAATCAGGCACGCCTGAACTGTCATCTCGAGAAGGCGCAATCGCAGGATGAGATGCGAACAGAAGAGTTCATTGGTGAGAGCTAGCAAGTTAACTGACGCGATTATTTCTCCTCTGGCCTTCCAGGACTCCTTCTTGTCCGGAATGCCGCGCCAGAGAATCGTGAAGATGATGTTCGTGAGGAGATACACAAGCTGCTCCTCATCGCTCACAGTGTTCTCCATTTCGGGGAGAACCGTCGAGATTGTCGACGGAGGATCAGATGGCACTCTTCCTGTTGGTGTTGGCGATGCCAGAGAATTCACCTCACTCACTGTACTCATTGAGTTAAGACTCAGATTGTCATTGTCAAACACTTCCATCGCATCTGCAGCCTCGGACAGTGAGAAATTCTCCTCGAACGGAAACTCTCTGCTCTCCACGGGAGTCTTATCATCGAAGCTGATAAAATCCACCTCTGAACTCTTCATGTCCATCTTGATGGACTTCTTCACCAGCAGCTTCATTATTGCTTGCTGCCATCCTCTCTGTTGAGCAATCAATCCCGGTGAATTTTGTTTCGTGAACACAGTCGAGATGAGTTTCTTGCTAATCTCCAGCTTCAGACTCAAGTCTCGATACTGGAGATTGTTCATTAAGTACACAATGCCACAGTAGCCTGATTCAGAGTTACTCGAGAGCATCTGATCAGCCAAACTGACTAGGATTTCATCCTCCAACCGCACAGGAAAGAGGTAAGTCAGGAGTCCAGGATAGAGACTCTGTCCCTGAACTGATTTGTCCTGCAGTATGAGGTAGTTTTTGTGCCTCTGCGACACCCACTTTGTCTTCAGCAGACACCAGATCAGCTTAAGTACGGCATTGTGCAGTTCCACAGAGAATGTCCTCTCCAGGAGCATGCAATACAGCAGCTCCGCCGTCTGTGGTTCCAGCATTAACAGGAATATCTGATCCTTGCAGTTTGCATCCATGTGATTCACCAGTAAGTCTATCACTTCAATTGACACCACTTCATTCTTCCCCGTGGCCAAGAAGCTCAACAGAACATTGACTTCCTTAACATTGATCTCCTTCTGAATGTAATACTTCGTGATGTCCAGCAGAGCCATTCGAATGGACTTTGCATCGTCCAGTGGAATGTTGTTCGGCGTGATGAAATACAATCTGATGGTGTCAAAAATGAATTGAATGCCGTATTTTTTTCTGCAAGAGATTATAATTTTTGATAAGTGATTAGTCACATAAAAAGAACCTCCTATTATCTTGTTTGTCTATACGCAAAATCAACAAATATCACCCTCTTTGCTCACGAAGGTGTGTTCATTACACTTTCTCTGAGGGCATTTTTGCTGAAACTTCAGCTTAATGCAATTAATTAGGTCAGTGCTTCGCAGTGGCTCTAAAATGCCATTGAAACGGAAGGTGATATAGTATTTGGTAATTATACTCACCTAAAATACTTTCTGTCAGTCTTCACGAGCGTCTGAAGGTACTGCGTGTGTCCAATGATGATCTGGAATGAGGCCTTCGACCAAATCCTGAAGTTGAAGAGCAAATGCTCATGCAGAGCCTCTAAAAGAGGCACATTATTAGCACTTTTGTACTTTTGCTGCACTGTCTCAATGAAGATCTGCAATGCCATCAGCACATGAACATCCAGAAGAGTTGCATCACATTGCGCCACAAGCGATCCAATGAGACCCACACTTTCATAGTTGTCCTGAAGGCTCTCACAATTTGTGTAGTATCGCAACAAAATGAGAAGATAGGCGATGGGATTCTTCAGATTCTTCGTATCACACGGAGATTCACAAAGGCTCTTCTCACTCTCCTCGGCAGATGTATCCAGGGACTCTCTGAAGCACTCCAGCAACGGAAAGAACACTTCAATTCCACCTATGCTCTTCACTGCATCCTGAATTGTTATAACATGGTGGAATTTGGCCACGGTGTGACCCGTGAACTTCTTCCCCAGCGATAAATCAACGCACACACTATCACAGCATGCGGATGGCGAGAAGCAGAAGACCACCTTCGACGTGGCGCCATCGTGGCTCTCGCTGTCCTGCGAGACAACTGACGCTATCCTTCCTCCCGCTTCCACGGCGTTCTTCAGCTGGTAATTGGACTCCGCGAGGAGAACACATCCCATTTGGCCACGAAGGCAGATTTGACTGCCGAAGACACTCTCCTGGAGGCCCAGAGCGATGCACTTTGTACTAGGATCTTGAGACGAGAAGCCCTTGAGAGGCAGAGTGAAGTAATTCGGGGCCTGAAAGACAGAAAAGTTTAGAGGAAGTTCAGAGAAAAGCACACTTTCTCACCTGGGTGACGGCCTTCTCGAAAAGTGAGGGAAAGAGTCCCTTCATAGTGTTGCTATTGTCTCGAGCATCCTCCACATCTGCCACAGGAGTCTCCTGAACGCGACTCACGGGCGCTCCAATTGTGCAATAGACAAACTTCTCGTGATGACTACCAATCTTCAGAGATGTGCTGAGCAGAATGTCCTGATCGCGGTACATTGTGATTTGAAAGTATGAGAAGGGCCTCTTGGACGGTACCACAGACACTGTAATCGCGTGCCACTGTCCATCGCAGAGCTTCGCCTCATTCGCAGAGACTGTGTGGTATTCCTTCTTAGTGATAGCTGCCAGAGTGAGACTTCCTGAGTGACTGACGAAAACTTCAAAGCCCGTGCCTTGACTGCTCAAGAGGCACAGAAGCTGCCTTCGATACGCTTTAGCGCTCAATTCATCAGGACTCTCAACATTAGCGTCCGATGGAAATCTCTCGAGATTGATTGAAGTGTGAAAGACAAATCCACTTGGCGGATTTGCTGACTGCCACAATTCTATATCCGGCACAGTGATGCCTTCGTCATTCTTTTGAATGTTGAAGAAGTGTCGATTCTCCGCATGATTTCCAGAGCAGTGAGACGAAATATTCACCATAGCTTCTAGCAATTCAAATCTGTAAGTGAACTTGAAGTCCTCCCTGAGAAGTTGGAAAAGCTTCTTCACTTCGATCGGATGAATTGTGTACTTTCCCAGTTTCTCAACCACTTTTGTCATATCGCATATCGTTTCTGGCGAGAGTCTCTGGAATCTCTTGAGACTCTCACAAATCGCCTCAACAATTCTACTTTCACATGCGAGTATTTTCCTATTGACATTCATTGTGCAAATAGTCAGCAAGCGCTTCATAGCGAATTGCTGTTCTTTCTCGCCAAAATCCCCGAGCCACGCTATTATCTCTCGCATGACGTCACAGTTGATAAAGAGCTCATCGTCGAGCGCGTCAGTAAGGGCGATTAGCTCCGCCACAAGATCCCTCGATGGTTTGCCACAGAGCCGGAGGCCTTGAAATAGTTTCTCAATTGATAATCGCCTCATTTGGTGGTGAGAAGCCCAGCAAATGTGTCTCAGAACTCTCACGCAAGTTGCCATCAGGCTCTGTCTATCCACATCCCATGATACAATTATATTTGGCACTCCAATCAGGATGTTCAGGATGTTATTGTCTATCATTATCTTGCACACGTTCATCCGCACCGTGGGTTCTTGCAGTAAACTCCTCAGATTGTCGATGAGGGCATGAAGTGCGGACACATCAATGCAAGAATCCACTTCGTCGGTGATGTCAAAGGCTTCGCCCTGGAATTTTCGCATGAAGTGCTTAGTTTTCAGCAGCAACACAATGGATTCGTGGTACTGCTGCATCACTGTGGTCAATTCAATCTGTCTTGTCTCAGGTGATGCCTTCAGGAGAACGATCACCATCAAATTAAAGCACTTCAGAGCCACAAGACGAAGATTCGTCTCGCATTCCCACGTAGAAATCAGGCTCACGATAATCTTCACAGTAGCAGGACACACGGCGCGCTGGGCATTGATCTGGGATCCCCCAATGATGCCACCCAGGATGTTCAGAGAGTCGCTGGTGAGCGTGCCGTCCTCAAAGCAACCGTAAATGAAGGGAATGATCTCAGAGTTGAGCTGCGTGTTAGGATGGTGAGAGATCTCGTAGAGATCTGTGTTCACAAAGTGCCTCCATGTGAGGAAGGGATCAAATATCACCTCTACGAAACTGCTGAAGGTCTTCACGAGTCCCCGGATAGCCTTGGGCAGTTCATTCCTCTCCCTATTGACACTGTTCAGAACTCCTGATATAACTTCCACACCCACCGGGACGAAATTCGATCGCGCCACCTGAGGGATGTTGTCAAAGTGGCGGCAAATGATGGTGAGGCACTCGAAGAGCAGAGTTGTGTCTGAGATTTCGTCATCCCGGAGAATTCTCTGTGGAGAGATGAAGAAATCCGTGAGTGACCTTCACGGCTGCTGCTCAAACACTTTCTCACCTTCTCGCCATCGCTTTTCGCGATAATGAGGAACTTCTGAATGGCGGGAAGTAACTCCTCGGGCAGTCGCTTAATGTGGGGCCCCGAATCTGACTTGATCTCCGACGGAGCGGGCATTTTCTCCAGCTCCAAGTTGAGCTGATCCCGCCAAATCGCCACGAAGCCTCGCACGAATTGCCGAAAGAACACCTCATCGCTCTGGAATTTGCACGCAGTGGGTGGACAGATAGCTAATTAGCGATAATCTGACGCCGGGAGGCGCGAAAAAGTCCCCGGAATCCGCTTCGACTTACCTTGGTTGTGTACTGAATCCAAAGATTGTAAATATCCTTCTTCGTGTCCATTCTGGAGCATGTTGCACACTCACAACCAGTTGTACGACATCTAGTGCGGAAAGTGAGACAGTTTTCGCGTCATTTGCACTCCGCGGAAGGGAGAAAAGTGAGAAAATACGACACACAAAAACACCGAATGCACGTAAAACTTTTTTCCCCACGGGTCAGCTGACATTGACACTTGCAGCGGCGCGCAGTGTTGGTATTTTACACGTTCTGCGCGTAAGAAGTATTTTACATTTCTCTACACACAGACTCGTTTTAGCAATTTTGGGCTCATTTTCACGGCAAATTTATCCGTATTGAAATATTTCCACAAAATATACGACTTTTTGCGATGAAATAAGGATTCTATTAAAGTCTTACCTTTTTATACACCTGCGTTATCAGCTTGCAGTTTATGCCTCTCTTGAATTCCAGCGCAGAGCTGGACAAGCAGCTTATGCTCGCTGAGAGCTTCTGCAGTGGCGAAATGCGCGTTACATTTCTGAGCTCGATAAGCTGCTCCGCAGAATATTCCAAGCTTTGCAAATAAATGCAAACATTCCAAAGTTGAGCCTTCCAGACCACAATTTCCAGTCCATATTGCGCGCCCAGAAAGGGTTGAATGGGGAAAAATGCGGGCAAAATCGATAGATAATTATTTTTAGAGTGGAATTCTCGCGTGGATAGTGAGAATACATCTGCAATTAGTGGGCAATTCTCTCTGGCCTGCCGCTGAACTTTCAGGGGAGTGTTGGCCGAGTGCCAGCGCGGCTCATCATCCTCTTCCCCTGTGACACCTGTGGTGGAAAATTAGCCGAGAGGTGCTGAAATGGCAGGCCTGTGAACAGGAAAATGTCGATATGCAAATCTCATTTCCAATTCATTTTCTCCCTCATCGTCACACCGTGAATTGGACATATGAGTTGAGGCGCGAATTCCACAAATATCGAAACTCATTCTGTAAAGCTTTCACGATTTTTATTGTTGATGTTCTCTCAATATTCTTTCTCTCATAATTTTTGAATTTATTTACCATCACTCCTTCTTCACGCTCTCTTCTCCTAGTATGTATATTTAATAGCAATTAAAAAGCAATTTTTCATCATTCAAAATACACACCATTAACAGTTCTTTTTTTGAAATAGTTTCTCTTCTCCTTTCAATATTATTTATAATTTTTATAATATTCTAAATTGCCTCTCAATCAATTAATGGGATCTTCTGTCGAAGGAATAGTTTCTCTTTTCTGGGTTTCTTAAAAGATCTTCTCACTCACAATTAGCTAGACTCTCTTAAAATTCAATAGTAAAGATTTCTCTGGCTTTTATCTCACCTCTGTTAAATAGTTACAATAATAATATTTATCTAAAAATGCACGTCAGTTGAATATCCCTTCACTTCTCATCGTCTTAAACCATCTCTGGCGTCTATTTTCAAATTTCGTGGGTGTTGCGTTGGGAAATTTAACAAAAGGAGTTTCTCTTTCTTCATGTTTATCTCCACGGGGTTTCACTCAAGCTTCAACCATGACTTTTTATCTCTGATTTTCATTTGATGTGTGGGAGGATAAAGTAAAATTACACGGTATTATTGTGTCTATTTCTGACGATTTTCCACTCTGTTCTCCCCCTGTTTTCCAAGAGATCTTCTCCACCTCCGCCCAACTCGCGCCCACTGGGCAATTGAGATTAGATGACATTGGAATATTCAGAAGAATTGAAAATCTACCTCGAGTGTGTTCTACATTTTCCCTCTTGTCTCATCCACACATTTTCCAACTTGATTCATTATTGAATGATGAAGAGAGAACCAAAGTGGAAAAAGCCAATAAATCGATGATGTGCCTTGTTTCCCTCGGCTTTTCTGTCTGGTAATGCTCGAAGGGCAAATTTTCACAATACACATTTTAGCCAGCATGTTAAATTAAACCATTTACTATCGCTGAATGAAATTTTCAATGGTGGAAATTTTTGAGGAAGGAAGTTTTAACAATAAGAGTCTTCGTTGTGCAAAATTATTCGCTTAACAGCGCGCACTCCATCCATTTTACTCTCGCCGACACATTTTTCAAGGTTTTCCGCATGAATTAGAATTTATGTATTTTAGAATTAAGAGCTCATTGTTCCAATATTTACATAATTAATTATAATAATGCTTCTTTAGGAGGAATATAATTTCAAATTGAATTCTTTTCTTTCTTTCCTTTTTAACACTCTTGAGAGACTCTCATATGACTTTTTTAATTTTGCATAATTACAATTAGACTTCCTTGAAAATTCTTTCTCTAAATATTACCAATTTGAAATATGTACTTTTTATTCCATTTTCTTTGAGTTAATAAATCTTTTAACGCAATGAGACAATTGTGGGGAAAAAGCTTCATATTACCTCAATTTGTGGCTTCATTCACAAGGAGCTTCTTGATAGTGTTTCCCTCACGCTCTCTCACTTCCTTTTTCATTTAAATATAATTTAGAGGTGAAATGTTGCATGGCATAACACTGATAATTGCTGCGATTTTCGTGTGAGACCTTAAAGAGTTTCTTGAATGATAAATTCTGAATTTTCACATTCTCTTCGTACAAGTTCGAAAAAGCTTCTCACAAAGCTCATGTCTTAGCTTTTTTTTAGAGTAAAAATATGTTGTGATGAGATGAAAATCTTGGTAATCCATTATTGAAAAAGACCTGCTCGCCTCAGCCTCGTCCCGGAATCTGAGCATCAGCAGATGATTCACTTCTTGCCAAAGTTGAACTTGATGTTGTCCAGGCCATGAACCTGTCGCTTCAGACTGCCGCTATCGGCCCAGGAGGAGTTGAGATACTCGTCGTCATCGTCTTGCTCAAGTTTCTGCAGAGAAAACAAACAAACATTGTCTTTAATTGCAACTGTGACGCTGATAAATCACAGGGAGACTCCTTGACCACAAAATTCATCATGAGACATGTATTTAAGGATACCGAGAGAACCTTGAACATTCTTTAGCCCGTGGGATCAATAAGACAGAATCTCCGCAAGTTTTTGGCACGAAATCCAATGACTTTTTCTGTGGTAAAATCTGCAGTGTCTCCTCGAGACATGCAACAAAGAGATTTATACCAATGAGGACACATCGCCTCCGAAAGAGTGCCTCAAAACATGAGCCCTAATATAGAATTTAATTTAATGTAGCAGAACAACATCAGATAATGTTGGAATGTTTATGAGAACCCCAAGTGAAATGGTTTAGCAACTATTTTGGCCACAAGAGAGAGACTGGTAATGAAATAAACAGGCGAAGATGTGCTGAATTCCTAATACAAACATGTAATTTCTATTTACATGGAAATGTGCTGAGTGAAAGGACTGAGAGTGACACAAAGAACTACTGAAGAATGCTTTTGCAATTGCGTGATTATTTTCCTGAATCAAGTTTCACTTCTCAAGGCCACAAGAAAGTGATTCTATTCAAATTTTTACAACTGTGTAACCTACTAAAAAATTCCTCTTCCAATCAAACTTGATGCATTCGCAGGGCGCTTAAAACTATCTGAATAATGAATTGACTCGTTTTACATGCAAGAACGATTCTTAACCCATTGTCGGAAATTTTATCAGCCTAGTTCTAAATTCATGAAAATGAGAAAGGAAGGCTGATACCCATAATAATGGTGTGAAGAATTGATTGGGATACACACCTCCAAAACACATCAGTCACGCAATCAATTTAACAATTTAATAACCGAAATTTGTGGGCGACATATCAGAAATGATATTGTTGTTTCCGCTAACGAGAATAGAATTGGTCAATGTGGGTGCAGTTTAGGAAAAAAACTGAACACGGAAAGGTTAGAAGTCTACTTGAGTTCCTTCTTTAGCGCTATGCAAAGTCATTTTGTGGGAAAACGTGCAAAATGTGTGAAAATCAGAGCATTATGTAAACATAAAGTCATTTGAAAGCCCTCAAAAAACATGCAAAAAGCACACTTTTTGCTTCGCTTATGGAAGGATGGAGTTTTACGGTCAGTTTGCGATTCTCATAAATTATTGAAATATAAAAATATCGCTCTACGAAACAAGCTGTTAAATCTCATATTTCCGATGCCCCGCCTTCTCGAGAGCCACACCCATTTGTGGTTTCTAGGTTATTGACCAGTATTAGGAAATGTGCGAGATCTCCTCACCCTTGAAAGCTGGCTGAGGTGGAAAGCAGACCTCCATCGATGCTCTCGCGAGACATCTCATCTGCCATCTTCACTTTGAGCTGGTGTCCAAAGGACGCAATGTCTGTGTTGGAGGACAGCAGAGCCCCGGACGCCGTGAGCGGAGTCGTTCCGTTTGGCAGTGATGACGACACTCCCTCTGCGGCTGTCCCGTTCTCCAACACCACACCATCTTCCTCCTCTCCAGGTTCACCGCCCTCCACGTCTTCACCCTCGCCAGCCATGCCCTCGGCGTTCTTGTCCAACGGAGCCGCCTCCTCATCCTCGTTGTAGATCTTGAAGTACGCGATCGTGAGGTAAATCACGGAGATGATGAAGGAGGGAATCGGAATGGCCATGCTGTAGATGAGATTGAGGGTATTCTGCCTCATGTCCAGATGCGTGATGACCAGCTTTGGGTCCACCTTTGAGTAGTAGCACGTGAAGTTCGTCCCAATGCGCTTGTACGCTTTTGTCCAGATGCTACAATTGAGGGACGGTGGGTAGCCGCAGCCCTTCACGTTAGGATACAGCCGAGCCATGGTGAAGAACCACTCAGACTCATTGCCCTCGCCCTGGTCCATATCCAGTAGATCCGAATAGTCCACCTCAATTATTCCATTCGACGGCGCCACTCCATTCATCGCGTCCGCTCCCTTTTGCTCCTCACTGTCCGCATAATCATATTCCCGAATGGCTCTCTCTCGCCTATGACTCCTCAAAGCCTGAGCCTCGGGCAGCGGTTCCGGCAGCGTGGCCAGATTCATTCCCGTGAAGTTCGTGCCATTGGGCATGAGACGGTAGTTGACACTGATCTGCAGACACTCGTAGATATCCTTGGTACATCCCTCCCGGCAGGATGTCCAGGAGCAATTGCTGGCTCCGCGCAAGTACATCGTGTCAACTGTGGTACATATAGCCGGATTCGTGTCAAATTGCATAAAGATTGTGGTAAAGGCAGGATCAATCACAAATGGTACAAGAAAGAGAAATGCAAATAAGCTAAATGTTCCGAGAAGGATGAAAAATGCCGTTGTGTAGAACAATAACTTTTCCTTAAATGTCCTCTCGTCAACTGGAGGTTCGTCAGCCATATCACTGTAATCTTGCTATATGTCTAATAGACTCTGGAATATCCACCTTCGTCCCTCCAATATTTACACACACGCTGTGAGATTTGTGGGATCAAGAAGAGGAAGCTTGTTGCTCCTTCTTCCACAACTTCTCTGGACCACGATTTTGGGCGACTTGCGTCACTTTAGCGCCCCCAAATCCTCTATTGAGCCGCTCTCCACTGGGGTCTATCGGGGGCGCACTGGGCGCACCCCCTTCGCACAGCACCACATTCAAATGACCCTTGAAAATGTCCTCCTTGTCTGCAAAGATTTTAGGCGCTCATCTATATTTATAGTCCGCTTGTATGCGCAGAAACTTATGCTCTGACCTGATATCACCAAATTATCACACCACCAACGGTAGTCCAACTGCAATTCGAGCGTTCAGCCTCCCTTTTGCACACACTTTCACGTGACTAAAGTTACTCTAATTGCACTAAAATCACCATAATTTAATTCTCGGGGAGTGAAATGGATTTTTTCCACTGGTCGCTCTATTGATTTATGATGCATTTTCTAGCACAACATGAACTCTCCCCCCGCCTCCGCCGCCGACTTTTAAATTCGGAGCAACTTTCACCCTGGCGCCGTCTGTATATCGCAGTGTGTGACTGCGAGGGGTGGACTTTCTCCGATGGTGTGGCACCCTTCCTTGTGGATGGATGGAAGATGCGAGTGTCACAAATCCGCAGTGATATTTCTTCTCCTCGCGCTGGCACTTCTTCACGGCGTACAGCGAATTATATTGGACCCAACACTGACGATATATATTCTCCGCTCCAGAGAGGGATTTTCACTGGGAAAGCGTGGCAAGAAAGCTCTGTCTCTCTTCTTTTTCACACACCACTAATTTACCATGGGAAATTATGTAATGCTTGGACGGCATAAGAGATTCTCCATCGCTCTATATATGACAACACTCACTCTTCCTCGCAGAATTCTCCCCTCTCTGTGTTCTCCTTAACAGTGGGCTATAACAGTATGATAAATTTGTACAAGACTTCACGTTGAAGAAGTCCTCTGGATGCGTTTTATATTTTGCGCCCACAAAAATTCCAACATACACGCGAAAAAGGCGAATACAAAGGTCGACCTCTGCACACACAAGAACAATACGATGATGATGAAAAAGCTCAGGAGCGAGCTTCACCCATCGGAAAAAGCAACGGAGCGCAATCACAAGCACGACAAATGGCACGAGGTATTAAATTAATTTAGCTACTTTTCTCCGATAAGTATCCACCAATTGTGGTCTGCTCGTAGTCGACATGAAAAGTGTTCTCGCACACAGTCGCAAGATGGAAAATTTCACCTCCCCGTGACACTTTTGATTCTCTCGCACCACCCCAGAATTGCTCCAACTCCCGCGAGAGCCTGGCTGGCGACACCCCGGCTGCACTCTGTCCCTGATCAGTGGGGCCACTCGAGCGAGTCAACTATGCCTCTATCCATTGATTTAACGGCTGGAGACGTGCGGACGAGGGCAAAGGAGCACCAAAAGTCAATTTAAGCACATAAATGTTGGAGAATCATTTGGTGTTCATGCGAGTGGCAGAAATCGATGGTGGGTGAGTGATTTAATGTGAAAATTCTGTCTGCCATGGCTGGCAGAAGGGCGAACAATATCGTGGCGAATATCTCTCTCCTTCCCAGAAAAGTACACGCGAAAAGCACAGGATATTTCACTTCAACTCTCCACCAAGTAGAAATTCTCAATAAGATGGCGATCGAGATTTCGTGCGAATTCTCCACGTCCTTTCATACTCTCTTCAGTGTCACTCTTTGTCCCGTGTGTTCGCCCACTTCACAACACCAACCACCAAAATTGTTCGTGGCCAACAAGTCACTTTCTTCTCCGTAACTTTTTTTCCTTTCTTCTTGGCTGTCCTGCTTTTTCTTACTCCCACTGGCTCTAAGTGCGGGAGAACACCTTTTGCGGAGTGTTGAATAAAGAAACACTGGGTGAGCAAAGCCCACGAACAACTGCTACTGGCCTCTGCTCAAGCTCACGCGACTGCCGACGAATTTCATTGAACAAGGATGGGTCAGGAGGGGCGGCGAAGGGAGAGAGAACATGAGGCAATCAAGCAAGCATTCCATCCATTTCCCCACCATAAGGACTTCCACGAGAGAGTGAGAGAAAAGAGAGAATGAGAGGGCTTTTCCGCTGAGCTTTCGCCATCAGTATGCGAGCTTTTATGGGCACACATAATCTGGGTTTAGGATTGAGATGATAGAATCTTTCTAAATTGAATCCCCAATTTGTTTTTTCATCATTCGGAATTTTTAGGACATTTCAGACATAAATTTTGAAAAAGATACTAGCGATTATTGAAGAATTTCCCCTTAATTCAATTCCTTATTATAACCTCCATAACAAGTAATTACAGTATCAACAACATTCCCAAATTGCTGTCCTTAAAATATCCCCAATTCCCACCCTCGGAATTCCTTTGAAGAAAGTCTTTGTGTTCCATTTTCTCGCTTCGAAACAAGTTTCCAAATGATTTATTATTGATTGAGGGATGCAATTAATAATTGAGCATTGAAACAATTCCCTTTCGTGTGCAATCCAATCGACACGGACGCTTGTTATTTTCCACTGAAGCCTTTCTTCTGACCAATCGTCACGCGGGAAAACGGAAAAAGCACCAGATAAATAGTTAATGATTGTGCAATAAATATCCATCAAGGCACATCGAGGGCGGAAGCATTAAAATCGATTCGGGGTATCGTAAATTTCTTGGTCAATTTCTCCTCAATGCGTCCGTGGAATTTCATTCACAACATTTAACATTTATTGCCCTCAATCTTTGGCACGAATTTCCTCGGTGAATCTGCAAAAACGCGGCACTGGCGCGCTTGAATTTACAAGAGAGGGGAAGAGCTTTCATGAGCTTTTAGAACTATATAGTTGAAAAAAACATGCGCCAGCAGAAGTGTGTGCCATCTGGAGGAACTTTTCGCAGCTAACACTACTAATACACATTCTCGATGAGCTTTCTCAGGCCATCCTTATTGTTCCACACGCAGAGCTATGGCAAGTGACGTTGAGTGCTGGTGTAAACTTGAAGGAGATGGATATATTGGCTACGTAAAGTTTTCTCACCCACACAGTTAGAGAGTAATTCATTTAGTACCTCTGTGACAATTTCCCGTGTGAAAATCCTCAAATAAACATTCCCTCGGAGGATTTTTCAATCTACTGTCCAGTGTCTTACATTCACCGCGAAGTAACACCCAGAAAAGACAAGAGATTCCACTCCGGTGATGGTTGCCGTGAAGGTTAACTATGAAAATCCCATGTGAATTGTGAAAAGTTTCACGCGAATTGTGGACTGTAGGGAGAATATTAGGAACAGGAGACTATCACATTTCCCTGTTGACAGAGGGTAAATAGTTAAAAAGTTCACTGGAGTATAATTAGATGGGTGAGTGAAAGTTCTCAAGAGAGCCTCAAATGATAAGCCTATTGATGTGGAAGAGAGCTAATCTTGTATATTTTTCATTACCCAGCAGATTCAAGACATCAATGGTTGAATTGGTGAAAGAGAATCTTTCAAGAAGTGAATAAGTGCATAATAAAATAAATTGTGATGCTAATATTTAAGTGAACACTTTTCTAAATAACTAGTAGAAGTCATCAAGCACCAATAGGGACAATCCTCGAGTTTAGACACAACCAACGAAAGCTTTAAAATAGCTCTGGAGACGTAAGTGTGCATTAATTTGCTGTATTATTGATAGAAAAGCTGGGGACAAAATAGAAATGACTTTTTCACCACTAATATCGATTACCAGAGACGGAAATATACCCAATCATATGCCTTACGAATCACACGAGTAACCCAGGTAGAGACATTGTGAATAATTATGCTATTCTGCACTCATATTAACTTTAATGTCGGCTGCATGCAAATTTCCTCTGCTCCACTTTTTCGCCCTCAGCCGCATTCTCAAGTACATGTGAACCCAAAGCGGTCACTGCATGTCTCATCATAGGATATTTCAGGACAATCTTTTTGGGTTTATTGGCCTGAATTTTGGGGAGAAAATTGCAGTCTTTTCTGAAGAGAAAGTTCGGGAATGTTGTGCTTTTGTGAGAGATATTTTCCCGGGAGAAAGAGAGAAAGAACCACCAGCATTATCTGCAGAACGTCTGGGAGTGAAAGCTCCCATTCCAGCGTGTGAAAGTACAGCGGAAGCTCTCCACGTCTTGCGCGCGCATTTTCCACCCCATCGCCCACTTGGAGAGGCACATGCGAAATCGCAGCTCACCCAAAACGTCCTGCAGTACAGCAATGGAGATTTTTCATTTGGGTGAAAATTTCTGAGGAAAATCCTCTTTCACTCTTCCTGTGATCATATCCTTTGGGAACTTCCTGAAAATACGACAGTGTGTGCCGAAAAGTGTCAATCGAGAGTGCTTTCGAGAGCTTTTATCATTGCACATAGCACAAAAAGCTCACAGTGAAAATTATCGCCAGTGCAATTGTCATTGTGTGAAAAGTTATCTGACATTGGGGAAGTAAAACGGAGCAAAGGGACCAAAGGATCCCTGTAAATTGCATATCCACCCTTCGACAGATTCGCGTGTATCTTCACATTTCCCTAAGACATTCGCTCATCATGAAGTTCTAACCACACTTCCTGGAAGAAAGTTGAAATTCCCCAGAAAATCCTGACTTCCGCACTGCAAGAGCTTTAATAAATCATCCGGAAAAGTGCGGGGTGACGTAAAAGTGTTGGAAAATAGAGGTGTTTAGGTCAGTTTTTTGCGTGTTTGAGCTGAACAGAGAAAATCAATACATCACCCCGTGTAATTGTACAATGATTGGCTCTACAGAAAGCTCCATGGATCAATAGTGACACACCGTGAGCTGACATTTCTACACACTCGATCTCTTCGACACGCCAAGTGCTGTGAAAAATGCCAAAGAAGGTTCCAGTTGAGGATTTGGTCATTCCGCCGCAGGACACAAAGATATGCGGCACCATTTGCATATGTCAGATGACGCTGGTGCTGAGTTCGGTGGCTCTGGTTTACCTCACGGTGGCCATCTACATGCCCTCCACGCGGGCATTCAACAGTGGCATCTCCGAAGTGCCCGTGATGTGCACAACAACCAAAGCCGTGAACAAGGATGCCTGCGAGTGGGGCTCATGTGGAGAGTGGTGTCTCAGCAAAACCTCCGGAGCATGCATTCAAATCTACGTGAATCTCCGCAATAATGGCAGCAGTCTCACCCTGGCGAACTGTACAAACTCCGCTAATAAAACATGTTATGGCTTAGACCAGGAGAACTCCAAGAAGGCGCGGTGCATAGCAGACGAATGCAAGAATCTCACCGGAACGTTTAATTGCACTCTCGGCGCATGCATAAACATAACCGATGCCTTCGAGTGTGTCTTCGCCAGCACCGATCCACCACTCAAGTGTTCTGGGAGGCGCGGAAAAATCACCTGTATCGAGATAACGGGGCTGTTTAGTTGTACTCGCGGCACATGTCGCAAAATACGCACACCTTACAATTGCGACCGACGCTGTGTAGACATTCCAACGCGCAACAAAAACATAGTCCTTTTATCCGGCGACAAAGTCTACTTATCACAGTGTCAGAGCGCCATAGACAAAGAAACCCAACTGGAGGTCTGGAATGAAGAGGAGGACAATGTCATGATGGCTTCATGCTACAACATCCAGAACACTTCTTATGGCGTCGAAGCGGTGGATTGTATCAATGGATCCACACTTGACAAGAATGTCCTCACGGATTTGACCAACTTCACCTACTTAAGCTACCTTCATGTAGCCATAGCCAAGCCACACAAGCTCATCGCACCACTTGAGCAAGAGCTCACGATCTGGAATGAGTCTCGTCTCATGATAAACCTTGAGGGCTGCGTCAACACCCTTCAGGATGAGTGTAAGGAGTTCCTTAAAGACTACGGCAAAGATGGCACGGATCACAACGCCAGAGCGCGCTTTCCTTGCTTCTACTCGGACAACAACAAGGAAGTTGCAGTGGCACGTTTTAATCTTGAAGTGACCTATCGACAGTTTCTCGTCGCCTCGATTTTGCCGTCAGTCTTGTTCGTCGTCAGTTGCCTCACTTTGATACTCTGCCAGCGAAGTGTGGTCGTGGGCGATGATGCGAAGATGAGATTTAAAGGATGCGCCAGTGCCGATACAATCCTTCCGCCGGGCAGTAAAAATAACTCACAGCACAACTTGGGCGATGGTGGTGGCGGAGGAACGGACTCTGTTATGGCTCTCTGAGATCCGTCACGTAAGCTCAAAGCTCACAGTCACAAAAATATATCGAAATTTTGAGAAAAAAAACCTAAGATATTCTCATGAATTCAGTAGAAAAGTTCCACATGACAACGAGATCGCCATGTATATAAAACCATAAAAACTTATAGTAGAATAGAATTTAATATATATGAAAATCAGTCAGTAATTCCCTTTTCCACTCTTCTAGGCATTCCTCTGCTGCAAGAAGACCGAGACAGTCCAACACATCATCTATCTGATGACGTTTTCGCTTTAGACAAATAAATTGCCTCACTTTTAAAATCACACGGAGAAAGACAACTATTTCACAATCACCAATTTTCAAGAAATAGTTCTAGCAAGGAACAAAAGAAATGAGCTGTAAATAATGCAAATGTCTCAGAGGACAGAATAACACGCATAATTTTCTTCTATTACACGTGAAAATAGGTGGATTTCGAGCGGTTGCACTCTTTGCTAAAGTTAACTCTTCATTTCTTTCCAATTTGAAGCTGATGAATATCACATTCCAATTTTGAAATTTATAGAACGCATAGGTTAAATTCAAATATTGATCAACATTTAATTCTCAATAGAAACTATATTGTGATAATTGCTCGTGAAGTTGTGTCGAGGGAATAATTATAAGGTACAATTAAAAACTAATTTGACTTCACCTCTGCTGCAAGAGTGTTTCAGAAGAAAAACCGGAAGATATTTTTCTTTTCTTGCATTTGCAATTTGGTAGGTGAGCAAGGGGGCCAGCCGGAAACGAGATACAGAAGAAAATACAAATATAGACACACTGTGAAACAGAAAACCGTGATTAAAAAGATTCTTGAGGTTAAGAAAACGATCAGAGAAGAGATCAATTTTTGGGCGAGTCAAGAGGAATGCGTGAAAAAGTCGAGAAACTTCACAAACACCAAAAACTAATGAATATTCGTATATAACAAAAATCTTAAAGCAAAAGTTGTTAGGTAACAAAGAACAAAAAATTTTAGTGAAAAAGAGAGTATATCTAAAACAAATTCGATAGTAAATTGATATTGAGATAAAGAAATTCCCAATCGATTTCTTTTCCTATGTACATAAATAGAATGAGACCTATTGATAAATATTGCAAGGCATTGAGAATTGTCGTGGGAAAGCTGACGAGATAATCGATAGCGCGAGAGACAGAACAAGCGAGACAGTTCACGAGGGAGACTCTGAGTCAAGATCGCGACTACTGCGAGGATGAGCACACACCAGTCCACACACTCCTCGCTACCCTCCATTGGGCCTTCGGGCTCGCCCACGTCGCCCACAGCTTCCGAGAGGGGCTTCTCGGGCACGGCCAGCCTGCAGAACAGCAAATTGAGCATCAACTCCAAGCCACAGTCCCCGCAGCCGCCGCCTCTGCCGGAGGAGCCGACATTCCTGGAGAAAGCGAAATTTTATACATCACTATGTTTAGGTGAGTCACCACCGCACTTCCCAGCAATTTCCATCAGCACTCAAATTAATTCGTGCCAAAATTCCCCTTCGCTGAGGGGCGTTTTCAAGAGGATGGCGTCATTTCCCTCTTTCAAGCATTTAATTAATTGATGTTCCCTATGGAGTGATTGAGAATGATTAGTACGGCATTACTTTCGCCCCCTGAGGAATTTAGGCATTAATGCTATTTTTGTGGCTTCGAAAATGCTCTCAATTTGCCCAAAATTCATTAAGGATGGTTTAAAACAATTTCCTTACGTAATTAAAGTACAGCTTAAACTCAGTGATGTGAAATTGCGTGTGTGTGTGTTTTTAAATTCACTTGTTGTAATTTGATATTTGCAAGCATAATGGAACATCCATTACTCTCTCCTTGCATCTCGTTCTGATATCACAATAAATTATGTAAAAATTGTGCTCAATTATTTAAGATTAATATCCCATCAGACAATCCATTTTGCTATTACACTCTGATGATTGATCGTGATATTTCGGTTTTTATAATAAAACATTCACAAAGTCTGTAATTAATATTTTAACCCTCGCAGAGTCACAAGAAAATCACGCAAAAACTATTAATTGAGAGACACTTATATCTTATACGGATTATATCTTTACGAAAATACAGAAATTTGAAATAAGGAATTCTGTCAGTTCCAAAAAAAAATTTAAAAGTAGCAAAAGACAGAACAAGGGTTAACTAATTTTCTAACACTTTTCCCACTCAATCATTTCAGGAACTACAGCAATTTTATCAGTGTTTGCCTTCCTCTTTTTGATACCATTCGTCGTGGATCCGGCAATCTCCACGATTGTCGCTGACTACGATCCCATTCCCGTGACCTGTATCGTGGTGGATCACTCGTACGCCGAGGGATTGAGGAACTGCACTTGGAGCTCATGCAGAGAAGGATGCACAACGGCGCCGCTCAAGTACAGTTCATTCTATATTCAAGTCACATTCGAGTGTATCTCATGGGCAATCTTTCTCTGCAGATGTCACCAATTGCTGGTAAATTACACTAAGATTCCGTGGCACGAGTGGCAAAAGGAGCCAAGAGACATCACAGAAGTGACATGGGATGTGGGCGACACGAGATTCCTTGTGAATTCCGAGGGGTGCGGATATCCGCCCCGCGTCAACTGCTCAGAATTTGCCAAACAATTCGGGTAAAGTGACATTATAACAGCATACACTGACTAAGAATATCTGACATGGGGATTATTGTTCGCAGCTTCTCCCACATGGGTGAGCCGTTTCCGTGCTTCTACAGCCGCGCATATCCGGAAATTGTCATCTCACGATACTCCTGGGAGGACAATCTCAAGCACCTGATCCTCTCCCTGATCATCCCCAATGTCCTCTTCGCCATCTCGATTGGCGTCCTCAGCTATTGGTATTGTCCGTGCTGTGATAAGGCATGCCACAAGTCAACTAGAATCTACGCAGAGAAATTTCCGACCAAGGAAGAGTGAGTACCCTTATGTTGAATTGACCAGTGATAAGAAAATGTGATAGAATCATCTCATTGTTCGTTTTCTCAGAAGGCAATCCATTTAATTTTCTACACGCCCTGCACAATTATCGTCCCAGACACACGTTATGAAATTCATACGATTATATTTTCGCCCATATCGATTCCCCGATTTAATTTAAGTGGCTTTTTCATACTCCTCTTCGAATGTTTTCATGAATGGTGAATTTTTAATCGAATGTCAAAGCTTGTTTGATTATCTTTTCTGTACAAAGAACCTTTCTCTCGTGCTATGATTTTCTTATTCACAACATCACAAGGAGAAAAAAAAATTTCTTTTCACGCTGTTTTTTTATACATAACATAAACAGCATCTTATCTTATAAGTAATATGTAATAATCACAATTTCACTGTAAATTTTGTGACTTGTTCCTTCTTTTCTCTACTTGTATTTCCTAGCAAACTGTTATGTCGCAGTGATGATGAGGATGATGAATTGGATTACTAATAAATTCAACTCAAAAAAATCTATGCGCAAAAACTCTAAAGCTTTTCATCGATTTTCTCACTTCAGTCACATATAATTGAGTTCCATTGAATTCCCCGAATTCTGTTCACGCCATACAATAGTTATTAGTCAAACAAAACAAAGTGTTGTTAATCATTTCATTCTCTCCAAATTGATTGTTAAATTCCGCCATCTCTTTCAATATCACACGTAAATGCAAATGTTATTGAATGTTTTTATGACAAATGACAGAAAATTCTTAAAGAGTTCTTTAGTACAAAATACCAATGCAAGAAGTGCACAGATTTATAAGTTTTCAAATCATGCGCCAAAATCAATCACGTAAGAAATTCAACTGGAAGTTGAAAGCCAGACAACATTTTACGTATGTTTTCTTTTCATTTCTTTTCTTTCTTGTAGTTACTAATTTTCAATAAACGGACTTTGGCTCGTGGATTGTATTGAATACAAAATGATAACATTTAACGAAATCAAAATCACATCACCCACTATGTCTCATACACAAAATGTTCATTTCTTGTTTCTAATCTCTGTGTTATGTACATAAAAGATGTCAGCAACTACTTGTAAGAAAAGGATAAAAGAATATTTGTAGAAAATATTGCTGAAAGTACCACAATCACACCAACAATTCACGTCGAAATCTGTCTGAAATTTTGTATTTTGTCTCTTGTGTTCAGTTCTCTTTACCTTTTCACAAGATTGATTGATACAATTTTGATTTTCTTTTTAACTCTACATCAAACGACAACATCACACAGGTTTACAATGGCTTTTTGAGATCATCTTTCTCAAAACATTATTTTAGGAAGTAACTCAGAAAAAGAATTCAAGAAATACTACAAAACAATTAAAGACAAGTTAATAATGCCTTTTCTTTAAAGAAAAAATTGTAGAAAGAGAAAAGATGTGAGGAAAAGCTACAAATTTCTCCAATAATCGCAAAAAAGAATTTTGAGCACTATTAATATTTCTCTTATTCAATAAATAAATAAATAGTTAGGAGAGTCGGCATATTTGTGAAATTTGCTTTCAAAGATTATCGTATGTATTAGATTATTTATCTCTAAATTCTTCAAATACCAACAACAACCAATTCCAATGCGCAATACAATAAAATGTAAAGTGAGATGAAGATGAGAATATTTCGAGTTCGACATGATGCCTATAAAACTACGAATTATAATATTAAAGTCATTCAAGAGGAAGAAATCTGCAAGCGTATGAAATTTTCCCTCAAGCAAAGTGGCTAATTGAATAATAAATTACATAAGATGTGAATATTTCGAGATAATTTTCCGTTCTATTAACTATGCAGGGCTGTTATCTATTTAAAAATGCATCTCTATAATATCAATTTCTCTGTTACAACACACAAAATATATCGTAAGCTTACAACCAATGGTTTAACTTTCTGTTTATGAGTGTCTTTCTTTCTCTCTTAATGGGAAAAGTAAGGCGATTTTGTATCTTTAAACCAAAAGTGTTATGTATAATATTGACGATGAGAATTACACTGTGAAGGGATAAAATTTTTGTATACCATGCGACGTTAATTTTAATGATTCTTTGGAGGAACATTTTCAGAGCATACAATTTGTTAACTTTGAAATAAGCGCTGAAATAAATTATTGCTTAAGAATTTTCTGCGTTTCACTCTCTCTATGAACCCTTATTTCTGCAATTCACGCTCCTCATCGTCGTACTCGGACGCTAACTTTCATGGGCTATATTTATCGACATTGAGGAGTAGGAAAAAAGAGCACATGAAATAAATACTAAAATATTCAAAAATGCATTAAACAGAATTTTGTCACGCGCGTATTCTATCACATTTCACCCTCCGCCCAAAACAAGTTCTATATCATTACATTTTCGGGTGCGGAAAACTCGTCGCCTTTCCATCCAGCCATGACGAAATATGTTGAAAAGTATGATTAAATTTGAATTGCTAAAACTTTTATGTGTACACAATGTCGATGATGGGGAGAATAAAAGAAATATTTGCCATGTAAATTATTAATGTTGAAATTTTATACCATCTACGCAAAGGTAGAGAGGCGCCAAAGAAGGACTTTCGAAGTTTCTACCAGAGAAAATCTCACTGATTCCTGGGGATTATCCTGGAAAATCCCCCTGTTTGACTTCTGCTCTACTCTCTCAAGACAGGAGAGCTTATGTAAAAGGACAGGTGAAAAACTTGAAATTACACAGATGGAAGATCAGGAAAGGAATTTTTATTTAGGGTAAGCTTTTATATAATTATTTAGTGAAAATTGGCACAAAAGCTTATGAAATGTGAAAAATCCCAGGAATTTCTCTCAATTTTCTCTCCATTCTCCAATTGTCCTAAAATCCATGAGAGAGAATGTTGTGTTGAGAGCTAAGGACGCATGAGACAACATTCACAACGCTCAGTTGTTGAGCGTCGTTCGCAGAGAGCACACGAAAAGCCAAGCTTAATAATAATTTCCATCATATCATTTCAATCGTGCTAAAGACCTCATTATTTTTCCACATCTTTGGTGATTGCCTTTTCTTAATTAAACAAACAATTACAGCGACTATTTTTATCATTTTTCGTCTGTGTTATGAGACATTATTTACGACATCCAGTAAAAGTTCTCTGTGTTCCTCCAGCAAGTTGTGAAGGCAACAGAGCGCAGTGGAGGCGCCTGGTGGAAGTGGGTGTAGATGAGCCATTGACGCGGAGGGAGTGAATAAAATAAAATCATTTGTATTTCCCACCCATCGGCCCTTCCCATTCCCTCTCCCGCACCACATGCACGTCTCCCAAATGAGACAGTGTCACAGAGTTCAGGCAGGCGAACACGGACAAATAGAAGTCAAATAGATCAATATAATTTGCGAGGCGCCAAAATGACGACAGGATTTTCATGAAGACCACGCGGCACTGACCAGTACATCACGAAATCATGGGCAGGAAGTACAAGCAGCGACTGATTCCGGAGCAGGATCGCCGGATATGCGGATCAATTTGCCTGTGTCAGCTCACGATCGTGCTCTCCTGCGTGGCCATCGTCTACCTGAGCGTGGCTATTTATATGCCATCGTACAAGTGAGTTCGATTGGGTGTGACGGAGAGACAAACACACACCCAGTCCCTCCGCACACCCTCAATTGCAATCCATATTTCAGAGCTTTTCAGTCGGGCTTCGAGCCAGAGCCCGTCATGTGCCAAACCATCAACACCACCATGGCCAACAACTGTGCCTGGGCGAGCTGTGGCGAGTGGTGTCTGACCAGAACCAGCGGCTTCTGCCCGCAAATTCACACCGCGGTCCGCCGGAACGGCACAGATGTCATCTTCGAGAATTGCACACGCTCAGCCACGACAAATTGTCCACAGGTGGGTTTAAATTTCCCCTCGCACTCCATCGTCACTTCTATTCCCACGAACAGACGCACCTTTCTGACCATTTCTCGATGAGAATGTTATTTCAGAGAGTATTACTGGCTGGCATTACTTCGGAAGAGAACAAGCTTTGAAACATCCTAACAAGATTCAATGTACCTTTATTTTCATATTTCACCACCCACTCTTTCCGTATTGCAAGAATAAGACAACTGCACTCAGAGGAAAGAACGTTCAAAGCTTAGCGGTAGACAATTTTTTTTTCCCACAGTCCGTGTTTGACGAAAAAAAATGTGCTTCTTTATTGCTGCGCGAAAGCTGTTTATTTTAAATATAAAATAATTGCCATAATATTTTTCTCAGTGCCATCGTTCCAATGTTTGCCTTAGCAAATTTTCCTCCACTCCCTTGTATTCAGAAAAAATAGCATCCAACAATTTTCCCTTTCCCACCCTGAAAGCACACCACATAATAGAGCTGTGAAGGTGGAGAGAAAATGGGAAAAGAAGAGACTAATAAAGGATACTCGAGTTAATTGAAAGATATTCCAATTTAATGATTTTTTCATTCTCTTCTATGCGTGTTTTTCTCTTTGCTAGAAGCCTTACAGCCTTCATATACGCAATGCTGATCATCATCTTAGGTGGATTTCAATTAAAATTTCCATCATGTGCATAAGTTCTCAACGAAGAGTGGCACAGGATGAGGGCAAAAAACCTCAAGATTTCCTAATTGAAATTCCTATGGGGTTAATTACAAATTTACCACTCAAGAGAGAAGACATTTTTCGCTTCAGAGCTTTTAAGGAGAAACCCTTTGAGCGTGGAGCAATCAATTAATTTGCAAAAGAAATAGCTTCTCTTTTAGCGTCACTTTCTCGCCTCATTCCATCGATAGAGACAAGAAGCTTTAAGAAATTTCTCCACCCACCAAGAAAACTTCCTCCTGTGACACGAGAGGCTCAATCAGGTGGATCAAATTGGATATTGATTAAGTAATACGTGTCAGAATCCCTGTCAAGATCTTTATCATGAGTGTTGTGAGGTTGTGTGGAAAATTTCATGGAAAATTACTTTCACCGATAGATAAGAATTAATCTGTTCGATTGTCATTGCAAAGTTATTCAAGCATGAAGTCTCTTCTAAGAGGACCTCTTCAAAATGTCCCTCTTGATTTTCCAGATGAGAAATGATGGGATCAAGATTAAAAGCTCCGCGCACGGCAGATTTATTACGGAAAAACACAGTGGAAAAACTCGTAAATACTCATTAAAGTTTCTAAATCAATTTCCCTCCTTTTCCTTCATTCTTTTCCCATCTTGCTTTTCGTATTGTTTCCTCGATATTCACCTCACGATTTGCCTTCTTAAAGCAAGCCAATATTAAATTTCATGCGGGAGAAAAGAGACTTTTCATGTTACAACGACAAGGGTTGATAATCGATAAGAAAGTGTGTTCTGTTGAATTAAATTTTTCTGTCCACCCTTCGTTATGCCACCCAAAACAAAACCTCGACGTCTTTTCAACTTGGTTGCGCTCTTGAAAGGCATAAAAAAGCCCCACATTTCGTTTTATTGACATGGATAACTTGAAAAAATAAGGGGGTGTCGAACGGTCTGCAAATTAAGTGAAATTCCATCTGTTTCAGCCTTACTTCGCTTATACATAAATCAATGGAAATGCATAATTTAAAAACGGTTGGAAAAGCGTGTGAGAAATCAAAGTAATTTCATGCAATGGCCCTTTTTTCTATAGGGAAAATATGTAACTTGTTGGCCCCTTTTATCCAATCCATTCCCCACCCTTTTCGAGTAGCACATAAAGAGGCCACAGGCGAGATGTGGAAAATGGGGTTGAACTTCTCAAGAACATCATTCACGAATATATCTTTTTTGGAACATTTCTTTTCTCAACATCGGTTTGTGTTTTTCTTCTTGCATTTTAAATAAATTAAACGTAGACGCTCTGAAACACCCTGCGGCTCATTTATCCAGACAAGAACTTGCGTGACTTGTGGCATAAAATTGGATTTGAGCAGCAGAGCTGATAAAGAGAGAATTGTGGGCAATTTTCATTACAAATAACAGCTAATTTTCACCACATTCCTCTCCATGGCGTAGGTAAATCCGAGAGATCTGAAGAAATACAACTGTAATAATGGTACTGAGTGTGCCCAGCTCACGGGCGTCTTCAACTGCTCCCTGGGTAATAAATCATCCCACCCGAAGCCATTGATCGACCACACCTCAACCCTTGCGTGCCTCATTTCAGGTCACTGTGCTAACATGTCTGATCTCTATGAGTGCCACTATGGCCGAGCCGACGGGGTCACAATCGACGCCGAGAAGGACAACATGAAACTCAACGGCTTCTTCTACTGCAAGGGCTCGAACTGCACCAAGATCAAGAGGGCCTTCTCGTGTGATCGCTTCTGCCCCAAAATCACCACCTCCTCCATTAACGTCTTCATCATGCACAACGACAGCCTCACAACTGCCGACTGCGAAGTGGCTCTGGCCACGAACGAGGCTCACGGTTCCGAGCCAGGCGTCAGAATTGACCCAACGAGGTTCTGGAACGAATCCCAGGGCGCCGTTCTCACGAGTTGTCTCGATGCTGTGCGCACTGACGGCCGAATTGAGGCTTTTGACTGCCTCAATGGCACACTCTTGCCCGAGGATCAGATTCCTCTGCCGTGGATGAACTTCACGACGTTCTGGAAGATCTACGACAACAGCACGATACCAGTTGATCCGGACCAGAAATTCCTGCCACGACAGTCCTCTGTCACAATCTACAACACCAGCAAGCTCTTCATCAACCTCGAAGGGTGTGTCAACACCCTGAAGGGAGAGTGCAAGCAGTTTCTCATCACTCATGGAAGTGATGGAGACAACAATACCGCCCAGGTAAGTAATTTCTGCTCAAGAATTTATCATCGCTATCAATTCTGTGCATAAAGATAAGATAAAATGCCCTCCCAATCAGTTAATGCTGAGCTGAGATCTGTATTAGAATTCTAAATGCGAATTGTGGAGTAAATCAACGAATTAATTGCATTCTTCGAGTGCAATGCTCGATTGTAATTCACTGAGTAGATTTTGTAATGCAGAACTATTGCAATGCTCTGCACACAATTTATTTTATTGCCATTTACATATTCAAGAGCTCTTTTAGCAAGATGTTAGAGTTCATGAAAGTTCACAACCCTCAACAAGTTCAATCCACTGACTTTATTGCCACTTTTCTCAATCATGAGCGTATTCTTAACCACTGAGTGAAGAGAAATCATTGCATTTTAATCACAGGCTAGGTTTCCCTGCTTCTACCACAAGAACAGCTCGACTTTTGTCGTGGCGAGGTTTGACCTGCAGAAGACGTGGAAGGAGCTCATGATTGCCGTGATTGTGCCCACTTCTCTGTTCGTCATCTCACTTATTACCCTCTGCATCATCACGCAATCTGTCCGGGTGGGAGACGATGCCAAGATGAGGTGCAAGTATTGTGTGGACGGATCGGATCAGGAGGAATCGGCTGGCATGGCTTCGAGGAAGCGATACGCTCACACTGAGGACAACACTCCTAATACTCCTAACATGCCGCCATCCGTGTCACAGCAATCCAATCCCACAGAACTGAACAGCATCTCCTTCGATTGCGGCCAATCCAGCACCAAATCCCTCATCCCAATGAGTCCCTGCTCCGAGAAGGGTGGTAAGAAGTTCGCCGAGACGCTGGAGAAGTGCTGCGAATCGAGCCTAACTGAGGAACCGCCACAGATTTCTGTGGAACAAGTGACGCCCAAGGACGACAAACCACTGATGATCCTCTAATTGTGGGCAATTTATAGGAAAATGTCTTAGGTGTGCGTAATATCGTTGTAAAAGCTTCAATCTCTCGTCGTGGATCATAATCAGATTATACTCTCAATGGGACCATTAGCACATCCCCCAAATCAGATGCCTTTCTTATTCTGGACCAACACGCCACATGGGAAAATCACAAAGACTTCAGCAGAATTGTAATCGAAGGGATACTTTCCGCCTTCGTGTGTGCAACACTACAGGGAATTCTCACAAGAATCAGCACAATTTCATGAAAATAATAAGGTGATGCATAAGTCTCGAGCTGTTTTCTTTCACTCGAAACATATGGATCAATATCAGTATCACAAACAAACCCATCTCTATATACATATATCGTATCTAAAACCCCAACGAACAGTGCAATGAACTCTTTATGAACTCTATATATTAATATTTGGATAAAGGTATTTTCAATGTTCATGTGCCTTTTGTGTAAACTTTTGTGAACTGCAGATGAAAAGAAACCACCATAAGATTATCTCAGTGTTGAAGCTTTTAACTCTGTTGTGATTCTCTTGCATCACGCAAAACTGATAAAATCTGTTTTCTGTACAAATCGTACAAATAAAGGGAATATATATACTCTAAAAAGAAAGTCAATCACTTACCTTCAGCTCTTCTTGGCGACGATACGCCTTCAGCATCAACTCGCGGCGAGTCTCCTCGGAAATTGCTGGCTCCCTTCCGGGTTGACCTTCTCCGCTCTTTCCCAGCTTCACAATCACCTAATAGACATTTTAGTGCTCTATTAACTTTATGCTCCCCCAAGTTTCATGGAGCTATTAAGTGATGGTATTAATGGAGAAAGTGGCGTCTTACTTTGCACTTCTCATTGTTGCCGAAGTACACATTCAGCTTATCCTCTGGAATCATCTGTCTTCCAGCGAACCAGAGCTGCGCTTTTGTCGGTTCAATCACTTCCAGGGACGCTTGAGTGCCTGACAAGTCCTCAGTGTTGTTCAATTCCATTCGGATGGGATCATGAGGAGGCAATTCCATCGGATACACAATCATCACAGCCCCTCGAAGAATATCCAGCGCCTCCTGGACGTTCTTTAGCGTGAGACACTTTCCAGACTCTAGAAGTTTCTTTGAAATGAGTTCCTTTGCATCTCTCATGGCGCTTTCGAGGACTTTTTGCATCTCCGGCAGTGGTTGCGAACCGCATCTGCGACGAATTGGGTCCGGATTGGACTGGAAACCGCCAGAAGGGATGCACTTCTCTATCCAAGGATCGACTATGTTCAGTTCAGATACTTGTTCGTCAGTTAACTGAACAACTTCCGGACAATTCATCACGCCATGCTTCACTAACTCTTCCATTTCCATGCAAATCCTTCCCACTTTGAGGCGTCCATTGAAAATCGGAAGAACTCCCCTCAGCACATCTTCCACCTTCTCCGTGACCAATGTTTCATAGATGAAGAGATTTTCCTCGCCTCGCTTCACATGAAGACGCACCATCTCTCAGGGGGATTTTTCACAATTTGTTTAAAGAACAAACTTGACGGGATTACTTGATTCCTCACAAACCGAATGGCAAACAAATGGAAGCGCCATGGAAACCGAGTTGTTTCGCTGGAAAACATCCTCGTGAAGTGTGAGTCAGGATAAACAAGAGAGTGTTTGCTAATTCACAATCGTGTTTGGTTTCAAAATGTGCCACTTACATGCTCGTAAAGTGATAAAAATAAAGGGACTTCTCTACAAGTACCTATTTACAAAAGAGTTGGATTCATCTCTATATAAATACAATAACTATTTGTCACTGAAAATGCACACAAAATTACTAGAAAAGGTTATCATGTACAAATTCTCCATTGATATATCCATATAGTTACTCCTAGTCTGGATTCATTACCACAGATATTGTTTCCTTTCAGCCCTCTTTGAAAAAACACATATTTGGTTTCTTTCTTTTCAATATCCACCCTCATTTTCGCACTATCATCTCATTAACTTCCGAAAATGTTCCAATCTATTGATGCTCGTTGATAATCTGGAAAGAAAACAGCATTAATTTCCTGTCAATTTAACACTTTCTATATCTTACCTGCCAAATGCGTTGAAGAGCGACACAATTTCCGTACGTTTCAGTTTCAATTTCTCCCCATTGTCCTCACTGGCAAGCTCAGTGGCATTGTCAAACTTCCCGGAGAAGAGAATCTTCAGCGCTGTGCCCAAGCCTTGCACCTGAAGCTTTCCCCACAACCGACATTTATCGCATCCCACGCAATCCATAATCTTGGAGATGTTTCTGAACTTTTCCCTGAACTCCTGCTTCAGCTTCACCGATCCCACGCCGCCGGAAAACATTGTGCTCTCGTTGAAGTGACTGGGGAAGTTATCGATGACATTGAGGAGGTCCTGAATGGCCTCCCGCACCTCCTTGTCCTGCTGCGCCTGACCGGTGAAGTATGTTTGATTTCTTAGATACGGAGCCGCCTTGGCGAGGGCCCTGAGTTCGATGATGTAGGCGAAGTAGAGATTCCTCAGCCAATGAGTCCCTTGATTGTTTGTCTCGGTGGGACTGAATCGTCGGATAAACTCCTCAATGTTGGGACCCCACACGCCAGTGTCCGACATGAAGCCCTTCTTTTCCGACAGCAGATAATTGGCACAAAGATGGATGTTGATGGATGAGTGCAGACCAGAGATGAGCCGGTAGAAGACGCGTTCCTCCATGCAAATGCCGCCCGAAGAGAGCTCGCTGTAGGGAATGTATGGCATGAAAGCCAATCCGTGCTTGTGCTTCGATGACCTGCAATAGATAAACCATTGTTGTTAGTGTCTAGTCTTGAATATCTCCAATCATTCATCGTTAATTGATGTGTCATAACAGGAGGAATTCCATGCTCTTCAGAACATGTCAATGTGTCACTGTATTGCTTCCTTCCCCACGCGTGCTCTTTACGTTTGTTTGTGCGTCCTACGCAATCTCACAGACCCGCACTTTCCAGAAATTGCCAAAAAATAATCACTGTACTTTCCCAACTTCATCCACATTGTAAATAACCAATAATCTTCGTCTTTATCGCCATGCAGTGTTATCAGAGACGTTGCAGAATTTCCCAGTTGATGCCAGTTGATTAAACTCTCATCTCGTGTGATTACATTTTGAAGGATTGCGCAATCTTCTCCAGATGTTGAGTTCGTCTCTGGGTCACGCAAACTTTCTCGAGCCCAACTGCGACCCAGTTCCTCACTGTTTACCGCATCGCCAACCAATTGAATTTCCACACGTACGACTGAATCACAGCGAAAGCAATGATAACAAGGAATTGCTGGCAAACTCACCCAAAGCAGTTCTCCAGATAGATTGACCGCCAAATCCTGTGGGCGGAATCGCCCTTGTACCCAGTATAGCGCTCAGGATTGAGGGAAAGATCAACATATTCCGCCCCTTCCTGGTGATCATCCAGAATGCAGAAGTTGTCTTGCGCCTCATCGTGATCCGCCCACAGTTGGAAGCCCTGATGCGCTTTGTCGCTTATGCTAGTGTTTAAGTAGCTGAGTTCGGCATTGAGATCACTCCCACAGTCCACAACCGGACTCTCCTGGGCGTCTTCAGTGTACTTGAAAGCTGGCGACTCATTAGAGAATCCCTTGATGCCTTCCGGGACGTCTCTCTCGTCGCACGACTGGACGCTGCAGAATTTCATGGCGCAGCGACTGTCGTCTGCCCAGAAGGGACAGTTTTGCTTAAGATTCGCCTTGTAGAAGCGAAAATAGTCGCTGGACAGCAGAGAATTCAGCCTTGGGTAGACTTTCATGTTGTTAAAGTGGTCCACGGTGTCCACGTTGCATGTGCAATCGTCGATCGTTCCCTGAAGCTGCAAATGACATCCCACAGTTAGTCATGAAAGCGTCGCGGTGGCCCCCGGGAGGGCGGGGCTCCCGTGAAAACTCACCTGACAGAAACAAAGTTTGTCATTGTTCCCATTTGGCTGTTTGTAAAATACCCCAAACGTCGTCGACCACAGACAAGCGAGCACAGCAAATTTCAGCAATAGCGACATTGACATTGTATGAATGCAGTTTAATTACTTTATCGTGAGTATTGTTTCCCAATTCATTATTTTCCTGAACATTAGCGCAGGAAGGCTCTCACACTTTGCTTCTGTGTGTCACTTGCCCGGGTTAGTTTTCCGCACACTTCGACCCACTTCCTGGCTCATTTTCCGCGCTATTTATGAGGTGCAAAACACTGGACTACCTTATGAGCGAGAGACTTCCACTGCCCGCGCTGGACTAATGACTGGAGACCACGTCTGATGAGGAAACTTATACGAAATACGTGAAATTTCACACGACTTTTTCTCCAAGTGACAGCGCTAGAAAGAGACGCCGTCACGTTGCGAACTATATAGCGGTCTCACTCACACAATCGTACTCCACCGAATTGTCTACACATTTTCGAGTAAACAATTGAACACTCATTCATAATTCACTCATTGCAATTTAAAAAGCCTCCAAACATTCGAGACTTTCTTAAAATATTGCTTAAATGCTTTGAAATTTTTTTTCTTACACTTTTGAGTATTCTGATCATTTTCTTATAACGTTAAAATATGAATTAGTTCGTAATCACAGCATCTGCAAGTCATAATTGGAAACAAGTAACTTCTCACCGGAATTCTTATCTTTACGTGTGCACTTGATAAATCCTCACTGTGATGATAAGCAGAAAATGAATGATTTTCAGAAAAAAAGTAAACGTAAGTGTCATTCTTGGTCATTCTCACTATTTCATTGCACAAGGCGCTTTGCTCCCTGTGGTAAACTATGAAATTCTCTCTTTTGTCAACAAAATATCTTTAAGATTAACAAAGGATTTGTTATTACTCTCAATATGCTGATGAACTGAGGATAATTCATTTGATAGACAGCTAAAGTACCAGGATATATAATAATTATTTGTAGTAGAATAATGTTGAATTCAATTCAATTATCGGGAAGGAAATTGCACACTTTATTTTTTTCTATCTTGTGATAGATATAATTGCGTTTGAATGTATTGGAAAATTATCAAAATTGTACGTTATAGACAGATTATATAAGAAGAGGGAAGAACAGTAAGTTGAAATAGTACTGATTTTAACTTCTGTGCGTTAAGAAGCTAACGATAAAAATGGAGCAGTGGAAAAATCGAGTGGCTGTTGTGACCGGAGCTTCTGCGGGTACAAACTTTAGTGAAACTTCCTTTGCAATCCTTTTCTGAGTAATTCTTGGATTTATGTTCGTTCATCAGGTATCGGGGCAGCCATTGTCAAGGATCTCGTGAAGGCGGGCATGATAACGATTGGATTGGCCAGGAGATCTGAGAGAGTTGAAGCTCTGAAGAAGCAACTTCCGGCAAATCTCCAAGGAAATCTTCATGCTGTCAAGTGTGATGTGTCCAAAGAGGAAGATATTGTGAGAGTGTTCGATTGGATAGAGACGAAATTCCATGGAATCGACGTGTTGATCAACAACGCCGGGATTGTACGTGACACTGAATTGATCAAGGAGGGAAATTCTGTGCCAATTCGCGAAATAATTGACACGAATGTCTTCGGTGTTGTCTTTTGCACGAGAGAGGCTTACAAGTCGATGGCAAATCACGGCAGAAATTCCCATATTGTTCACATCAACAGTATCGCAGGTCATGGATTCACGGGCAATTTGCAAATGCCTTCCCTCAACATCTATCCTCCGAGCAAGTGCGCCTTGACAGCAATCACGGAGATTCACCGTCAGGAATTCATCCGGAGCAAGCATCACATTAAAGTGACTTCTGTTAGCCCAGGAGCCGTGAAAACGGAAATCGTTCCAGATGAGCTCATTGCTAAATTTAATATGCAAGAAATGCCCATTCTGCAAGCTGAGGATGTTTCTCAAAGTGTCCTGCATGTCTTGGGAACGCCTCCTCATGTTCAAATCCATGAGTTGACCATCAAACCATTCGGAGAGAAATATTGAAATGTAGTCTAACATTATGATTAAAATTGCGATAGTAAATGATAGATTTAAAGCTTTTTATGGTTCATTTAAATCAGTCAAAAGCCGTTGAAAGCACGCGCACGTGTTTTACTCTTCTTTTCCCTCAAACACTCGCGTAAAATTGATATAAAATGAAATTTAGACCATGGAGAGACATAGAAAATTGGTCTTCTCGGTGAAAATGAGAGTGAGAAATCGGTGCCAAAATCTCAGAGGTCCTAATGTAATTAACGCTTCTGAGTGAGAGCCAGTTTATCAATGAATTGAGGTATTTGGACCACAATAAGTGACTCAGGAGTCAAAAATGGCCATGGATGCGCTTCGGTGTGACTGAGGGACGGAAGTATCAGTCATTTAAACTATCTACTTGCTGCCTCGACAGGAATTTTATCTCTCATATACTTTTCTTTCTCTTTCTCCATCTCACAATGCTCGCCGTGCATTCGGAGGTTCAGCTCTGTGGTTTCGAGTGAAGATGGGAATTGCAGAAGAATCAATAAATTTCATAGTTCATGAGAGAATGTATCAATTCTTCTTGTCTTTTATCATTATCTTGTCGATGTATGACATTTGAGGAATATCATTTAAACTAATCGAAAAATACTCTGGAATCTGGATTTATTTTGACCACCAAGAAGTTCAGAGACCATAAGACATTGCGCCTTTGTCGCATTCTTCTTTCTCGCCTCTTTAGACTAACGTGAAGAACATGAATAAAGTTGGAGCATCTACTTGGCCAGTCTGAGTGAGATTGCGTTAGTCTTCAGGTGGATTCGTTGAGGTGAAGAACGTGTATTGTCTTCTCGTGACGGCGATAATACCGTTAAACCGTGTCCAATTGATACGTGGTTCTCAGGTGTTCTGTTTCTCATTGCGCCAACCAAACGACTCCTCTTTTTCGGGTATTCATCGTGAGGATGTGTCTATCCTAGGCCTGAAGATTGTCCGTGGCGATTCCGCAGCAGAGATAAGGCTCTTTTCAATCCAGAGTTCTCGGTGGGGCCCCATTGTAACGGTACCCCGATGTTGTGTACCATAAACAGCAGCAGAAGCAACAGAGTGGAATTCCAACAGACTCCCAGTGAAGTGTGATTCTTGAGGCGAAGAATCGTCGTCCTCCGAGGACACAATTTGTTAGCGGCTTCTTTTTAGTGATAATCACACAAATGCAAATATCTATAGTGTTACTGTTAATCTGTGCTGGCTTCGCTGCCGGCCAAGATGACTCCCTGGCAGGGAGTTTTCTCTCAGGTATGACAAATTTTATGGCGCGCACACACGTATTATTTATTTGAATTACTCTTCATCTCCACCTTCGCCATCGTGTGGCCTCAATTCTATTTCCTTCCTCGCACGAACACTGAAATCAATTGTTGATTTATGGAAATGGCAAGAATTCTCGGGGAATTTCTTCAGAAACTCCATGTGCTTAAGTGTATTTGTAACGGGGATTAAATGGTCAATTTTTGCCACTTTCTTATGCAAATCCATTTGAATTTCACCAGTGCACAGCTCATTATATTCCCTCATTGTCCGAACGGCCAGTGCACTCTTTCGTGTGATTCTTCCTAGAATTTTAACAATGCCAATTGTTGATGGTCCATTCATTCATCAAGAATTCTGACAAGATTGCGTGCGAAGATCTTTGGGTGAACTCCAAATGAGATTAGTGACACTGCTGAATTTTCAGGTCTTCTGGACACCATCACGAGCACAGCGGACTCGAAAGATTGTCCCGGAGTGTGCGTCCACACGCTGGCCACGCTAATCTGCTACGAAGTGCTGGAGGACGTGCCCTGTCCCTCACCCAGCATGCGGTGCTGCATAGAGACGGCCCCGGACAGCAGCAAGACCACCGAGGCGCCCAAGATAGCGTCAACCACCACCACGACCACCACCGAGCGCACCACGACCAAGAGCCAGAAGAAGGAGGACAAGAACAGCAAGTGCCCGGGCGTTTGTGTGGCGGATCGCATCGCTGAGTACTGTGAGGCCTATCTGAAGACGCCCGATCTATGTAAAACAGGTTCCAAGTGCTGCGTCTCACGTGATATCTATCCAGATAAACCGCCAGCTGATTTATACGTTCCCAGTAATTAGATCTTCTCTCTTGCGCTCGGCTGGACTGAGGCCTCATTGACCGATTGAAATTTATGGAAGTTTTCCGGGAGAGTGACCACGAACAATTTTCTCCCTGGGAGTCAAGAACTTTCATAAATTCCAATTGAAATTTCGGGCCCTGTCAAGCCTGGAGTGATTGGTGTGGAATATTAAGCAGAAATTGTTGATGATTTTTCAGGTCATGTTGTGAAGCCGACAACGGGTAGACCGAATTCTGGCACACACAAAGTAGAATCGCAGAAAGTAGAACAAATTCCTGCGAGTGTCTGGCCACAAGAATCACTTGTCTCTGTCTTTCAGACCACCACAGAACCACCTCGCTTGAAGACCAGCAATCCGGTGAAGAGCAAACCGCCCAACAAGTACAGCAAGCCAGCAAATCGACAGCCGGAAAAGACAGTCTCATCATCCAGGCCTGACTTCAAGGAATGCCAAGGAATTTGCACAAACGGGTTATTCGCTCTCTTGTGTGACGACATCGATACTGAAGCCACGTGTGAAGGAGAGAAAAGTTGCTGCATCACGAACAGCGGTGAAGATGATCGGATAGAGACTACAACGCCCAGAATTACAACGCCACCGCCACCACCTCGATGTCCAGGCTTTTGCATGCTAAGCATCATGGCAGCGTTTTGCGACAGACCATCAGTCATCATCCCGAAGACTTCAACCTGCACTCAAGGATCCGTTTGCTGTGACAACACTCGGACAGCTGTAACTTCCAGGCCACGTCCTCAATCCAGAAGGCCAATCACTCAACCTCCCACGACTACAACCTCGACGACACCAACTCCTGATCCTCGAGAGGACTGTCCAGGATCTTGCATAGTTGGTCTGCTGAGTTTCACTTGCTTCCGCAATGCAGAACTCACGGATCTGTTCAAGTGCAAGAAGAGCGGCACTCAGTGTTGTGCTCCCAAAAGCCGGATTCAGGAAGTCCAGAATGCCTTGGCAAGGAATGAGACAGCCGCCATGTACAACAATGGGCAACAGCCCGCTTACCCACCGCCCTACGGAGCAGCCACTCCCATGCCGCCCAACTATCCCGTGCCTCCAGTTGCGGGTCCCGCCATCGCAACAACCAACAATTATGAACCAGTCGTGACATCAACAACCGCGCGTCCGCCGATCTACTCAAAGTACGTCTGTGGAGTCAAGGGTACCAGCAGGACGGGACGCAAGGTGGAGCCCTTGAGGAACAAGAGGCACATCAACGGAACCAACTATATCGGTCATCCTACGAAGAAAACCGGGGAACGACTCCAATTGGGCCATGATATCACACCTTTCCAGATTAGCCAAGATCTGGTGCAGTACGCTGACCTTCCACCAGCTGGCAACTTCACGAGACAAGGCAGGAGGAAAGCACGAGTCGTGGGCGGAGAGGACGGAGACAATGGCGAGTGGTGTTGGCAAGTGGCGCTTATCAACTCTCTCAATCAGTATCTCTGCGGAGCGGCTCTGATTGGGACCCAATGGATCCTCACGGCTGCCCATTGTGTGACCAATATTGTAAGATCCGGAGATGCGATTTACGTCCGTGTGGGTGATTACGATCTCACGAGGAAGTACGGAAGTCCAGGAGCGCAAACTCTCCGCGTGGCCACGACATACATTCATCACAATCATAACAGTCAGACTCTGGATAATGACATTGCCCTGCTGAAGCTTCACGGTCAGGCTGAACTGAGGGACGGGGTGTGTTTGGTGTGTCTGCCAGCGCGAGGGGTGAATCACGCTGCCGGGAAGCGCTGCACAGTTACGGGATACGGTTACATGGGTGAAGGTGAGAAATATCAGTCCCTCCCCTCAATTTAGCAGCTAATAGGATTTTCTCCCTTCAGCTGGTCCAATTCCCTTGAGGATTCGAGAGGCTGAGATTCCCATCGTCAGCGACGCCGAGTGCATAAGGAAGGTGAATGCAGTCACAGAGAAGATCTTCATTCTGCCCGCCTCCAGCTTCTGTGCCGGCGGAGAGGAGGGCAATGACGCCTGCCAAGGAGACGGCGGAGGACCTCTCGTCTGCCAGGTAACGCCTCCAGAATTTCATACAAGACCTTTGCTGAAGCAGTGATTCCTTGTAGGATGATGGATTCTTCGAATTGGCCGGTTTGGTGTCCTGGGGCTTCGGCTGTGGACGCATGGACGTTCCAGGAGTTTATGTGAAAGTGTCTTCATTCATTGGGTGGATCAATCAAATAATCAGTGTCAACAATTTGTGATCTTCTGAAAAAACAACACCACCTCTTCTAAGGAAAAATGTAAATTGCACACTTGAGCAGTCTTCAAAGTAGAACTGGATTTGCATAATTCCGACACCTTTGGAGACTACTTAAGCCTCTGTCACACATCGAGACATCTCAAAAGACTTAAATTATTGACCTAATTTAACAAAGTTATAAATTAACACGTATTTTTCAATAAAAGGAGACTATTCTGTACAAACCAAACGTCTTTTTACTCAGTATAATAATAAGAGAGCAGAGATAAAATTGGAATATTCCCACTTGCTGTTTCACCTCTTCATTGGGCAGTTTAACAAAGGTGTGTCTTTGCTAAGTTGCGTGCGACCAGTTGCATCCATCGTCACAGCAGGAATAACTCAATTACTTGGATGAGCTGCATTAAATCCCCACAGGCAATGTTCTTGACGAATTACCGTTGCCGCGTGTGAGGCAAAAAGACGGTCGAAGCGCTGCTGGTCAAAGGGGAAACCTTTTTCTGCGACTGTGTTGGGCGGCCGGCGTGGGGAGGCGGCCGAGAGAGGGCTTCGAAGGGGAAAAAAAGACACAGAAACGTGGTGTTGTTGCCGGGTTGGCATTCGCGAAGACGCTGAGAATTGGCGAGTTGGTCCGCGCGCATTTTCTCAGTCACATTCGCTCGGTGGTTGCTGGTGAAGCTGACCAGAAAGTCGGGTGCAAAAACTGGCCAAGAGGCCATCGGGCGAGAAAAAGTTGTCTGTCGCTGGTGCGTTGCTTTTTGCCGAGACATGGGGTAAGATTGTGGCTCCAGTGGTCTCATAATCGTGGCAATAAATGTGAAAAATGGTGCTCATGTCGCTCTCGTTTCCTTGCATCGACACAGCATCTCGGACACCCTTTTTCCTGCGCCCACCCAACTCGCGCTGTCCTTGCAGTCCTTCCTGGCGCGACACTTTTTCCCTCGGCTGACAAAATACACTCTATATTGATTTTCACTCTGAGAAGTGCGGATAAAACTGGTTGGCAATTATTTCACAATTTCTTCCTCGCCCCAAGGATCTGGGGCTGCCTTCCATGAAAGGTGATGGACGTGCAACATCATAAAAGATGATGACATTAAAACATTCCACGGGAAGATTTACACCATCGCGAAGGTCATCCAATTATCGCAAATCAAAATTTATTCCTCTATCAATCAATTAATAAGCTTCGCAATCCTGCAATTTTTCAAAATCACTCACCTCGTGCTCGGCGAGAGACTTGGGCAGATATGAGACATGGAAAAGCCGTGCGAGGGTATAAAAAGGGCGAGACGAGAGCTTCGAGAATTGCAACAAAAGGAGGAGAAGAAACTCGAAGCTGTTTTTGCTGCCACAAGTTTCCCTTCTTCTTCGACAAGGGCGGAGTCAAGCATGGCTCGACCACAAGAGATCTCAGTCAGGAGACCAAGAGGACTCAGATGTTTGTTCGACGCCGAAGACACAAGAACAAACCGCCAGAGATCGGACACTAATTTCGGCGCCAAAACTCCTTCATGAAGACCATTGCGTGTGATTTGTGGACTATCGAAGGACTCAGAAGCTTGTGCTGTGAAGTGAACTTTTTGGGATCCCAATCCCTCCAGTAGATTCCCTCCCATCCCGAGAGATAGTGTGAAAATTGACCCCCTAAAATAATGTAGATTTGTAGGTAAATTTTATGCATAGCTTGAGCGCCTTAACGAGATCTCAGTAGTTGCCACAGCTTTGAGAGTGTTTGATTGATAAATTAGCTGATAACGTGTTGGGGGTGGGAAAAGCGAATTGAATGTGCCTCACCTCGTCCCCAATAATGGACCAAACGTCTTCGGGAGCAATCTCTACGACTAGTGGCAGCGTCATAGTGCAACAACTCAGTACCACAAGCAACCCGTCCGACGCTGAGGTGAGCCTCGCGGGAATCGCCGTCCCGGAGTCCACGAGTCGCGCCCCCAGTCACCCGGCTACGCAACAGAGCCCCTCGGCCGCGGCCCTCAGTCCGCCCGGCAAGGTCTTCGGACGGAACTACAACGGCACAAGTAAGTCTCCCCCTTTCCAACATCCCGACCGTTGTTTTCCTTGGTCGGGGGCGCAAGAAGGCATCAAGATCGTGTGGCTCCTGCCAGTCTATCGAATGCAATAAAAACCACCCCAATAAGACACATTGCAACTCGCAGACGAAGAGAGAAAAAAAGGCACAGAGTAATGGAAAAATGAGGGTAGAAGTTTGGGGCCAAAGAATGGGCAAAAAACACGTCATTGCTCTATCTTGGCGTCTTCACCGCCACCCACCGGGCGGGAGAATGTTGCGCACGTTTTCGCCGTTGGAACGGCAAAAACAGCAGTCAATGAGTTTCACGTTGTGCCAACATTTCATCCCCACGCTCGGCGATGGGGTGGATTTTTCTTGTAAACACACAGTCGAGGCAGGAAAATTGCATTCTCGGACTCGATGTTGATAGGGAAAAACAGCTCGTAAATGAGCTTTTAAAATCAATACATCGGAATTTGTAATGATTAAAAATCTGCAGACAAAATGGACCTGTCTAGTGCTTAACACAATACATTCTATTCGTATTCCTTTCAGTTTCTTTACAAAATTGGTGATATTGCAATATCGGAATTAACAATGAAGATCTCTCATCAATATACATTGATTAGAATTAATCAATGGTTGAGAGAGGTAAAATTTCTGGCTATTTGCTAAACTAAAGTGTATTAAAATTAAATCCTATCCTCAAATCGCTCAAATCAAAGTCGATCCGAGACTTCCTTTCTAGCCCGAAATTTGGTCGTTAGTCTCATAGTATTGAAAAAAGGTGAAAAGGCTAAATTTACGAATTCTACACATGAAGAACAGGTGTTTCAATTCACCGTAAAATGGCTAAAAAACCGAATACTTTCTATGAAATATCATATAATTTCTCTTAATTACTCAATCATTATTGGTAGAGAAATTCCGGTTGATGGTAAAACTCGTTTGCGATGCCCTAAAAGTTGCTCATCTGAAAAAGTGTCCTTCGGCATCTTGAATATCCTTTCGGTATGGCACAAAAACACTATCACTTCTCACCATGGGAACGCAGAACGTGAGATAAGGCAAAAAAGAGTGATTTGGATATTCAAATTAAACATTTGATTTTCCCAGCGTGTCACACATCGTGAAGATCTTTCCCACCCTTTTTCCCGCGGGATGCAGGGAACAAAGTGCTGGTGCTCTCGTCATTTTTCTCATTTATCTCCCGAAATGTGTGTGGATGAGAAGCGCGTCTCTGGGTGGGCAAAAAAGCGCGCCCAGAGAGCGATATATTGAGAGGTAGACAAAGCCGAGTCGAAAATGCATACGAGTCGGGCAAAAAGTGCTACAGAAGGAATAATAAGATGGAGAGAGAGAAAAAACAAGTTAAATACCACGGAGAGAAAATTTACCTAAAACGCGGACTGCGGTCAGAAAAAACAACGAGCCTTGCCATGAGCTGTACCATCGCGCTCTCGTACCTTCTGCCACGACGATGCGGAGGACAGAGTGGCAGAAAAAACGGGCAGAGCCCGACAAAAGGGTTCGGGTCGAGGGCTGGGGCGAGTGGCGAAGGGGATTGAGTGCGTGAATGAGTGGCGGAAAAAAGTTTATCGTATGAAAAGTGAGTTTTTTCGCTCGACCTTACCTTTCCTCCTTGTATTCCGTGGAATTAGTGTGGATATTTTTTGCCAGTGCCATGCCAAACAAACCCCACATGCATCATGACGAGGGAATTAGATAGAAGTCTCCTCTCCTTTGTACCTTCCCAACTCATTTGCATACGGACGGATGGACGTCTTGTCTCAGCAATGTCTTCAGCACTATATGGGCTTTTTTTCCCCGTGTGGCCCAAATGAACTTCTTGTCGAATAAATTAGACTTTTTTCTCGCATATCCATACACACAACTTTTTTCACACTTTCGATTTTCGCCGTCTGATGCGAGCGTGTGAATATTCGCTGTGGAAGGATTCTCATGCCCGAATAATGATCTTTTTTGTCTCACATTCACGCTCCCATTTCCAGTTTTTGTCCTGGCCTTTTTGCATCTCCGCACAAACAGCTTCCAGCGGAGAAATTGCTGAGCATCATCATGTCCTATTTCACCCATTCGTGCCACTGATCCAGACACGAAAGCAGAGTTTGTTGACCATCGCCTAGAGTCAATGAAAGCCTCCCGTGGGAATTTCTCGGAGAAATTCAACCCATTTCTTCTGGCGGAGCCCAAATTGATGGAGCGGACTTAATGATTGGGTGTCCTTCGCACACTTTGGCTACTGGAAGTGATCCCGATTTGATGAAATTTCTGCATATCATCAACCTCTAATTCCTATCAAGGTCTTTCGCATGGGGAAAATTATGGCAATTCACGTTAATTTATCGATACAAGAATCTTCGCGCTGAAATTCAATATGCCTCCTCAACCACGTAAATTAATTATAATTCTTTGTGCATTTAAGGTCTTGTTCTACCTGAATATCATCGCTAAGTGAACACGGGCATCAATGTGCAAGAATTGCGAATGGTGGAAAGTGTTAAAAGTGGTGTTGAAGCGTCATATTTATGATGGGGAAGATAATTGGTTGTGTGACGGTGAGTGTAGAAGATAAATGGAATTCGCAATTAATTGACAATGATGTAATTCGGGGCGAAAATTCTATTAAAATGACCCGATAAGAGAAAGAGCGGGCAATTGATTGGCGAAAAGCTGGCTTCTCTCGTGATGGAATCGTGACGCGAAATTCCATCGAGGTTAATGATTTGTCTGGTAATGTGACAGAAATCCATTAATTTATTATCCTTCATTGCATCTTCCACGTGTTTTGTGATAATAGAATTCAATGAAGAAATTGCCGAAGTGGTCCCAAAGGGTGGTGACGGGGAATAAATTGTGGATGTGCTGGCCACAAAACATCGATAAATTCCTGGACGTCGAGCATTCCTCGTGGAGCGCTCTAAATGAAAAAGTTTGTGGTAGAATTTTACCTCCATCGCATATTGAGTTGGGCGTTGAGGAGTGCAAAAAATTGTCTGGTTAAATTTCATAATATTAAAGACGCGAAATTTTTTAACAATCCACCTTTTGGGTGCTTCTTTGTATAGTAATCAGGGCGGCAGCTCATCAAATTGGCCGTTTTTTTCCGTGGCCCATGAATTTCCAACCATTATTTCATCAATCGGCCAACATCCAAGGCATCACATAGACAAAAGCACTCTTTTTGCACCCTCTCTCGCCTCCAATTTCTTCGCTCCCCGCCGCCGCACACTGGCGAAGAAGGGCCCCAAACTTGGCGAATCGGATGTTTTGCAGCGTGCGAAACATTTGATTTTGTAATTCCCTTCTGGGGCCACCAGTCTTCTCAGCACAACGTCCACTGCATAAATTCGACACTGCGAAAAATTATTGCAAATTTGTCACAAATGATGAAAAAATTTATTCTGCAAATTGTAAAACATGACATGAAGGAGAGGAGAGAAGGACAATTGGAATGTTAAGATGCGACTCTTTTTTTCGCCTATTTATGCTTCTCTTGTTCTTCTCTTCTCTTCGTTCTTCGCTACCTTTCTGCCCTTCTTCGCGCTGTTCCACCACCGGATTTGGCGAGCCTCTTATGGTTCTCTGTGAGGAAATATTGGGTGCAATTAAATTTTCATGGCTCTATTTGCAAGAAGATGATTTATCTCGTGAGATCACAAACCGAATTTATCTGACTGATTTTTAAGCAACCGGGAATTTCACTGCTTCACTGGTGAGAAAATTATTTTTTTTATGAAGAAATCTACCCTTGCTTCATTTACTTATTTGCGACGTCGAGTGCCAAATCTAACTAATGATCCTCAATCTATTAACAAAATAACATATTCACTTGCACTCATTATAACCACCCTTTTGACTAAGTGTCATGTAATACCATGCCGACTTAGAGAGATGATTTTTTGGTGTTTTTAACTCTTTAATATGACCAAGTAAACGAACTAAACTCAAATTATTTATTGAGAATACTTATAAAATGGCTGAAAAATAAGTAATTTCTTTGGTAACATTTTTACCTGGTGGCCAAAAGTTCTTTTTGCTAAATAAGCTCATCTTGAAGAATTCCTATCATGGGCATAAAAGCATGAATGTTGAGGCATCTTTGATATATCGTCGCGGTTAGATTGCGCGGGAAAAGGACACAAAACACCTTCCGAGACGCGAAGGGAGAAGAAGTACAAAAGGGCATATGGTCTTGGAGAGTTTTTACTCCCATACCCTCAAGAGATACTCAACATTCCTCACTATCAAGCGCAGGAATCGTGGAAAAACCTCCAAGAGTTCGTTAATCCTTCCACCCGGACTTTTTTGTCAACTCATGTAATTATTTTTTTTTACATTAACCCCGATTCGACTGTCGCGCAGGAATGTTTTTCTGCTCTGAAAACGTGAAGCAGAAAATCTCGCAATAAATCGAGTTTTTCGCACTTCTGACGATGCCTGAAAAAGGGTTTCGTGTGACATCCATTTTGGATCCTTTCCAGCATCCGGAGTGGAAAAATAACGACTCTCTTGCTCACAATGGGAATCTTGAGAGTTTCACTGTCTCTCTTCCACTCTTGGGTGTGAGGTATTTCGCTTGATCCTCTCTCTGCAAGAGGGTTTGCGAGTCCTCCAATCAAAAAATACCTCAGCCAAAGGTTGGATGGCAAAAAAGGCCTGGCAGAGGTGAAAAAATATTCGTTACGAGAGGTGTGGTTTGATTTTTTGTCCTCAGATGAATTCGCAAGAGAACCCCTCACCTTTCATTGGTAACGGTCGATTCACCCTTTTCTCAGGTTCTCACAGCTCAAACTGGCTGCTTTCTCTTTGCAGTGGTGATCACCTCGACGCCCTCCAATGAGGCAGAGCTCCAGCTGTACCGCGTCCTCCAGAGAGCCAGTCTCCTCATCTACTATGACACACTGCTGGAAATGGGTGAGAACACAATTGGAGTCCATGAATTTAGCGATAATGCACTTGACGATCTCGCAATTTTCAGGGGGAGATGACGTGCAGCAACTCTGCGACGCTGGCGAAGAGGAATTCCTGGAGATCATGGCACTTGTGGGGATGGCATCGAAGCCTCTCCACGTGCGCCGGCTCCAGAAAGCCCTCCAAGAATGGGTGACAAATCCTTCCGCCTTCCAAACTCCCTTGTCCAACACTCCTGACCTGCCAAGGCACATGTACAGCCCAGAGCATGCTCAAGGATCTTCCAGGTCACCTTTCGGCTCTAGCCACTCTACTATGTATCCAACCTCCGCAATATCTTCCTCTTCAACTGCATCCTTTCCCAATACCGGCGGCGGGAATTTGTCGCTCAGCAGCATCGCCAGTGGTCTTGGAGGGCATGGGACGCTCACGAGCACTTCGTCGGGTGGTGGAACACTGGGATCTGGTGTTCAGCTCACTCCCAGTCTCACAGAGCCACAGATCAGCAGAATAATTCAGGCTGCAGAACGGTCAGTCACACAGCCTTTACTCTGAGAGTCTTGTATTAATCTATCTCTTTAACAGACTATCGCAGAGTCCTCGGATATCTCAGCTGGTGCCAAGATCTCAGAGCTCAAAGAAGCGATCTTCCAAGGAGCTCGAGGCCGTGATGGGAATGAGTGAGTCTGATCCTCGGAGAATGGATGAAATTCGGAAGTACTCAGCGATTTACGGTCGCTTTGACTGCAAAAGACGTCCTGAGAAGCCTCTGACTCTGCATGAAGTGTGTGTGAATGAGGCTGCAGCTCAGATCTGTCGCTTTGTTCCTGCCCTCTTGACCAGGCGGGATGAGTTGTTCACTCTGGCGAGGCAGGTAGTTCGAGCATCGGGATTTGGACACTCTGCAGGAATCGCCAGGTTCGCCATGAGTCAGCACATGCCGAGGGACGAGGACGTGGACACGCCATCGGCGTCCAAGAAGGCCAGATTGTCCTCCGGAGGTGGCAGCGACGGGAGTCTGGATCACGGAAAGGTAACAATGACCCACGGAAGTGGGATCATTCAAGGACATCAGCATCACTATGCGTAATTGCTTGACGGCTTTTTCGCCTTTCAGGGAGTATCTAGAAATCCTCTCCCCGCTTCTTGCTTACATCCTCAGCTTCTAAAACATTTTATTGCTTTTTCAGCACCCCAATTGTTGCTTTTACATTATTTCTTTTAAAGAATGCTTTAGTATTTTTTTAGTCCATCGCCAGCAAATTAATCACACTGTAGGCAAAAAATCCCATAGAAAGTTTCTGTTGAAGCTTTGAGGTAAGCCAGGCGCTTTGCTTTGCTTTTATTTAATACTTGTTAAGAGAAAATTGTCGGTTTCTTTACGGTATCTTTTTTGATTATTGCAGGAAATGTCGGAGAATAAGGAGAAGATACTCTCGATGTATCAGCGGATGGGAAAGTCCTTTGATTTGTCGGATTCGGCAAAATTCTCGTAAGCTTAAATAATCCTTTGAGTTACTGTTTAAGGACTGATACAATGATTAAGACAGTTTCCTTAATTTTACCAGATACTCACCATATTCCAGGCCAGAGTTCGATGATGACTCTCAATTTTCGTTCAGCAACTCCAATTCACCACCTTTGCATGTAAGTAAAACAATGCACGTCCTTTCATCCTTTAACAATTCCAAATTGCTCTTTCAGGGCAGCAACAATGGAGGTGATCTCGATACTGAACCCTTGAATGCTTCTGGTGAGAACAACAAGCATGACGACAGCAAAGAGCTCGCGCCGTCCTCGCCGGATTCCCACTCGAACGGCCCCATCGGCATCCAGATCATCTCAGCGTCCGGAGGACACATTATCGCCGTGGCAAATCCAGCTCTCGCCCTCAGTCCTGCCCTTGGCGAGACAATGAGCGTGAAGCGCGAGCGCGAAGTCATCTCGCCGGATATCCGATGAAACTCCACGTCGTCCGGATCGATCTCAAATCGCGCGAGTACCTCAGTAGATTAGGCATAGAAAGGGTAAATCAGTAGTTAGATCCGTATAGAAATCAGTAGTAACAGGAACGATCGGGTGCAATTGGAAAAATTATTTTTCGGTTATTTTTTTCGAGAAAAGCGTAAATTCTAAACTGAAGAAGTATTTTGGGTTAACTTATCTAGTCGTGTCTAAATTGTTCTTTGGAATCGTGATTCACATTTCGCGTGATTTTTTCTTTTGGGAAATTCAAAGTGTTTTTTTTTTCTTTTGGAAGAAAATAAGATTGAATAACGTGCCTAATGTAGCTTAAATAACATTTTAAATGACATATTAGTATAGTGTAAAAGTTGCTTAAACATTTAGATAAAATGTATTACTTTCAATAAAACGTGAAGCGCAAAGACTTTTAGGAAATTGTTTAGAAGAAAAGCTTATCATCACTGTTTTGTCTATCTTTTCATTATTTCTCTCTGTGATTTTCAAGAAATTCTCTGATTAAAAAATAAATCAAAGACGCTAGTTAGACTATATATCGTTTTAATTAAAGTCTCTAAGATAGTTGATTTGTGAAAGACAATAAGAAGTGTAATTGCTGATGAGTCTCTCCACGAAACTCCATGTAATCCCATAAATTAAGATAATCGTTCGATGGAGAAATAGAATAAATCGCAATAACTGACATTTCCACGTGCATTCTTGTAATATTTTCCTATACGTTCGCCAATAAATCACAGTCAAACGGATGCCAATCTTTGACTCAATAAATCTTTTATTGCAAAAAATATAAGTGGTGATTTAACGTGTATCACGTGCCCACAAAATCAGGGATTGCTGGCGATTTGCTCCTGAATCCATTTGGAATACGTCGGGATGCGAGTGTAGACTCCAGGTGTGGCGGCACGGGCGCATCCGATGCCATAAGATATAATTCCGATTTGATAGTAGAGGAAGGCTCTGCCGGATAGAATTGGCATCATCAGAGGTCCTCCGCTGTCACCCTGGCAAGAATCCTTTCCTCCTTCCAATTTTCCAGCACAAAACACTCCGTCATCAAACTGCTTTTCGCTAACCAGTTTCTTTACGACTTTATATCTTTCCTTGCATTCATTATTGTTCAGCACGGGAAGCTGAAGCTCCTGGAGAACTGCGGCGGATTTTCCTCCCTCCTTAGTATGTCCCCATCCAGCTACAAATGGCTGACTTCCCTCAAAATCTCTCGTTAGTACAGGCGGTTCAGTTGGAATGCAAACGGCATTTATTCTCAGTGAGAAGGGAATTAATTCCTTCAATAAAACGATAGCAATATCGCTGTGCCCGTCCTCCTTATCGTATTCAGGATGAGCTATGGCTCTATCAACGGGAACATCAAGGTGTTGAGTTTCAGTGTCCGTGTCAAGATCATGTTCCCCAACACGAACTTGAGCAAGAGCAGGTTCAACGCAATGTGCAGCAGATAAAATATGCTTTTGAGTAATAATCGATCCACCACATTTAAATTCAATATCTCCAAGGTTGTCTTTGTAACCCATAAGAGTCATCCATGGCCAAGCGCCAAGCTTGGCGGGAGAACCACCAACGATACGTCTGTGCGTTATATTGGAAAAGCCACATCCTTCTTCAGGAGTCAAGAGATGAGGTGGTCCACTCTCTAAATTAAAAAATGAACTTTAAAATATCCCACTAAATAAATTATTTAAATATTTCTCTGAAAACAGCTTTATACTTTATGATCCTTGAGGTCATTAATTACATGGTGGAAATCTATAATACGTGATCTTTCGTTTAAGTCTTCAACCAAAAGAAACTCATAAAAAATGCTACTTGAATTTGTCGAAATAAATTCACTAACTTGATTCACAAGTTTTTGCAGATTGATAATTTGCAGTAACTCGTTTTTAATAAAATGAAATGAAATGCGGCAAAATTTGACAGCTTGCAAATATATTATGAGGTTTTTAGTACTCACTGATGCAAAATCCTCGAGAATCTTCACACGCGAAACCTGTAAGATTACATGATAATAATAATTGAGTGCTTTCGCTTTAAATGACACTTGCACACTCTCACCTTGGCCAATGAAAACATTGGCGAAATAGAGCAACACAATCGAAATAATTAGAGATCTCATTCTCCAGAAACACTTTAGAACTGCACGAAAGACAAATCTGCAGAGGAAATTTCTCTGATCATCAATATCAGAGCGACTGAGAGACACTGGACAAAATCTTCAAGCTGAGAGCTTTTTAAAGGTTCCAAGATCACCGAAATCCATCGGAAAATTCCGAGAGAGGCTCAAAGAATTCGGTTTCTCATATACGAAAGCTTCTTGAGCGTAAAATATTACCACAAAGACTGTTTTTTTGTTTGTGTCATTGTGTGAATATTTTAATTATAATCACAAAACAAGACTTGAATTCGAAGAAGTGATTAAATATCATCTTGACATCTCCTTATCTCAAGCTTTATCTTCTAATTTTTTTCAGTGTAAAAGATGTAAAAAAAAAAGTGTTTTGAAACACTCCTTGGCACAGAATTAGGTAGTGTTCGCAACTTGAGCCTGAATCCACTGTGAATACGTCTGAATACGAGTGTAGACTCCAGGAGTAGTGACACGAGCGCATCCGATGCCATAAGACACAACACCGATCTGATAGTAAAGGAAGACTGGGCCAGAGCGGACAGGAACCATGAGAGGGCCTCCACTGTCACCCTGGCAAGAATCCTTTCCTCCTTCCAAATATCCAGCGCAAAGCACTCCGTCATCAAACTGTTTTTCGCTGATGAGTTTCCTCTGGTCCCGATATCTCTCTTTGCACTCTGAATTTTTCAGTACGGGAAGCTGAAGTTCTTGGAGAATTGCGGCCGATTTTCCACCCTCTTGGGTGCGTCCCCATCCAGCCACGAACGGTTTAAATCCTTCGAAATTCCTCGTGAGAATAGGAGGCTGCGTAGGAATGCAAACGGCATTAATTCTCAGTGAGAATGGAATACTGCGCGTCAGAGAGATAACTGCTATATCACTGTGTCCATCCTTCTTATCATACTCCGGATGGGGTGTGGATTTAGCGATTGGAATGTCTAAATGCTGAGTTTCACTGTCCGTGTTGAGATTATGTTCTCCAACGCGAACTTGATCGAGACCAGGACGAATGCAATGTGCCGCTGACAGGACGTGCTTTTGAGTTATGATCGATCCTCCACACTTGAAGCCAATCTCTCCGAGGCTGTTCTTGTAGCCCAAAAGAGCCATCCACGGCCAGGCGCCCAGATTAGCGTCAACTCCACCCACAACACGATTGTGTGATGCGTTCGAAAAGCCACATCCTTCCTCAGGAGTCAAAAGATGAGCTGGTCCACCGGTTTGTCCGCTGGGTTGGACAGGACTTGGTGTCGTCGGAGGTTGCGTAACTACGGGTGGAGTTGTACTCACATCAGAAGCCGTTTGTGGGCAGCAAATCTAAAAAAAACATTGATAACTCCTTAGTATAGGGCTGAATTAGTTCAAATAGATTCTTATTCTTTTCTCAAGATTACTCACGAATGGCTGAACATAGTTGCAATTGGCATTGGATTGCTGAATATACCGGATGTAGTTTGGATCATTGCGCCTTGCCAGGAAGTCATATCTCACCAATGGACACTCCTTGATATCTGCATCAAACGATAAAAGACTTAATTATAGAGTTTATTGATCTTAGGAAGCTAAGGAAGTTCAAAATACTCCACAAAACTGATTTGAATATATCTGTGGAAGCAGAAATCTACTTTCTCATCCATCCTTGATATTATTAATCACATGGTGGGGATTTCTGAAACATGATCTCTTGCTTGAGAGTCTGCAGTCGAAAAACTCAAAATTCCACATAAATTTACAAACTTGATTTATAAGTTTTTGTTAAGAAGTTGTTTTGCAGCGACTTGTTTTTAGTAAAATAAGATAAAATTGCGCCAAATCTTGATCACTTGCAAATATAATATGATGCAAAATGTACTCACTGACACAAAATCCTCGATTTCCTGCAGGATCTTGACACCTGGAACCTGTAAGATTGCATGATTGAATTGTATTCGCTGCCAAAATTACTCTTGCCACTCTCACCTTGACCGTTGATAACGTTCGCGAAATAGAGGCACAGAATCGAAATAATTAGATATTTCATAATTGTTCACATAAATCTTAGCACTGCACAGGAGAAATCAATATATGTTTGGTTCTGTGATCATCAGTATCACAGTGGCTGAGAGAGACTGGACAAAATCGCCAAGTTGGGAGCTTTTTAAAGGTTCCAAAACCACCGAAATTCATCGGTAATTCCGAGAGAGACCCATAAGAATTCAATTTCTCACACGCGCAAGCTTTTTGCGTGGAAAATGTGACCATAAACACCATTTTTCTTGCCTTCTTTCAGCCTGTTTCGACGTGTGTGTCTTAATTAATCACAAATCAAGACTTGAATTCGGAGAATAAAATTGATTTAAAAACAGTTTGACATCTTTTAATTTTCTTTGTATGTAAAATAGAAAAGCGTATTTAAACACACATGTGAACAGAATCAGGCACTGTTCGCGACTTGATCCTGAATCCACTGTGAATACGTCTGGACTCGAGTGTAGACTCCAGGGATGTTCGCTCGGGCACAGCCGATGCCATAAGACACAACACCGATCTGATAGTAGAGGAAGACTCCGTCGCTTCGAATGGGGATCATGAGAGGACCTCCACTGTCGCCCTGACATGAATCCTTTCCTCCCTCCAGGAATCCAGCACAAAGCACTCCGTCATCAAATTGTTTGTCGCTGATGAGTTTTCTCACGTCTCGATATCTCTCCATACACTCTGAATTCTTCAGCACGGGAAGCTGAAGCTCCTGCAGAACAGTAGCTGACTTTCCACCCTCTTGAGTGCGTCCCCATCCAGCCACGAACGGTGAATATCCTTCGAAATTCCTTGTGAGTACAGGCGGTTGAGTAGGGATACAAATTGCATGTATATTGAGTGAGAAGGGAATTGTCTGCTGCAGAAGAATAATTGAAATGTCACTGTGTCCATCCTTCTTATCATACTCAGGATGAGCTGTGGCTTTGGCGACGGGAATATCAATGTGTTGAGTTTCAGTGTTTGAATCGAGATTATGTTCTCCGACACGCACAACTTGGAGACTAGAAATAACACAATGTGCCGCTGACAGGACGTGCTTTTGAGTTATGATTGATCCTCCACACTTGAAGCCAATCTCTCCGAGGCTATTCTTGTAGCCCAGAAGAGCCATCCACGGCCAGGCGCCTAGTTCAGCATCTACTCCACCGACGACACGGTTGTGAGTCTTATTGGAGAAGCCACATCCTTCGCCAGGAGACATAAGGTGAGCTGGTCCGCTGGGCTCCACAGGAGTGTCCGTGGGAGGCTGCGGAGGAGGTGTCGTCACCGGAGCCGATTGAGGGCAGCATATCTGAAATTAATATTCATTTAGCAGTTGTCTTGCAATGCCTCTTGAGTAACTTACATGAGGCTGAATGTAGTTGCAATTGGCGTTTGACTGTTGAATATATCGCACATAGTTGGGGTCGTTCTGCTTGGACAGGAAGTCGTTTAGCACTGGAGGGCATTCTTTGATGTCTGAAATAGCATGAGAATCGTTAGTTGAACAATAGGAATTTCCATGAGAGTTTGTTGAACTGGCAAAACGAACGGAGAATTAGTAGATTTTCCGGTTGTTTTTGTTTAACTTGAGAAACTCTTCTCCTTGATTTCTGATACTCACTCACGCAGACGCCAGTGTTCCCGGCCGGGTCTCTGCAGCTGGAATCCGCAGTGGGATTCTTCTGAGTTGTGGGTGGCGTTGGGCTCTGGGTGGTGGGCGGAGGCGTCGTGGTCTGCACTGGTTGTTCGTTGGAGGCACAGCAAACAATTGGATTCCTGTTGAAGTTCCTGTTGCCACAATTCCTCTGTGATGTAATAAGGTAGTTGATGATGAGGGGATTCCCCCTGTTGGTGCTGTACAGCTGAATGAGTGAGGGGCAATTGGGCAATAGCTGGCAAACTCCGCGTGCTCTGTCCGCCGTGACGCATTCTTCACCTGTTAAAAATTCTCAGGCAATTGAGTATATTGCGAAATGAGGCTTAATACGGGCGACAGTCGAGGACAATTGCAAACAGGTTCTCAGAAGCCCGCATGTGAGCAGCATCGCTTAAATTTACTCTCAATTTTCTCTCATTAATACACAAGAACTTGAACCATTGCGCGAAGGTGAATTGAAGACCGCCAAAGAGTTCATCGTCTGAATCACATAAACTAGAAACATTATGAGAGAATCGCCTCGCAATTGAGTGAGTTTTCAAGGCAGTTCAATGATTTTGAAATGGGGAAAAAACTTTATTTTGCTAGCGGTCAATTTGCTTTAGCGATTAGTTTCAACAGTTTCAGTCTCAGTGCAAATTCATGTGAAAAATCCAAGATTCATTGTGAGAATTGAGCATCATAGAACAAATTTGCTTTCGTTTTGTCACTTGTTTGGCGATTTGCCAATACCTTTCAACGAAAGACATCAACGCGTTAAGTGACGAACCTGATTTATACCGTCACTCTTTTTGATTGGATTACAGAATATCAGGCAATTTTGTCAAGACGTTAAATAATTGTGGTAATTGCAAAAACTAGAATGTTTTACATGTTTTATAGAATGTTTTTCACATATTTTAACATCTTTCCGGAAGACTTGCTATCCACAATCGCGCTTAATTGCTTGCCGAGACAGAGGAAATAGTCAAAATTTTGCATAATAGCACCATGACAAACATCCAAGATTTTATCACTCTCACCTTGACCGCTGATGAAGTCCGTGAAGTGGAGCAGCAAAATCGAAATGACGAGCAACTTCATTTTTCTCCACTGACACTCAACACAACACCAGAAGAATATATTTGCCTTATCACCTCCGATCGTTTCAGTGATATATTCCAATAAATCACACCTTCTTAAGTAAATAAATTGGCGTGTGTTTCGTGACTGACTGCCGCGATCGACAATGATATCACCGCGACTGAGAGAGAGACTGGCTAGAGAGCCAAGACGGGAGCTTTTAAAAGCGTCTGACCACCGAAATCCACCGGTGATTCCGAGAGAGACCCAAGGAACACATCGGTTTCTCACACGCTTAAGATTTTCGTGCTCACGCCACAGACAAGGTCAACATAAACACTCTCGTGCTCAGTTTACAACGATGTATTTCGCTTTCATTGCGCGACGAATGGGAGATTCTGCAACACTGAAGATTCAGTCGTCGAGATGATCATTAATCCAGGTGAGGAACGATGTGACGCGTGTGTAGACACCTGGAAATCCGGGTAGGGCGCACTCGTAGCCATAAGACACGATCCCGACGCTGTGAAAAGAGATCGTTTAGCACATAATCATCTCATGCACTCAAAACTCACATGTTGTAGAAGTAATAGGTTTTGTCTGCAGACAATTGTGGAAGAAACAGACCAGATCCACTGTCGCCTGTGCAGGCATCTCTTCCACCAGACGGCCAGCCAGCACATATTATCCTCTCGTCGAAGGTCAGAGTAGGGAAATTTGCTTTGTAGTTCGTCTCACAGTCGGTGTTAGGAAGGATGGGCACTTGAGCTTGCTGGAGGATATTCGCTGAGGGTCCTTTGTAAGAAGTTGCTCCCCATCCAGTGACGAAGGGTTGATAGTAGGTCAAGTTCATGTGGCGTAAGTTCATTTCGGTTGGAAGACAGACAGGAGAAACTCTGTCACTCAGAATCGCTGCCTCGGCAAGACGAAGGAGAGCGATATCGTTGAGAATCCTTTTGGCCTGAAAGTCTTCATGGATGGTCTTTTTGCTGATGGCGATATCTTGGGTCACTCCGTCAGTAGTTGTGGATAAATCATGTTCTCCCAAACGAACAAGGACACTGTAAAAAATATCTTCAATTTAAGAGGGGAAACTGAGGGACTGAAAGATCATTCTTACAGATAATCTTGGATGCAGTGAGCTGCTGAGAGAACATGAAGCGGTGTGATCAGTGATCCGGAACATACGAAGACGAGATCTCGCCCAGGAAGGCGATATCCCAGGAGAGCCATCCATGGCCAGGCGCCAACAGGGGCATCTTCGCCACCCACAACTTTCTGGAAGGTTGCATTGAAGACTCCGCACTGAGAAGCATCGCCGGAAGTACCTTGTCTCATACCTTGGAAGGGTCTTTGAGGATACAGGACATTTGAGTACGGATTATTGTATTGAGGATATTGGAAAATACCCCCAGGATACTGAGGAAACTGCGGATATTGAGGATAGTTTTGAGGATACTGAGAATAAGTCTGATCAGTGAAGACCAGTGAATTGGAATTGACTCCTCCATAAATGGGACAGCAAACCAAGAAGTTATAAGTGTCCTGTCCACAGAAGGATCTCTGAATTTGGTTAGCAACCCTGGAATCTGCCGTCTGGTAGTACAACTGCAGAAGCTCCATGAGAGACGGACAGGATTGGAAGGACACGCAATTCCCCAAACTATTGGAAGGAGTGTAGCAAGTGAGGCCTTAAAGAGAGCAGAGCATAAATGCGTCATAAAGTGATCTTCAACTGCCAATTATCTTGTCACAAAATCCCCATGAAAAAGCACTTTATTCACAGCATTCACAGTGATTAATGTCCACAGCGCATCCGCAAAGGTTTAGCAATGTTTACACATTTTATTCGAGATTTAAAATCAGATGATTTGCGATTGAAGTTTGCGTGCGTCCATGTGCGATATAACGAAATGATGAACAAATTGATACAAATTGTCAATTTCCCAATTAAATGCTTTACCAACAAATACACCACAATATTCAATGACACACGGTGTTTCGCATGAAAAACTAATCAGTACATTTTCACATGACATTAATTTGATGAGTGTGAATCACAGGGACTTGACATCACACGCGCAGATCTTCTCGGCGGATGTCTCCACGGCGGATGGCGTCGAGGATCATGTCCAGGATCATGGATCGAGGGTCGATGCAGGGACAGCCGTTAGGGAGGACGTTGGGCTGTCCGGGAGCGATGGGGGGAGGACAGGTGGGAGGAATAGCCTCGCAGACTGGAATTGGAGGGACAGGAGGAAAAGGAGGACTTGGAGGTACAGGAGTTAAGGTGATTGGCGGGACAGGAGTTAATGTGACTGGCGGAACAGGAGGACCTGGAGGGACAGGAGTTAATGTGACTGGCGGGAGAGTTGGCAGTGTGGGAAAAGGAGTCAATGTAGGAGGAACGGGCGTGAGTGTCAGCCTCGGCTGATCTGTGGTCGTGAGTATTGGCGGCGGAAGAGTGATCGGAGGGATGGGAGAGGGCGTAATTGGGGGCAGAGTGGTCAGTGGAGGGACGAAAGTCACAGTGATCGGAGGGATTACAGTCATGGTGATCGGAGGAACAGGCGTGAGAGTGGGAGGAATCGTGGGTGCGGTCGGAAGAGTAACCGGAGGGACGATTGTGATGAATGGGAAAGGAGTTGAGGTGTAATGCTTCCAGCAGAGATTCAGAAGCAGGCAAATCTTGTCAAAGTACATTCCCACTGTTGATGACTGAACTATATCCACAGATTCTGCAGCACTAAAATCATGCGGTGCGCACCGTTTAATTTTATTGCGGTTGCACACAATAGACAATCCCAAAAGCATGAAAAACGCGTACCATCAGAGCTGATAATTCCAACAGATTGGATTTTAATTAAATACACATTTGAGTATATTTATAACGAAGAGGGATCAAATTATGGTTTGTCTTTACAAGATAAAAATCATTTAGGCAGAATGATCATATCACTTTTAATTTTCAACTAATGATCAAACGATCCAAATCTATGGTGACTTGTGCAACTCTGCACGTGAAAGAGGACACAAAGCGTGAGATGTTTTTCCAGTAGCTCAGTTTCTCTTCCACCGGAAATGTTGTGTGTGCACGAAAATGGTGCTAAAATGCGCGAATTGTACGATGAAAAGATCAGATAAACCGTGCAATTAAACTCACCATTGGCACGACTCCACAGGAGCATTAAAGTGATGCCCCAAAGTGACTTCATCGCGTTGCTCTGACTTAATGCACCGCCCCGGCGAGTGTTGCGAAACTGACCAGAGATTCACGGGATTGCCCGGAGTGTTGTGGTGGCTTTTTCTCACATTAGGCACCGATTAAGCGCGCTCCGTGGCAAAAACCTGGCAAATATTTGTATAGAGACCATAATTGGAGTACATTTTTGCTGCCTTGGGGCTGTGGTTGATGTCAATATCTCATGGCCATAATTGTTTATGGGACATAATGAATGAAAATTGTGCGCTTTTTCCTCCCCAAAAGTGCCACTGTGTCGATGAATTTATCGCGAAATACAAATATGACTAATCGCGCGTCTCATGCTGTTTCTGAAATTGTCATCGTAAAGATTTTGGCGGTGTACGCTAGGAAAATTCCTATCCAATACGCTGTGCAGATGAGAGGCTGTGTGTCCTTGCGAGTAGCGTAAAAGTCCTCATAAATATTTATCACTTTGACCATTTTGTATTTCAATACAATTGTTATGTATTTTATGCAAGAAAAATGGTCAATGACGAAAAATTGAAGCATTTCCCACTGGTTTTCCGCAGAAGAAGAGAAGAGTTTAAAATTGGTTAAAATTAAAGCCTTTGTAGCACTTTTGTATGAATGATGCGAATACGAAATGAGTAATATAATGCGTAGAAAAACCTTCAATTGATCTGTTTACTCAGCTAAATGCCAAATTCCCCTAAATTTAATCAATTTTCACTCAATTTGACGTCAAAAGTAGTAAAAAAGCTGCTTTAAGAGTTCAATTTTCGTAATATATTAGTGAGAATTTATACATAATCTTTTCAACTTGTGGCCAGGATCGCCTTCACCCATTGTCAGACACACTCCTCGCAGGTCGGCATCATTTCTCATTGCAGTCCACCAGCTTCTGGGCCTCATTCTGGATCATGCGATAGATCAGCAACACCAGAGAATCCAGGTTCTCCACATTGACACGATTCTCGCCCGTCAAGGCGCCTTGGCTGCTGCGGAGCGCGGAATCACTGCGCTTTCCCCAGCCTGGGGTGAAGGTCAACTGCAAAATCCGACCTTTAGCACTCAAGCGATTCCACAAGAGGCACTTGGACAACAGACACTTACTTGGGCATGGATGCAGAGCAGGGCGGAGACCAGGAAGACAGTCAGGATCAGAAGTCTCGTCATTTTTCTCTCCACAACACAGAAAATCTCTTGTATCACAAAAACTGAACGTACTTGGAGGAAACTTGGCTGGAAACTGATTCGGCTATCCTCGAAGCAGGACATTTTATACCAGGCCTCGATGACGAAAGACACGCGCTAAGGTTTCAGACGATGGTGAAAAAAATCTCACGCCGAAGAAGCCACAAAAACTCTCATGTGAAACTTTTGTAATTAATCAAAGCGCAGAAAACAATTGGGTGTGTCTCCTACTCAACCCCTTCTAGAAGGGTTGAACTGCGAAGGAATCTGGAATGATTACTCGGAATATTTTTGTGACATTTTCAACAAGTCTTTAGACGAAGAGATAAATTGTAGCATTTCACGAAATGGAAAAATTACAAGAAAATTGTCTGATTTGTATTCAATTGATCATCTCTAGAAGGAAATCGAAGAATTGGAAAAAGCAGACAAATTTTCTTCTTATCTAATTGATTTGTCGGCTATTTTTACTCCCACTCAGATAAGACACGCTCTAAAAATAGGGGTGCTCTTGAAACAGTGAAAGCAAAAATATGACGCAATGGAAACTTACGAACTACTTTACATTATCACACTTCTTAATTATGTGATAATTAGTAATGAAAATATCTGCCTATTGAGAATTTATTGAGAAATCAAAGCCAATCTATTTTTTTTCGTATTGACCAGAAAAACTGAGTGGTAGATCAAAATTGTCAAAATTGGGGGACTATTTTGATAATTACAGTATTAATTTTTTTCCTTCCATTATCTAAAATCACAGATTCAGTGATATGATAACACATGATACGACCAGAAATCTCAATGAAACACAGAAAATTTCCACACGACATTGAAAGACAATTTACAATTTAATAACATCAAAATATTATTTATTGTTAAAGTTCTTCACATTATCATCGACTACAATTTTCCATTTTGACATCGCAGCATTAAAGCTTAACAAATTAACGTTGTAAAATGTAAATAGAAAGTTACATACCGCTGCATTATCCCTAAAAATACACTTATTCGAAGTAGAGAAAGGAATTATGCAATTTAGCGATAATATAACACTTTTCCACTTATCAAATGAGTTGTAGAAAAAGAAAAAAATCTTTGTATGACAAGAGGGAGAAAATAGCTAGTTTACGAGCTTCCTATCTTATGTGCGCAACACGTAATTATTTACCTTATATTAGAAAACAAAATTTTTTTATAGTAAAAAAGAAAACATACAAGAGTACACAATCTTAGGAGTGAGAATGATATCCTCGAGACGCGTAACGAAGACGAATATTGCATGATTATCGAGATGAAGGACGCACTTTGAGCATCCCCTCGTGTATATTTAGAATATTAATTAGGCACCTGTTTCATCTCTCTTAATAAGTTAAGAACTCTCTCCTCCCATTTTTTGCTATATTTCGAGAAATTCAATCTTGTGCGGCAGTTTCTCACCGAAGTTAGAGAATTGTGCACTTTCGTTTGTTCCTCTTTTTGTACTTCTCCTCGAAGAAGGGCCTCTCGGCCTCCTGGAATTTCCTTACGATCCGCACGAGCTCGTGGAAGGCCTGATCCACGTTGACGCGGTGCTTGGCACTGCACTCAATGTAGGGAATGCCCAGCTGGCGGCACAGCTGCTGCGCCTCTTCCAGCGACACTCGGCGCTGTGCCTCGAGATCCGACTTGTTGCCCACGAGAATCATTGGGAACTCGTCGCGATCCTTCACGCGGAGGATTTGCTTCTGGAATTTGGCGATCTCCATGAAACTCGAGTGGTCCGTGAGGGAGAAGACAAGGAGGAATCCCTCTCCGGACCGCATGTATTGCTCTCTCATGGCACTGAACTCCTCCTGGCCGGCCGTGTCGAGAACTGCAAGGGAACAGAGAGACACTGTCAGTTTAGCTCCCAAGGCGCAAAAGGACTTTCTCGAAGACACTCACTGTCCAACTTGGCCGGGACATCGTCAATCACGCACTGCTTCGTGTAGGAGTCCTCAATTGTGGGGTCGTAGTCGGTGACGAAGTAGCTCTGGAAGAAGAAAAGTCCGTATTGAATTGACTGGCCAGATTCTTGACCCGCCTTGATTGCCCATATGGCGGAATGTGGATTGTCTTAATTATTCGCAGCACGATTACACAATTGCCTCGCTATTTTTGCTTATTAATTATGCCTGTGTGAGTGGGATTCACTCCTCCGGCTCCTCCCAGTGACTCAGAAGCTCCACTTCCGGCCTCATCATTGCCGAGTCGCTGCGAGGAGAGGCTCTCACGTCCTCTCAGGCTCCGCTCGAGCGAGTTTCCTTGCCCCTTCCGGGTGTCTCGCGACATTGCCCGCCACGGATGTCTATTTTTGGATGCGCGGGGGCGCGTTCGAGGTTCACAATGCTCGTGATTGCATGTATTTCGGGCCCGAAGCGAACTTTATTGTGTTGGTTCGTCGCTCTTTTTCGCTCTCTTCGAGGGAGTCTTCTGTGATGATTTTCCCCAAAAAGGCCCTCCTGGCCACGATTTTTTCCACATGACATGCAGCCAGAAGATGCCCAGGAGTGTAATAAACCCAAAATGTGTCAATTCTACAGAAAGTACAGCTAAATCACCTGAATAAACTGAATTGTAAGTGCGGACTTTCCTACTCCGCCTCCACCGACAACGACCAATTTGTAGTGAGACATTTTGCAATGGCACTCAATTTGACGAGATTGGAACACAGTATTGGCACACTTGGGATGCTTTTCACGCAATAATTATCTCTAAAAATGCCTCAAATTGCCACAAGAAAGTGTTTACAGAAGAAGGTGGCAAAAACACAAACACACTGAACTTACAACCGCGAGTGACAAGCTTACACACATTGCAATTGTCCGTTTGTACACTGCAAATCACGCATTATCCACTTAAAGAAGTTACAATTTTTCAAAATATTACCAATTATTGTCTCTTGAAAGTTTGAAGATGTTTTTTTGCGGCTGATAAAGACCTTAATTGAAGTGATATCTGTGGGAAAACGTGTAATTTTCATACAAAATGAGCAGATAGAAATTGACTAGTTCATTCCCATTTTTGCAGTGTGGAGCTGCTGAGGAATTTCAGCGTAAAGAATTCATTCGCACGAGAAAGAGGTAACTATACGCGCTCAACTCACACTAATTCGTTCCTTCATTCATGAATACGCAACATCCCTCAGCGCCCTCTATCTTCCGGGACCACAAACGCGCCTCTTAACTGGCCGTAGTGGCTAAAAGACCAAAAGAAGCTTTCAGGGGTATCAACGTCGATGTTTGCGCTCTACTTTGAGTATACAGTTAACATTCGAGTAATCACTAATATTGCGAGGGCATCTCTAGTCGAGCTTCATACGGATTATATCCGGCGGAAGCATGAAGTTGTTCTTCCTCAGCGGAATCTCACTCAAGAGCTGGTCCACAGGCGCACGCAAGTCGTACAGCGAGGGACTCTGGAAAATAATGCCGATGGTGCCGAAGATGCAAGTGCTCGTGAAGACCCACAGGAAGAAGCGATCCAACACCATTGAGATGAATTTCCAATCCTCAACAATCTACGGAGTGGCGATAAATTGTTTTCATCACATATTCAAGCCTCTCGAGGGCCTTTGTATTGATTTCTTTCTCACCTCATTGTCTTTGTCGGCATCCTTAATGTGCTGAGCGATGAAGCGAACACTCTTCATCGCCTGCATGAGTTCTGGGGTCACTTGACGGGGGAACATTTGCTCAGACTCCACTGAATCCCCGGGGAAATATTCCAAATATTAGTACGAATTGAGCGGAAGAGGAAAAGCGAAAAATTCTTACCGGAGGAATGGGCGTGATTGCCGAGATTATCGCAACTCCCATCGGCGTTCTCTTTGTACTCTCCGGGAAAGTCGCTAATGCTGTCGCGCACGTCAATCTCATTCGTGTAGCCGTTGCTGGGCGTTGTGTCGTCGTAGTCCGGGAGGCTGTAGTGCGTTCGCCGCATCATCATGAGCTTGGGCATGAAGTTGAGGAAGATGCTCCGCATTAATGGCGGCATGTTGTGCGTCGAGGGAGACCTGAAGTGGATGTTGAGGACGCAAACGGTGGTCCACACGGAGAGCGAGACGAGGATCATGGTGAAGAGGAGGTATTTCCCGAGCAGTGGCACTGCCAGACTCGTGGGTGGGATGATTTCGGCCAGCAGGAGGAAGAACACAGTCAGCGACACAAGGATTGAGATGCATAGAGTGACTTTCTCGCCAGAATCGCTGGGCAGATAGAAGACGAGCACTGTGAGGAACGTCAGAGCGATAATTGGAATGATGAGGTTGACTGTGTAGAAGAGCGTCTTGCGTCGCATGGTTAGCTTGAAGGTGATGTCAGAGAAGGGCTCAGTGCAGCACGGATAGTACTCTTCATTCCTGCTGGCAGGCACTTCCAGGATATCCCACTCCACTGAGAGATAGAACTCGGACAAATCAATGCCAATCAGCACTAGATTGCTGCCCTGCACTTGATCCAGGTGTTTCAGATCCACTTGAGCGCCGTTATAAGTCCAGGAGCCGAATTTCATGAAGCACGTCTGCTCATCAAAAGGGAAATACTCAACGTTGATCTCGCAGGAAGACTTGTAGATGGCCGGTGGTTCCCAGAAAACCTCCCCGGTGTACTTCAGCGTGGCCTTTGTCATGAGGGTGACTTCGTAGTTCCCGTCCCAGTTGTTGTACAGCACAATATCGGGCAGCCAGATCTGCTCTGATGGCACATACAGCATCTCCACGCCGCCGTACTCTTCAGGATCCCATCGCAGCTTGTAGTCGAACCACTTCTGCTTCACCCAGAGATTCGTGGTCATCACCTGATTCTTTAGGTTGACCTCAATCAACTGCGACAGCTTCAGGCCCAGCCACACAGTCAGAGTCTCTGTGTTGTTCACCACAGGCCTGATGAGGCGGTTGTAGTTGCTCAGGAGATCATCGTAGAGCCTCTTGGCGTCCGGATTGGCTTCCATTTGCTCCACATCTGCAAAATTCAGCCACTTTGAGGATTTTTCCTAGCGAGAAACACACCCAAAAAACACTCACCGAAGCGCCCTCGAACATTTTCACTGAGAGCCAGAATTACAACCACGGAAAACACTATCTTCCCACCCACCATCCTTCACTGCACTTCCTGGCCACGTAAAGAGGCACCACCAGAGAGAAAGTAAACAGCCACAAAGTTCCCACCCAGTGGATTCACAATCGATACCCTGCCGAAGGAGAATCCGCTTGATGTGCGCATGCAAACTTGTGCATTTTTCACTGGTACACGCGCGAGATGCTGCGAAAGCTCCCGAAGGGTGGAAAGCTCGACTAACAACAAGCTTTTCTCACAGGAAAATCATTTATATAAAGTCCTAGTAGAATGTAATGTTATATATGTTACCGCAAAACCCAAAGAGTCGCGCTTCGGAATTGTTGAGCATCACAAGCAGATTTTCGTGTTGAAGAACGACAGAACCTTCACCATCTCAGGACGATCCTCGGGTCTGTCGGCTGTGCAATAACGTCCAAGATTAATTATCATCGAGCACGCCCTCTTCGTGTTATCATCAGCAGGGACGGTCTTGTCGATCAATTGATCTGCGAAAGTGAGAGAAACATTGTTTAGTATTGTACTGAGTGGGATAAAGAGCTCAACATTACCTATAGAAGCGTTCTCTGCACACGCCGACATGATGTGCTTCGTGAGGAATTTGTGCGAGCGCTTGTGGTCGTACGCTCGTAATCCGGTCACCAGTTCGAATAGCACCACGCCATAGCTGAATGTGTCCACCTTTGTGCTGAGGCTGCGATTGGCCAGGAACTCCACCGGCAAGTAAGGCTTCGTGCCGTACACGCGAGACACTTCCATGGAGTTGTCCTCAGCATTAGGGCCTTCTCTGGCCAGACCGAAGTCTCCAATACGCGGCTGGCAGCAGGGATCCAGGAGAATATTCGCAGGCTTGATGTCGCCGTGAATCAGCGGCTTCTCCTTGAAGGTGTGCAGATATTGAAGGCCCCTGAAAACACCAAAGAAAATAGTTTTTCATCTTCATCGCACTCTGGAATTTCAATGACATTATCGAGAACAATCAGATTTTACCGATAAATCTCTCTTATTGTTTCGCATCGCCTCAATTTTCACCGTTTCACTATCAATTCCTTCTCTGCAATCGTAGAGATCTGAGTAGTAGTTTGGGAAACAATGTCTAAAACGAATGTGAAGGAGCTGACGAAGCTCCAACTCCAATTCGACGAGTACAGTGGGGAAATTGATAAATACATCCATGTCCTGAGTGATGCTGCCAAAGATGTGCTCTTCGAGTGGACAGATAAAATTCAGCCTGAAGGTCATTATGACTTGGCTAAAGCTCAGGCTCGCAATATTGTGATGAAATTCATCCTGGACAGTCTTCGGTCCTTCAAGAAACTCCTCCCGCCTTTCGATCGACGTCCCCATCCCAAGGAAACTCTCTCGGACGTGATTAATTCTATTGTAGGGGAATTTCGAACATTCAATGCGGTTTTCCCCGGAAATAACAAAACTTTTTCTTCCAGAAGAAATCCTCAGTGAAAGCTTCTCCAAGGAAATTCCCAGCGGAGCGCCCCAGCAATGCAGAGATGCGTCAGAAGCAGCAAGAATTGCTCGACAATTCGCCAGACGGCGGGGATTTCCTGAAGAATTTGCCCCTCCCACGAGCCGGCGTTTTCTGCTACATGGCAATTGTAAACAAGAGCGCAGCGAAATAAATCTCTAGCTCACCTGGCTGTTCCCTTGGCAATGTTGATCCTCTGAGACCACGAGAGCGGCTCCAGTGGCCGGAAGAGTCGCTGCTCCAGGGAGCCGCCGGTCATCAGCTGATAGACCAGACACGGCTCGTCGCCGTTGATGCTGTACCCATAAAGTGGGAGGATGTTGTCGTGGCGACAGGAGTTGAGGTAGCGCAGCTCATTGAGGCTCTGCTGCATCTGGATCTTGTTGGCCTCCGCATTTCCCGTTCCGCGATATTCAATCTTCTTGATGGCAACCGCCGTGAACTTCCACACGCCCTGATACACTGTGCCAAAGCCACCCTTGCCCAGGATACTCTTATCACTCCAGCTGTTCGTCGCCTCCACGAGTTCTTGGTAGTCAATTTGCGGAATGGTGCTGGCGTAGTCTGAGAAGTTCTTTATATCCACACCCGCCGACGACTCGGCGCCCTCTTGTTCTTCATTGTTCTCCGTGCTGACCAGGGCTCTTGGGCCGTTCAAGATCTTTGCATTGGTGGACTTCCGGGCGCCCTTCTGCTCCTCAGTCACCGCAGTCTTGTCCTGAATGTCCATCCTCCCCATGAGGACGCTTATGCGCGGCTGGCCGCTGTTCAGCATCCGATGATACCGCCGATCCACGAGATTCTTGATTGCGTCCATGGCCCAATACTGGTTTATTCTGAAGAGAAAATACACCCCAAGTCAGTACAGTGCACTTATTGCGCAATTGATTAAGTCATGCAACTCCAATGATAGCAAAAACTCATCTAAATCGATGAGATTAACTTTCTCGCGCGTGAATATTGCTTAATAAATTGTCATTGCGTCTGCGATGAGCTGTTTCTGGCATCACTGAAATTTCTGGGGAACTCACTTGTCTAGATGAAAGAACAATTCCGTCACGTTGTGATTCTGGTCACTCCACATCGTCAGAAGTTCATCGGCTGGGGAATTCCCAATCAGCATTTTGCGTTTGATTTCCTAATGCGGCGAAAGAGAAAGTTTTGGATGAGTTTACAAATAAATCGCCACTTTCACCCTGTCAGGAGACTCACCTGAAGATCCGCCGCTTTGTAGCCCAATTGCTTTGCCAAATCCTTCCACACGTCGTTCTCATTCAGAATCCTGCACAGCAATTCCCGTTCCTGGGCGGGCATGTCCACAAGGTTCATGTGGCTGATTTCAACCGAACTCCGGGGCCCTTTGTCACTGCGCTTCTGCATGGCTGCACAGCTGATTAGCACTTTGACCAGGATAGCAGCTTGAAATCAGAGAAACTGTCCGGGAAACACTGATCTGTTCACCACAACTGCCTAGCAGCAACTGAAGCCGCCCAGTTGATTCCCCAAGATGTGCCTCAACGGTAAACGACGCTGACTAATCGGACTGTGAGGAATTTTGGAGCCAGCGAAGCTATAGCAAGAGTGGGAATCAGAAGACAACTGTTGGATTCTCCGATGACGTCACGGAAACAAAGAGGCTGTCAAGTGCAGAAACATCGGTGTTTATGATATGTTTCACGCATGTTTCAACCTCGATTTTAACTCATATTCAACATCTTTGGAAGTCTTACAGAGTTTTGCGCGAAGCAAATAGCAATTAAAACGAATTTTCCATAAAAACTCTTAGAACATATGAATTGTCCTCCTGCAAAAAATAAATTTTCTACAAAATGTTATGCTTCAATGAGACTTCACAGCGCCCTCACCGCGTGCGTGACCAATCTCTAAAGTGTATCAGCTGTCAAGCTGAGCGTCCAACAAACACGCTTTCTGGCATCTCACCTTTTTGCCCCAAATTACCCCCAATTCCACCGTGATTGTGGCAATAAAGCACCTTTCGCCGCTGCGGAATGACCAGTGAGTCAGAAAAGTAAGCCAGACAGCGTGCATGCTGTTTCGCGTGGGAACAAATTGTGTGGCAAAATTGTTAGAAGTGCAGCAAAAAAGTTGGACGATGCAGAAAATGCAGCTCAACAATACCATATCCGGAGTAAAAAGTACTACCTGGACACCTGAAAACTACCTCACGGCATCACGACTGAAGGAGGAACTCTACGCAGTGATGATCCTCAATAGACCCATTAATTTGGATGAGGAATTCGTGGTGGAACTCTGGAATTCTGGTGAGAGATATAAAGTTTGCCTTTGAAGGGATTTGTGGATGATTTCCTGGTGTCTTTCAGCTCAAATTCGACACACAGTTGATGGGGGCACAGACAGATGGATGCAGTTTGTGAAGAGTCAGTCCACAAAAAGAGAGATCCTTAATCCGGACATCGTGACAGGAGATTTCGACTCCGTCAATCCAGAAACGTTGCAGCACATGGAGAGTCTCAACTGTGACATTGTGCGGACGCCAGATCAGGATGAGACAGATTTCACGAAGGCCCTGAGACAGCTGGTGCCCCGTCTAATGATGCGCGAAGTGAGCACTGTGATTGTTTTAGCCGAAACATCTGGCAGAATAGACCAAATCATGGGGAATATCAACACGCTCTTCAAGGCTCAGGCCTTCGCCTCTCGCATAAGGATCTTCATTCTGTCCAGCAACTCCCTGAGCTGGCTTCTGTCGCCCGGACACCACTGTATTGACATCCCCCCAGAAACGCTCCGGCAGAGGCTCTGGTGCGCCCTGATTCCCGTCGGGCGGAAGTGCGTGCTGACAACGAAGGGTCTCAAGTGGGACATGACACAGCAAACCATCAACTTCGGCGCCCTCGTCAGCACCAGCAACACATACAATGGCGCCCCCATGGTGGAGATCTCATCCAGCGATCAAGTGTTGTGGTCCATGGGCACTGTTAGAGACTAAATGGCACTTCTGACTTAAGACGTGACAATATTGAGCACCTCATTGCAATTATTCCGTAGGAAGTCGACTGTAAAAATGCTTGTTACTGCTGTTCAATAAATTTTACGTTGGGAAAACTGGGCATTGTATCAAATACTAATTTATAGAAGCATTTATTAAACGAAGGTACTCAATCCCTAACCCTTTCTACTGGATCCTGGTAGCGGCATGAGCTGAAGAGCTGTAAAACATCATCGAATTAGTCTTCAAAGTCACTTAAATTGGTCCTAAAGCCACTCACATCGCGATGGTCCTGCACGTGCCGAGCTGGTCTTGCCTCCTCTGCCCGCCGTGGCCACTGTCCTGGCCAATTTCTTCGGTGACGCTTTTTTCGGCGATCTCTTCTTCGTGGCCCTCTTTTTGGGCGATGCTTTCTTGCGAACAGTTCGCCGGAAGCGCTTCTTCGAAGCTCCTCCCCAGGATCTCTTCCTCTTCTGTCCACTTAGTCTTCCCTCCAGCGCCAGCTCAGACCAGTTGGTCTCACCGTCCTCCTCATCAAAGGTGTCCTGGCTCTGCTCCTTAGCGTCGATCATGATGGCTGCAAAATGGTATTTGTTAATTTATGCGAAATTCCATTGAACACACTCAACTGCAAATCGATACTCACAAATCTTGAAAGCTGCGTAATTTTGCGTAATCTCTAGCAACAGCTTTCCAAACTTCTCGAAATTAGCCGCTGTGATGTGAGGCAGTCGCATCATCTCCTCCTTTGTGGCCGGCATCACTTTGGACATTTGCTTGATGGTCTGCATGTTGATCAGACTGGCAATTGGCACGTGATGCTCCGCCGCAAGAATCTTCAGCTTCTCCAGCAGATCATTATAGCACTTCTCCTCGAGATCCAGGAGCTCCTTGCCGAGTTCCGAGTCCTCAAGGGAAGACACAAACACTTCCTCGAGCTTGGGCTTCTCCTTCTTGGCGCCTTCCTTCTTCTTGTTGCGCGCAAACATTATCGTCACTTTCTTATCAATCAGTTGCTGGATCACCGGTCCAATGCGAACATACGCTTGCGGAATGTCGTTCGAGAAGATAATCTCTTCCCTCAAGTAACTCTCCAGGACCATTTTGTGCAACAGTCGATTGATGTCATTGCGATCCCAGTCAGCCATGCAACCGTGGTATCTGCTCTGGTGATGATTGTTGTCCTTGATCTTCTTATTCTCGCTCCCCTTGAACACCTCCACGAGATGCAACAATGTGAACCGATTGCTTCCGCTGCACAAATCTCTCACGCACCTCACAACCTCCTTGGCCATATTCGTGGCATCAATGGTCTCGTACTCTCCGATCTTCAGGCAGTTATCGCAGGCGCTCTGGCGATTCTGCAGACACTGCTCGCGCGTAAAGTGCTCAGCGAAGTAATTCAGCTGCAGTGAACGCCTGCAATCCGTCATGTTCTCGCAGTAAGCGACAATCCGGTAGAGATTCTGAATGTGCACCTGCTTCACGTCGAATGCGATGCTTGTATCCTTGTCCAGCATGTTCATGTACCGCCTCATGTCGCTGTAGTTGTAATAGAGAATGCAGGTGGCCAAATCGCCGTCTCTTCCCGCTCTTCCGGACTCCTGGTAGTATCCCTCAATGGACTTAGGCATCGAGTAGTGCAGCACATACCGAACGTCTGGCTTATCGATGCCCATCCCGAATGCGATAGTGGCACACACGACTTTAACGAACTCCGTGACCCACTCCTGCTGCACGCTTTCCCTGGTTAGATCACTGAGGCCCGCGTGGTAGCTCTTCGCCTTGATGCCCGCCTCTTTCAGCTTAGTAGCCATCGTGTCGCACTCATTGCGCGACAGACAATATACAATCCCGCTCTTCGTCATGTACTTGCTCTTGATCAAATTGATGATCTCCCCAATCGTCGAGGTGCCTTTCTTGGGCATCACAATGTACTTGAGATTCGGCCTGTTGAAGCTGGAGAGGAACCACTTGCATTTTGACATTTCCAATTGCTTCAGGATGTCGATCCTCACTCGTGGCGTGGCTGTGGCGGTGAGAGCGATCATCGGCACGCTTGGATATCTCTGTCGCAGCAGGTTCAGTCTCTTGTAGTCAGGCCTGAAGTCGTGCCCCCATTGAGAGACACAATGCGCTTCGTCAATCACAAATCGAGCAATGTGTCCACGACTGTACAGCTTGTCTAGCATTTGCTTCACGCGGTCCGAAGCGCTGATCTTCTCAGGTGTAACATACAATAGTTTAATCTTGGGCGGATTGCACTCCAGATCCTTGAATATGGCGAGAGTCTCTTGCCAGGAAATATTTCCCGACATATGCTTGGCATTTATGTCCAAGAAAGAGAGCTTGTTGCATTGATCGTGAATCAGAGACTTTAGCGGGCTGATGACTATTGTCACTCCTTCAGCCATAACAGCGGGCAGCTGATAGCAGAGCGACTTCCCACCTCCTGTGGGCATGAGGACGAAACAATCCATGCCCAGGAGCGTCGCATTAATCACTTGCAACTGATTGGGTCTGTATTCACGCAACCCGAAAACATCCCTGAACTTTCTCTGCATCTCATTGGAATGACTGTAGGATTGTGAGTCGAATTCTCCAGTCGTTCCGTCATTCCTCACGCCAGCGTGGAAGTTTCCCATCACATTGGCATACTTAATCTCCAATTTCTCTTCCGTGGGACTCAGACAGCTGTCGATGATGTACTGCGTCTCCGTCTCTTGCTGCCTCACCGTCTTGGCACTCACGAAACCCTCTTTGCCCGCCGGAATGAACGATTTGCTGGTACTGGGCGCTTCTGTGAAGTCCTCAATTGAGTACTTCTGCCACCCATCGTCATCCACCTCCGTAAAGGCATTGTCTATCCACTGCGTTCCGCTGGTCTTCGACACAGGATCGAAATCCTTAACTTTCTTGTCATTGTACATCGAAAACCGACTTTGATCTTTCAGAGACTCCTCCTCAACTTGTCCCATCAGTTCGTCGATCTCGTCATCTCCTAAGAAATCACTGTTCACAGGTTCGTCCATAATCGACAAAACATCGCTTCTCTTCGTCTTCGGCGTGAATTTTCTCTTTATACCAGACGTTACGGAAGACTCTGCAGCTCCACCATAGAGAGATTCTAACACAGATCCCGAGCCGTTTGGCGTTGGCTGCATGTCGACATCATCCTGAATACTCTGAAGAGCAGGAACGGCGCATTCTCTTAACTTGCTTTCCACCTTGTTTCTGAGAGCTTTCAGTTTGGCGAACGTGATTGTCTGGAATCCTTCGATTGTCTTGAAGTGATGTAATGGAATTCTGTCCATGATTTTGCAGTATCTTTCCATGGTTTCAATGTAAATATCTTTTAGTTTATCCCTGTTCATGACTCCATCCTCCGTGAGCTCTCTGCGATTTTTCGTCCTCGTGACAAAGTCGTCTAAAGTGGGGTCAAACTGCATCTTCAGCTGAGGTTTCGCCAAAGACAGGGCAGGAGGAGTCGCAGCCATGCAGAGCATATCTAAGTCATCCTTGGGCGGAGATTTACAGTTATCCAGCTGAAGAGTTCTTTTCACGCTCTCCCTTTCAGCTGGTATTTTTTGCAGATTCTCCTGCACTTTCTTCATTGCCGACGCATATTTCTCATTACTGCTCATTAAGTCATCGGAAAGTCTCTCCAATGACTTGGAAATGTCGATCTTGGGAGGAGTTTTCTCGAGAGTCGTCTTTGTTTTTGCATCAGTCACCCCATATTTGATCAACAGGGATTCAAAGTCGGTCCTGCTGACTCTATCCTCCCTTCCCGGAGGTGTACTTTCGATCCTGACCGGAGTGCTCTTCCTTGAGCTGTCGTCGTCGCTGATCTCTATACATTCCATCCTTCTGGGCACCTTCGGCTGAAACTGAAGCACATCCTGAATTAACAGCTAAGCCAGAAAAGAAAAACAATGCGATAAGATTACCTTCTTCCTCGGTTTCGTGCTCAAGAGACTCGGGGAGCCTTCATCGCTCGCCTCCTTCGAAGCATTCAGCAAATCCAAATTCTCTTTCAGCACACTCTTGCTAACCAATCCGCTCTTATCAGGATTCGAGGATTCAATGGGAGGCCTGTAAGATTCGCACGCAAAACATCCTCAAAAGCTCGTATCCTTGCTATAAAACAAGTATCTTACTTGTCTTCCACTTGTCCTTTGGGAATTCTTTTGATAAACGCCGTCAACTGTGGTTGCCTGGTCTTATTCTTTGCGGAGATACTCAAAAAGTTCGGCTTCTTGGACATGTCACTAATTCCATCAATTTCCAGGCTTGAAAATCAAGAAAAATTGGAGAAAATCACTGGAGCTTTCCCTTTGGCCTAACCTCACTTTCAAGCTTCTTTGACAATTTGATCCCGCCTTCGATACTAGCACCTCTACCGGGATTTTTTCAAAGTAATTTGCATGAGTGTTTGCAGAATTTCACTTTTCTCGGTAATTCTTACTAAATCTACTAAATGTAGTGATTGCCTGCGATTCCCAATAAATCCAGATAGTGAGGTGCATTATTGTTCGACTTCAGAGTTTTATAAATTTTACAAATCATAAAATATTCTTTGAGTTTCTTTCATTCCCAGATTTATTGAAGCTATTGAAGAGAATTTATCAAGAGTTAAGTCACGGATCTTGTATAAATAATTGAGAATGCATAGTATTTTGAATATTGTAGGACAAATGTGTGCAAATGCGATTCAAGTACCGCTGAAAGTTGATCTACGGTCGGCAGCGCTCCAGGAATCTCGGATAGAGACACACCTCGCGGATGTGATAGCGGTTGAGGATCCAGCACATGAACCTCTCCAGCCCCAATCCGTATCCGCCATGCGGCTGAGTGCCGTACACGCGCTGATCCGTGTACCAATAGTAGGGCGTCGGATCGATCCCCTCGCGTTTGTAGCCTGGAAAAAGTAACACAGATCAAGACAGACTCAAATCAAGAAACTTTCCACAATCTCACCCTCGAGAAGTTCGTCGTAGTTGGAAATCCTCATGGATCCGCCAACAATTTCTCCCACATTCGGCAGCAGAACGTCCACACTCTCAGTCAGCGATGCGTCTTCCGGACAGCGCGACATGTAGAATGACTTGATCTGAGCCGGGAAGCGACACAGCATGATGGGCTCGTTGATGGCGTCGGTCATCTTGCGCTCAGGCGCTTCTGGGATGTCCTCGCCGTGCTCATAGAACGTCCCGTCGTCCTTCGTCACGTTGTTCTCGCGCAGCCACTTGATGGCGTCGCTGTAGTTCATCCTACGGAAAGGCCTCTTGGGCGGCACAAAGCCCGGGTTGAGCTCCTCCACCAGATGCCCGTAGGGGCTCTTCAGCACGCGCTCCACCACGTCACAGACGAGATCCTCCAGTCTGTCCAGCAGATCGTCGAACGTGATGAAAGGACACTCGCCCTCAATGTGACTGTACTCAGCCAAGTGGCGGCGCGTTCTGCTCTGCTCCGCCCGATAACTCTGCGCGATGCAGTACACGTCCCCAAGCGAGGGCATGCACGTCTCTAAGTACAGCTGAGAGCTCTGCGTGAGATAAGCCTGCTCACCGAAGAAGTCCAGCTTGAAGAGCGTCGCTCCGCCCTCAACTTGCGTCTGCACAAGCGTTGGCGGGTTCACTTCCGTGTATCCACGATCAGCATAGTGACTGCGGAAAGCCTGGAGTATCACTGAGCGCATCTTCAGGATCTTCGATGTGTTCTCGCCCCGAATCATGATGTGCCTGTTATCCAGCTGCACATCTGGATGCGCTTCCTCATTGAGAATCGTGTCCGCCCCGCCAGCTGGAGCCAATCCCACCAATTCCCAGTAGTCCACATGCAACTCATGGCCTCCAGGGGCAGTTTTACCCTCCGGCACGGCCTTCAGGGTGCCGAAAAGCTGCACTGAAGACTCAGTGGAGAGAACAAGAGCCTCATAGGTCTGACAGAGAAGATCTGTGAGCACACACTGCAGGAATCCCGTGCCATCTCGCAGAGTGATGAACATGAGACCTTTTCCCTGGCGTCTGAGTCGATGAACCCATCCGTAGATGCGCACTCGCTGCTCCCGGAAATTTTGTCCGTCAACAATTTTCACTCTCTGCGCCTCAGGAAGCGACGCATCCTGCTCAATCTTCAGCTTTCGAGCCTCCTCGAGGTTCTGCTCCCGCTTCTTCGCGTCTTCCTCCTCGCGTTTGTTCTTCTCTGCGCTCTTATGGCTCTCGCGCACCTGCATAAATGCAATGCAGATCGAAATTACATCATCCTTTGTTATGCACCATTATTTGCACTCACCCAAATCTTCTGGATCTTCTTCAGCTGAGACTTGGCCGCTGGCTCGAAGCTTCCCGACGTCTCATCCTTGGCATCCACGTAAATTGTAGGGAAAGGCTCCCGTCCGGCGTGCCTCATCGCCCTCAGGATGGTCTTGAACGGGCTGCCCTCACTCCCATCGCCTGTCTCATCGCTGCCACGCTTCTCAGACGTGTAAATCTCACCTGTAAAGCCACCGGATAAAAAAAATTAGGGATGTTTTGCAGAAAAACAGCAATCAAAGGTTATAAAGCCCGTTGTCAGACTCTCACTCGAGTTTCTCCACTCATTGCATCATATTTCCACTCACCAATTGATAATTTCTCCATTTCCTTCTCTGGCATCTTAACCTGATCACTGGGAAACTGGCGTTTGTGGGAAAATGTAGGTGTTTTCCGGCGTTTTATAAGATTTTCCACGTTTTATGTCCACCACGTCCACCACTACCACTGCAGTTTTTTTTGCATTGCGACAAAAACGCCTCTGGCGGAAATATTTCAAAGTCTTCGCAAGTGAATTTTTTGTCGGTTCTTGTTTGGTTTTCACCGTTTTCGTCGAAGGAGAAAAAAGACACACAAGATCGCAGGTTTTTTTTCGTGAGATTATCATAAAAAAACGGTTTTCCAAGAAGTTAAAGCGAAATAAAGTGCAATTATTATGGAAAAAGAGGAGAAGAGCTTTTTCAGTTTTCCTTTGGAGCATTTGGCGCCGTTCATCGCAAAACATCTGAGCTTTGCGGATTTGGGCGATTTGATGCTTAAGACTGTGCCAACAATCGACTTTGAGGGGCCCGAGGAAAAACCTATTTCTCATGAAATGCTCAAATTCGTCAGCAAGCATTGTCAGGGACAGAAAAAGATCAATATCGTACTGAAGAGCTGTCGATGTCCGGAAAATCTGCCCGATGATTCCAATGATACGGATTGGCTACATACATAGATCTTCTTGAGGAATCCACTTCTGGTAGTGGTAGTTGTTGGCGTCAGTGGCTCATATAAAGAAGAATTTTCAAGTATGCCAACCACAAGGCCAAGCAGGACTCCAAGAGCTGTTTTCGTTCTTTTCGAGAACTGCAAGCACCTCTTCCAAGTATCATTGAGTCATTGCTTCTTTTCACTTCATATTCGTGCGTTTAGAATAACACGAAGAGCACGAAGCTATCCACCAACCTCATACTGATCAGTTTCATTCCGTAACACTACATTGCCCAGAATTCTCCACATTCTTCAAAGATTCTGAACAGCAAATGCCAAATGTAAAGTCTTCACTGCGCTTCTCCAGAATTGTGAGCTAAAAGAATTTTACAATTTCCAGCAATTATTATCAAAGGATTTCTTTTGCAGAACATTCGTGAAATACTAAGGATAAGATTAATAATTGCAACACATCGAAAGAGTAGGCAATTTAATTGTTTCCTTTGATTTGAGCCAAAAATGAAATTGAGGTTCCTCTCATTTAATGTATTTTTCTCATCTTTCAATTACATTTGAAGACATGGAAATAACATAGTACAGAATTTATCTTATTTTATTTCTCTTCACTCTCCATTCATTCTTAATGAAATCACAGACTTCAATCCATTATGTCATTTACCATTTGTGTAGAATTTTCCTTATCATACATTTTTCATCCTCAACTAATGTATTTTTTTCTCTTCACTGTGAAATAAACTCTTTGTTCAATTCTCAGTGATTATCAGTGATGATTTGTGATTCTAACCATTCTCTCCTTTCTCTCTGGGAGGATGTGTGGGAGGGAGTAAAGTTAGGGGTGAGAGATTCAGGGATAGTCACTCAGTTCCATTGTGAAAGGACGGAATCATAAGAGATTCTGGGTTTCTTCAAGAAGAGATTCTCTCGCGTGTCTCTAGACTAAAAGTAACACCTCAGGTGATTGCAGGTCGAGTTCCTAAAGATTCCACCTATAAATCGACTAATTAATTATTCCATCGCGAGATGACGGGTAAAGTGTTATGTACAAGGTCTCCTGAAGAGCCCGCTTCAGCGTTCCTCTGCCGAGTGGAAGACACAGGAAATCAGTGGTCCTACACCTCCGTGCTGTGCGTCTGGATGCGCACCTTCTTCATGCTGCCGTTGCGCCCCATTGTTGGCGACTGACCGGAGCCCGAGAAGCCGGGATTCTGGATGCCCAGGCCGTCTTTGGGCTTGGGCTTCTTCAGGCTGCTTCGCAGCGGGGAGCGCGTCACCGAGTCCACCGTGGAGCCGTTGCTCATGCTCGTGAGGGTGGTGTTCATCGATTGCATGCTCCCGTTCGTGGCACTTCCCTGAGATCCCGACCCGTATGGCTTCCCCGAGGCGTCCGTCATGGAGATCCCGCCGGTGCGGCGGCCCTCCCGGAAGCCTGGGTTGTTGAACGTGGTGCCACTGCCGGGCAGTGGGTGTTCCACGAACGTGGGATCGCCCCCTTCGCGTCTGGACTGCAGCACGTCGTAGATCGCCATCCCCAGGAGACCCAGAGTGAGGATGATTGTGAGGATCTGTGCAAGAGAGACGGCGTTAGTACTTTGCACAAATGAAGGAGATAAAAATTACTCACTTGAAGGTAAAAAGAAACTCCTCGTGTTATCATGAAGCCCGTCCTCATTAGGTCTGTTTCTATTGCGAAGAGAGACGCCGCCACGATGGCCAGAATGGCTAAGAGAAGATCAAATGAGATTGTTAAGGGGCGATCATTGCAGACACACGTTTAACATTTTCGTCTCACCTGCCAGTATTGAGAAGATGAGCTTAAAAACGACTAAAACACCATACTTCATCACGACTTTCTCGCGCGATGAAATCATGGCGATCTGGATGATGGAGAAAATGCTGAAGAGTGCAAGGAATATGCAGCAGAGAGTGGCCAGAATGCCACTTATGTAGATGGCTTCTACAAAAATAAGGAAAACGCCGGTTAGCCAATGGATCTCTCATCGTTATACCTCAATAGTGGACTTACTGGTAGGCCTGAAGCGCGAAACGTCTATGCCGCATTTCTCTCGGCCGTAAGTCAATTGCCTGCACACTTGAAACGGGCCAAAGTAGCCGTGGTCCGACTCCCAGCCGCCGATGGGGTTGTCGAAGTAGCCCCAAATAGGCAGGCCCACGGCCGTGGCCGCGAGGGCTAAGCTCACGAAGCTCAGGCAAGTTACGCCGGCGGCGTACAGAGCTGGTTTCCCGGCCATGATTCAGGCATAATGCGGGTCTCAACCAGATGACTCCGTCGCGGCTTCCCTCACTTGTCCCCTCTGATCTGCAAAGAAATAGAGAAGAGAGTGTTACAGATAATAATTTCACACTTTATCTATATTTTGTTGAGATTTCAACTCTGTCGACTGAAGTATTTAACCAACTTTTGATTCTCATCAGCCCTGCAATTTATTAAAGACTACAGGTATTTACACGTGGCTTTTCAGAGTTCGTTTTGCGCAGATTCAAATGTTTGGAGAAATTTCGTTTGAAATTCCATCTCACAACAAAAGAAGTGAAGAAAGTCTAGAAATACAGTTGCACCAAGACCGACACGCCCGGCAAACATGTCCAACTTTGCGGAATTGAGAGCGCTGAGATATAATATGACAAGGGAACTGGCCGGAAAATGAGCCGTCTTCCCTTTCACAAGTGAGAAAAGGAGTTATTAAAAATTCAGAACTCCACGTGCGGTTTGCCGCAAGCACAGCGGCTCTGCGAGGAGTTTTATTGATTAAACTTTGGGTGAATTGATTAAACAAGGATTAACATCTGGCGTTGTTTGTGTGAGTCAGGGCGAATCTTCAATGAAAATAATTATTCACCGTCCTTCTGACTATGATAAATGCAGATAAATTCTTCTCGCTGATTGACACCTTCATTGAAAAAGCAATGTGAAAATAAACACTCACAATTCCATTAATTTCCCACGCGAGGATCGCTTTATTCAAGAATTTCCATTCTTCCGGAAAATATTCCCAACGAAATGTTATCAATAGAGTTTTCTCGTGATTGAAATTGATGAGTTTTGGGGGGGATTTTCGGGCGATTTCACCGCGAGAGGAAGTCAGAGCGGTGCTTTCTTATTCAAATTGTGTGCATTTTCAATGGATTGGACACAAAAATTTATTTAGAGCTCCGCTGAACATTGAATTTTACATAGAATATTCTCTCGGCCGCAATTTATGAGCCGCGCTCTTCTGCTAAATCAATCAAGACCATCAACACAGACAATTCCGCAAAACAATCAACTTATCTCTCCTCAATTAAGCAACCGTGAAGCAAGATGGAATATTTAATGAACTTTCCACAAGTTCCGTACGCTTGTTTATTCGGGTTGAGTAGTTGGGCTGAGTTCCGCCCTGGCAAACTGAAGCACCTGCCGAATTGGGAGAAGATTTCCCAGGCCATCCGGATGACATCGATTGACGGGCAAATCCTATTCTCATGTCCTGCAGAAATTGCTGTGAATCGAACACATGCTGAAAACTCCTGTCGGCAAATCAATCAAAATGAATTTGCAGGCAAATCGAAGGGTGGCCGGCTCAGAAGAGAGTGATGGGAAATCGCGTGAATTTGCCGCTCAATTAAACTCCGTGTTTGCACTTGAATAAAGAGACTGACAAGTTGGAATCAATTTGAAGAAAATTGTCATCAATTGCTTAGCAAAGGAAGCTTGATAGCCAAGAATATGTAGAATGTTTCTCAGAAGAGCTAAGAAAAGTTCATTCATTTTATTTAACCATTGGTCTCAAAGGCAGGTTTGTCACTGAGACAATCTTATTTATATTTATAGCCTATAATTGAAACTGTAAATGTGGTATTTTCACTGTTTTATATCTACATTTAGCAGTATTCGCCCTTAAGTATTGCATTTTACCATATGTTTGTTTATTTTCCTATCCCTTTTCAGTGATGATAAGAAAGCACGGAGAAAACTGTTCAAGTCTTTAAACATTGAACTTCCTTTTGTCAATAGGAGAATGTTATCACTTTGTGCAAATCACTTTCATCAACAGTTTTTGCTAACAATATTTCTTTGGGATTCATTCAAAAAACCTCTCTAAAAAGTCTCTTTGCTCTCTCTTTCTCTATTGAAATTTAAAATCCGTATTGTTCTCTGTGGAATTCCTGTCTCCAGTTCCCATAGGTCAATGACTGCGTCAATTATCTCTGCCTGTCTGAATTTAGTGGTGCGGAAAGACAATCTCTCTGACTGTGTTCCATCATCCCCAATCGCGGGCCGCGGGGAATCAGGAAGTGCACCTCCGAGTGCGACTCTGTCTCTCGGCCCACCAAAGTTTGGGCGTCTCTCAGAGACACTTGAGCCATTATTTTACTATTTGGGCACCGCGTATGCATTGAGAGTCTCACGAGAGTGACCAGTGGGTCAGTGACCCGCCTTCCAATCGCGCCGGTTTTCTTCGCGAGCACACACGGCAGAGGTATGCCTCATGATGTGTTGCCTCCGTAACACTCACACACCTTCGCCGAAGAAGTACACTTTCAGTGGTGCTCCCAATCCGAGGCACGCTGAAAAAAATGTATCTGTTTACTTCATTACCAGTCCATCTGGGGGAATTCATAATTTTATTCACGTCGCTGTGCAACACGAAACCATCTCGGGGGAGTTGTGAGTGTACACAAGACAGTTCAACCTCTCCTCTTCCCAGCGATTCGAATTACCTGCCCGTTCCTCACCTCTCCCCGCGCTTTCCCAGTGTCTTCGCTATGTAGGTTAAAAGGGTTTACGCCACACCTGAAAGAGAGATCAATAAACTAAACACCGAGGCATGCAACAATCGTGATACGGACTGTCTCTATGGCCGAAAACGTTTCCACGGCAGCTCGGCGGACGTGCAGAAAAAGAAGACACACAGGAAGAGAAATTTTCCACTGGGCTTCTCGTCACCTCTCATTTCTCAACAGTGCACATTTTAGGTGTGCACAGGTGAGGGAAAAGAGACCTTCTGCCATCGAGAGAGTTGACAAACGGCGAGTCAGTAAGACAGAGGAAAACCCCGTGGCATTTGTGCAATTGATGAAGAGAGCGTGACAATAAGATAGAACGTCTTCGAGACTTGTTATTGAGCGCCAAACAAGTAAGTTATTCTTATAGATACAACTGGAACATATTCGTTATTTTCAGCCCATCTTAACTTGTTTGAACAGTGCAGAATATAAAAAGTGTTTTCTTCCGGAATTTTCCGAAGAATATACTCAAGTGTTGCTCTGAGCAAATATTCAAATTCTTCAAAAGAATTTCATAAACAATCAACAAGAAGCGAATAGAATGATTAATTATATTTTCAGGGATGTTTCTGATCCATTCTGATGGTCTTCAGCACAAATAATAATGCAAAATACGAATGTTTGTATTTTAATACAATTTTCATAATGCCACTTTCCATTGATTCACAAAGTTTAAAAAAAAAATTATATTCGAAACTTAAAAAAAAAAACTATATAAGTGTAGGTCGAATGAACTCCCTTTGATAACAATTTATCAAGTGTTTATTCTGTGTTTTTAACTTCTACTTCACTATTTGACAGAATCTTGGTCACTCTGTTCATTAATCATCCGCTAACGGTGCTCCAAAAGACGAACTGCTGGGCGAGCATTCGAGATATTGAGCCCATGGATGACTCTCTGCTTCGTTTTCTATGTCAAAGCAGCGAATGAAATTCAACTTCATGTCTTCTCGAGTCATCTTCAGCCGAAAATCGTGCTCCAACTCTCACATTTTGGCGGGAATGGACTTCTCAGACAAAGAACTGCTGCCTTTCTTGCTGAAGTTAGCTCGGAAATTGGAGAGAAAATGGATTGTCGAGCACGCAGTGAAACTCTGTGATATTTATCGCAGTGCTAATTAGACGGTTCGAGTTTCTTGGATGGCAAAATGAGGCACAAGAGGGAGAAATTTTGGAATCATGTCCAGATAAACACACTGGAATTGCCGTGATTCAATTGATGGCATAGAATCATCTTCGCATAGGCTTCTTCTTGATCTGCTTCGATGCGGATTGCGTAAGATTTGTGCCGCCAAGAACTGGTTATTCAACAATTTCAACCACTCTCACCGCATCAACAGAAAAGTTCAACGAGCAAAGAGTATTTTTGAGCGATGAATTGAGCTTTCAATTTTGAGAGCTTTCGCGTTAATATTTTTTGGTTGGATGGCACCTCACGCAAAAGGTGAGTTCATGCTTTAAAAATATTTATGTTAATAACACAAAACATCCATAAGAAGCCATTTAAATTTCAATTTCTCTCACTCTCTCGCACAAAGGGGATTTATTCGCATTTGCATGAAAAAACATTTTGGCTGGAGAATTGAGAGCGCGTGAGAAGCAATTCTTGGCAGAGAATTTCGCATGGTTAAGAGCTCAGTGGGAAAGTTCGTTTTTTTGCAATTAAGATGTTTGTGTCTCTGCAGAAAGAAATGTAAATTTCACCAACAATGAGAATTGGCATTTCAGGGATTGTAGAATGAAGAAGTGACGGAAAGAGACCTTCAAACTAAAATGAATGAAGCCTTGATAAAAATTGATATGAGAATATAAATGACATTTCCAGCATTTATAATTCAAATACTGTCAATATACTTTCCATTTTGAATAGCATTTCAATATATCGTGATATTGGAAATTTTCCTAAATTGGAGTAAAATTAGCACAATATTTAAATAAATTCTCAACAATGAACGTTAAGTAAGAGTTGCTAATTAAAAAAATCATCAAATGATAATTTTCAAAGAGTGAAGGTGACCTTCCAACAGTAAGTTTGGGAGCTTTTCCCTAAACTGAGGACCGGAATTAACAAATGTTGATGCATTCCTCGGTGACGTGCGGAGATTCTCAGTTGGAAAATGATTCGCCGGAAATTGTTAGGTATAAATAGCATCGGTTAGTGGCTTTTTTTCACTCTCAACAACTAGTCACATATTGTCTGTTGATAGTCATGTTGAGAGGTATTTAATTATATTACTTTTCTGTGGCTTCTGATGATAAACAATGGTGTGCATGTGGAAAAAAGCGAATGGCAGAAAAGTGGGACAGCAGACGTGAGAGATTCTCGCGAATAGCGCAGAGGTTAACATTAAATTTTTTATTGACTCCCAAGAATAGAGGAATTCAGAGAGCTTTAAGTGTTCGTCATGCATTTCAACGCAGATTAATCACTGCGGATAGAATTGCCGAGTGCACCTCTTTTTCCCCGACAAACTCGCTGGATCTGGAGGCTCCATTGGGCAGCCCCTCGTGCCCTTCTCACTGCCAGACAGC